GTATTTATAGCTCTATTAGGCTTTTTTATCAATATATATTAGATCTACTAGGAAATAATTTTTAGTTTCAATCCCCTCTCTAGTTTATATAGCTTAAATCTAAGGTGGTCTTAAGATTAGATAATATTATTATTATCTAAACTCCTTATCTTATTTACGTTATCTAGCTAAGTCTTAATTTAACTTACTAATTATCTAAAGGTAGTTCTTTTAAATAATATTACTAAGATAATGTAAACTAAAATTAAGTAATATTAGCCTAGGCTAATACACGACGCTATAATCGGGAAATCTATTATATCTTAAATAAGAGCCGATGCCTTGCGATATATATCTATATAAGCCCCTACTAGTATAATATTTTCTATAATATCTGAATCATAAAGCTAACGATTAACTAATATAAGGCGCAAGGACTTGGTAAACTTAATAATTCTAATAATTTATTAAATAAGGCGACTTTATAGTATTTATACCTCGTTATACAAAGTATAACTATAAAGGAATACTAGTAAGTAATAATGAATAGCGCTAAATCGACTATCTTTTATATATTATTAAGCTATTTTTAATCATATAACTAAGCCTTTAAAGTCTTGAGATATAACTATATATCTAGTATTTAATCTTTATAATACTATTTTAATTATCTTATAAAAAGTTAATTGGCTCTAGTAGAAGCGAGTTTTACTAAAAGAAAATACTTAGATCTCTTATATCTAGCTAATTAAAGCCAAATAGATACTAATCAATAGATAATATCTAAGGATATATTTATATAATTTGTACTATACAAGCCTCTAATAATCGGTTCTAATTATTATTATTAGATATTTAGGATAAATTATAGCGGGATAAATATTAGAGCTCCTTCTAAAAAGCCCTGGTTCTTTGTTAAGAATATATCCTAGATACTCCAGGGGCTATAACTCTTACTCTATAGTAAGGCTAGGCTTAAGACTAAATAAGATATTAAGTAAATATAAGTTATAGGTAAGGTAGACCTAATTAGTAATAATAGGGAGCTAGTCAATACTATTTGTCTAATGATCCAGTAAAGATAATAATAATAATATCCCTACTGCTAGAGAGTAGTACCTATCCATAAGTACAAGGTGAAAGCGGAAAAGTAGGGGGGATAATATATAAGACTTACTAGTAGACTATAGTATATAACATAATTAGAGATAAAGGATATAATAGTAATACTTAAATTTATAGCTCGAAAATATATAAGTTATTATAAAGCTATAAAATCTTAGTATATTTATAATGTTTGTTACCCAATTAGGTACCTAGCGGCATAGGTCACCTAGTATAATATAAAATATATCTTAGGTCCGAGGTTAGGTCGTAGAGAAATATGGTCTCGCCGCGGTAGTGTTTTTTCTCATACGATTAAAGAGTACCTACGCTGCTTAATAGTATTGATTAGAATACTATTTTTCAATAAGATAACGCGCCGGTACACAACTATATATATCGTGCGGGATGCTCTTAATAAGGTTGATTGTGAAATCATGGAACGGCTCCCCATTCGCCTGATTTAAATCCAATTACGAACCTATAGGCGATACTAAAAGCCAAAATATTGAAGCGTCACCCTAAGCTTATGCACCTACCAAATTCTGCATACACGCTAAAGCTGCTACTTAAAGCTATGTAGGAAGCATCGGATGCCCTAGATATTGAGATCTTTAAACATATATCGGAGACCATGCCACATAGGGTGGCTGATGTTATTAAATATGAAGGCTGATATACTAGCTATTGAATTTGGAAATTGAAGTTCCGAGGTTTCTGCCTGGCAGTATTAAAAGTGGGTCCTAGTCCGAAGTATCAGAGGTCAAACTGTATCTCCTCAGTCCACAATTGCTTCAAGTATTTCACACCCTACGCACCCGCCACTACGTACTGCCAAGTAACCAACCATGTCGGGACCAAATACAGACTTCGATATTTCACAGGTGAGATTGCTTAAATACGTCTCATCCCTCGAAGCCCTGGTGACAACTTTCTCCTGCCTCACCGCGCCCTCAACTAGGACCTACGCCCAAGCACTACACATATCGCTAACCCTACAATATAGGCGCTCGCTGATCTCGCCAAGTATGTTAATCTGCCTGGTTGATATTGGTTTTATTGTTTACCATCTTATATCTTGCAGGGGTGAAATGACCGCGTCTGCATTGGAAAATAACCTCAGCGCAATTGAAAGCAAGGTTGATGAGCTCCTGGCAGTTTTCGAGAGACAGAGTGCTGCCCTTGAAACTACCGCGGAGACTCGGCATATCGAAAAAAACATTTCAGGCACTGGCCAGGATCAAATGGAGCAATCAAATAGTCCACCCAAATGATACTGACCATCGGGATGTTTCTCTACAACACCGACCTCCGTGATAATGCCATCGATCAGACTCGACGGAGTAATGTCAAATGCAGGGTTCCAGACGTTGATCCCCGGCGCAGCAATTTGTATAGTCTCGATCGCAGTCTGGTCAGCTGCGCCAGCTCCCCCACGGGGACCTTTGATGCTTGTCACCTCGGAAGCTGGACGCTGCTCAATGATGATATCCTGTCCTGATCCCGTGGCCAAGTCAATGGTCGTGCGTGGTGCTGCAACCAGAAACTTGACACCGTGATGCCTTGCCAAGACAGCCAGGGCATATGTACCTATTTTGTTGGCAGTATCCCCATTGGCTGCTACCCTGTCAGCTCCTACCACAATCGCATTAACACCCAAGCGGGTATCAGCAAGCAACGCGGCCGCCATGGAATCCGTGATGAGCGTAGCTGGGATATTGTCATGGACCAGTTCAAACGCCGTCAGGCGAGATCCTTGGTTGTAGGGTCTGGTTTCTGTGCAATAGGCATGGCGTAGGATATTCTTCGAAGCCAGCGAGCGAACCACACCGAGGGCTGTGCCATACCCAGAAGTGGCGAGAGATCTGACATGATTCAGCGTTAGCCTCAGTATACCGCAGATAAAATATTATATTGGTCCTACCCAGTGTTGCAGTGAGTCAGAACCGCAAGTCCTGAATCACCCGGCTTAATGGCGTTGGCAGCAATCCATTCTGCACCGTTGTGCCCAATCCTTTGGTTATCCTCCAGATCCTTTCCCAACATATCCTCCGCCGCCTGGATGAACGCTGCCGCAACGTCATGGCCATGAGAACCTGCCACCTTGGCGCAATTTGTCACCACGATCTCCAGCTTGCAAGCAGCGTCGCTGAGATTGACAGCAGTCGGCCGACTCGTCACCAGATAAGCAAGTTTGTCACGGATAAAGTGGCATACATCCTCCGGCAGCTTGGAAAGCTGGTCGGTCTTAATAGCAGAGGTCAACTCCGAGGCGAGTGCAAGCATTGCCACTATGGCAATAGCCGGTGCCCCGCGGACTTTCATATCTTTGATAGCGTGCCATCCATCTTCGGCAGTCTGGATGGGGATATACTTTTGAACAAATGGGAGCTGCAATTGGTCCAGAATTTCAAGGTCACCCTTGTTGTACTTGATTGCTTGTAACATTTCGGCGGTCAAAAGCTTCGGGGGTGGACAGCTGGACAGGTAGAAGACCGAAAAAAAAAAGAGTTGAGAGGCTTACTTAACCCATCCCGCCCCCAATATATTTATACTCATACACAACGGTGCGCTGTTGTGTTAAGTGCAGAGAAAATAATTCATTTTCGATACATATATGATTCTCGACTTTAATCTTTTTGACCTCACCGTGATACACCCACAGTATAGGCGATCAGATCAATGTGGAACACCAGAGAGAGACCAATAGACTGCGGAATGATAAATTCATTCTGATAGCTCACTATTGGGTCCTGCAGTCAATCATAACCCAAAATCCATGCATATTCTCCCTAGGGCCAGGGCTAGCAAGTGAAAGAGCATGATATTCCCATGCCAAGGGTGTCGTGCATACAGTGGGGTATCTGCCCCGGGGTCTGTTGGGATGATATCGAATCCCAAGATGACATAGGTCAAGATATGAGCCGTACATCACGAAAGACAAGGTCGGCACATGCGTGTTGCCCAAAAAAAAAGGAAAAAGAGGAGAGAAAAAAATGGAATTAGCCCCGGCCTTTTTGGTCGTGATTCCAAAGCACACCCGAACTTGTATTTTTGGTTTTTAAAGCCAGCGAACCAGAAATCGGGATATCCCTTGATCTAACGCAGAACGTCCATAAGAATCACGCGTGACACATAATGTGTGTGCTTAGACCGAAAGCGCCGAGAATCAAATTGGAACTAGATCAACTCGAAGAGATGTAGAGTACTAGAGTACCGTAAGCCTTTGATCACACCAAACGGGGAAAATTGACAAACCATTGTTTCCGCGCACGAATGCATCGCCGTAGTTTCGTCGTAGGTGTCCATTCACGTATTCCTCCGTTTTTTCGAGAGCGATATTCATATAGCCGTCGACCGACTGGAGTTCACCTGCATATGGATTAGTGTATGAAGTCAAGAACCGCCAACATCATTATACCTTTGTACACCACCCCGGAGTTAAGCTTGACAATCACAGGCGCGCCAATAATCTCGCTGAGAAAGGCGGAGGGGTCTTTCCCTTCGGAGGATGGGCCGTTCTCCATGATTGGCACTGTTCAACCACTTGCTTGGAATAAAGTCTGCGAAGATATTGGATGTTAGCCAAATCGAAAATAAGAGATCTAATCAAGACTTACCAAGCCGTGATGTTTTTGGCAAGTGATGTGGAGGATCGGAAGTGAGACACCTGGAAGGCGGTGAGGCGATCAATTGCGTGTCAGCGGAGATGGTGTACAGTTCCCGAGGTCACTTCTCCAAGAGCTTTCTTATGTGATTCATGCTCAACACTGAGTTCGTTGGGTTCTCGGAAGGCTCATTTCTTGCTGTTACTAACTGTCACCGATCATGATTACAGCCATCGGGCTCATTTGATTCATCTGGCGACCCCATATCTGACTGAATTAAACCCTCACTCTACATACTCTCAGATCACGATGCGCCCCCTTTTTAAGAAACCGTCATGGGCAGCGAAAGAAACCGAAGGAAATGGCATGGAATTCTACCGTCGCTCAGAGCAAACCTATTCTGATATTGTTGCTGCGACACGAGAAGCCCACCGAAAGCCGAAAACACCGGAACTCACACCTGTTGATGATGAGTTTGCTGACAATACCGGACGAAGCAAGCGGCGCCGGCTCTCTCAAGAAACGAGAGAAGAGAGCATGGATGCTGGTCCGACTATAGCCATGTCCCCCGGAACTGATGGCGAGAAAAGCGTGCCAACGGAAGCGCAACAGCTTAAATATTCTCCGTCGAACCACAACAACTATGGAGTAGGACTGGGAAAGGAACTATCCAATGAAGGAAATGCGCATTTTCGCCCAGACGGAGAGTGCGAAACCGTCTCATCGCCACCAGTAAATGGCCGCGATATCACCCCAACTTCAGAAACCCGCTCGTGTGAGTCCTCCAAGAAAGTCAATTATCCGGGAGAAAAAGCTACCCAGTCTGTCCAACCACCGAACCCGCCGGATGATCCGGTCGTCCAGGTCTTGATCTCATCCGAAATCACCAACACGAAGCCATTACTGGTCCACCGAAAAATGTCTCAGGGGTTGAGAGAAGTGCGTCTGGCATGGTGCAATCGCCAAAACTTCGATCCGGAAATTCAATCATCGATCTATCTGACCTGGAAGGGCCGCCGCGTATTCGACGTGACGACCTGTAGGAGCCTTGGAGTACACGCTGGAAGAAACCATTTGTCCTCAAGCATGGACGAAGACCTTATTCCGGGCTACCCAGAGCTGCGCATACATATGGAGGCGGTTGCCGATCGGCCTCTACCAGTCAGCCGCCCAAGCCCTTCGCCCGACCACGGCAAGATCCCTTCTGCGTCACAAACACCAGAAAATGACAAGGATGTACCGATGAAACTTGTTTTGAGAAGCCCCGGACTGGATGATTTCAAAATCAAAGCAAGGGCAAAAACCCCAATTTCGCGACTCATCTCTGCTTTTCGAAACAAACAGAATATCTCCATGGACCAAACGATCTCCCTCCAATTTGATGGAGACAAATTGAAACCCGATGATTGCCTTGGCGATTATGACATTGATGATCTAGATTTGGTGGATGTCCAGATCACAAAATGCGCCTAATTACCCTGCAAAGAACAGAAATCAAACCACACCCCAGCACATCAAGCAATGCATATTCAGTCAAGTCGTACTTCGTAGCTCTGTAGCTCTGTAGGATATCCGTATCGTTATCGATCACATGATATCAGATAAGCCGTGGGGCCTCGTCCATTTTTTTTGGCGTTTCTCTAGACTCGCCCTCTCTAGTTTCCAGACATCTTTTTAAATTTGCGAGATATCGGCAATCCCCTTCACGCCCCCAAGCGAATACCATGAAAGTAATCACTGCCAATTTCGTGACATGCGCCGTCAAGGAGTGCAAGACATCACCAGCATCCTATCCATTACATTTCCACGATGCAGAGCTGGAGCAACAGGAACAGGAATTCCAGCCAGAGTTCATTCGCAATATTGTTCCTCGGATTGACTGGGACGCCTTGCGGACCACCGCCAATGAGGTAGCCATGCCTCCGTAATTTCAACGTACACAGGCTGACCTTGCAATTTAGTTGGGATTCCCGAGTCTCCCAGAGTCGAAACCAGAGGGCGAGGCACTCGACGATGAACAGACACTGAAAGATCTGCATAGACTGTTACTCGAAACGCAAGTCTCAGAAGGGAAATTAGTCTGTGGGAACTGCGGTCATGAATATATGATCAAGGAAGGAATCGCAAACTTCCTTCTCCCGAGCCACCTAGGTGAGAGGGTTTAATAGTTTGGGATTGTGAACAGCTTGCTAATGTTCTTTAGTCTAAACAATGCATGCGACTATCATTAAAAAAGTTACCCTAACATATCGATACCCCCAAGCTGGGAGCCAGCTGCTTGGAAGCAATCTCCTTCCTCTTTCCTAGGACCATGCGCGGTGCTATCAAGGGCGAGGGACACCCGAGTTGAGTTTTGAATGATGTGCACACTGAATTATTCCTTGCTTTTCTACCGTAGAGAACTCTAGGTATGCATAAGGAAAAGCTGGCAAAAATCTTTTAGAATTGGTGTATTGTACAAGAGAGCTGTAGCTCATGAAATCACGATTGCCCATTGATGCAGACCTCAATGCTCCCCACCTTTTTTTAAAAAAAACGCCAGTCCATTTCAACGCCACCCGGTAGATAGGGTTCAAGAACCCCAAAGACTTTGCTAGATGGTGACAGAGTGCCTAGTTCAAGAATCCCTTGCAGCCTGTTGAACCACAGAGACAGGGAATGCGGTCATCGCTGTCCCATTCTCTTTCGAATTTGTAATCGTAGGTGAGCTCCTCATCTGTTGTATATCAGCAATTGCACCTGCTCGCTTTTAGTTGTTCAACTGACCTCTTTCGATGTCCCTGAGCGCATATATCACAATTCGTTTACTGCCGTCTACTTTGATGATTTTCGCAGTGCAGTTTGGTGTACAGCTGTGGTTGATGAAACGTGCAATTCCTCCTCTCTTGGTGGCATCAATCACGGTGTTCTCATCAATACGGAAGAGGTAGCTGCTGCCAATACCACTTTTCAAGTATCGCCTTTCTCTCATATCGGCGACTTGTTGACGTACTTTTTCGCCGACGTACTCGATGATCATGTCGTTAGCAGTGATATTCTCTTCGGCATACAAGCCCCAATTGTGAATCGCAGAGCGAGCGAAACGGACGGGCTTCTTGCGTTTTTTGAGCTGGTTGAAACGAAGAACATCTCCTTCGCCACTTGAAGTGGGAAGAGCTTGCTTTTGCGCATTGATGTCTGCAATGAGTCGACGATTATTGACTCGTGTCGACCGTGACGTCGATTTGGATATGGTTTTGGCGGCAGCGATTCTGGCAGCTTCTGCTGCTGCTGCCTGGGGATCTGCTTTGGCGTTGGCTTCGCGCTCTTCTCGAGCCTTTTGGACTTTGATACGGTGAGGCAGGTATTTGGACTTTTCTGCCTCAAGAATCCTCTTTCGCCCTTCTGTCCGAGCAGCCCCGGAAAGGTTTGGAACGTAATAGCCAGAAATACTAATGGCATCTTGTGTAGTCCCGGGTTCCAGGCCGTTGAGGGTCTTGATCTCCTTTTGTTTCCAACCCCACGCGGCGAGGTTTCCAATACTAGATTCCGATTGATCCAGTAGAATCTCCCGCAGGAACCGCAAATCTTCATCGTCCTTCACCAGATGCTGCCAGCCATCCAAATCGAGAACGATATTTTCATCATCTTCAACTGTTGCACGGGGCTCATCCCTAGACACGCCCCATTCAATCTCTGTCTTTGGTTTGTTGATAGATTCCAATTTGTATGCTTCGCTGACAGACAGGTCATCGCGCTCGAAGTCCTTGCTCGGAATGTGTTCGATGATTTGATCTTTGGGTTCATTGGCGATGATTTTGCCGTCAACCGCCGTGAGATCGTCACCAACAGTGGCCGATGTCTCCGGATCGATGTCCGTATGTTTGTACCCATGTTTATCTGAGTCAATTCCGAATAGCTCATCATCCTGTCGCTGCCTCTTGCGTGCGTCGTTTTCCCCAGTCAACCGTTTTCTCTTGCGAGACCGAGGGGACAAGTCATCCAGATCATTGGGGAGACTCTCAAGATCATTTTTGGCAGCTGGTGCGACGTGGTCTTCGCTTCCTTGCAATGATCTCAAATCGTCCGACTGGTAATCGTTGTCTTGTTCAAACTCCGATGATGCACAGCTTGCGCGGCTAGGTGGTCGACTGTCTCGTTCATCAACATCCCTAGCAACAGGAGTGCGCTGATCGTCATCCGAGTCCTCATCATCATGTAATTGCTGTAAGCGATGATACAAGGGTCGGACTTCTTTCTTTCTTAATGGTTGTCTTCGTCGTTCGTCCAAGAAGGCAGCACCGACACGGTCAAGACCATGAGCTTTCCGAATCCGAGGAAGAGCAAGAACATTAAGACCTGATGATGACCGGAGAGGGTCTCGTCCACCAGAAAGTTCAGGTCGAGAGTCAGGGGTGCCAATAGCACTGTCAATCCGGAAAACGGACCGTTTGGTACCTTCGGGTTCCGGAATACCCAGCTTCTCCCTTTTAGGCGCATGCCTGCTCGGTTCCAGATAGTCATATAGAGCCGGGGCGGCTATGCGTGACTTGACGTCCTCGAGAAGCTTGTCCCTTAGATCGCGGATAATGATAGACAGCACTTCCCGACATGGGTCCAAGAAGATTGCTCGCTGCTTTTTCTCTTCCTCGATATCCAAATCGGCTTCTTTCCTTGCCCTTTCTTTTTCCGCCTTGTCTCGCCGATCAGCTCGCAGACGTTCGGGGCTCGGACTTCGCTCGTAGTTAGGATTCCCGTAAGGTTGGCTCTCCATGTTCATGATATATGTAAACAAGGGCTGCATGTGACACTGTCGGTGGCATCGCTCCGTTTCCTCTTCACCCCGCCGTGAGTTCTCAAAGATAATATAATAACCGGTTTTGTCACAACGAATGTGCTTGTAGCCAAAGAGTCTGAGCCTCTTTCTCAAGTGCGGAACCGTTGTGCTGAGAACTGGGACATAGCAGTGGGCAATGAAGATATATGGATCGCGCTTGATCTGACTCAATATGGCAGTCTCCTCTACTAGGGACTGTACGACGGGGGATCGAACACCGGCCCTGGGTCCTTCTGGAATGACGACCCCGGGGCGCATCGAGGACCGGCCTGAAGGGCCCTTGGGTGCGGTGGGTGGCGGCTCGCTTTTCTTCATCTGAGTATCCTGTCTCGGTTCGCCGGCAGCCTGACTGTTACTTTTAGAGGCCGATCTTTGAGATTCGACCGCCTTGGCGGCCATCCTGTCCGAGATTTTGCCATCACGATCCAGTTCAACCCTGATCCTGCGTGTTCCAATTCGTTGTTCCTTTTTGCATTCGAGATATGCACGCCTTGCGGCGTTGGATGCTGAAACGGGGCCACCTCCCCGGGATGAGGCGCTATCCTTGTACTTGATGGAGCAGATCCCGAGAAACCGGCCAGTGATCGGATCTGTGCGATTTTTGATCTCAGCAACGTCTCCAAAGCTCGAGAAAAGCGCACTGATCGGAGCAATTGGGGTCAAAGGGTCGAATCCGGTGGCCACCACCTGGACCGGTGGCCCTGGGCCTATGCTCGCCGCATCGTGTGACCATGGTTTTAAAGTGTAAGGCGCAGGGCGGTACTTTGTCTTTTGCTTGCAGCTGGATCCACGGGTATAGTTGGCGATTGTGAGGCGCGGGTCCGGAGGACAATCACCTGGCGCGTAGACGATATCGACGTATTCGGCCTTTTTGCGTTTCTCTTTGGAGGACGTTCGCTTATCCAGATCGGGATCGTACACGGCCTTGCAGCCTCGCACGCGATGTTCATGCCGTGTCTGTGACTTGGGGGTGGGAGGAGTGTGGATGGGAGTGATGGAAGGTTTGAAGTATTCAGGATTTGGCCGTGAAGAAGTGCCTGTGAAAGTTTTATCTGCCACCTTGGACTGCGATGGACTAGTTACTTTGCAGGGAGGTGATGACTCGGTGTTGGTGAGCGGCGTCAAGGTGTCGATTTGTGATGGGAGCGAATTCGTCATAGGCGCCGCAGGTAGCTCAGCCCCATCCGACCCATTCGCATTAGCGGAAATGATCAATCCAACTCCGTTGAGGGATGAAGGATTGCGAGCTCCCCTCTTATCTTCCGAGGTCTCGACGGTCGCAGATGCGCTTGAGCCCGCGGCCCCCAGACAACCGGGGATCTCTTCGGAAACCTCTTCGCCCTCGACATGTTTGATTCGTCGTTCCTGCGAAGTTTTGAAGCGCTTCTGTTGAAGAACCGACGGGGCGGTTGGGAAGAAGTCTGCAAAGCCGGCGGAGGCGCGTGACATGATGAGAGGTTGGCTATACGCCAGAAACCGTGGCGCAGTCAAAAGGCAGCATCCTCGACAGTGGTGTACTGGCTAGTGCGAATACATGCGACCGAGAAAGTCCCGGCGCAGCAGAAAATTGGGAGGAAGGGATTATAAAGGAGTAGAGTTCAGAGATGAACTGGGGTGCAAACAAAACGTTTAGAAGAAGTGAAAACAAGCTAGAGAGCAAAATGGCGAGAAGAGAAAGGATGGAGAGATTGGAAACCCTAAACTGCAATCGCAAGTTGAGGTTTGCGGAGAGCCTGACGCGATTCAAGAGTTTGCAGGAGGCTAAGACGCGATCGAGCGGAAGAAAGTGGAATGGTGGGGACGGCGGGACTTGAGAGCAACTTCACCAAGGGATAGCCAGAGGCGAGAGATTGCAAGATTTGAAGGATTTGGAGCTTCGTGTAGAAGCCCAATAGCGAAAGATGCCAGAGATACCATAGACACCAGATTGAAGTTCCGTGCTTCTGCGGTTTTTTTACCTATACGAGAGTGACCTCACCGTGACCTGATAAACCACCGTATCGACGCCTGTTGGACAAGTACCACAGAAGTACTCCCGTAATATATGATCAGACAGATATACAAGGAATAATGAATCTAGCCAGATCTCCGCTATTTAAGATGGGCAGAATATTCCGTATATAGGTATTGGAATTAGAGGGACATGTCCAGTACAAGGATTCTGGCCTCAGGCTGCAAGGCTGCCAGGCTCCAAGGCTCCAAGGCTGCAGACGGTGGAGTTCACCAATAAATAGACTATGTTCCCCTGAGTGTCGGCAAAAATAGCAACTGCAGCGTGGAACGACTACCGAACCCTTCCAAGGTTCCCGACCCAAGGAATGTGCCGTATATAATTTTAGATCCCTAGGCCAAAAACAAACAAGCTCACATTTTCTTACTTGGACTTCGCCTCTGTGGCAATTAGCGTGAGAGTTAAGAAGAGCCAGAATCCAACCAGAGGATGCCCAATGATATAGATTCCTGGTCAGGCCAATCCGAAACAAGGCCAGATCAATAGAGATGACACGTTAACATATTAACATATATATAAATATATTTACAGTATTTTATATTATATTTTTATATATATTTATATAAATGTGGGTATGTTTTGCCAAGTGAGACATCGGATTCCCCTAGAAACGTTGGTCCGAGCACTCCGCTTAGCTTGAAAGAGCTAATAATAATCGCCCCTCCCCTTCCTATTTTCCCCCTCTATAAATACGAAACCTACCTTCCTTGCTTCTCTCTACTTTCATCCCTCCCCTCCTCCTCCTCTTCTTAATTCATTCTCTTCATCATGTGGTATGTTGTTATTCTCGTCCTGTACAATCTGTTCACTCACTGTTTGTTAGTGGAATCTTTGGCTACATCAACTACCTCGTGGAGAAGGACCGCAAGTTCATCATTGATACCCTGCTTAATGGTAAGTGTTGATCCTTCTATTTCTCTATCCACCCCACTCATCATCGATTGCAGGTCTCTCACGATTGGAGTACCGTGGCTATGACTCGGCCGGTATGGCTGTGGATGGCAACAAGAAGAATGAAGTCTGTGCCTTCAAGGAAGTTGGCAAGGTTGCCAAGTTGAAGGAACTCATCGAGCAGAGCGAATACGACATGACCAAGACCTTCGAGTCTCATGCTGGTATCTCTCACACCCGTTGGGCCACTCACGGAACCCCCTCTCGTCAAAACTGCCACCCCCACCGGTAAGCGTTGCAACGTGAACATCATTATATCCTCGAAATGACGCTAATTGCTCCTTGTGGAATAGGTCCGATCCTACTTGGGAGTTCTCCGTCGTCCACAACGGTATCATCACCAACTATAAGGAATTGAAGGCCTTGCTTGAGAGCAAGGGTTTCCGCTTCGAGACCGAGACCGATACTGAGTGCATTGCCAAGCTTGCAAAGTACCTCTATGACCAACATCCCGACATTGAATTCACAGTCTTGGCCAAGGCCGTCATCAAGGAACTTGAAGGTGCCTTTGGTCTGCTGCTCAAGTCGGTGCACTACCCCCACGAGGTCATTGCAGCCCGCAAGGGTTCACCCCTGGTGATCGGTGTGAAGACATCCAAGAAGATGAAGGTTGATTTCGTTGATGTTGAGTTTTCGGAAGATGGTGCCCTTTCCGCGGAGCAGGCCTCCCAGAATGTGGCTGCTAAGAAGTCCGCCACGAGCCTCCTTGCCCCTCCCGACAAGTCACTCCTGCACCGCTCTCAGTCGCGAGCTTTCTTGTCGGACGACGGCATCCCCCAACCGGCAGAGTTCTTCTTGTCGTCTGACCCATCTGCCATTGTGGAGCACACCAAGAAGGTGCTCTACCTCGAGGATGATGACATTGCCCACATCCATGAGGGTCAGCTCAACATTCACCGTCTGACCAAGGATGATGGCACCTCCAACGTTCGTGCCATCCAGACCATCGAGCTCGAGCTCCAGGAGATCATGAAGGGCAAGTTCGACCACTTCATGCAGAAGGAGATTTTCGAGCAGCCTGAGTCCGTTGTCAACACCATGAGAGGTCGTCTGGACGTGGCCAACAAGAAGGTCACCCTGGGTGGTCTCCGCCAATACATCTCCACCATCCGTCGCTGCCGCCGCATCATCTTCATCGCTTGCGGTACCAGCTACCACTCGTGCATGGCGGTGCGTGGTATCTTTGAGGAGCTCACAGAGATCCCTATCGCAGTCGAACTCGCCTCCGATTTCCTCGATCGCCAGGCCCCAGTTTTCCGTGACGATACCTGTGTGTTTGTCTCCCAGTCAGGAGAGACGGCCGACTCGCTGATGGCTCTTCGCTACTGCCTGGAGCGTGGCGCTCTGACTGTTGGTGTTGTCAACGTTGTCGGTTCTTCCATTTCCCTCCTTACTCACTGCGGTGTGCACATCAACGCTGGCCCTGAGATTGGTGTGGCATCTACCAAAGCCTACACTTCTCAGTTTGTGGCCATGGTCATGTTTGCTTTGTCATTGAGTGAAGACCGTGCTTCTAAGCAAAAGAGACGTGAGGAGATTATGGAGGGCCTTGGAAAGGTCTCTGAGCAGTTCAAGGAGATCTTGAAGTTGAACGATACCATCAAGGACATGTGCGCCAACCAATTCAAGAACCAGAAGAGTTTGCTCCTGTTGGGCCGTGGTGCTCAGTTCCCTACCGCCCTTGAAGGTCAGTGTCCCGCCCCCTTGATGCTTGTCTGATTTTTGCTAACAAATGATTTCAGGTGCCCTCAAAATTAAGGAGATCTCATACCTCCACTGTGAGGCCGTCATGTCGGGTGAATTGAAGCACGGTGTCCTGGCTCTTGTGGATGAGAACCTTCCCATCATTATGATTCTCACTCGTGACAACCTCTTCACCAAGTCCCTGAACGCTTATCAGCAGGTCATTGCTCGTGGTGGTCGCCCCATTGTGATTTGCAACCACGACGACCCCGAGTTCTCGGCTGCGCAGACCGAGAAGATCGATGTGCCCAAGACTGTGGACTGTCTCCAGGGCCTGCTGAATGTCATCCCATTGCAGCTGATCTCCTATTGGCTTGCTGTTGGCGAGGGTCTGAATGTCGATTTCCCTCGTAACCTGGCCAAGTCGGTCACAGTCGAGTAAACATTTTGCTATTGGCGAGGTTAGACGATTATCATGATCCGGTCATCTTTTTATTTTTAGGTGTTTTAGCTTCGGGAGAATGGAATTCCGTTTCGTTTTTTTTTTCAGTCTTACTCAAGTCTGTAAACTCCATATATCCGTACGACATGTATATATACTCCCGCGCTAGGTAAATTGCCGCATTCCGTGATGACCATTCCGCCCCCGCCAAATGCGGGACCGATGTTTTCGTCCCTCGAGCTCTCTTGATTCACCACATCCCTGCTCAATTCTCTTACATTCAACAATCTATTATTTTAGACCAAGCCAACCCTTCAATCACTACAAGATGTCTTCCATTAAAGGTCCCGGCGCTGCCCAGACCCACGACGGTGAGAGAGGCACCAACCCCACCATTAAGGCCACCCTGCTGATCATCGGTTGACTCTAGGCTCTGGACTTCGTGTGGCTATCATCCATGCGAGGTGGAACACTGCGATCATCGAGTCACTCGTCTCGGGGGCAAAGAAAACCTTGCTGGCGGCTGGTGTGACCGAGGATAATATCACCGTCCAGACAGTTCCTGGCAGCTATGAGTTGCCTCTGGGAGTGCAACGGTGAGTCTCGCACGCTTTTGCAGCTCCAATGGTTATCATATTTCTAATGCCTCGTTCATAGGATCTATGCTGCTTCCCAGCTTCAAGCCAACTCCTCCGGCGAGGGGATCAGTGCCACCGATTTGTTGTCATCTCCCACCACCGAACCGTCTGGGTCTGCGACATCTGCAACCCCGAAGAAGCCATTCGATGCGATTATTGCCATTGGAGTCCTCATCAAAGGTGCTACGATGCACTTCGAATACATCGCAGACGCCGTCAGCCACGGGCTGATGCGTGTCCAGCTTGATTCGGGTGTCCCGGTCATCTTTGGATTGCTGACGGTGCTGACCGAGGAGCAGGGTTTGGAGCGGGCTGGTCTCGGTAAGAGTGGCATGCACAACCACGGTGAGGATTGGGGCAGCGCTGCTGTTGAGCTGGGCCTGAAGAGGAGGGAATGGGCTGAAGGCAAGATTTTCTAAATTTCTCAGAAATATCGCATGGCAATGAACCTCAAGCATACGTGCTGTGGCATGTATCCTACCGGGACTTTATTTGATATGGCAGATTGTTTTCATGTGCAGCAAAAAAGGAACAGCTTCACAGATACATAATTCTTTGGCAGCATAAATTATGACACGGTTCACTCTTCCATCTGTTCACCCTGACCCTTGTCTTCCTCCTCCTCGTCATCCCCTTCCAGGGCCCGCCGTGCAGCTTTCTCTGCTTCCTCAAGGAGCTCCTTGGGCACTTCCTCATGGCGGCCCTTGGTTGGCCCATCAACCGAGCTGATCCATGTCATCTCCAGCTCGAATTCCTTATCCTTGCTGTCTTCGTGGGCAACGTAGATGATGCGGGCAGCTTCCTTCACGCCGTCTGCCAGAGACAGATTGCCCGAGGTTAGGTCTAGTTTCTCCAGCTCCGCTTTGGCGGCCTGTCGTCCTTTGCCGGTAGCAGCACCGTAGTAACCCTGGAATTTTCCCTTAGTATTTTGTTGATCACGCATGCGAGGTTTGACGTACCCAATACAGTCCACTAGGCTCGATCATGTAGAGGCCAGGCCCTCCTGCCTTGGCACCTGGGACCTTTCCACCAGAGCCCGACTGGGGCCCGCTGCCAACTTGTCCATCAACGGCCAGTTCTGCCTCGGTATCCCAGCCACCAACAATCGCGGTTACACCAAACGGCCGTACGCTGGAGTAAAGCGTGTACGCCTGCACGTATCCTCCCAGGCGGTTGGCAAGCGCTGAGGTCGGAATGGGGCCCTTGTATACACCCCTCCACGAGGAAGCCTCATCTCGAGCTCTGGAAACGAAGTGACGGCCATCTGGAACTAGTCCAGCAGAAACCTGTAGAAAGCGGTAGTCAGTAACAGCCTATCAACTTCGACGGCTTCGACGCAAATATGCTTAAAGAGCCAAGGAGTATCGGGATCTCTCACAATGCCGACATGACGATCCACTGTCGCGATTCTCTTGTTCGCCCCTGGTTTTAGAAGCTTGCTCGTGATGATCTTCTCCACTGCCAGCACCACACCATCCTTGCATCTGATGCCAACGGCGGTACCTCCATTCTCAACTGCCTTGACAGCATACTCGACCTATAAAGCATGGTAAGTATCGGAAAGGCGTGTTTGTAGCTCATTTCGGAGCTAGGTAGGATCCGAGTTACCTGGAAATTCCGGCCGTCTGGCGAGAACACCGAGTTGGAGAGATCGTAACCTGTGCCAATTGACGTCTAAGGAGTAGCTCTGTTAGCTTCATGGAAAGATAGCACACCGGGGATACTATGAAGTTCACTGACCATGGTTTTGGTGAGACTGCGATTCGGTGTGCTTCGAGGACGTCACCACGAATGGGGGAAATTAGGATAGTAAAGTCTGAATCACGGAAAATCGACAGCCGTGATGATCCAGAGGGAAAGAAAAAGACAAAGTGAGGTTGGGAGCCCGGGGGTGATGATAACAGTTCCTGAGCAGTGACGCTGTCGCGTCACAGGGTTGCCTACCAGCTCCTCGTCACATGACTTTGGAATCTCTTGGATGCGCATTACACTTGCGCACTTCTTTTCCAAGTAACATGAATTTGAACCTGCTTTATGTACGGAGTACTAACTTTTGGCCTATAGCTACTCAAGTAGCAAGTATCACGTTATTTGGGTATGTCATCTGTCTTGAATCTTTGGACTAATTCAAGGACATCCAAAAGATTGCCAATCTCTCCTTGCAAATTCAATATAGGACCAAGGAGATTAACCAAAGTACGAGGGAATTTTCTACATTATGACCGGGCACATTATAACCAGATTTTACTGTATGAAAATGACCATAGTGGCCCGAACTGCAGCCCAATCCTTGACCGTTTGGGCATATTTGCCCCTCTGATATTCCACTCTCCAAATATCTTTCCTCTTGTCTTCTCAGTCATAACTAACTATATAACGTTGTACTGCATTTGAGCCCGTCTCCATGTCTTCCTCCATACTACATCAGTGCCCGCACTGCGGGCATACGTCTGATATATCCAATTCTCTCGCAGCCTTCATTGAGAACCCCCACTGTAAACAGGTAGCTTGCGCCTTCTAGTTCTTCTCTTTCCAAATATGCCAACTAAGAACATAAACAGTGTGGTCTGTCTGCATCCGAAAGCGATCAGAAAATGCAAGACGATCTCGCAGATTTGTTTGATAGACAAATGACTATGGCACAACTGCACGACCCGAATAAAGATGAACTCACATCGCCATCTCTAGCGCCACCAATCTCTTACTCCATTACCCAGCACTATCATCACTCAGCCCACAAAGTCACCCCGAACGTTCCTATTCAGGCCAGCATTGATGTTCTGAGGCATTATGGTCTTGATCCAAGCACTATGACACCCAGTCAATTGAACCTCTTCGACAACGCCGACACGGAGCAGAGAGAGCGATTAATCCAAACATGGCAACTCTATTCACAGCTCTCACAGAATACCCAAGATCACGCGATGCATGATTATGTCATGGATGACAGTCAAGATGGCAACCCTGACGCGGAACCCTACATGATATCTGGCTATGAGACCATTGCCACTGGAGTCGCTCACTCTCTTCCGAGTAACCTCTCGAATGCTCTCTCAGATGACCTCCCAAAAGAGCCCACCACGGGAGAGCCATACACTGGTTCAAAGGACCCTGTGTATCAAGGCCAGCAATGGTGGGAGTTGACGAATGCTGGTCCAATGGAATCCCATTACGGGGCATTCGAACAAATGAGGCGTTACTCTGGTTATACTTAGGCTGTTTGAGAACTCTTGAATATACTTTGAACAAGATATCCGGGGCCACGCATAACACGGCTCTTCGACCTCACTCTTTAGAAAAATGATGGGTTGAAAGAGACTGCGTGGCAGGGCAGCAGAAGCCCACCGCTTCGATGGGTAGGATTCCACGTGGATGTCTTTAAGATTACCTCTACCTAGAAATGTCCATGAGAGGATGTGAATTCTTCCATTTTTCTTCGTTAGATGCTATGGATTCATCAACTCCCAATAATCAATTGCCGTCTCAAAACAGAAAAAAAAGTAAAGAAAATGTATGGCCAGTCAAGTAAAGGAGTGTCCCGCCATGAAAATCCAGGCCAACATGCCAGCCCTGGCGTCGGTGCCTTGGTACTTGGTAGAAACGTCGTTGCGAGTAACATTTGGAGATCGAGAGTACTGTGGATATGCCCAAAGTCCACGACGTTGAGGTTGATTGAACCTTTGAAACATTAGTATGTAGAACAGAAAAGAAGAAGGCTTATATGTACCTTTATTCCTCCTCATCGAGAGCAGCCATAGCGTCGGCGAGAGCATCGGCGGAGCGCTTGACCGCATCAGCGGCCTCGGCGGCACGCTTGGCCTTGAAGCAGCCCTGTCCGGGGTGTCCACACCACTTCTGAAGGACAAGGGGACGGGAGCCAGCCATCGCATCGGCAAGAGCATCAGCGTGGCGCTTGACCTCGAAGGAAGCATCGGCGGCGCGCTTCATCATATAGCAGCCCTGACCGGGGTGACCACACCACTTGGGAAGAGTTTGCGCTTGGACAGTGGAAGCAGCCAGCATGGCAATAGCAACGGAGAGGAGCTTCATCTTGGTGATTGGATGAAACTGGGAGGCAATTGGATTGGATTGATGAGCGAGAGACGAAAGGGAGACACAGAAGGCTTTGTGAAGAATGTCTGGTTTCAAAATGAAATACTTGAGCAAATCAAGGCCTTTTATATTCAAGAGTCCAGACAAACTCACTGGCTCAAAAGGCTAGAGTTGCCGTTGATCTAGAGTATGTTTATTGAGAGTCTCAATCAACCAAGCGCTGAATAGAGGCGTGGCTTTGAAAAGCGTTATTGACCGTCGCCTCGAGCAGCACCAGACCAATAGACTCAATTTGCCATGGCATGAACATTTCTCAGGTCAGCCATCGGTTCGATGCTTTGCTCATGCTGTAACCTAGCGAACTCGTTAGTGAATAGAGTCCATTCTTTTTGTTCAAGTCTACAAACCTGCCAGACCCGAAGCTCCCAGGCCCAAATAGTATATGAATAAGGAAAAGAAGACAGCCGGATGGCTGTAGACGTCGTCAATAGGAGGCATTCATTGTTTAGGAAGATAAGATCGGGCCGGCGCTAACCAGAGTCGCGCGATGCCGAGCCCATCCGGAGTCTTTTTTTCCCGTTTTCCCTGTCTGATCCTTCCCTTCCCCCTTCTGATTCTCTCCACATCTCTTTGAACTGCCAATTCCTTGAAAATGTTCTCCAGAACGGCTCAACCTGCTCGGGTATGTTTCTTTTTTGCTCTTTTATTCTTTCTCCCTTTCCGCCCGGCTTTTGGCTAACCCCCCAGCTAGACCCTGCTTCGCGCCTCCGCAGCCCCCTCTCTGGCTCGCTCCATTCCCGCCAGATGTATGCAATTGCTTTGATCGTTACCTTCCTACTTGCCACTAACATTTGCGCCTAGCCTTCGCCAGTGTTCAGTCGGACATTTTCAAGCCCACCAAGTATGGCGGCAAGTACACCGTGACTCTCATTCCCGGTACGTCCCTACCCTATCATGCGCGTGTGTTTTCGTGGTGAGCTGACAAGATTTAGGTGACGGAATTGGTGCCGAGGTCGCTGAATCGGTCAAGACCATCTTCAAGGCCGATAACGTGCCCATCGAGTGGGAGCAGGTCGATGTTAGCGGTGTCGACACCGGCAACAAGCACTCTGAGGAGCTCTTCAAGGAGTCCCTCGCATCTCTCAAGCGCAACAAGCTCGGCCTGAAGGGAATCCTTCACACTCCCGTCGAGCGATCGGGCCACCAGTCCTTCAACGTCGCCCTCCGTCAGGAGCTGGACATCTACGCCTCCATCTCTTTGATCAAGAACATCCCCGGTTACCAGACTCGCCACAAGGATGTCGACCTCTGCATCATTCGTGAGAACACCGAAGGAGAGTACTCCGGGCTCGAGCACCAGTCCGTTCAGGGTGTCGTCGAGTCCCTGAAGATCATCACCCGTGCCAAGTCCGAGCGCATCGCCAAGTTCGCTTTCAGCTTCGCTCTTGCCAACAACCGCAAGAAGGTTACCTGTATCCACAAGGCTAACATCATGAAGCTGGCCGACGGTCTCTTCCGCAGCACATTCCACAAGGTCGCCGAGAACTACCCCACCCTGGAGGTGAACGACATGATTGTGGACAACGCCTCTATGCAGGCTGTTTCCCGCCCCCAGCAGTTTGACGTGATGGTCATGCCTAACCTGTACGGAGGTATCTTGTCTAACGTTGGTGCTGCCCTCGTTGGTGGACCTGGTCTCGTCCCCGGTTGCAACATGGGCCGTGACGTCGCTGTCTTTGAGCCCGGTTGCCGTCACGTCGGCCTTGATATCAAGGGCAAGGACCAGGCTAACCCGAGCGCCATGATTCTTTCCGGCTCCATGCTTCTGCGCCACCTCGGCTTGGATGAGCACGCCAACCGCATCTCCAAGGCTGTTTACGATGTCATTGGCGAAGGGTAAGTCCCAAATCTCTTCTCTGTCATTTGATCTGAGTACTGATATTAAATCTCCTTTTTTAGCCAAACACGGACCCGCGACATGGGTGGTCAGGCTACCACTCACGAGTTCACCCGTGCTGTTCTGGACAAGATGGAGGCGTCTTTGTAAATTTTGGGAACCGTCGCGTTCCACTGTCCCAACTGCTACGATTGAGGATGCTGCCTGCCGATTACTGAAATGCAGTGGATTCTGCAGCCCATGAATCGGCCGGTGTGGTCCTCATTGATGTATTATCTTCATTTCAATTTAGCTCGAAACGTCCCCGGTTATAGCAATAGACGCCTTTTTTCTTTTGTGATCGTAACTTCTTCTCTGCATTAAATTGGGTATATCAAAATCGCATAGGCCACCCTCGGCCAAGCTTGTATCATGGATCTCGGTAAGAAAACACTTTTAGCCTCACACTGGTTCGTCAAAGCAGATCAGAAGGCGATTCGTCGTTTCCGGCCAGTGTATTTCGAACTGGCCTTGACAACCTTGCCCTTCTTCGCCATTTGTTCCTTTTTGTTCAGAATCCAAGCCTTGTCACCCTTACGAGGCGCTCTAGCGTTTCCGATTTCCATGGCTTTTCGTCGGGCATCCAAGACGCTGACATCGTCCATACCATTCACAACACCGGTAATGTCACCCGGCAGACCACCGCCGCCTACGGTCAGAACCAGATACAATTTGCTGCTCTTAGTCCCCGGGTCATCCTCGAGGATACCCGCACCAAAGCCAGCTTTGATTGCTGCGCCGCTTATCATACTCCGTTGAGTATCATTTTTGGGGTAAAACTGGCAGACAGCGCGCCCACCACGACGGAGACTGGCGTAAAGACCTTCGAAGAAGCGGCGAAGGCGACCTTCGGCGGTGACATCGCTAGTTTCTGCATTGCAGAGCCACTGGATAGCACTGATGCTGATCGCTGCATCGAATGATCCGGGCCTGAAAGGAACTCCTTGGCCAATGTCGGCAAGAAACAGATCACCTTCCACGTCACGTTGGAGGGCCACATCCAACATGCTAGGTGCGATATCCATGCCAATCCATGTGTGCGGGCCACCTTCCTCGGGAGACACTTCGGACAAAATTTCCCCAGAGAGACCGGAGCCACATCCGACATCAAGGATAAAGGAAGGTGACTTGAGGTCGAGAAGGTCAAGAGCACGGTTCGTCATGTTGGCCTGAATGTTGCGAATTCGCGAAGACGTCGTATACTTTCGCGATTCATTGTCATTGTAAAAGAGATCGGCAGGACTGGAACAAGTTAGTCAAAGCATTTGGACTAGAAACAGGATCATACAGAATATCCTCAGGGCGCGACATGGTGGTGGTGTTGCGAGAGTTGAGTTTGGAAAATCATAAATTCTTTTGGGATGTAGTGGGGCCTGAGGCAAAAACGTCCACGTTTCTCCGATTGCGTCGACTCTTGAAGCTCTTTGCTTCTGCGATACTTCTCTCCACCTTGGGTTTAGCTCTTTTTAATCTGTCTTTTCGCTATGTGGATTCTACCGCTAGTGGGATATCTCGGGGCGGTGGTCGGGTTTGCTTTTCTTACTCTGGCCATAGGTAAGGATGCGAGACATGAGACCGAGAATAGAACTGACTCCCATTCATAGCTTCGGGACTTTATTATCTATCCGAGCTGGTCGAGGAGCACACCGTTCTTGCCCGCCGGCTCTTGACTCGAATGATCTACGGCATCATCGCGATTCAAGTGCTTCTCATGATCATTGACCGGTTCCCCGTGTCACTATCCATGCTGAGCATTGTCTCGCATCTGGTCTACGCCAGCAATTTGCGCCGATTCCCTATAGTGAAACTATCCGATCCTCTCTTCATCCTTTCCTGTCTTCTCGTCGGAACCAATCACTGGCTATGGTTCCGCCATTTCTCGAAGCCCTTACCTCCGTCTGCGAACAACTGGCGCCAACCGTATGGGGTCAATTATGAAGAGATGCCTTCTTTCTCTGAAGTTGCATCATATTTTGGACTCTGTGTTTGGCTGGTTCCGTTCGCCCTCTTCGTCAGTTTAAGCGCCGGAGAAAATGTGTTGCCCAGCATGGGTTCTGAGTATGTCACTGGGGTGCGTGTCAACACTGCTGGCTTGGGTCACAGCCGTGGACCCTCTGATGGCAAGTCCAAGAACAAGGGAATGGCTAAGGCCCTGGTGGACGGCGTCCGAGACTGGGCAAGGGAAAACGGCGAACTCATGGGCCTCTGGAGAGGAGAACAGACGAGACGATTCTGAAGCGGATTTTATGTCACCTATTATGCCTAGAGAATACTGAATAACGTCATGAGTGTCACAAAGCGTGTAAATTGTATAGATGAATATGAGAAAAAAAGAAATCACCGAGCTTCCCATCGCGTGACCGCAAACCGCCAATTTGCCAGATAGATAAAAAGAGTCGAGAATATATGGACAACATCAAAGAGGCGCTGGGACGCGCTGGGAACAAAATAGGAAGAATAAAGTAGAGAAGTAGACGAAGAAAAGGGGTATAACGACGGTCAATGTTGCTCGGGTCCACGTTGACTCAAAAAGATGGATGGGCCATCAACCCCAGACGCGTACCACATCTGGATTACCATTATCATTAAACATTCCCTCGCGACTTACATGGCTGAAATTGCCAAGGTAGAGTCATCATTCCGCGTGCAAGTCGTAATTTGTCCGGACAAAAGTGGCGTGGACCACTGAAAAATAGCCGAGAATTAGAAAGGCGACGGACATCAAGAGAAAAAGAAAGTTGTCTTGCAGCTCATACCCAGCTTCTGAGTCTGCAGACAGGTAGAATTAGACTGCAAGGAAGCTGTAAGGAAGTGGCTAGGTGCTCCCGTCACTTCACAGACTGTCCATAAAGAGCATCGAACTCTCGCGTCGCTTCGTCTTCGCCGAGCGAGTGTCATCTGAGTTTGGCACCAACATGCCATTCAAAGAAGAATAGGGGGCCGAGGGCCCTGGAGGCTGGTTATACTGTTCATTTCGGGATGCCGGTTGGTCATAGCTGGGTTGCATTGGGATGAACCCAGTGTCATAGTGTGTTCTTGGTCCGGAGTCTGCAGTCTCAGTGTTTCGGAAGGAGGTCTGGTGATACGAAGGTGTAGGAATGTCCGAGAACATTTGATGGCGAGGGGAACGAATATCATCGGGCGAGAGTGTGTGGTCAACTGTCAGCTCGGTAGATTTGGCACAGCTTCTGTCGTCGCCAAAGATGCTGTCATAGTCCGTCAGGAACATGGAGAAAACCGGCGCCGGAATGTTGAGAGTTGGGGCAAAAACAATGCCCACGTTTCTGACAGTCATCTTGTTGACATCGGAGTTGTTGACAATTTCGAGCAAAAACTGGGACAGAGCTCGCAACAATGCCAGATTGGGCCTCGGCAGTCGATGCACCAGAGAGTTGAAGGCTGCTACCTTCTTTTGACGATCATCAAGTTCTGGCAAAATTAGCAATATTTCGGCAACAGGAAAAGAAAAGACGCATACCAAGAACGCGAAGGAAGTCCAAATGAAGCTCTCGGGTCAACACCGTGGTTGGAAGCTCTCGAAGGTATTGTTTGAAGAGAGACGCCACAGCGTGGACGTCATAATACTGGTCTCCGGCCACAAAATCAACATCACCTTCAGTGTTGAAACGTTCCTTCAAAGCTTTGATCACCACGTTTGAGCCACTCAACCGGAAGATTCCCTCCTCCAGGGCTGCTTCCTTGGAATGCAGATACTCAATACAGCGATAAACCACCGCGGGCAGTTCCACATCAATGCCCGGCGGTGCACAGTCTTGCACAGCCTCTGCTAGGGGTATACCAAACACAGGTCTAACAGGACCGTTTCTCTCTGCCTGGACATTGCTGCTGGCAACCAAGGTTTCGCTGCTAGCCTGTGCTTGTGCAGCAAGGTCAAAAGAAGATCGGGTGCGGAAGCCCCATATACTGCGCTTCTTCTCTTTGGTTGATGTCTTTGCCTTGTTGCCCCAGGCTTCCACATCCTGAATGACTGATCCGTTTGTAGGTCCAGATATCAGCCTTGGGGACTGCAGCGGTTGATCAGGAGAGGACATGGTCATGTCCTTGAAGTCTGTCGACAGAGCTGCCGGAATCCGTGGAGATCGAGGTGCTTGTTCGAGGGTGGAACCGATAGTGGGAGGCTCCGCTTGCACAGCGTCATCAAAGCTGAATCCCTGCACAGAGCTTCCAAGGTCTAGATCAGGGCTATCAACTCCTCTGCCAGATTTCTTGCCTCCATTGTTGAATAACTTAGACTTAGAGTCAGCCATAGATGTTTGTTTCCCCTGGGCCTGGTTGTGATCTTGAGACTGAGTTTGACCCTTGGACACGCTACTACGTCCCTCGCTCTCAGAAGAAGCACTCTCGACATATTCCATGAGAGCATTTACCCAGGCATCGCGCTCTTCGTCGCTTTCGGCACAAAGGACATGTCGGACAAGTGCGGACGAATCCTTCTTCTTCGGTTCCAAGACTAGGAACGCATGACGGTACTGGTTGTCGTCATCATCTGCTGAGTTCGACAGTTGCTGATCGTTGGATTTCGGTGATTGCTTGCCGATCTGCGCATGATGGAGTTTAATCGTACCCATATGCGGACCACCGGGAGACTCAAAATATCTCAATTCGGGTCCATCAAGCACAAAATATCTTGCTTTCCAACCACCAAAATTTTTACCTCGCTTCGTCAGATAGCCTTCTTTCTGGGGATTTCCGTCGGGTCCACGGGGCATGTCCGACTTTGCAGACCCAAGACCTTTCAATAGACTTGTCTCGTCATCTCGAGGCTCAATGGCATCGTTTGTCAAAAACTGGCAAACAGCCAGTGCAGCCTTTTCGTCCATCGGTGTATCCAAGAGACTGTCAAAGTATGCATTCAGCGCGGCACGCCTGGAATCGACCTTGGCAGGCGAGTGACCATTGAATATGCTTCTATCGGGCAATTTTCCGGCGAACGAAGAGGTCTGTCTTATTTTTTGATCCAGAGGAGGCAGAGCCCCAATGACCTTCTCAACTCGCCAGAGTTCTGAGATCTCTGAACGGGAAATCACACTAAGTGTGAATACGGGCTCTTCATCCAAAGGCCGAGACACCATATAGCTGTTCCGGGAAGGTCGTAGCCGCGACGATGATACTCTGACTTGAATGAGAGGGAGGGCATTCGGGGGCAAGAGTAGGCCGGGGTATTCATCTGATACCAAGCCTTGATAGATTCTGTTGTCCTGGAAGTATGCAGGCCTTGGGCTGTCAATTTTGACCGTAGGATCAATCGAAGGCATAGGGCCCCCGGGTCTTCCATTTGAGGGGACTGGTGCAAAGTTGGAGGGATAATTGGCCATTCGGGGAGAGAGCGGTAACCCTGGGGTCTGATACCCTCCCGTCATGGGGTTCGTCGTATCCCGTGGCATGCGAGGCAAAGGAGACCCAATGGGTCGATCTTCTGGTCTCGGGCTTAAGGGCAATCCAGGGCTCATAGGCATGGAGCCGGCAGAACGTCCATTAAAGGATGAAGCGGGGGTGGCTCGCGAGCCCAAAATAGACCCCAGGGAACTAGATTCACCTACATTCGGTGGTGATCTTGTAGCAAGTTCCCTGGGAATTGTCTCCGGGCTGCTAGACACTGCTGTATCCCGGGATCCGGAGGCGCCTGCTTCAGTTGCCATATTACCATAGGTGCCTATGTCTTTCTGCAGCGCAGCTTCGCGGTCCTGGTCATCTTGCTCTCTCGTCTTTCTCCTTCCGCGATTCACACTCCCATTCGTTTGCTGGGCATCTCCGTAATCGGAATCAGAGTCAGAAGCCGACGGCGCCCTTCTTGTTTCAGCTTGTTGAAGGTTCAAGGGCGCCGGTGGTGGCTTACGACTGGGATGCGGGAATTTGCTTTTGCTATCAATCGGCGATGGGCTGTCTGTGGCAGATACCGGAATAGTAGTGCTTTCAAAATCTTTCCGTGTTGTGTCTGAGGGCGGAACAATAGAAGGCTGGTTAGCTTGCCGCGAAGTGTCTTTCCTGTCGCTTTTTGCAGACTGCTCATCAGTCACGGTGGCAGAGGCTAACGAATTTGTGGTCGGCAATGGAGGCGCCTCTTGAATATCTTTCAGTTTCTTCTTATATTTATCCTTCTCTTGAAAAGCACGCTCCAAATCCTTGTTGAGACCGAGAATCAGAGTCCTTTGTTTGTCAACCAGTTTCCATAGCTGCGCATTCTGAGAGGCCGCGTGGTGCTTCTCTTTCAGAAGGTGCACAATGACAGCCTCGGCCGAACCAGCGGCATTTATGAGGTTATTAATATCGGCTGGGCTCAAAGAGTTGACGTCAAAGGTAGACCTCTGGGAGGTGGAGGATAGAGAGGAAATCGCAGAGTCAATCGATGAGGTACGGGGCATGACACGGTGGGCAGGGCGATCCCCAGGCATCGAGTGCATGGAGCTGACAGAGGAGGATGCAGAACGATCGGGCTCTGGCGCACTTGGGGGTTTCGGTACATTATTCTCATCCAGTGATCCGCTCTTTTGGTCTAATTCAGGGCCTGCCATTATAGGCGATTGCGACGAGCTATGGCCAGAGGACGGAGGTGCAGGAAATGTAGCATTGGCTACGCGGGCGATTGGCGATCGATTCTGGGAAGGCGAGGGGTTGGAGGATCCAGGGGACAAAGGACTCTGTGAGGAAGCACCGTCGACGCGATACGACTGAGGTAAAGAACTAGTATGCAACGGAGAAGGTGTTATATGTCGTGAGCCAGGAGCAGGTCCAGGGCGATCCGATCGAGCTAGATAATCCCGAGGGATGAGGCCGTTGTTCATCGATGGGTAGGAGGAGGACAGGTTTCTCGGGGTTGATGAACTCTCATCGTTGCCTCGTCGCGGAACTTGCGACATGGCTGGTACAGGGGTCGAGACTCATCAGAGGGTCACGTTGGGGGGCAACACGAGGCAAAGACCGAGGGGCGAGAGCGCGGAACCCCGGAAGCTGAAGCTTAAGCGCCAGGGAGAAAAAGGGGGGCACCTCAACCGATTCGTGAAGAAGTAATACTCGGACAAAAGAGAGGAGAGCTGGAAGAAAGTGAAGTGGGGGAAAAGGGGGTTCAAGCTAAGTAAAAGCGTAAAAGCTTGGGAGTAGAAACAACAATCTTTTCCGACTGGAATTGCAGGAAGAAAAGAAGTGAGAGAGAAGAGGTTAGGATGTGGCTTTGTTTGGCAAGCAGTCCCTTGCCTATTCTTATATAATTTGCGTCAACTTGCCTTTCTTTACCCGCATAAGCGGTATACATGTAGTCCATAAACGTGTTTTATATGTTCTGCATCTTGGTCTCTTGCTCTTCCGCTGGTCAGATGCTATTGGCTATGCTAGATGGGTCTCCAACTATGTATTTGATGACCAAAATGCCATCTTCCCCAAATTCTCTACTGAGATCTCTGCTATTTACGTGCAGGGGAATCTCGCATCGGGCACATTAGAACCAACTGCTGCCTCTAGCTGCAAATAATGCAGGGTTGAAATGTCAGCGCGACTCAAAAATTCCAACACACGGTGGAAGTTCAAAGCAACCTGGTCGACACCGTGACTGTCATCGCACAGACAGAAACGACCGTAGGAGGCAATGAAGTCCAAGTTCCGAAGGACCTTACTCCAGGCCTGGCCACGAGGTAAAACTACGCTCCATATCATCGCTCTTCAGGCGAATCAAATCAAAATGACCCACAACAAGCGGCTGTAATTGCATACAGCATATATAGCTAAGCATCAAAATAGTCCTTGAATAGACGCTCGTTAGTACCTCTAGCTAGCCCTCGGGCCTGCTCATACATAGGCCGGTCATAGTCGATAGGCATAGTGTGCATGTGGTGGATTGAGCCGATAAGGTCTTTTGAGGCAGGACGAATCCAATAAATCTTGAACCCGATGATAATTTTGATCTAGGAGGCATATTTCTCACGCAACCGGACTGCTTCTTCCTAGTAGGCTACTTCATTTGTTTCGTGGCTGGCCTCTGTATCGCCGAATTCAACCTAGATTATTAGGCAAGAATTGAACCGAGGATGAGCGTGATACATACTTCTTTAGGATAGAAAACTTCTTTGTCGCGGGGCATATGCTCAGTCAAGCAGAAGACTTACATCTTCTTACTGAAGGCAGTTCGGACCACATCTTCCAAGGAATTTTGAGCATGACCGGGGCAGACTTGGCCCGAATGACTGTGATGTGAGAATGGCATATACGAGAGAGTAGATGTACAAGGGGACTAATTCCAGAGGCCGATGAGAATTCCCGCCCCTCCTCGACTCCGAATCCTGCAACTTGATATACACATTGCATTCAATGCTAACATAGGTAACCATATATTTAGCCCTGCAAGGATGCTATATACAATCATGCCCGGTGCCGAAATGCTGCAATAACGTGGAGCTGTAACATTTTCCAAAGGTCGCCTCGCGAGTTTGTATCAAGCCTGAGCAGTGATGGATATAGCTTCAACTCGTGTTGATACGTAAGACATCGAAGCATCGAAGTCATTGTTCACTCCCAGCGAGAGTGAGTGACGCGTTGATAACTGCACTCCAAAGCTATCACGGCGAGTATCAAGTGCTGGATGTATAGCCAGCAGAAGTATCATATATTATAGCCACAGTGACGAGATGACGAGCAATGGATGAGCATTCAGCTTGCCGCCAAAACTGTAGCAACCACATACTCCCCATCATGGGAAATGGACAATTTGGCAACTCTTCCTTCATTCCCATTTTCCCTACTCCCCAAGTAGACAATCTCTGGCCTCCGACTCACACCCTCTCCAAAATGCCCCCCATCTTCCTGAACCCGGATCATTACATCCTTCCACCCGAGTGAGGCCGCTCCTGCCGGCGCAGCTTTACGCGCAGCCTCCTTTGCGGCGAATCGTCCGGCAAGCCATCGCGTTATGTCCGAATGGACAGGAGGAGGTTGTTGGTGATAGGCGGAGCGCGCTTTAAGGCTATCACCGAAGCGCTTGTGGAAATCTTGCTGTTCTTGATCACAGAGGATGCGGCGGGTGAAGCGCGTGAGGTAGTCGCCAGGTCGCGTAAGGAGGCGGTTTATACGCGGGATGTGGACGATGTCTGTGCCGATGTTGAGGGGAAACGGGAAAGGGAGAGATTTCATGGTGATAGCTCAAGGGTTGAAGGGTGTGCGGAAATTGCTGCAGAGAGGTAGATGCTTAGAAAAACGTTGCGGAAGGCATGTAAATACCCGTAGAGCTGAACTGGCTACCTCAACCCGTGCAATGTCTTCTGAAGCTCGCTCGAGAACAAGGGGGAGACAGCCGGTTCTGTGCGTCATATATCTTTCTGTTTTACGCCATCTACCCCATCTACGTTGCTTTCCGGCCTACTATCCGTGCAGGATTACTACTACTACAAGCGCCCGAAGCTAGCTGGACAAGACGCTGGAACTGCAGAGCCGCAAGTTCCTGACAGAGACACCTTCAACGCGCAACTAGAATGTGCAAGAGGACAAATTACACAGTGCGGAATTTGGACGGAGCAACCACAATTCCCTTTCTCATCCTCCGCAACTGAACCCGCCTCGGTCGTGTGCGCAAGCAGATGCAAGGAACAAGTCTTAGGAGGAAATTTTTCTATGCAGCGTACATGACTTTTATGTACAGATAAATCAACCTCATCCACGAACTTCTCCAAATCGGTCCATGCAGATATCGTGGCCACAAAAACGTTGCGGAAGGGCGGATACATCGTTGCGCGCTATAAAAGGCACAAGAACGGACGTGCAGTTCAGTTGAATTCAAGCTTCTGAGCTGCTTATATTCGACCGCTCCATCAATTAAAACCGGGTTGAAGGACTCGTCTAGTGTTGGTTGGGCTTCTTCTCGCCGCCATCAACCTCCTTCATGAAGTTCCTAGAAATTATACAGTCAGTATTGAACTCGGTATTTTGAGTAGAGAACAGAATCGCATAGGGTTATCTGGAATGGCGTTGCACATACTGGATGAAGTTCTCCTCATCCTTGGAGGAAGCATTGATTGGGGGCCCTGAGCGGTCTTGGGCTTCTCGCCACCGCTCATAGCAGCCCACGAACCGGCGAAGATGCTGCCGAGGGTGGCCATGGCAAGCTGGTGAAGTAGAGGGGACCCGGTCAGCTCTCATGTTTCACAAGTATCCGCACGAAGAGAAAGGGATGGCGGGTGCGCGGCGGTCCTCGCGGGTAGTTCGGTAAGACTTACGACGTGGGAGCCGACCTTCTTGCCGGCGATCTGGTAGTAGACAACCATTTTGTAGGTGTTGAATTGGGATGCAGCTAGAGGTTCAACTGGCGATGTGGACGGAATCCTCAGGCGTGGACCAAGCGACGAGGTCGGCACGGAGACCGCCTTTCCTGATATGGTTAGGATGATCAGCTGACCTCGGAACTTTGCGTGACTCAGTAATGACATAAGCTGATCATGTGATGAACACCCGGGTACGTCCGAATCGACATCCCCGGAGACGTCACTGGCGTATAAAGATCAAGAGAGGCGTTGAAATGGGGAAGTATGTGTATACCGATCTCGCCATCGAATTGAGCTTTAGGTGGCACTCGGCTCATGCCGAATATTCTACCCCAGATCCCGGAGATTCACAACAGAACCTCAGGAAGTGAAAATTGCATACTTCGTGTGTATAAAACCCCCCCCGGCTATGGCTGCGCCTTCGGCTATCCTAAGCGGCTAATATGAGGATACTTTTAAATAATATACCGCTTCTCCCCCATTGCGCGTTCCTTATTCTTTCCCTACACTCTTTTGTTTCTCAAATAGACGCTCCCTATATCATCTGAATCTACTTTCCAATATGGCTTGGGGCAGTCAGCAAGAGCCCCAGTCTCCTTCGCAGGAGTTGTTGGACAAGCCTGTAGTCCGTGAGAAGCTCCCCGCAAAACTGCAGCAGCTGGTTGATCGTGATGAAGACTTCTACGGCGATCTGTATTCCCAATAGTACGTCAGGTTTCAAGTTTGGGGAGAAGTTGTCGCGTGACCTAGGAGTGCTCAGGTGTCCCACTTCCCGACTCACGTTCCAACTCCAATCAACGGAACGCGAATTCAAATACTAATGGGTACCTCTGACAGCTCCGTCAACTCTACGGATACACCATACCGATATGCTGCGTATGCCAATCGTATCCGCACCATTCTGGTCTCCGCCCACCGTTATGTCGCCTACACTTCAGACATCGGCGAGTCCTTCCGTCCCATCGCTCATCCATGGCTAGTACGATCGGCCTATGGTATCTCATGGACCTATCTCTTAGGCGACGTCGGTCATGAAGGATACAAGGCATATTTGCGCAACCGGAGAGCCCTGACGCCCGCCGGCGAGTCCTACAAGGATGCTAGCGAGATCTCACAAGACCAGATCATCAAGGGCATGGCGACAGGCAACATGGCAATTGGAAATCAAAATTCCGAATCCAAAGACGCGCCATCAAATTGGCCCACTTTGGAAATCCCACTTGCGGAAGATTATCGTATGGTTATGGCTAAGCGCGCGGTGTTCCAGAGCATCGCGAGTATGGGATTACCCGCCTTCACCATCCATAGTGTGGTCAGATACTCGGGGCGTATGGTGAAGAATGCCAAGGTGGCATTTATTCGTACCTGGACACCTATTGGAGTATGTACCCTTTCTCCAGACCATATTGTCTGCTAACCATGTTTCTCATAGCTTGGTCTCGCCGTTGTTCCGTTCCTCCCATACATCTTCGATCACCCTGTCGACGAAGCAGTCGAATGGGCCTTCCGTACTGGCCTCCGTGCGTACGGCGGCGAAGCTGCTGTTCGCCCACTGCCCGGTCGGAGTCTCCCACCGAGAGAGGAAGAAGAGAGCCGCGCAGTAGCGGCGGCAAATATCTCATGGGACGAGTATAAGGCTGAGCGGGAACGATCCCGTGAGCTTCGTCGCCAGACCGAGAAAAGCAGCAGTGGTAGAATCGCGTCACTTACCAGCTGGTTCGGGCGGTCTGAAACAGATTCGGAGAAAAAGAAGGAGTAAGATGATTGAACCTGCCTGAAGTTCATCTCTAGAGTATTCTCTATTCTCATGTCTCGCTTATGAGCACCTCTCCCCTTATCACCTCTTGTACATACCACTATCACCTCTCTGATTTCCTACTTTCCTGATATCCACCGGTGTTACTAATGCATATATATCCGTGCATACTTCTGATCAAAAATCATATTCACCTCAACTACTCCTACTGTCTCATAGAACGGCATCGAGTGGAGCTGTGCTGTGTGCCCTACCCAGATCATGCATCATTCGGTACCTCGAAGCCTTCCACCCGCACTGACTTTTTCTGACACACGATCAAACGAGCCAGCCTCAAGCGATCATCCCTTCCAAGCACCTGAGGCCTCTGGTGAGGATTCTTCGCGATCAACCCAGCGTAATCATGTTGGAACATCACATCTGCAGACCACTCATACATTGGGGACCGCTCTCGAAAGTAATATGGTCTGCCGTGCTTCATGACCACCTCATACAACCTGCGAAATTCTCGGGACTTTCCCGTCATGATCTCCCCATTTGATAGTACCACCACACTGGCGTGCCAAGGCATGTCACCAAACAGGTCCCCCTGGCGTAACAGTGGTATGGAAATCTTGTTTCGTCCCGAAGAAGGATGAATTGACAATCGAATATGTTTTCCCAGTGTGGTGTGAATTACCGCCTCGTATGCCTGACCAATTAATCTAAATGTCAAATTTCCACACGAAAGACACCGTGAGCACCTCCAAACTTACAATAAGCCGGTTGATCATGGTCTTCGCCACCTCGGACACTTCTGTCGCGTACAGCGCTGGATCAGCTGCCACAACAGGGTCCAATCCCTTGGCCCATTTCAGATCCTCGGAGATGCGACTAAAGTAGCCCTCATAGGTTGCCATGGTATCGGGGTTTGTCTTCAGCTCCTGGTCTACGTCGAATTTTGGATCAAAGTATGGGGGCGACATCAGCCTTTCGCGGCAGATGGGAACGAGACGCAGATAATCAGCCTTGGAGACCTTCTCGCCATCACCAAGTGACAGCAGATCCATCAACCGAATGAAATGGATTGAAGAAAAGCGTTTCTCATGGGCGATTTTTCGCAGCTGAATGCCATAGTCGTAATATTCGTTGGCAGGAACACCAACCAAATCTGCATCGTCAGTCACATTCAACACTCCAAGGCATCACATACCATTGTACACAGCCCCGTCACAGATGAGGATCAGACGGGCACCGTAGGGATAGACTGTTGATATCTCCTCACACAGGTGATTCAGGCTTGCCAGACCCAATTCGTCTCCTAAATCAGCCCCATTGCCCAGTACTTTGTCCAGGTTGGGGTTTTTCCACGGAAATGCAGGCAAAACCATAGTAATTGGTTGGTTTGCTGCAATATCAACCTTCAACTTCTCCGGCACAGAATCAAACACCTTCCCAATTTCTTGACCATCTTTGCTCTGATGCAAAGAAAACCGTTTCAGAACCTTGACGACCTTTTGAGGCACCTCATCTGGCGCGTATTCGAATTTCATGATGAAGAGGGTAAAGTGAAGAATGTGCCAATGGGTTACGAAGACATATGCAAGGACTCTGCTAGTCTACCTGAGCAGTGGCATCACCTACATATTCCCCCTCTCACATTTTTCCATCCTTGCACTATCTTATAAAATGGCTGAGAATACATCCCAGAGGGGCGTTGAATATTCCAGTTCTACCGCCAATTCCTCTTACACGACATCCGCCACGACGTACACCAATTTCAACGAGCGCTCTCCGTTATTTGGTTACCCTGAGTGTGTTCCCGAGACTCAAGAAGTTCGCGAAGATGAAGATGAAGATGAACAGCTCAAGTGCGACAATAACAGAATACCCGATGGAGGGCTTGTGGCTTGGACTCAGGTACTGACCGGACATCTGGTTGTGTTCAATGTATGGGGCTATATCACATCGTAAGACAACCTTGTTGGGACCGACCACAGCTGTTGATAAATGGTAGGTATGGATTCTTTCAGGAATACTACGTCAAGACCCTAGGTGCTAGCCCGGCCAATGCCTCCTGGATAGGAGCGATGCAGATGTTCCTCGTCCACTTCCTGGCGACTTTATCAGGACGGTGGATGGACGCGGGATATCTGCGCCAATGTATTGCTCTTGGATGTCTCTTTCAAGTCGCCGGTGCTCTTGCAACTTCATTTGGGACTCAGCTATGGCACTTCTGGCTGGCCCAAGGCATTCTCAGTGGAATGGGTCATGGCCTCGTCTTCAGTCCTATGATCTCACTATATGCAACCTACTTCTCCACCAAACGAGTGATGGCTGTGTCACTGGCTTCTTGCGGTGCAGCCACTGGAGGAATGGTTTTCCCCGTGGTTGCCTACAAGTGTTTCGACACCATTGGATTTGCTTGGACGGTCCGAATAATGGCGGCTATCATACTCGCTAACAGCGCCGTCATTGTCAAGTTCACCCGGTCAAGGATTGTCCCGAGGAGTATGCCTCCCTGGGTGGATTTCAGTGCATTCCGCGAGCGGTCTTACCTCCTCTTCTCAATAGGATCATTCCTGATCTTTGAGGGGATCTATTTTGCATATATCTATGTAAGTCTGGTCTACCTTTGGAGACATGAAGCTAACGCTATGTATAGGTCCGACAATATGCTCAGGTCCATACCGGGTTCACTCCGAGCGATTCACTTCTCATTTTGATTATCATGAACGGGGTTGGTATTCCAGCCCGTATTGCAGCTGCATTTGTGGCGGACCGCTGGATAGGTGCAGTAAGGACCTGCATTGCAGTCTCCATTCCTTGCGGGATTGCGATCCTCGCTTGGATTGCGGTTCACACCCACTATGGCATGTTCATTTGGGCCACGATATATGGACTACTAGTCAACGGTGTACAGAGCCAATTGCCAGCGGCAAACGCGTATTTTGGATCAAAAGACCCAGAAAAGTCCGGAAGGCGTGTTGGAATGATCACCACGATCAACAGCATTCCGCTGCTGACAGGCCCTTACATCGCAGGGAAGTTGATCGATCTGCGGGGAGGCGACTACTTGTACGCGCAACTATTCGGTGGCCTTTGCATTCTGTCTGGAACATTGTTTGTAATGGGATCTCACCTGTCGGAGGTCAAAACATGTACATAATGTTCATTATCCAATGGCTATACCGAAGTTGTGTTAGTCGCTTATCACAGGCCACAGCCCATACCTTCACCACTTTCATATCTCTCAAGCTGACGTCTCCCCTGGAATGTGCGTCTCGCTCTCGCGTTTTCTCCTTCCACAGTTGCCCTTGACCAACCGAGTGCACAAAATGGCACATCGTGCCAGACCACTTCATTACCACATTCCATTATTCCCTGGATTCCAGCTGCTGGACGTAGCAGGTCCGCTGGACATTCTCAACATCCGCACGCAGTACGCAGACACCGCAGACATTTCCTTGACCGTATCAGCAGAGACCTTAGACCCAGTCTCGGTGAAACCGGTGCCGCCCCCTCACGCAAAATGGCATTTTGATCTCCCCGAGTCTGACCTGCAAGCCTGTAACCAACACATGGTGCCACAGCGCACCTTTGCAGAAGTGGTCTCTGCCCTGAAGGAGAATGACGCCAATTGTGACATCAAACCTATTGATGTGCTGATTGTTCCTGGAGGTCTGGGGACGCGACTAGACCGGATATACGGGAAGTCTGACAAGGTCTCCAACACACAGCAAGTTCGGGATTTCATCACCGCTGTTGCACCCTATATTCGTCACAGCGTCATTACTATTTGTACGGGGAGCCACGTCCTCGCACAGACTGGGCTATTAGACAATCGTCGGGCAACAACCAACTCCGCCCGCTTCGACGATGTTATTGAACAGACGCGCCAGGTGAACTGGCAGCGCGATAGACGATGGCTACGAGATATTGTGCCAATGGATGTACCAACCAGATCATTGCAGTCAGGAACTGAGATCTGGACCTCTGCTGGGATTACTGCCGGTATCGATGTCATGTTGGAGTATATATCCGCCCATTATGGTGGCGTGGCGATTGGGATACAGACCGCTAAACGAATGGAATATCACTGGGAGCGAGAGCGGGCAGCTTCTTACTTTTTGTGAAAGGAAGCCATACTTGTCTCGCACACCAGTGAGTGGACGTCACTGAACAATGTTAGTTTCGAATCTTCTATCTATACACTCAATGTGATGGTTATTGTTCGCATTGAAATATTTCTTGCAACTCTGCCCTGCTTAGCAAAATATTATAGCGAAGACTGGATTTTGGCCGCTCCATTGCTGTTTGTGTAAGGGATGAGTTCCACCATGCAACCTGATGTTATGTAGCGTGACTAGTAATGGCCGCTGAAGCCATGTGGCCTACGTACTATAGTAGAATAATCTAGACATAGAAGGGCAGTGAAGGCTACAAACCTCATACATTGACATATTTCAATGATTCAATACGACAACGCGAGGGAGAAAGCGAGAAATGAAGGGAGAGCGTGAAGCACGTGTTTCAATCAGACGAGAATGTCCAAATGATGTAGTCTTCCAGTCCTATTTCGTTGGTAAACTCTTCTCAGCATGAAGTTCATCCCCCGCTTCATATCAAGTTGATACCAATATGCTTGCTACGAAGGTAGTCAGAGCACATACACATCCGGACCTCGTCTTTTCCGGTCGAGCTGCTCTTCTCCCCAATGCCCGAGTCTTTTTTCTTCCAAGGCCGCACCCAGTACTTCGAAAGCCAGAAGCTTGCCTCGTTCAAGCTGATACGCCGGTGATATGCCCCGTATCCGTACAATTGAAGGCAGAGGAGGTAATGGACATCGTGGAAGGATATGGCTATCCTGAACGAACAGCGACAGGAGAGTGGCTCGGCCGATCATCTTTCATGCCACGCGTACAGACGCATATCACGAACAACAGAACAATTCCTCTGGTCCTACCTGCATTCCCAATGAAAAGCAACAACCGCATGGATAAGGTTTTAGGCGCATTGCCAGATCTTGGGGAAGAGCTTGGTTTGGCGAGGTTGGCAAATCTATGTCGGGATATCAAGGCTGTGTATCCGCCTGGTGCGGTTGTGATCATTGCCACTGACGGAATTTGCTATAATGGTATGATGATGCCTCTCGTCTACGGAGATGGCTAACCCGAGACTCAGATTTAACTGGGAACTCCGATGACGAAGTCTGGGAATATGGAAATCGACTACGGGAGATTGCCATTGAAAAGGGATACGGCTGTATCCAATTCAATCGGATCATGAATATACTTGGTCTCTATTACCGCGAGAAGATCTCTAAATCAGAATATATGAAGCTTTGTGCTGTATCACGAGCAGATCTTCATCGTCGGTATGGGAGACCAGGATTTGATGTTGATGGGTTTTTGAAGAGCAACGAGGACTATCTTCGAACATATAACGGTAGGCGCTTTCTTATAACACAATTATACCACTAACTTGCTACAGGATATGACAAGTTCATGAAGATCGATCTCAAATTTAGTCCGGTGACCGGAGACTGTCCCGGACCAAAACAATATAAGAAGAGGATTAAGATCATAGCAAAGGCTATGATTGTTCGTGGAGTGGTACGTTTTCTAAGGATCGGAAAAGGCTCAATCACTCACATATAAACAGGAATATGCAGAGCTATTACGCCAGGTCTACCCAGATGCATTACGCCTCTCTATCCATCCCTCATCGGGACAGACGAAGCTATCTTGTCCCTTGATCCCACAGGTAGATTCATTCTCCATGAGTCCCTGGCACTGCAGTGTTGCAGTAAAAACGGACGGTACATTCACTACAGCCCACAAATCCTCACACCGGCCGAGCTTTGACCTTGTGGAGCGGAATGGGCAGCCATATTTCTTCCGAGAAAGGTCGCCGCTGTTCAGATGGAATGCTGAAGTAGATTTTGAGCACCGATATGGACAGAGCCTGGTGATTCGACAAAAGGATCCGAATGCGCAGCTCTCTGACTCGGACCTGGACAAGTTGGCATGTCTAGCTATCAAACATAAAATTGTGAAGTTCGTCTATATTTGATACCCTGTTTGAAGATGGAATCTTTCGGTCAACGTTAACTATCAATTTCGGTCATCCGCCTCAATGATTTGAACTTCCATAGATACTTCTCTGCCAGAATGAACATGACATTAATTGAAACCGAGCCATATACTGTCATTGAGAATCACAGGGTAACATCAATAACGAGCGAAACATGCAGTCAATAGCTCCATCAGTAGTTGAAAATGATAGATTCTCAACCTGAAAGGTCTGCAGCCACCAAGTGATGAAAACAAACAAGCCTGCACTACTTAAATCTACAATGGAAGGGTCAAATAAGAAAAGGAGATTCACTCATCCCATTCAGTCTCATATCTAGGAAGACCACCATACACACGACAATTCCATACATCTGTACAAAATCACAAAATAAACACAAGCAAAACACAATGTTACAACAGAGAGACAGGAAGGAATCGAGAGAGATAAAGAGAGAGCGGAAATGGGGGCGAAAGAGAGCAACCAAATGCTTCAAGGGAACCCAGCCACCCAAAACCAGAATTAATGTGCAAGTCCAAAGACAAAATGACCAATAAATCGTAAGAGCTTCCAAATAGAGACATGAGCCAAAGGTTGAGAGAAAATCTTCATCTCATATTCAATTGTCACCGTGCCTTTGCAAAGGGAAAAAAGGAAAAAAAGGTATTTGGTGAACATAAGGGGGAATAATTCAAGAAATAAAAAAAGCGACACACGCAGCGACGACCAATCGTCGCTCGGAGTATCATGTGAAGAAGGAAAATGGCCGATCAAAAATTGCACAGAAAGAAGATATACGTGATATGTGACATGTAAATCTGACAATGAAAAGGAAGTTTTGTGCAGTCTCTCGGGTCCCTGCCTCTATCGGAGAGGAGGCGAGCATAAGCGCATCGGAAGGAGCAGTTTCCCGGAAGGATATAGTGTCTTCAAAGGTCTGATGCCCTGTATGAGTTTGTCGTCGCAGGTCCAAAAGGGAGGGGTGTGATGGGAGAGGCGGTCTATACGCTGAATTGTCGAAACACGTCTAGTTCCATCCCAAAGAGTTTTCGGCCATGACAGGGGCACTGATCATCTGAGACCGAGCAGTGCCACGGCTGTTCTGGCTGGGGGAAGTGCGGCCACCGGCAGCGAAAACGGAGCCGGCTGCGGAGCCACCCTGGCTCATCTGCTCGACAGTCGAGCTAGAGCGCTGGTGCAGCTGCTTTCTCTTGCGGTAACGACGAGCAACCCAGAACATACCGGCACCGTAAGCGGCGGCACCGGCTACGACGCCGACACCAATGCCAACGGAGCTAGCCTTGGTCTTGGAGCTGCTGGCGGAGCCATCGCCGTTGTTGCTGCCACCGTCGGTGCCATCATTGTTGCCGTTGTCGGTGTTTCCAGTAGACGAGTCGCTACCACCGGTAGGGTAGTTGCCAGAGAATTCCAGAGGAATCGTGGGGTCAACCATGGTCATCAACGACTGGATAGATTCACTAGCCTGGTTGTAGAGAGCAGAGTTAGGGTTGACCTTCAGGGCTCTCAGAGCCTCGACCTTATCGCGGGGGAAATAGAAGATGGCAAGGGTGGCGTTGTAACCAGTAGCTTGCCAGTTGTAATAAGGTTCGAGCGCGAACATGACGGGATAGTCCTTGGCGGAGAGAGTGGGTAAAGCGTTTTCAATGGCCTGCGGGGTGTAATTGAAGATCTGGGACGACGACAGAGGAGTTGTTGCCACGAAGGACCATGGCAGCTGGCCGTTGAAACCCAACTGGAGCAGAGTCGAGTCAGACGGAGCCTCGGTAATCTCGTTCGATGGTGTGATAGAACCAGGGAGGGAGGTTGCCTGGGGCTTCTCGGTCTGACCAGAAGCTGTGGTGTGGGTTGTGGCAACGGAAGGCATAATGAGAATGGTTGATGGCATCCAATCGTTTTCGTTGGAGGTGGATGGCAGGAGAGTCTCGGTTGAGGTGGTCTGGGGTTCCACTGCGGTCTTGGTCGTGCTCGCCTCGCTCGTCTGAGGAAGGGGAGTGGAGACAGGGTGAGAAGTGGGCGTCGGAACCTGCGGAGTCTCGTGAGAGCCACTACCAGCGGCAGAGGCAGTAGCGGACCCGGAGCCAGACTCCGCACCCGGCGAGTGCGGAACGGGAACCGATCCAATGGAGTTGGTCGGGGTTGGGACACCACCACTGGTGGTGCCACTGATTCCAGGAATGAGAGCAGACGACTTGGACGGCAAAAGACTGCCGGCGGGCATCGACACAGTCGGGATCAAGGCAGTGCTACCGGTTCCTGTGGGGGTGATACCAAGCAGAGTATCCACGCCGGACACAAGTCCACCAAGAAGATCGCCAGAGGTAGGGGTGGCCGAGGCCGAGACCGAGGTAGTGGCAGAGGCTGGGACGCTGACTGGGATTGTAGGCAGTACGCTAGAGTCGGATGCAGTAGCAATGGTGCTGTTTCCAGAAGAGTTGTCACCCAGTAACATACCAAGGAGGTCGGTTCCTGAGCTTGTTGTAGAGCTTTCCTTGGGGCTGACGGCACTGGAGGTCGCAGAAGCGAGGTTGCTGGTCGAGCCACCCAGGCCAAGGTCGTCGCCAAGGGAAGACAGACCGGAGCCTACTACGCCGAGAAGACCCTCAGAAGCGGAAACAGGCGTGCTAGATGCCTTGGCAGCAGACGAATCGGCGAGGGTGGCCGGCGTCGAGGTTACAGAAGCAGAAGCAGAGCTGCTAGTTGAACCACCCAGGCCAAGGTCGTCCCCAAGGGAAGACAGACCAGAGCCTACTACACCGAGGAGGCCGCCGTTGGACGAAGACCCAGCCGTGGTAGAGGCTGTCGTAGAGGGGGTGGTAGAGGCCTGGGCCGATGAACCGGCGGTGGAAGCCGGAGTTGCAGATGCGGAACTGCTAATTGATTCACCCAGGCCAAGGTCATCCCCGAGAGAAGACAGACCAGAGCCTACTACGCCGAGGAGGCCGCCGTTAGAGGAAGACGCAGCCGCGGTAGAGGCTGTGGTGGAGGCCTTGGCAACCGAGGAGTCGGTAGCAGGCTGCTGCTGGCTCGTGGTGTCAGCATCAGTGGAGGGAACCTCGGAGTTCTTCTGGACGCTGTTATCCGTGCTTGATCCATCGGTTGTTTTGGTGGTTGTGGTTGTAGTCGCAGTCGGCTCACCACCAATGGTCGTGGTACCGGTAATACGGTGGGTGATCTCAGGGTTCTTGGGGTCGACAGAGATGGTCACAACAACGACTTCCTCTCCCTTCTGGCTCTGAGCCGCGGCAGGGGTGGACGAGGGCTCCGGTGTAGGAGTGATCCCGGACTGGGAGGAAGAACCTTGGGTCACAAGGTTTTCAAACACGTTGTCGATGAGCGAACCTGGGTCGGGGTTGAAGTTACGGTTGTTGCGAATCGTTCGCTTCACCTCGCGAGGGAAGTACCAACGCGGCCGTTCCACGTGCGCGTCGGCAGCATCCTGGGCAACCACCACATCAAGGCCTCCAACAGCGATGAAAGCCACGAGAAGAGAAATGGCGTCGGGACGCATGTTGTATAAATATGCACGTGCTAACACAGAGCGCGTCCACTGTCAGTGCAAGTGAATATTCAATGAATACCGTCAGTCAACACCTCGTGAAAGATCAGGGGGTGTGACAAGAGGTATATGGTCTAAAAATCTTGAATTTCCAACACGACCGAACCTCACGGTGATATGAGACGTGGGAATCGATGCCTAGGCAACCAGCTAAGACAAGTGTATAAAACGAATGGAAGGGGCGATATAATCGACCCGGGGGCGAAAAGCGAGTGTGGGCTTGAAGAAGCAGTAAGGAGCGAACAGAGGACCTTAAGGTAGAACAGGGCGATCAAAGGGAAAAACGGCGAGCGACCGATGCAAGGGGGAGCGGATTGGCTCCAGGTCTCGAAGCCAGAGCTAAGCAACAAAAGGGGGTAAAGAAAGGAGTGAATAAGGTGAATGAAGTCGAGAGAAGAAGGATCTCATTAGGGGGGGAAGAGAATGGGGGGAAGGGTAATTTACGGGAAATTGTGTATTGGCGCTTTGTGTCAGGTACAATTCTTATAAACACGCACCTTTATCTATAACGTTATCCCCTGTTAGTTACAGTAGTTAGGCTCCCCTGAAGTGAGCTAGTCAACTCAATTAGATTAGGTTAAACTGAAAATTATATATGTTATCCTATATAAAGTATCTTTTGAATCTGTATTCAACCTACTCTAATCCGTAGATGTCTAGTTGCGCATACGTAGGTGGATCTGTACCTGAACGTGGCATTAAGTGCGTGGCCTTACTTTACTATTCCCCCGAGAGTACAAGTATTACCTCCGGCTCACGTTACCACTTCCAACGTTAGTGGCTTAGGCCTTGGCCTCTTTTGGCATGATCAACAAGAATCACTTCGCTAAGAGTTGGCCCCCATGTTATCATCGAATTCTTCCTCGACTCAAAATTGGAACATGTTACTCTGTAAGCGTTCACGTTAACTTAGTAAACGTGAAGTTGTGTAAGTCAACGTAAGTTACTACTAACGTTAACGTTAAGTTACTCCGTACATGTACAATCCTTCAATTCCCATCCATTTCAGATAGGCAATGATTAAATGCGCCACGTGCGCCGATCGGAATGTAGATACTTATTGCGAGTCGATTTCCCCTCATTTTTGTCGTCATTTTGAGATGCTCAGCATTCCTGGCGTGTTTGAGATTCTGTCCACTGCCAACTAACTTACTTCATCCTTCGATTACAGTAAATGGTGGCTGCTGCATGTCTGTACTCAATTCGAGCCTTCGACGCAGGAACAAAGAATCGAAAGTCAAAAGCTTATGTGAGCCCTTAAATATAGGCTCACCCACATTCCAAGGTTCCTTTGTTGGATTTCACAGTTCCAGTCACGAACTTCTTCAGCCTGTTCCTTTCTAGCCATGGACCCTATACTTGATATTTCCTGAACGGGGAAATTCATCATCTGTACCAAGGGCCGCCAAGGACGCTAGTCCTGTTCCTGAACACTAAAGCTCTGGGCTCCACCAGGCCACCCGTGGTAATAACTGGTACTGATTGAAATCCTGCTTACATTAATTACAAGGAGCCTTGGCTGGACACAGTGTAATATTTCCAAGTACAGTGTAAAATATACTATCGTCATGTGACTGGACTCACACATCAAATTTCTGCGAACATTCTGGCCAGACCAGGCATGCGTACGATGACAGTGGAGTGTTCCCCCCACGTCATGTCTCAAAGTCTAGAACTCCGGTTGTTGCCACTCTTCAGTCCAGAACACTCAATTTCGACATCCGTTCCCAGCGGGAGGGACTTGACGCAAACACAAGTACGTACCTATGATGATGAGCATCCACATAGAAAATTCTAGAAGGTTATCAGGGCTTACTGGCTTGGGATCCACAAAGAACTGGGTGTAGACTTCATTGACAGCAGGGAAATCAGCCATGTCTGTCAGGAAGATGTTGACTTTGATGGCATTATGAAGGCTCGATCCTCCGGCCTCAAGGACGGCATTGAGGTTGCGCAAGATTTGTCGCTGTGCCTGTCAGTGCAATCACATATGGTACCCAAGTCGTGTTGACTTACCGTTCGGTCCTGGATGCTGCCGTCCACCAGCTTACCTGTCGAGTCTGCCCCCACCTGTCCAGAGCAGTAGACCACATCGCCAACTATGAGGCCCTGAGAGAGGAATGGAGGTGGTAGAGGGGCTCTCTCAGTGCGAATAGGAATACGTGTTGCCGACATGGTGGTTGAAGTTGTTGAGTTGACATCCCGCATTCTGCGGGGATTAATAACATTTGCCCCACCCGTTGACACTGACTGTTAAACATGGCCCTATCGGCATTTACTGGAAAAGTACATGCGTTGTCTTTCTTGAGAGGTTTATTAGAAGGTGCAATGGCTGTTGATCTAGCGGGTTTGTGCTGTCTCATCTCCTGATCCAAGTAGGTATATACGTACATCTCAAACAAGCACCAGCAACATTTATTGATCTTTTTCAAATCATAAAGCACCCTTCACCTGGTCCACCAAAGACGATATAAAAAATGGAAAAGAAATGCATTAAAACGTCTGTGAATGTATGTATGAAGGCTAATGCTATAGACACTTGCGCAGTGCACTAGGCTACCTTGGTAGTCCACGGTATACACTTCCTAGTATCCTTGAGATATATTTACAATATACGTATACTCCAAATTCACTGATCCATTGACATGGTATCTAACACCACAAAGTAACAATAACATGTCCAGTTATATCAGGACAGTCATGCAAGGACATTGCGAGTCGAGGAAACAGAGAAAAAGCACCACGGACTCCAACGCGCACTCACATTGATGATTTCACTCATCCTACGCGTGCCTTGACTTTCGATTCTCACAACTTCTTCCCTGAGCAACCAGTGCTTCCATATCTACTGTCTTCGCCGCCACCAACTCGGAAATTCATCCTGGATCTCTTGAACACACGAACGAAGCATCTCCCAAAAACCTCGATAGGCACGGTGCTCCATACTCGACATGGAGGTCCAAGGCGAGCCCAGTATCGCACCTCAGCCTGCCGACCCCAGTACCACACCCGCAGCTCCTGACCCTCACGAAGTCGACGTTCATGGCCTCACAGCCAGGTTCTTTCTCAAAAGACCCATCGAGGACCTGATCCCAGTGCGCTTTCTGATGCAAGCTGAGCAACACCGTAAGTTTGCCTGTTTCTCCAGTGGATGTATCCCTCTCAGTCCACTCCCTGTTAGCCTGGCTGCTTTTTGTTGATCATGGACCGGCATCTGAGCTCCCACGAGCACGTGTTGCCTGTTCATCGACAGCTACATTACTTGCACGGCCTACAAACCATTGCCTATCACACATCGTTGATCAAATGAGTGTCATTTGTGCAACAAGCTGGCTAATGCTTATGTTTACAGCTGTCACCCACCGCAACGCCTGGATTTTTCGGGATGGCACCCAAGATGGACGAGATGTCGACCTGGATGAGTGGTCACCAGTCGATATGCGCTACCGTGGAGTGTTCAAGTCCCTTGCAAAGGTCCCACAATTTACCAAAGGGCTGTGGGAAGGCGGATGTGAGTTGTTCGACTATGATGTGGGCACCAAAAACCCCAGGGTGCAAGCCCATGTCATCTATGCGCTTCTGCATGAGATCGGTGATATGTTGAATATCTCACGACCGACTTGTAAGGAGGACGTAATCTTTTACGCAAAGTGAGTCGATATCATTTCGCCCTCTGGCCCATGGCACTGTTACGGTGACAACCGCGTCATGCCACATCATCGCTGACTGTACTTTTCACCAGACCGCGTCTTGTTTCCCGGCCACTTGAATACTGGACAGGTTATCGGGAGAAGTACAAAGATGGACCACGTGCTTCAGGCTTTCTATCACTCGATTTCCATCCCCAACAGGACTTTTCGGTTTCTTTGTATCCAGTTTCAACGGTAATTCGCTACGATTTGTCTTCAGCACAATATACTGACAAAAGCAGACCACAGAAGCTGAAACTTTCAGCTCCTGCCTTCGAGAAAAGTTCAAGCTCATTCTTGGCCAGCTTCTTTTACACCTGCGACGTCTCCGCGCCCCGGGAGATAAGATTCCAGACCAGGAAGCTTTCTTACTAGGCCTACATGGCTCAAAGCTGCATATCTTGCGAGCATTCTTCCCAGGCCAAAAGACCTCAAGTATTTGGTGCCAGCGCGAGCTCCCAATGCCCGAGATTTCCATATCTGGCCTCACAATCCAAGACAGAACACCCAGTCCTCCGGCCTCGTACACATCAGATACGAATGATGGACAGGCGTACCATATTGAACACACTGCAGAAGATCACCCAGAACACGCGAGCAACACTACAGGAAATACCAACGGTCGACGATCCCAGAGCAACCGCTTCTATTCTGCTGAGAACATCGAGCGAATCCGCCAACACCTGGAAGAAGCCAAGCTCAGCACCTTAGACAACGAGCTCGAGACCCGCACATTCCGCGTCCTCGGAACTCGCGAATATGACCTCTGGTACCCAGAAGATTTCAAAGCAGCAGTTCACGCCCTTGCTGCATTAGAGCTCTACCTATTCAGCGGCGAAGCCCGTTGCGGTGGCCTACAAGAAATCTTTGAATGGAACCCCTATGACCCGTACGATGGTCGCAGTGAAGACAATTGGCCAGTGCAAAGCGATGCAGAGCGTACTGCCCGGCTGGAGACCGACATACAGCTTGAGCAGCAAATGTTTGCTGAACAGGAGGAAGACCTCCGGCGCGAGGAGGTTATTCGCATCGCAGATGATCGGGAGGCTTTCCGGCTGAGTGAAGACCTGAGGAGTTCTGGAGGGGATCGTATTGGTAGTCTGAGTGAGTCAGATGCAAACAGCAACTGCTGGGAGTGGATCTGGCCAGATGATGCGGATGTCGGAGAGATGAAGGAGATTAATGCTGATACGGACGATGAGATGATCATTGGGCAATTAGATCCTGTCTTCAACCTGTAACGTTTGTCTGTGGTCAGACAGAGGTAAAAATGTGTGAAGGGCGTTGAATAATCCTAACTTGCGAGCCTTAATGTGATACAATCTGTGAGAGTTGAACTGTGTTGGCCTTGTGCACGATATCTCGGGAACCAACGAGAAAGAATTGAAATAGCACATTAACGGAATCACTACTAACTTGATTGAGGCTACTGATGGATGTCTTTGCTTCGTTCATTGTAAACCCAGAATCAGCAAAGCAGGAAAACCAATTGACAAGAGCGGAATAGCTCGAAATGCCCCAAAGCATAAGATCCAAATGGGCTCAGATGTATCTAATTTTTCATACTATGATGTGTCCCACGATATGATGATGTATGTAAATTGTTAGCCATCCGCAGTTGAGATTCAATCCCAACGACGCCGGTCCGACTCGAACACAGTAAACCCATCAATTCCACGGCCGTCCTTTCCACCGGTGCGGAAGAATTCCGTCACGACTCCGATAGCATAGCAAGTTGCTACAGTAATCGTGGCTCCAAAGAGCATTCTGCGGCCTGCTTTGCGAAAGAACGAGTTAGGCTTTGTTGGCTTTTCGTCTTCATGGCCCGATGCTGAGGATGGCTAGGTGGATGTGTTAGGAAACCACCAGAATAGACAATTTACTGTCTGCTCACCTTGAATGAGTTGGAGGACTCGTGATGCAATGCTTTTGGTTCGGCCGGGCTATTGCTCAAACAATGAGGATCCTCATGCCCTGTCTGGTGTGTGTGGTTTAGAGCATCCGGGCGTGAAGCATTATGAATCTTTCGGAAAACAAGTATGTCGCCTCCCCCGGTTGCAATTTCGTATCCATTTTGCTGCATCTTGTCAAAGTAAGGTAGGAATTTGGCGGCGTTGTGGAGTCGGAATAGAATTTCACTTGATTTAACACTCTCGTTGATGCCAAAGAACGAGCTTGCTTGAGCTGTTGTTACTTGGGATGTTGACGCATCGTAAGCAAGGATATGGAATTCAGGAGAGAGGTGACGAGATGGTGTTTGCTTCTCATTCTCAGTGGCCAGCTTTTGTTGTTGGATATAAAAGTCACCTATATGGTCCTCGGAAGCATCAAAATCTAACGAGCGTGTCTGTTGTGTCTTTGTCTCCTCAGAAGCGTGTTGAGCACGAATGTCGCTGGCTTGCGATGTACCCAGGTTTTCAGCCTTGAAAGAGCTCTTGGCACTGGCCACGTCGGAAACCAACCTCGCTTCCAATTCATTTCCAGGTGCACATTCGATGGAGATGTCAGCCTTATTGGAGTTATCCAGCTCGACTGTCGTTGCCGGCTTTAATTGTCCATCGCTGTTTGAGGTTGGGTTGGACATAAATTTGGCTTTTGATTCGTTTTCAGGGGGACAATCAACAGTGGTCTGGGCTCTTGATTCAGAACTGTCCTGACTAGCCAATTCCGACAAAACGGGAGTTTCTACCTCACTACTAGGAGAGCATTCAACGCTTGAGTGAGAGCCTGACTGTCCGGATGAGATGGCTTCCTGGTGGCTAGTGTTGCCAGTGTGAGGATTTGGGCTGGCCAGCTCAGAGGAGAATTTTGCGTCTAGTTCATTTCCTGGTGGGCAGTCGATGGGAACACTCACTGGACCGCTTGGGCGTTGGTTCTCCAACTCGGATGGAATTGTGTCGACCGATTGACTTGCAGGCTCGGAGATAAACTTGGCCTCTAGTTCACTGCCCGGAGAACACTCCACATTGGTGCCAGAGGCCAAGCCAGAATCCGAGTTGAGACGCTTTTTGGGCTCAATGTCTTTGAATGTTTCCAGTGGAGCATGCTCTGACTCAATTGATCCGGAAACAAACAACGACTCCAATTCATTATTAGGGGATCGATCGATGCTAACATCGGGTTTTTTGGTAGTCTCACGAAGTACCTGTGTCCTGATATTTGCATCCCGGGAAGCGACAGTGTTGGATTGGAAGAATGCGTCCAGCTCGCTGCCTGGTGGACATTCAACAATCGCGTGTGAGCCCAGCGGAGCTTCGGTATGCAGCTTGGAGATTCCAGGCTGGAACTGTCCATCCTCAAGTAAGTTCGGGTTAGAGACAAACTTTGCATCAACTTCACTGCCAGGAGAGCAGTCTACGATTTGATGAGAGCCGGCTTTTGTCTCCTCGTTCTTCGATTCCGATGCAATAGGAGGCATAGGCGCCATCCGCCCACTAATGGGGTCGTACTGAAGTCCCACATGATTTGAGTTGCTTCCTTTTTGCTTCTGTGTTAGCTCCGCGGATCTAGCACGAGTAGGCTTTTTGGTTTTCATAAATGACTGGAGATAGCCATTGAATGAGGTGTCGGATTTGTCAAGCTTGTGAAAAGGTTCCAATCTGCGCCCAAACAAAGCACTGTAAGGGTCTTCCTCAATCTGCTTTCTTAACAGCTCCATATGGTTGTATAGTTGTTCTTGTTCTGAGTCCCGAACGCTCTTTTTTCGGCCAGAGGAGAGGCCAGAGAAACCTGGAAAAGAGCGCCACACTTCCCAGCCCCAAGTTGAATGCTTGGGATTGGGAGTGGGAGATCCGCCATGACGAACTTCTTCCTTTGGTTGCCTGAATAGAGGATGCCGATGGTATTGGTCAATACGCCGTGAAATGCGGTCTGTCTTTTCACCCTGACCGTTGCGTGCACATCGCCACATGCTCCGACTTCGGGAAATATGTGTAGCTACCAATTGTGAGAACGCAGGGCGCATGATTCGGGGGCTGACGCTCTGGTTGATATTGCGGCCGAGGAACTCATGATGGATCACAGATGTTGGAAAGCAATAAGAACGGATAATCTGTAGATACCCCACTAATGGGGGCTGCTTGATGAGGGTCCGGTCGATCGTCTCCACTATGGGGTACAGCAATCTCGGTTGCTTGTGTCACTGTCTGGTAAATGACCATTAAAAACAAAGCGAGTTGGAGCGGAAATAATATGGAGAGGAATGTCAAGAGGCGAAGCAATAAAGAATGAAGCACTTTGGACCGGGGATCCCCAGGTTTACTAATTGACGTCAGAGCTGCCAGTCAGCATTCGCGCGTCACCGCCTCACCACCTTTCTCTACTGCAAAATATAATCCTACATCCTTATAGATGTGCTGTTCATAAAGGGCTCAGTGGGCCAAATTAGGCACAAAAGTGTAAGAACTGCTTCTAGCCTACCCCCATCACCTGGAGGCTCTACAGCATAGCGGAGTTTAAACCGGTATGGACAATAGAATATATACATGTCTACCTAGTGTCGGTCTGACGGGCCTCTGTTTGTCGTTATGGGCACAAAGTCTCCCCCATGAATTCGTTTCATCGTCAATATAATATGTACAGACAACCCCCTTACAACAGCATGGTAAATCCGGGTATGGAACTTGATATATACATTCATTGGTATCATTCCGCTTCAAATGTCAAGCCGAGAGAGATTATCAGAGATCGGGTCAGAGAGGTAGTTGCGCCAGAAGCGTAGGCCCTCAATTCCCTCCTCCCGACAAAGAATCCCACGGTCTTCAGCCATTTCCAGCTCTTCGGCAGCCACTCCGACACTCCACTTGAAACGATGTGCGGCTTCTTGTGCAGTTACGGCCCGACCAAATAGCGACCAATCCCAAGGAACGACATCTTCAGGAGGAATGCGTCGTAGCTCCTCCATCCAGTCCTGAATTTTCTCGATTGTCTTCTCGTCGCTCCAGTCATACCGTTGCACTACAAGAAGGCCACTCTTGAAGCGTCGTAGACGAACAGGCAGTTTTAGCTTCTCCCATAGCTCTGCGGCCTTCTGGAAATCCGAAGGACTGGCCAACTCGACTCCATTACGGGAGCGATTGAAGACCGCCCAGAGATCGATGAGACTCATGATTCCACCTTCGCGCTGCAAGATGCCTTTTCGGTCATCTGTTAGATATTCGGCTAGATCACGCGCGAGTTCTGATAGATAGAGACTTTCTGATCCAGAGCTGAGCATGTCTTTTGTGGTCACCATTCCTAGAGCAGCAGCCGATTCGGATAGTACTGCACTGGTTTCTGCGGAGCCCTCGCTGGAGGTCATGCCTGACTCTTGTGCGAGAGTTTCGGCAAGGGCCACAATCTGCTTGGCAGATGCCATCAAGGCCCCAAGATCCTCGAAGGCATTCCCGATTACCAGCTCGTTCTTTTTCCGAGCCTCCAGTCCACGACGTTCCAGTCCTGCAATACCGACACCGGAAGACCGTGGTGTGGAAGGAACAGGGCTTTCCACAGCAGCGGCAGCAGATGGCAAGCCCGGTGAGAAAGTGGCCTGGGAAGGTGAAGGCACAGGAGGCGCATTTTGAAGAAGCCACTTCCTTTGAACCAAGGCCCCCTTTAGCCTTTCGTGAAATGTTTTCTCGCCCCCTGCGCGGAAAGAAAGTTTGATGCTCTCGCTAACCTCTGTATTTGCGATATGCGACTGCTCAAATAATGGTGCAGGTGAATCTACCCGGTTAACATTAGCGGAATACCCCGCAGACAGTAAAGGGGCTCCGCACATCTCGCATTCGGTGAGAGATGGGTGGTTCACAAAAGTACATCGTGGACAGGACACGGATCCTCCGGGCCCAGGCGACGCCACAGAGCCTGGTTGGGGTATACTATGTGAAATGGCTGGCGATGCAATTAAAGGCATGGGAGAGTCCCGACTAGTCGCAGCACTGATGGCTGCTTTTAGCACGGTTGTAAATGGTGGTTTGATTCCACATGCTAGACATGGGGGCAAATGTGTAGCAGCGCTCGCGGTTGCCGGGTCGAAGTTGGACGGAACTGGATTGGAGAATGAGCAAATCGGACAAATCCAAGTGGCATTGATCGATTTAGGACACAAAGAACCCTGTGGAACATTTGATTGTGGGAGAGTCGACAGTGATTGTGTCGAATGAAGGGCTGATTGTTGGAATACAGCGGGGCTGGCAGTTGCACTCCTCGACTTATCAGCCTTGTTCTTCTGCGGTTTGGGGTATATGGTAATCTTTGGAGAAGACTTCAAGAAGCTAGCCTAGACATCAGGAATATGTCAGCGATTGAAGAGTCGAAGCTTGAGTACAGCTTATCCCGTACCTGATACTCCACTCGATCAATTTCCTTAAGGTCGATAGCCACCGAATACTTCCGCGGATCATCGGTAGCAACATAGCACACTCTGTGAGATGTGAGATAGGCATGTCCGTTCTGGTAGTTCTGAATCTTGTATTTCCTTCTCCAATTAGCACCCCGCATCAACATCACGATGAGCTACGTACCCTTCATAGAGCCCCACTGCATCCTGGACAAAGAGGAGGGTCTCATCAGGTAATAGCAAAGGCCTGAGCGCAGTGGTCAGGTCCAGCGCCTTGAAGAACATCTAGGACCAGTTTGAGGAGATCCCCATGGAGAGAATGGAGAGAAGAAGTAGTTATGGCTGGAGATCCGATAAGGCGATAAGTGGACATGCGGAGAAACAAATATCCGAGAAGTAAGCGAGTACCCTCACCGTCGAGTGCACTTCATCAACTGGAGACTTTCATCTCAATAATATCGTTCTTTCATCTCAGATTCCCGTACCATCGACGGTGTAGGAAAATATCCATCCATTCCTCGAGTCCAACCCCCTCGTAGCTCATTTCTCATTTCTTTTGCCTATCATCTCGTTCACTCCCTTGCCCTTTTCCTACCTTTTGCATCTTTCTTTCTTCAAGTCCCGGAATGAACTCCAGTGCCCCACCTTGGCGTTCTACAGCCTCTGCCCCGATGCCTAGACCCTCTGCATTTCCTACTACTGGTAAGCCCAAACGACCCGATCCGAGACGAGTCCTTTTGGCAAGACGCTCACATTTTCTTAGCGACACCTGCCTATACTCCAGTTCAAGCACGTCGTAGCCTTGCCCATAATAAAGCCAACACCACAGCCAACGGATATCCTCCCTCCCAGCCCAATATGTCGGCACCGGATGCAGACGCTCGCAAGCGAGTGGAATTTCCGCCACCCGTTCGCTCCTATGTGCAACGGTGTTTCGCCCCCGAGAATCAAATTTCCAGCGTGACCATTCCTGAAATGCAGGAGAAATTGAAGATTGTGATCACCGAGGCAGCCGAGAACGGGAAGCTCGAAAAGATCGATTGGGAGCGGCTCCCCTTGCCACAGGTCATGGTACAGAATGAACGCAATAAGATTCTGGCAAACCCTGCTTCCTCGAACTGGGCGTCTCTATCATCTTCACCCGGAGATGCCGCACGCAAGAGGAAGTCGACGGACCCACACCAGCTACAGAATGGATCTCCGCCATGGAGAAAAGCTAACAACCGTTTTGAAGACCGCGTTACTCACCCTACTACAGACAAAAAACAGAAAATGACATTGGACCAGTCTAGTAAGTCCAAAGCTAATTTGGAAATGCGGAGGAGGCGTTTTGAGGGACTGAACATCAACGGAAGCTCACCTTCCTCACCCACCGAATCACCGGGAACCAGATCCGACGCCGACCAAGGACCCGTTGTCGGACGATGCCAAACCCTGGAGAAGAACTACTTCAGATTGACTTCTGCTCCCAACCCAGACACTGTTCGTCCCCTATCAGTGCTGAAGAACGCCCTGGATCTCTTGAAGAAAAAATGGAAGCACGATGGCAACTACGGTTACATCTGCGATCAGTTCAAGTCCCTACGCCAGGATCTAACGGTCCAACACATTCGCAATGAGTTCACCGTCTCTGTCTACGAAATCCATGCGCGCATCGCCTTGGAGAAAGGGGATCTTGGTGAGTACAACCAGTGCCAAACCCAGCTACGAGTGCTGTATGCACAGCAGCTGGGAGGACACCCGACAGAGTTCAAGGCGTATCGTATCCTCTATTTCATTTACACCCGGAACTGGACGGCCATGAACGATGCACTAGCCGATGTCACAGCAGAAGATAAGAAGGACCTGGCTGTCAAGCATGCTCTAGATGTCCGTTCTGCCCTTGCGCTCGGGAACTATCATCGCTTCTTCCAGCTTTATCTTGACACGCCGAATATGGGAGCCTACCTCATGGACATGTTTGTCGATCGTGAGCGCCTGAGTGCTCTATGTGCCATTTGTAGAGCGTAAGTGGTTCTACTTCGCTATTTTGTCTGAACGTTCTAACTCTTCGCAGGTACAAACCCGATGTGAACATTCGGTTTATCACCGAAGAACTTGGATTTGAATCCGATGAGCAGACCGCCCATTTCGTTCTCAACAATGCCTCTGCGGAGCTATTGGAAGAGAAGAACGGCGAAGTGCGGCTGTTGACAAGCAAAGCAGGCTTGCTGTTCGAAACGGCCAAGGCAGATGCGTATCGCGTCGTCGATATCAAGGGTCAGATCTAACTCAGTTCTCATGATGGAATTACGCCAAAGCCCGTAACCCATTGGATGCCGGACTATTTTTTTTCTTCTCAGCAACAGGAGTTCCTCTCGGATGCGCACCTCTTCATTTGGCCTTTTCCTGGGGCCTTGCATTTTCAGTTGCCTTCCAATCTTTGCCTCAAGCACCCCGGATCTCAACTAGTCTTACCACTACTAGACTATGATACTAATACCCACTGGCGTCTGTTGGAGTTTTCCATTTCTTTGTTTGCGACAGTCAACACTCGAGAGACATGTGCATTGACCAGAGTAAATACGAGTCCCATCTCTCCAGTACATTTTGCAAATGCATTCCTATACTACCTGTTCCATTTGTTCCATTGGCCTTCTATGAAGCTTCTATGGAACTTTGCCACGTGGGGCCCAAGGCCATGTCAGAGTTGGGTGGTACCAAATAGGGCCATGTAAGGTGCGACAATCATGTATACTGTTGACCAACTTTGAGCCCGTATGTGGAGAATATTCTGGCGATTTATATTGCAACCATGGTCTTCGGGTGTGATCCTCATGTAGGTCATGATCGACACTTTTTTTCCTTCAAGGCGTGTACAGTGCACAGTACACAGTACACATGGTAATTAAATACTGCATAATTTATCTTGTAATTTCACTCTCAACCCCTACATTCTACACATTCTAGGCGCCCTTTGTCGGTTCACAAAGCGATCTAAACGGGCTTTTGAGGGAAGGAGGGGGAGACGTCAGATCCGCGGTACAGACACAGCTGGACCACGGGGCTGAAGTGGAGAGGCAAGGGCGTTTTTCCTTTTTCTTCTTTTCTTCTACTCCGGAATTAAACTTGAAAGGTGTAACGTACCCTGATTCGATTCTGTGTAAGGTTGTATTCCCGTGGTGTGATTGATTACCGTTAGCCGCCCATTGTCTGCCCAACCGTAATCCCGCAGACACTCTACAGGCCAAATATAGGCTGTCGTCATATCTCTCAAAGACTACCTAGGTACCTCTACCCCTGGGGATTAAAGAAAAAGCGGGCCCCTGGTTAGAACCGCAATACAGAGAGAGGCAGTTTCCTATTCTTCCCTTTCGCATCCCATCCCCAGCATGAAGGTGAGTGAGTCTCCCGAGATATTAACTGGTGTTATATTAATCCGGTTTCGAAATAGGCCATTAGGCGATCCTTGAAAGGGGAGAAAGATCCCAAACACCACCACATCTCTATCACCCCCAAATCTGCTATTGCGATTCTGCCTCCTAAGAAAGTGAGTCGAGTTCGAGTCAAACCCTTTGTGGCGGTGGCTGACCGCATGTCTAGGTGATCAAAGCTCTCTACGACTACCAACCGGAGGGAACATCTCCGGAATTGGCGTTCAGCAAGGGAGATTTCTTTCACGTTATCAGCAGGGAGGACGATTCAGATTGGTACGAAGCGTGTAACCCGCTGATCCCCAGTGCTAGGGGGGCTCGTGCCCGTCTCCTTTTTTGAGGTTATCGGCAAAAACGAGAGGGATAGTGGGGGTTCCGCCGACTTGCCCCAGGACCACGACTCAGGTTTCTCCAACCGCACCGATTCCGCCACCACCAAAAACGGCGCGTTCAGAATGTCTGCACTCAAAGGTCAGGGCGCTATGGTCTATGGCATTGTTCAGTATGACTTTCAGGCTGAGCGGCCCGATGAATTGGATGCGAAGGCCGGCGAGGCCATTATTGTCATCGCCCAGTCCAACCCGGAATGGTTCGTCGCCAAACCCATTGGTCGCCTTGGTGGCCCGGGGCTCATCCCCGTCTCTTTCATCGAATTGCGCGACATGCAGAGCGGTCAGGCTGTGACCGATCCACTGGACGCGGTGCGACGCGCCGGGGTCCCCAAGGTCGAGGAATGGAAGAAAATGACGGCGGAGTATAAAAACAGCAGTATCACTCTAGGCAAGATTGAGTCCGGCCACGGTGGCAGCATGATGGGTGTCACCTCGGGCATGGACAAAATGTCCATGGGCCACCAGAGCCATCTGAGTCAAAACGGCAACAACTATGTATGTTGCAGCATCAATCAGTCGCGTTTTTCCCTTTCTTTCCTTTGCTAATGCCTGAATAGGAATACCACCAGCGCAACGCCAGCAAGGGAACTATCTCGCAGGCGCCGATGCCGCAACAACAAGGCTACCCCCTCCTAGTCCCCGTCTCCGCCTATATTCCCCGCTACTGTTTCGACAACGACAAATACTGGTATATCATCGAGGCAAAGATGGAGGATGGACGCTGCTGGGAGCTGTCGCGTTACTACCACGACTTCTATGACTTCCAGATTGCTCTATTGACTCAATTTGAAGATGAAGCCGGTAACCGTGGTCGTGCACGAACTCTACCATTCATGCCTGGCCCTGTCACTCATGTGACCGATGCCATCTCCAACGGCCGCCGACAGAACCTCGACGAATATATCAAGAAACTCCTGTCTATGCCCCCGCATATCTCCCGCTGCCCACTTGTCCGAGAACTCTTTGCACCCCGTGAAGGGGACTTTGAGATTGATCCTAGTGCTTTCGGAGAGGATGCCCGGTACTCCGGTGGATCCCAACAATCTGCTGGCGTGGATGCCTCGCAAAGTGTGTCGCGCCAGTCTTCGCAGCAGCAAATCAATACACCCACGGATCGCGCATCTCAGCAGCGCGCGCAAGCCCCTGCAGCCTACGCTAATGGTGGCCAACCACCCATGAACCGACAACCAAGCTCCCTCACTCAAGCCTCTGGCGCATCAAGCAACAGCGCCATGAAGGTCAAGGTGTTCTTCCAGGATGACTTGATTGCCATTCGAATTCCAGCTGGTGTGAGCATGCAACATCTCAAGGACAAGCTGTCTGATCGGTTGAAGATCCAGGAAGATATCATTGTGCAGTACCGCGATGAATCTACCGGCTCATACGTTGACCTTCACACGGATCAAGACCTGGAAAGCGCCATGCAGCGGAACACCAAGCTGACTCTCTTCGTCAGCATCGCATAAAAAGCAAGTCGGTTCTTTCCGGTGTTGCGGTCAACGATAGACTTATTGGTTCCACCGGGGTGTTTTCGCCGGTAAATGTTTGAAATGACTAGGGTGCATCGGCGTTTTTTGATATGCGTGGTTTGTTTACTTGTTTTATCTCTGACTGGTTAGTATTCCTTGAGCGATTTTACTTGGTCCACGAGGACGTGATCGCAATGTTACGAATCTGATGCGAGATGTACGGCATGGTTTCCTTTTTATCTTTCCGATCTCTCTTGGTTTTCATTGTCTGTTAACTATGTTCACTACGCGCGTTGTGGGTTCTGCTCTCTGTTCAATCTTCTTCTGTTCTTTTTATCTGAGCTTTGGTTTCGCATTTGATCTATATCCTCTGTTGTTTACGGATCGTACCCCGGTCTGTCTGCTTCTGCGTGTACATATGTCTTTCTGCTCATGCATATACTGTGATGCTATATTTAGCCTTACTTTAGCACTGCAGTGATACTCCACAGCCCCTACTTTACCAACATAACTGATGATATCAATTGTCAAAGATCGCAACGCTAATCAATCACGTGACTCGGCCCGAGTTCCGGCCGTCTCTTTTTCGACAGACACGGAGAACACTGCGGGTTGTCTGCTAGAGTTTCAGATTCTCATTTCAGTAGTCACTGGGTTATCTGTACAGCTGTGATCGAGTACCCTGGTGCTTCGATCCTGTCGCCACGTGTGTACGAACCGCCGCTGCCCGGAAGAAAACAATCCCATCTTACAATACCTCGGTTAACGCCTTCGCAGCGCAACTCTCCGCGATAGAGCCCGACCCTAACCTCGTCCCAAAAAGTCCGGCAGTCATACCAAAAATAGCGCTAATGAGCCGACCATCAGCAAAGCTTTGCGCAGAATGCTTCCCAGGCGCGCTCTGGGCTCCACGGGGTGTGCGCCCTGCAAGGCTGCGGGGTGCGGCTCGTGAGATATCGTATGCCACCGAGCGCATGATACTTGATACCCCGAGGTCGAGTCGCGCTTCGCCAGGTTGTGCATCCTCCGCTCGGATCCCGCGGCCCCAGTTGGCTAGTCGTTCGCAGAAGACGCGCGGTTTGGCTACGGTCACGGATGGAGCTGCGGGCGGCGAAAAGAAGTCTTCGGCGGCGCCAAAGGATGGGCCATTGGGGGAATATAATATACGGGTAGAGGAGGGTCGGTTGCGGGATGATGAGTACCAGAGAGGTGAGTGCACTACACTACACTCTGGAGGCGTGGACCTGAGCTAGGCAAGATATCCAGAATACAAAACTGACATGGACCTATACATGAATAGGCATCATGCAAGGTCTCCAAGGCTTGTTCGAAGCACTGAAGGACTATCACCCACCCAAGGTTGTCCACCCTGATCCCCAGTCCTTGGACCTTCAACAAAAGCCTTCGTTCTTTGGATCGCTTTTTGGCGGTTCCAAAAAGGCCGCGAAATCTACTATCCCTGAGAACCTTCCGAAGGGACTGTACATGTATGGCGATGTTGGGTGCGGCAAGACTATGTTGATGGATCTATTCTTCGATACGCTGCCGCCCAATATCAAAGACAAGACCCGTATCCATTTCCACAACTTCATGCAGGATGTACATAAGCGCATGCATGTGGTGAAGATGCAGTATGGAAATGACTTCGATGCTCTGCCCATGGTTGCGGCCGATATTGCCCAGACCGCGAGCGTGCTTTGCTTCGACGAGTTCCAGTGTACAGATGTTGCTGATGCCATGATCCTGAGAAGGTATGTTCGATCAAATCCGAATCATGGCTTTTACTGACGGATTACAGGCTGCTAGAGATTCTCATGTCCCATGGCATAGTCCTTGTCACCACCTCCAACCGACACCCTGACGATTTGTACAAAAACGGCATCCAGCGAGAGTCCTTTATTCCCTGTATAAACCTTCTCAAGACCCACTTGAATGTTATCAATCTCAATTCTCCAACGGACTACCGGAAGATCCCCCGGCCCCCAGCCGCCGTTTACCATTACCCCCTAGGAGAGGACGCGGAGCGTCACGCCCAGAAATGGTTCGAATTCTTAGGCGATCCCATCAACGACCCCCCTCACGCAGACTCTCAAATTGTATGGGGACGCGAAATCAAGGTGCCCCAGGCCAGTGGCAAGGCTGCCTTGTTCACGTTCCAGCAACTCATCGGCACAGCCACTGGTGCAGCTGACTATCTCGAGCTGGTCCGTCATTACGATGCGTTCATTGTCACGGATGTGCCATCAATGGACCACAAACAACGCGACCTGGCACGACGCTTCATCACCTTTATCGATGCGGTTTATGAAAGCAGGGTATGTACCTTCTTACAGTTGCAGTCTCGCCATATACCAATTATTTACAAAACTACAGGCCAAGCTAGTCCTCACCTCGGAAACAGCCCTTACAAATCTCTTCATGTCAGATTCCGAGGTCAAGAACACCCTCAAGGGTGACGGCAACCACTCCGATCTCTCAGACGCGATGCGTAGCCTGATGGACGATTTGGGCATGTCAGTGGAGACGCTTAAGAAGACATCCATCTTTAGTGGAGATGAGGAGCGATTCGCGTTTGCACGTGCGCTCTCTCGTCTTTCAGAGATGGGTAGTAAGGAATGGGTGGAACGTGGAATGGGACTTGGTATGAGCCCAGAACAGAGCAAAGAGGAGCGCGAGGCATGGCTGAAGACTCGCAGCCATTGGAGTGAAGATAACATGTAAACTTTCTGTTTAACTGAGATGGAGATACCTGTGCATATAGATTTGTGTATATAGCTGGGCATAGTTGAACATTGGAGTTGAGATAAACTTGATATCAGATGACGTCACTTGGGGGACTCCCAAGGTCAACACGGACAGTTCTCCACGTCATCCGCTCTGCAACCGGTATCAGCTACTCATGAGAGCCCTGCTGAACTCCCTGCAATGATCGACCCAGAGCCAAGGGAAGAATGAAGTTGTCCGGATGCTTCCTCCGCGGTGGATTTGCAGAAAGTGACCCACGAATCAAAGACTCGAGATTCGCAATATTTCCTGTCTTATGCTTTCTTGACAGGTTTTTGGCCCGACATTGCGGGAAAAAGACTACCTCGGCATTCAGGATTCAGTCACACTATGGTCATTGGGAGTTGCGGCGGTGACTTTCACTCCACTAGCTCTTGATCGAGAACAATCGACTTGAGTAATGGCGACATGATTTGATTTCTTGCATTAGTGATTGGCTGAATTACATCATTGACGTAGCAATTAGATTTCCTTGGTAACCTGGCTTAATGCTTGCTTCTTTTATAAAGGATGCCAATGGTAAGAAGTATCTCTTTCGTTTCACCTATTCACATACCTCGACCCTTCACCACCTGTTAGGTGTTAATATCAACCATGGCGGCTAATACAAACTCCAAAACTGCCGACGGCAAGTTTGCCGATCTGCAGAAAGACACTGTCGAGCTTAACAGCAAGCAACATATGAGTACCGACTATGGCATCAAGATCACAGACCCAGACCATTGGCTCCGCGTCGTCGATGGAAAGAAGACCGGTCCCTCGCTTCTGGAGGACCAGATCGCCCGTGAAAAGGTAGATCCATGGCCGGATAATCCAAGTCCATACGAACAGTAGCTAACCTTCACTATCAGATCATGCGTTTCGACCACGAACGCATCCCAGAGCGAGTTGTGCACGCCCGCGGGACGGGCGCATTCGGCACGTTCAAACTATACGAAAGTGCAGAGGATGTTACGACTGCCGGTGTCCTGACGGACACTAGCCGGACAACACCGCTATTCCTGCGTTTCTCAACAGTGCAGGGCAGCAAGGGCAGCGCAGACACTGTCCGCGACGTGCGCGGGTTCGCCATCAAAATGTATACTTCCGAAGGCAACTGGGATATTGTCGGCAACAATATCCCCGTGTTCTTTATCCAGGATGCGATCAAGTTCCCTGATGTGATTCACTCTGTGAAGCCTGAGCCACATAATGAGGTGCCGCAGGGTCAGAGTGCTCATAATAATTTCTGGGATTTCCAGTATATGCATTCGGAGGTGACGCACATGAATCAATGGGTGCGTATATCTTATTATCGAGTTTGACTGGATGGTAACTGACGTGGTTTCAGATTATGTCTGATCGAGCTATTCCTCGCTCGTATCGGATGATGCAGGGCTTTGGTGTGAACACCTACTCTCTGGTTAACAAGGAAGGCAAGCGCCATCTTGTCAAGTTCCATTTCACCCCCGAGCTGGGTGTGCACTCACTTGTCTGGGATGAGGCCTTGAAGATCGCTGGTCAAGATCCAGACTTCCACCGCAAGGATCTGATGGACGCCATTGACGCGGGCCAGTTCCCTCGCTGGAAGTTTGGTCTTCAGCTAATCCCCGAGGAAAAGGCCGACGACTTTGAATTCGATCCGCTCGATGCTACCAAAGTGTGGCCCGAGGAATTGGTTCCGATCCGCTACATTGGAGAGATGGAATTGAACCGCAATGTCGACGAGTTCTTCCCCCAGACGGAGCAGGCTGCATTCTGTACCAGTCACATCGTCCCTGGTATTGATTTCTCCGATGACCCACTTCTTCAAGGTCGAAACTTCTCGTACTTTGATACACAGATTTCACGCCTAGGTCCTAACTGGCAGGAACTGCCAATCAATCGTCCAGTCTGTCCGTACATGAATCTGGTTAACCGTGACGGTGCTATGAAGCACCGCATCACCAAGGGCAAAGTCAACTACTGGCCTAACCGCTTTGAAGCCAACCCACCCGCTACTCCCGCTCAAGGTGGCTTTACCAGCTACCCAGAGAAGCAGCAGGGTGCCAAAAAGCGTGATCTGTCAGACAAGTTCGCGGAACACTACAACCAAGCTCAAGTATTCTACAACTCGCTGTCGAAAATTGAAAAGATGCACGTGGCCAAGGCTTTCTCGTTTGAGCTGGACCACTGCGACGATCCAGTGGTTTACAAGCGCATGACTGAGCGCCTTGCAGCAATCAGCTTGGAGCTCGCTCAGACTGTCGCCACCAACGTTGGCGCTGATACCCCGGTCAAGGCCCTGAAAGAAAACAAGGGTCTCAAGGCCAAGGGGTTAAGCCAGATGGAATACATGCCGGAGAAGCCCACCATCGCGACGCGTCGTATTGCTATCCTCATCGCCGACGGCTTCGACTTCAACCAGTACACCACCATGAAAGAAACCCTTCAAGCCCAAGGCGCATTCGTCTTTACCATTGGTGCTCAGCGCCAGGGAGTGACATCGGAGTCTGGACAGAAGGTGGTACCCGATCATTTCTTCACAGGAATGCGGTCCACTCTCTTTGACGCGGTGTTTGTTCCTGGTGGAAAGCATGTTCAGGCGCTATCAAAGAACGGTGTCGCTAAGCACTGGATCTCCGAGTCATTTGCCCACCTTAAGGCCATTGCCGGTGCGAATGATGCTGTGCCATTCATCCAGCGCCAGATTAATCTTCCGGAAGTCGAGGTGGCTCAGAGTGGCACCTCACTCAAGGAGTCATATGGCGTTGTGACGGGACACGGAGACGCGGCTTCCTTGTTGAAGGTTGGTAAGATCGGACCTGATGCCAAGGGTCTGGCTGAGCAGTTTATCTGGCATATCTCAAGGCACAGAAACTGGGCGCGTGAGTTGGATGGACTTTCGGATCAAATTGCCGCCTAGTCTATACTCACAATACTCCATAACGAAGCCTCTGTGACCATGAAATTGTATAATTAAATCGCATTCCATTCAAAGTGTATCGGGTACTTGCATTCAGTTGTAGAACGTTGGGATCTGCATTCCTCCGCAGGAATGAGGGTAGGGCTGGGGAGTCCAGGATTCCCGTCGCGCCTACAACACACTGCCTTAACCGAACGTCCATTTCCTCCCATTTCCCAATTAACATATAGTCCAGTAACAGAAAAGCAATAATACAGATTCCCACCACTAAATGTCTTATACTCACCACGTCAAGTAACAGTCAGGCTCTCCGCATACTTCCCACATACTTCCCTGCGGCCGGAGCTTCAAAAGTTACACGGCCACGGCAACATCGTACCATTGCTTTCTCAAATGAGGCTGGGCAGCATTCGCGCACAAGGCAGTCAATGGTCTGTAAGAACGCCTCTTTTGTAAATAGCTGGGCTCTAGGCTTATTTTCTTTTTCTTGCCTGCATCTGATACCTCACCACATGAGTGGCGCCAACCCGAATTATTTCCCCTTTCCTTTCCAGTTTCGGCTCTTTATTTCTCGCAGGTTGTTTACAATTAGGATGATGGCTTTGCATCTTTCGCGCTCGACGCGCCTGGCGGTTGTCATTGGCATCTCGACTTGCTTCTTTCTCGCCGAGATCTCGTGTCCGTACTGCTTGCTGTGTTTGTTGAGATGTGACCATACTGACCTAGATAGTGGGATTTTATACCCATTCAATTGCCCTAATTGCAGATGCTTTTCACTATGTAAGCTGTCTCACGGGTTGGTACCTTCTAGGATGTTTTGTCTGACGCCTTTTGCAGCTGAACGATCTGGTTAGCTTCATCATTGCACTTGTTGCCTTGAAGGTGTGTGACAGTTGAACATATAAACATCTACCTTCCTCTGATACTCGCTCAAACATGCAGAAATCCGAGTGTACCGATTCACCCAGGGAACTTTCCTTTGGTTGGCAGCGTGCTCAGCTGCTAGGTGCCTTTTTCAATGGTGTTCTTCTTTTTGGGCTGGGTATCAGTATATTCTTACAGTCTATCGAGCGTTTCATTGCTCTGCAACGTGAGTCAATCCAGCCTTTCCTGCAATGCGAGCACTGCTGACCTTACACTCAGATGTCCAAAACCCTAAGATGATGTTCATCGTAGGTTGCGTCGGGTTAGGACTGAACATAATTAGCGCTGTGTTTCTCCATGGTATGTTATATGTCAGGTGTGCCACGTAGATTTGACTGACACAGACTCAGACCATGGGCATGGCCATGGCCATGGTCATGGTCCAGCACCCACGATTGAGGCCCCCCTTCCTCACGTCAGTGAGCAGTGCCAGGATTCTAGCTCTAAGGTATGCATTTCCTACTTAAAGTCAGTCAAGCTAACCTAATACTTGTTAGCATCATGGCCACAAGCATCTGAACTTCGAGAAACTCTGTCATTCTAGCTCAGGCTCAGGTGGTCACGATCATAGCCATGGCCACGGCCATGACCACGGTGATCTTGGAATGATGGGGGTCTTTGTCCACGTCATTGGCGACGCAATAAATAACCTGGGCGTGATGGCTGCTGGTCTAATTATCTGGCTCGCAGCACCCCATCCCGGCCGTTACTATGCCGATCCAGGTGTGAGCATGTTCATTGCAATTCTCATCCTTTTATCCTCAATGCCAATCAGTAAGCTTTGCGCTCTAGAAACGAAACTCTAGACTAACACTATCAAGTGCACCGAGCTGGTTTAATTTTGCTAGAGTGTGTGCCTACAGGTGTTGATATGGGAGATGTGGCCCACGATCTAGAAAGGGTAAACATACATTTCTGACTTGTCGCCAATCTACACTCACACTGACAATTCTCAGATCCCCGGCGTCAATGCAATCCATGAACTCCACATTTGGCGTCTGAATCAGCAAAAGACCCTCGCCTCTGTGCACATTGTTGTTTCTGAGAACTCCGTCGAGGACTTCATGCACATCGCTCGCGTCATTAATGAATGCTTCCACGCTTATGGAATTCACTCAGTCACCCTTCAACCCGAACTCTCAGATGAGACTGATAAGGATATTCCCCGAGATGCCGACAAACCTAGTCCTCGATGCCAGGTTATTTGTGGGACATTGTGTGAGGAACTGACTTGCTGCGGTTAGTTGGTCTAAAAGTATAAAGCAGGTCTGGTGACCACAGCATAGTTACTTTTCGAGCACATGTGTTAGATCCTTAGAGTTAGTATCTTGTACAATAGAATCATGTATTTCGGCTTTGATCCGCTCAGGTAACTAGAATTTATTATTTGCTTGCCAAATCTCACAAAGCCCAAATCGCATCAAGTATCACAATAATTGAATTGAAGCTCAATCCGACTTGCTTTTCGCAAATCTGCCAGTGAATTGGCGGATATTCTTCCCCCAGAAGTAGATCGGCACACCGAGCACGCCCAAAACAGCCGTAAGCGCACCAAAAGTGCCAAACGCGCCATCATATCCATGACTCTCCACAAACGGCATAGTTCCATAGCTCGTGCCAAATGAAATAAACCCCCTAAAAGCACATATAATAATCAACATTGGTCCAGCACGCGCAGGGTAGCTATCAAGCAGGTATGTGATAGCCACGATATTTGCTCCCACGAATGCAAAATAGTATGCCGCAATGGACCACACATACACAAACCAGTGATATTTCTCTGGATGCTCAGCACCCTGTCCATAGAATATGGCTGTGATCGTTCCAACGATTATGGGCAAGATCAAAGGCAAGATCCGGGTTTCTGGTTCGTGTATTCCACCGTTGCGTTCCGCGCGCATTCGAACCAATTTATCCGACCCTGTACCTAATAGAGGGAGGGCAATAATTGCCACGATTATCTGTCCACAGCTAACGTAGCTGGTACTTGTATCGGGCCAGTTGTATGGGGCAGCCGTGAGGATGGTGCCGTATGTTGTTGCCATCGCAATGTTCGTGCCAATTGTGAGACCATTGAGACATAGAGCCCAAAGCACATTTGGGAAAAAGAGTAATTCGCAAGTTTGCTAATGTAGAAGGCAATTAGCTTTGACTCGAAGAGACCTGGTCAGAAAAGAAATGACCTTGTCTTGGGGACGAACCTTGAGTACTTCCACTGCCTTATACCATTCAGGCTCTCCGATCCAAAGTCTCATGTCAGACTTCCAGGTCCGTTTCTCAAAGTTTAAGTAGTCGAGAGGAGGCTTCTCTTTGCATATCATTACTCGTGCTTTTCCAGACTTGCTTGCTTCCAAGTCATCTTCAGATGTACTGGTAGGTTCCTGATATGCGGATAAGTCTCGATTATACTTAGTCTCTGGAAGGAAAAAGAATGCCACAAAGCACTGAGCACCTGCTAGTCCTGCCCCAAGTCCATACCAGCCCTGCGGTGTCAGAGCACCTGCAATAGGGCTAGCAAAGAGGCAATAAATGGTGGACAGGATAACCTGGACTGTCTGCTGCGCCATGAGGAATTTGCTTCGTTCATGTAGGAAGAAGACTTCCTAAATATGGTATTTTCGTCAATCAACAAATATTAGACGCGAATGAGGGTCTGCTTACCTGTGTGATCATAGGAACCAAGGCTTCGCTTTGTCCAGCAGATATTCCAATTACCATGCGAGCCCCCAGATGCCAGTTGTATGATGTAGCTGTAGCACAGAGAACGGCACCAACAACTAGAATCACCGTACAGACCAACAATACTATACGACGACCAACGGCAATAGCAAGAGGCATCCCAACAAGGTTTCCAATTCCCCTGTTGCGGGTATGTGTCAGGACCACGGCTTCTATCACAGATACTAAATCTCTTGGAAGTTTCGAATCTCACATGAAGAGGGTGGGATATGTCATCAGAGCAGAAATGGCTGCGTAGTCTTTTCCAGCAGCAGCATACTCGGGAATATAGAAGGTAATCAAGCCTCCAAACCCGGAAACCATCGACACGCCCAATGTAGAGACTATTTAATTCACAGATTATGTGTCATTTTTTCTGGGAATAGCAAGGGAGCATCAGATTTGCACTCACAGGTAGATAACACAATGAGAATTATGATTTTCTGCCATCGGGACATATTCAATGGATCTATGTTGCCCGTTAGCAGATGAGTATAGCAAGCAATAACCTTGCAGATACCTCGAGGATCAGTTGTGGGAGCCGGAATATAGACAATTGTGTCTTCTGTCAATTTCACCGTGCCCATGACCTCCACTTCCGCTCTGGGGGCTTGCTTAGTTGAAGCATCTTCCACCACCTCTATATACTGATCGGTAGCTTTGTCGGGATCCATCATGAAGAGAGCAATGATATGACTCCAAGAAAGCAAGAAATCTGGTCAGTTAGTGGACAGATCTGCACAAGTCAATATATCCAGCATCGAAACAACGGTGAGCTCTGTAAGTTTATAGCCTTGTCGCATCCCACAGTTTAGGTCAAGTCCGTGTAAAGTCATAGCTATCGGAACCACCCCGACCTGTAATCCCCCACAAAAGCGACTTTGCCAGCCACAAAGTATGGGATAACGCTAGAACATTTGGCGGGCTATCCCACCCCAGTATCTGAGTCTGCCATCTTAGATGCTGTCCACATTTCCCCGCTTCCCCAGTCTTTGTAAGTGCGAAGTGGAGGTTGGTTCGTTGGCTTTCGCGGGAAATGGCCGAGTGGGGGACTTTCGAGTCGCCCACTCCGGATGTAGAGACGTCGAAACTTCCAAGTATGCCGTTAATTTAGGAAAGAATGAGAAATTTGGGCAATTTGTGGCCTAACTAGCTGAATCTAATGCTGTTCCTCAATTATGAAAATAGCCATCGGATTAGTGTTTAAAATATCATATCAAGGACAACATTATCCCCCCACCAATCACACAGTTTGATTGGATGGAAAACATTGCCTGGCTCTCGGAACAATGTCAGTGTTGAGTTATAGACAACCTCCTGCTGAGAGACTAAATGACCTGTAGGCCACTCTATGCGTCACCTCACAAATGACATGTTACGTCTTTTCTGTTCGTTCGGTATCCTTTTTAGGGAAAAGTCTCTTCTATTCGTTTGGTACAGCGCAAGTTCTTCAGAAATAACTATCTTCATTGTGTTGGCTACCTGAAATTGAGTACACACTCATAACCCTAATAGGCCTTCACTCCAGCCAGCTTTAGCACCGTATCCGTCAATTCTGGCTTCTCAAATGGCTCATTGCGGTCTTTTGGGCACACTTTGCCGTCACGCATCGGCTTCTCCTTGGTGGGACGAATGTTGCTGTACCAGGGGTGTCAGTTCAGCATGTATCTCCCAGCAAGGTATCAAAGGGTTAAAAGTCCTACCAATGTGGCCAGTGAGTTGTGCCCGTGAAGCTCTCAAAGCACTGTTTCTTCAACTCCAATGCCTCAGAAGTTGCAAACCGTCGAGGGGTCATGCAGATGTACTGAACATGGCGAATCTGGTTGCCCTCTGGCAAACGAGCGTAATGCATAGTGCGCGAATCCCAGAGCACAAAGTCACCAGGTTCCATATTGACCTTGATAAGCTCACAGCCCTGTTCTTCGAACCATTTAACGTCCTTCTGGCTGAACAGGAACAAATCCATGAATTCAATCTCTGGTGGTGGTGCATCCTCGTGGTCGAATGATTCACGCTTGTGTTTGAAGAATTCATCGAAAAGCTTCGACGAGCCTTTCATCAACATAAGGCCACCGTCGTTCGGGCCGTTGGGTGCATAGTTGAGCAGGCCTTGCACGGCTTGCATACTATAGGTCATTAGCAGGTACAAAGTGGGTATCAAAAAGGGCAATTTGCGTACCCTTTGCGGTTTTGGTTCTGGTCACAGTGCGGCCAGGGACTCCAATTAAGATCCTTGCGTCGAGGCAGGGAAATGTTCATCCCATCAAATGAGGAGATCAGCTCGTTAGTTTCCCACAGATTTTCGAAGATTTCCATGACCTTGGGCTCGGTGCGCGCTTCCCAGGCCATCTTCTCGTGTGGGGAGCCATAGGCAAAATACATGCTATCGGTTCATTTAGTTGGCTCATGACATACAGCTGGAAAAACTCACCCTCCCTTGAAGCTGACAGGCAAATGCTCCGCTGTCCAAGTACTTTCATCATTCTCATCAAAGCCAAGTTCGAACTTCTTCAACCACTGAATCTGTTTCTCGCGATAGTACTCGGCGCGCTCGGGGCTGATGACGTTCTTGATCACGACGCATCCATTCTGATGAAACTCGTCACGCCAGTCATCGTAGTGCCGCGGAGTGAATGTAACTAAGTCGTTGTTTAGGCTTTGCTGGTAATCAGCTGTAGCCTCGATCTTGGTTGCTGACATGTTGGATTCCGTTCTGACTTTGGATTGGATGGCTTTCGATTTGATCTGGAACTCCTAGCTTGAGGTTCTGGAGAAATAAATAACACTTACGTTGATGCTATTAGCATAGTCAATTTGCACTCTGTTGCTGATATCCCCCACCCCCACTCGGCAGGGCCGGAGCAGGTCCGATATTCAACACTCAAGCTCTTCTCTGCTACCAGAGCTCTCTAAACTTCTTTGGACTTTGATCTGCAGCTCAGGAAGCGGGAAGATTCGGTGGGGACATGTGTAGATCGGAGAAGATGCGGGAGTACGATGAAGGTATAACTACATAACCATTTTGTTTGTCTCTCCCATTCATATCTTCATATCATCCATCTTATTCATTCTCTTCAACTAGATCTATCCCATGATGCCTCCTCCCGTTCAATCAGCTTACAAGCGAGTTGCCCAGCCCAAGGTCGGCGAGAACGGATATCAAGAGTGCCGATGCGGCAAATCCGAAGTCCTACCCGCCGGCTGGAATGGCTTCAACGCAAAGCCCTTGAAGTCCGATACCCGTATCGACCACGATGTTGAAATTGTCATGCGAGATGGAGTCCGCCTCTACGCAGATGTCTATCGACCAGCTAATTCGACTGAAAAGATCCCTGCTGTGCTAAGCTGGTCGTTCTACGGGAAGAAGTACAGCGCCCTTGATATGCTCCCAATGTGCGTTTGGAAATGCTGTGTCCCACCATCCGACCTGAGTGGCTTAGAGAAGTTCGAAGGTCTCGACCCCGAGGCCTGGTGTCCTCGCGGGTACGCAATTGTCAGCGTCGACACCCGCGGCGCAGGCCACAGCGACGGCCAGATTTGCGTGATGGGTACACAGGATGCTGAGGACGGATACGATGTTGTGGAAGCTCTCGCACAGATGGATTGGTGCAATGGGAGTGTGGGCATGGCCGGAAATTCTGCACTTGCAATCTCACAGTGGTTCATTGCGGCCCAGCAGCCTCCGTCCTTGAAAGCCATTGCGCCCTGGGAGGGGTCTGGTGATCTCTTCCGAGAGCAGTTTTGTCGTGGTGGTTGGTTCTCTATGAGCAACTTTGATTTGATTGCCAAGGCCATTGTGCGAGGGCCGGAGAATTCAGGCCTTGAGGATTTCGAAGAAATGTACCGTCGCTCGCCTGTGTCAAACCGATTCTGGGAAGACAAGCGAGTAGATATGGCGCGAGTGAAATGCCCTGTCTTTATCCGAGGATCGGATGTCAGCTCCATTCACACCATGGGTTCTATTCGAGGATATTTAGAGGTTCCTCATTCGAACAAATGGATCCAATGGGGTAGCAAGCAGGAGTGGTATGAGTTGTACAGCATACCAGAGTCTATGAATGAGCTAGGACTCTTCTTTGACCGATATCTGAAAGGAAAGGATAACGCATGGGAAAAAACACCCAAGGTTCGATGGTCGGCACTGCAGTTTGGAGATCGCGAGGCAATCGACGACATTGTTCTTGAGGATTTCCCGGCTCCCACCACTGAATACCGACGACTTTTCCTTGGAGACAACAAGAAGCTCACAGGAAGTGCTCCTTCAACCTATCAGAAAATCTCTTACGATTCCGAAAACCGTCATAGTGTCGGCGAGTTCAACTACACATTTGAAAAAGCGAGCCGATTGATCGGACTGCCTAAAGCTGTGCTGTACATGTCCTGCGAAGACCGCGATGATTTCACTGTCTTTGTGATTTTGCGCAAGAAGGACAAAAACGGCAAAAACTTGATGCATCTCAACTTCCCATTTCATGCCACGCCGATCAAGTCTATCGAGGAGATTCCAGACGCGGAACAGGCGAGTTTGAATCTTCATCTGGGGTCTGTGGGTATACTGCGGGCCTCGCATCGGGAGATTGATTCTTCCAGGAGTATTCATCCGCAATTCCCCTTCCATCCTCATAAGCGGCAGGATAAGGTGTCTCCAGGTACAATTGTGAAGCTGGAGATTGGCATCTGGGCAATGGGCGTGGATTTTGAGGAAGGCGAGTCAATTAGCGTGAGGGTAAGTAATATACTGCATACAGCTCGACATTTAAAATGTACTAACTCTTTTCAAAGGTTGGGGGTCAGTATCCCAGCATTGCCGAGTACAAATCATTCTCGAATCCCAGACCAGAGCACGAGCTCAATCGGGGCAGACATGTCATCCATTGCAGCGAGGAATACCCCAGCTCCGTCATTCTGCCCTTCATCTGAAGAATGTAACTTGCGAAGATATTTCTTTGGGGAGTCTAGATCTGTTTGTGGTGGACAGGTAGTCTCAGTGCAACGCCAATATATATCCGGAGAAATCCGCCGACTTATCTGTTTTTGCACCAGCTAGTTCCCTAGTCAAATATTCGATTTTTATTTTTATTACTTGGACCACCATTTTAATTGCATAAATAATACGTAACCTAAATCGACCAAAGAAAGCACATGCACGTCGTGCAATTGCAAAAAAAGAAACTCTCCCTCGGGGAATCGAACCCCGGTCTCCCGCGCTTATCAGTTTTAATGACAAGCGGAAATCATCACCACTAGACCAAGGAAGATTGAATGACCGAGTTACTGCTCGACCACTTGGCTGGTTGATGTAACGTTTGGGGATTTATGGCTACATAAATAAACTGAGAGTTAAGCACGCTGGAACATTGCATGCACCCCCCGAAGTACTCACCTAGCACCGTTGCAAATAAATATACTAACTTATAAGTATAATACACTCATAATACACTGAAGAGGCTATTGTTCAAATAAGAGCACTGTAGCCTTGAAAAGGTTATATAACAACAAAACACTTGATATGACTAGGAACGCTGAAATGCATGTGCTTCTTTATGCAAAAAATCCGAATATCATCAGCTCATCTTTGAGTCTCTTATCGTTTACACTAGTGATAATGCCGTTATGAGTCTGCCAACAAGTCCACCCCAACACCACGCAAGGCACCGATTGCCCAATCGGGGTACTTGGACTTATCACCTTGGTAGATGTTCGAGAAGAACTTGCGAAGGTATTCTGGGTATTTGTCCTCTATGATGGCCTGTCGGATGTTTCCCATCATGGTTAACATGAAGTGAACATTGTGAATCGTCAGACTGAGAATGTTAGCAACAGCACAAGAAAATGGGAGAAATCAAAGCATACAGATGAGCACCGACTGTCTCTTTAGCGGTAATATGGTGCATATATGCTCGGGTGAGCCCGAGGCCTCCTTGATCAACTGGACGACAGCTGGTGCAAGTGCAACCTTCCTCGATTGGTCGAAAGTCCTTGGCGAAATGTTTGCGACGTAAATTGATAGTACCAGAAGAGACAATCGCATCACCAAAGCGCTGGTTGAAGTCAGTACGAGTATCTCCAAGGGAAAATTCGACAAATCCTACCGCTGTGCGTGTCGGCCAGACACAGTCAAACATGTCAGCGCCAAGAGCCACCGCGACGACAATATCTTCGGGGTATCCCTGAATTTCCCTATATTAGCAAAATTCAAGACAAAGTAACGGTTGTTATGGAGACATACCACGCCCATAACGTATCTAGGCTTATTTTCGGGCAAAAGTCCTGTGCATGTATCCACTCTGTGGTTGAGTTAGCTCGCTGAAAGCAATCTGAAGAAGAAGAGAGACGAACACTTTGCAGAACTCCTCCTTGGCCTCACCACCGGATAGACCTCCGATGGCAATTCCAGGAGTATCTCGCGCGACCATCTCCTCGCAGCACTGTTTTCGCAATTCAAGATCCAGACCACCCTGAATGATACAGAATAGATTTTGCTTCTCGGGGTACTTATGCTCTTCGATGCAACGATCTAACCATCGCACGGAGCGCTCCATAGCTTCCTTGATACGGGCGTGATCTGGAGAGGTAGTTGCGATAACATCGTCTAATTGCATAATGATATCAGAGCCGATAGAGTTTTGGAGAGAGATGGAATGTTCGGGGGTAAGCAACCTATCAAGAGATCAGTAAGTTTTGGTTCAGCGGGCGCTGCATTCGAGCGAAGATACTTACATGGGTGAGCCGTCGTGAGGACTGAGGAATCGCACTCCTTCTTCTGTAACCGTCGCCAGCTTAAGCAGGGACACCATTTGGAAACTGTAGTGATGGTCAGTACGAAGGGCATCCACACTTTCGGGCATTATAGCTCACCCTCCACTATCAGTCAAGAGATTCCGATCCCAGCCTTGCAACTTGTGCGCTCCGCCCACAGAGTCTAGCACTGCCTGACCAGGCTTCAACCCAAGATGGTATGTATTATTCAAACAGAGCATGCATCCTGTATCGCGTAGCTGATCGTACGTCAGGCCTTTGAGCGATGCCTGTGTCGCGACGGGCATGAAGATCGGCAGAGGGACTGAGCCATGGGGGAGGTGGAGGGTACTGGCACGGGCTTTGGTTGTCTATTAGAACCATTAAATGATGCATTAGATCTATGCCAATGTAGATAGAGTACAGAAGAGAACATACCGAACACTTGGCGTGACGATAAAATGTCAATGCGGAGGGCATGGCTTTCCGGGCGGGTTCGGCGGTAGTTGACATGGTAGCAATGGACACGGACAGAGCCTTGCGTGTAGTTCTAGGATATCTGGCCAGTCGGTGGCATAGCATGAAGCAGACAGTGTGGGGTGAATGCTTGCGACGTGCACATTTTATCTGATAAGGTGTTTGTCTGGTTTGCATTGCCTGAGGCTCTACACTCTCTGACTTGAACTTATATTATGTTTCCCTGTGATATTATCGAGGGATTCTTAACCATTGCATGCTATTAGAGTCCAAAGAGACTTGAAGTCCCTTTGTGGCTTTAGAGTACGATGCCAGTGATGGGACGCAGCCATCGGAAGATTCACACAAAGTGAGAATAAGATTAGATCGTGGTTTTGACTCCAATACGGTATCTGATATTTACTTCTCTTTAGTCTGCCCAATTCTGGTATGACTTTGGTCTGATTTGTATACGCGTTTGACTACACAGCGACCTCGGACCCTAAATTTCCAGTGTGGAGATCCGGGGAACCCCGATTTCAAACAAACGACACCCAATTGAGTCCCTTCAGCGAAGAAACTTAGCCAAGAAATTTAAGCATTTAAAACGTCGTAGCATGATTCAATTCCGAAAGTGTTAGCCTTGAATCCGACTATCATTGACAAGAATTCGGAGGAATGCCGAGTCAATTTAGTGCGGGGATCCGAGGAATTAACTCGAGCCAAGAAATGAAAGAAGAAAAAAAGCAAGCATGCGGGACTCGCAATTCCCCTAATTTCTGTCATCCTGTCACTCTCTTGTGTGCTTGCCAGTCCCCGTCAATATGGCGACAGAAAAGTATGTACAGGATGTTGAATCTACCTCAGAGGTCTGGTACTCATTTACCCCTTGTTCATGTGTTTATTGCAAGCCAGCTAACACCAATGCAGGTTGCCAACGCTGAAGCTATTGGCACTGCTCTTGAAGCACGAGAAAAGGCCCTAGTCTGGAAACAGGACCTGCGGATTGTTCCTCTATGTGCTGCTATTTACTTACTTTGCTATCTTGATCGGTCAAATATCGGTATGTTTAAAATCCCAACAATCAAAGAAAATTTGAAGCTGAGATTGTCAGGAAATGCCAAAATTCTTAACTCGGATACTGGCAATGACCTATTAACGGAGACGAATATGACCTCGTATCAATTTACGTGAGTGTGTCGAAGATAGACCGCCCAAAACAGACCGCTGACTTCAAAAGAATCGCATTGATGGTTTTCCTCATTGCATATGCACTGTTTGAAGTACCCTCAAATTACTTCTTGAAGAAGCTCAAGCCAAGCGTACGTTCACGCGCTCTAGCATGACCTCCATTGCTATTTGGCATGCATTGAATAACATCAAAAATAGCGTTGGATTTCCTTCCTTATGCTCTCATGGGGTGCTACAACCATGGGACTTGGAGGTGTACACAACTACGCTCAAGTAACCGGCTTACGATTCCTCCTAGGCGTAATGGAAGCAGGTCTGTTTCCTGGTTTCGTCTACTACCTAACATTTTGGTACCGCAATTCAGAGCGATCTATCCGTGTAGCCCTAATTCTTGCCTCAGCAACTTTGGCCGGAGCCTTTGGTGGAGCTATCGCATTTGGAGTTGGTCATATGAATGGTGCTCATGGTCTTTCTGCTTGGAGGTGGCTATTTATTATTGAGGGAGCACCGTCATGTGCGTCTGCCGTTTTGGTCTGGTTCTTTCTACCGGACTACCCCGAGACTGCAAGGTGGCTTTCTAGTAAAGAGAAGGAGCTTGCAGAGCACCGTTTGGCCAAGGAAGGATCGAAAGGCTCTGCTAGTGCCATGTCATGGGAGGATGCAAAGGGCACGCTGACGGATTGGAGATTATATGCTCATTATGCGGTATACTTCGGTATATCTACACCATTCTCGAGTCTTTCTCTTTTCACACCAGCTATTACTTCTGGCTTGGGGTACTCCGATCTACGTGCTCAGTTGATGACCGTGCCTCCGTATGCGGTAGCCTACGTTGTGACTGTGATTGTGGCTTGGTCTGCAGACCATTTCAACAGGTACCATTTCTGGGATTAAAATCATATGGTCAGTAACTAACATTCTTGGATTAGCCGTGGTCTCCATTCCGCTGTTTTCTCTTTCATTGGTGCAATGGGCTTTCTCGCATCTGCTGCTTTGCCTGCCAGTTCCTACCAGGTAAGAAAAACCAAGACACTGGAGCGAACAGCAATAAATCAGCAATGTTGAACTAACTCAACACCAGAGTCGCTATGGATGCCTCATCGTTGCAGCTAGCGGTTCCTTTGCATGTATTCCACCGTTACTAGGCTGGCTCTCCTCAAACCTCCGTACAACTGCAGGGGCAGGACTCGCAATTGCACTGAATGTTTCATTCGGCGCCCCAGGCCAAATTGTTGGAGTGTGGATTTATAAGAGCGACGAAGCAAAGAAAGGGTACCCGACAGGCCATTGGACCAACGCAGCGTTGCTGTTGTTCGTGACAGCTGGCTGTATTCTATTGAGGCTTTACTACGGCTGGAGGAATCGCCGCGGAGATGGGGCAAGGGATGGAACCAGATTCGCATACTAGATAGATTGGTGTGGAGTCGTGCGGAGAGAAAGTTGATATGTAGAGATGATTTATTCTTGGCTTCCGAACTGCAAAAATGGATCCATGATGCCAAGGCTTACTCTGATCGATGATGAGACAGATACTGATTAATATATCCATGACATACGATGAACCTTCAATTTGTAAATAGATAATGATAGAAAATCTCATGCAGGGAGTATGCAAGGCTTGGATTTCTACTGTATATGCCCCTCGAATCTTCCCGGCTCATTTACATAGCTCACACAGGCCAAATTTGCTCCAAAATAATCAATAATCGTAGCATTGATTAATAACAATCATCTTGTTGGCGTTCTTCAGATCTAGCACCCACCACCGCCTCCACATCCACCCGAAGCCGCTCCCGCTGCTGCGTATGCAGTAATGGCAGAATTGTTCGCACGGCGCTTCTTTTGTTTCTTCAGGTATTTCTCGTAGTCTTTGTCGTATTTGTAGCGGCCATAGGCCTCGTTGCTGTATCCCACTCGCCGCGGGGGTGGAGAATCATATTGTACGTCGCGTGACGAACCGAAACACATAGCGTGATTAGGATAAATCACGGGCTGTAATTGAGGAAAGATTGTAGTATTTGAGGTGTCAACTGTGAGACACTCTGTTTGAGTCTGGAGATGTAACGTGCAAGGATGTGGAGGTAATCGACACTAAGACCTCTGTCTCAAGTTATATAGTGCCCATTTTACCATCAAAATATTTGGTGTATGCCTAATTCGCGAGATAGCTACCTCTTTTATATTTTGATTTGACTTGTGGTCTCGTATGTCATTAGCGACATAGCCACCGCCCGAACATGGCTGAGTGTCATGGCAGCCTAAATTGGATGGTGGATCGGTATATTATCTTGGTGCGGGCGCTAGCTCCAGCAAGAGTATCGACCACCAGACTTTTGCTGATGATTTGTGTACTTGTCAAGGCAGATTTTCAAGCATTTAATTGAAGCCAATTGATCACCATGAAATATTCCACTCTTTGGCACCTCTGACTCAGCATAAAAAGCCGTTGGATTGCCTCGGTAAGAGTTGGGGGAGTTGGGGGAGTTAGGGTTCGCTAATGATTAGAGTTCAGAGCAATCCACGGTTCCAGGGTGAGTTAAAAACAACCCAACAACATCATGTATACTATACGTTCAGAACGAGCATCTATTCTAGCCCCAATGTTATGGGAATTTGCGAATTATAAGTCGCCGAATTTCCCGTCAAAATGCTGCCCAACATGGATATACAGCGGAGATTAGTGTTTGGCTCGACACATGGCAACGCTATCCCACCTGCGGCTATGCAATTTTAGCAGCCGGGAGGCCAATGCGGCAAAGATCCCGCAACGCTCAACAGGACCTACAAGGAACATTACAACGTCCTGATCGGGATGTCTAGAGGGTATAGTCCCGGCCGATATATTGAGCCTATCAAGGCAAAGAGAACCAAAGTCCACTGGGAAGATGTCCTGTCGATATTCTGTAGTCCTATAGTAACAAACGAGAAAAGAGACCAATCTGATAGAAGCTGAGCCCCGACCAGAACAGTTCAAATTCCAGTACCATCCATGTATGATACCAATATAATAATAACCCCAACCCAGGTCCATGTCCAAATTGCCCAAACCCAGCACAGCCTAACAATAGCCCAAGTAAAGAAACAGACCAAAGAAACTCCTCCTGTCAAACGCATTCAACTGAGTCAAACAAAAAAGTTAAATAAATAAAATGAAGCAAACAAGTGGATGGAGAACGAAGTAAATCCAAATTCCAGATTAATTAACCAGAAAATGAAAATCCATATCCTGCGTTGTTCCTATACTACCCTCGTGACTTTTGCCCTTCTGCCCATTGCCTGTGCTATTGTGTCAGGTTCTAAAACTGGGCGAGTGGCTTTCCGTTCGTGGTAGCGAAAACCAACAAGCATTTGTCTGGCTCCAGGGGTAAGCAGCCGACACGGCAAGAAGGATTATATTCCTTGAAAGTGCCATTCTGGACCTGCAAGTGAAATGCACCAAGGTCATACTGCCGAGTCATGCAGCAGCAGGTGCGTCGGGTATGAGCCATCCATGGCGACGCACAAGTCACTCTCAAAGGTCAAAACACATTATAGTCACTTGACCCCGACCCTCCACAAATGAGAACCACAAAGTATATCCCCTGATTGCTTTTTGCCTCAAGGCAAAGTAAGATTGCAAAGCACAAACAAAAGCACAAGCACCCTGTCTGCTCCCCTCAAAACGGGGAGTAGAAACAAATATCTGTCGGCAAATGATGCTCCAAGGGAATCGTAATCCCAGACCTTCTTGGCAAAATTGGGGAAGCGCCGGTCTCACACGAGGCCCAAATCCCAAGACACCACATTGTACCTGGGCCGTCGGGTTCTCGGGTTGGGTGGGTATCACGACGGACGGGCTCAGGGTTCCACAGGGCGAAACAAGTTAGTGACTTGCATTGGAACCCGTCATCTGTCAAGGATGCCGCATGTGGCGTAGGTGAAAAACTTGATCGTCTTTTGTTTGGGGTAGTTTATCCATCCCGCGACTAAGAAGAAGACAGTGCATGGCAGATGATCAATATTCCTTGTGGGCAAATCCTGCAGGAACCGAGAACGGCTACGATAGTCGTCGGTCGAGTAATGCATGCATTCCAGCAGAACTTCGGGGAAAACGGACGTCGACGTGGGAAAAGGGAGGCAGGTTGGGTGCGGTGAGAAGATTTTTTTCCCCTGCAGCACAAAACCAAGTGAGAAAAGCAACAGCAAGGGTATGTTTTGCAAGGACTGTGGATCCCGCGCCCAGGACGAGTGGCCACAGCTGCTAGCAGCAATTGAACACAAATCAACACACACACATCTATCCAATAAAACAGGGATCCTGGAACAAGGAAGAGAAATTTGGTAAAAACACAAGAAAAGAAGAGAAAGCCACCCAAGAAGAGTAAGGAAATAAAGGATTCACTCAGAACCCGCCAGCACCACGGCCAAGACTGGTCGATTGCTGGGGGAAGAGCTGTCCCTGATAGACGGTCGAAGCTCTGGGTTGCTGGTTCAACAGCTTTAGGGCGACCTCGGCGGCGTCTTCTTTGGCATTGTTGACGAACTGGCCGTCATACCAGTAGCGGGCAGCGATAGCAGTCGGGATGCCCTGTACGGTGACAGTACTAGACCAAGCAGTACGACCTCCTGTATTCCAAACGGGAATTAGCATCTGTCAAATCAGAAACTAAAAGTCGGTGTACAAGTGATGGGGGGCAATAGAGAGAGAGGGGGGGGAGGAATTCTCTCTCATTCTGCAAGACTCCACACCCTTCCTGCAATGCCGAGACACACACAAGGCATAGGCACCGCGTATGTACTGAGTCGACAGGTATCAGATAAAATAGAATAAACCCCGTGAGAGGAAATGACGGAGGGGAGAGGAAGAGGGGCAGAGTATCGGGTAAGTACCTCGCCGATCGGAGACGATGTTGAAGACAGGAGGAGTCAGCTTGGTACTTCTACAGTATGCTAATGATAGTCAGTCGGGTAATATTGTAAAGCGTCAATTGTGGTGGGCTCGGGCTGGGGTCTGGACACGCATTTGGAGGGCTGAATGGCTTACCATTGAGCTGATCTTGCCAACTAGGCCGGCTGCTAACGCTAGTCCCTTGAGCACTGCTGTATGACATTTTGAAAAAGATAGGGGGATGTTGAGAGTTGCAATTGAATTATGGAGTGGGATTGAGGGGAAGATGTTGAGAGTCAAAAGTAGAACTCAATTGGGGATAACGGGAGATGTATAGAAGAAGAGAAAGGGTCAAAGGACTTCAAGGGACGAAGATATACTGGAAGAAAGAAGAGAATAACCTCGATTGGACCCGGCTGGAAGCTGTAGAGGCCCTTTTAAATGTCCATCAAGGACTATCATGGGGAGCGGGGAGTCATATAAACAGTGGGCCATATCTTCAAGGCCAAAAAGCCGTTCTCGCATGGGGGTTTTTCTTTTCTTTTTTTCGTTTTGAATTTTGAATTTTCCTTTTATTTTTTTAATTATTTCCCCCTGGGAACAAACAGGAGCCTAATCGTCAAACCTAACGGAGCGGGCTTATGCATGTCGATGTGGACATGGCAAAGCGTCAACTAATTTCCTCCCCTCCTTAATCCACCAGTCAAGGAGGGCAATGGGAAGAACATGCGGATCATTTGAGGCTGCAAGCTGGAACGGCCCGGCGCACGCCGTCTAAAAGCCTTTGAAGAAACGCTAGACATCACAGTAAGGACTACTAATAGCCGGATATGTCCATCCCACATAAGAAATAAAGGGAAGCTTGGCTTCTCTCAAGGGCTCCAGGGAAAAAAAAGAGACAGCTTTTCAGGAAATCGGATGCGGATTGGATGGAAAAGTGAACAACTCAGAGAACCCCACGTTGATTTTCTTTTTTTTTTCTTTTTCGGTCTCGCCTCTATAATTCATTTCGCTCTTTATTATAAGCCATCTCCGAGCTCTAATTCGAGATTAATTTCAACCGAATCGGCGGAACGCCTTCTGGAAACCCTGAGAGACTGCATGAGGGCTTGAATCTCTGCCCAAAAAGCGGAGCTAAACTAGTGCATCTTTTATTCTGAATGACGAAGATGCCCGAAACGAGAATTCGTTCCCCCCTTCAGGTTGGGCCGCACAAAGTATTGCCAGCTCATCATAGAGATTGGGGGAAGCCGTTTACATTCCCCCGAGATTCTTTACCAAAACAACCGGGCCGCCCTGCATGAGTAGCATGAACGCTGTCTCGGCCTAGAAAGAAGTATATTAGAATGACGCGAGGGCGATTTCCGGAAACGTCAAAGCGTGTCGCGCATAGACAAAGGTACGAAGAGCGTCATTAACACGCTAGTCCGAAAAAATGCCTAGGGGAACACGAAATGCAATATCATTCTACCATTCAAACACTATGAAGCCTCGAAAATGCCGAAAGCATCAAGCCAATCCAGTCGGAGCGAACGGGAGACTCTCGCCTCCCTTTGGCAAAGCGAGTTGGGCATTCATGCAGAGTAAATATCCATCAACCATGGTTCTCAGTAATGCGGCTCTATGCACGTAACACGTCGATGTTCGACAGAGGACTAGGCACATCAGGGCTGTTCTTCTGCTCAACGGGCCCCGCACAGCTTAAACACTCGCAGGCGCTAATTAGCCAAGAATAGCCGGAGTAAACCCCCATGACGCATCGCATTGGCTGTTTTGGATTAAGGCAGCAAGGCCAGCAAGGGCCCTTGGGCTGTCACTCGCGCTAAAATTGAAAAGATTCATTCAGAGCCAATCGATCGCGAACAATAGATGTGCTTTTTCTTCACTGCGCTAGTCTGGCGTTTCCCCTGTTTAGGGGTGTGGGGGATACATGCTTGGAAGCGCTGATAGCCAGTCAATATCTGTATGTACTGTAGAAACCATGGTGAACCATGGTTCATGCCTACAGAAGTACGGTGTATCTACTGTAGCGAAGCGGTCAGGCTTGAACTACTCGGTATGCAACGCCAGCATAGCAACGCACGAGGGATGTGTTCATGTACACGCAAGCTGATAAAAGAACAATGCAATGCAAGATGTGATGGACCCCCTGCTCCAAATCCAGATGCAATATGGAACCGCCGTAAGCTGCCCCTTTCAGTTCCCTGTCAGTTTCCTGACAGATCCGGATTAGAGGATCGCCCGGACTTGGGCTTCTCGAGACCCGAAATCCCTTTCAGCCGAATGAGAAGCCAGCCGGATCAGAAGACGGCACAAAATATAAATATATATAAAAAAAAAAAAAAAAAAAAAAATAGAAAAATAGAAAAATAGCAAAATAGGTGAGAAAACAAGAAATGAACCACAAATCGTCAAAGTCATTAGGTCGTTAAGAGACTATCAAGTCTCCCAAAACATCCCGGTCAATGCAGGATAGAATCGGCTCACACCTCTCACCCATGGTTCATGAGCCGCCTAGGCCTCAAGCCCCTTGTCACTTAAGCAGATCCTCGTCGCTGAAGTACTTGGCCGATCAGGCGCCGAGGGCCCATGCGCTCCAAGCTCTTCGTCAAGTGCTGAGCGGGGAGCATCCACGAAGGCTGGCGCTCCTGATGCCAGCGACGACGAATGCAATCGTCAACTAGCGCCACAATACCTGTAGCCACAATCACACTACGCAAAGTCCATCAGCCTCACAGAAAAAGAAATGAAAGAAAGATAAAAATAAAAGAGGGGAAGCTCAAGGTAAAAGCCATAGCAAACAGACGTGGACTTACTCGGCAATGTCAGGCATCCGCTGATAAACCGAAGGATCACTGATCCACAATGATGACGGCGGCACCCAACCCCCCTTGCTCTCCTCCTCGACCGCATCTAGCGGCGCCAGAGTATCCGGGACAAGATGGGCAATGGTCTTGGAAGTGCGCGTGTCAATCAGGAAATACGACACCTCGTGCAGATCGCCCTCCTTGCGGAACTCGCGTCGCCACTGATACTTCGTGGACCAATACTCATACTCGTACTTCTTGTTTAGGCCAGGTCCTTTCCTCTTCAGTTCGACGTGTGCATAATTGGAGAATTCAAGGAGGATGGTATCCACCAGTGTTGGCCTGTCGGCTTCGGTACCTTGTTCCTTTTCTCCTTCTACATCTTCACTCGCACCTGCTTCGTGTCTGGCACTCTTGCTGTGGATATGGCCAGGCTCAAAACCAGAACCTTTTCGTTTAAGATCACCATGCGCTGCTGTTGCGCTTGTGGAGGTTGCACCGTTGCCACTCGAACTAGGCCGCAGACTGGCAAAGACGGTACTCCACGATCGACGGAAAGCAGGACGTCTATCATGACCAGAAGAGACTTCCCTCCTTGCTGAATGGCATACCTCCCTGCCCGAATCACGGCAGTAGCGACGAAAAGAGAATTTCCGCGAGAACAGATCATACATGCGGAGATGGAAGAGGATGACATCGCGCTGCGAGCCATCCCGGAGGTGGACGGGAGTGTCGACGCGCAAGTTCATGTTGCCGTCGATGGTGGTATCGTCATGGCGGATAAGTAGCCGTCTCGACGAAGGGAACAAAGGTGCGAAAGAGGAGGGGGTAGAAGGGATAGCGTCAAGTGGGAAGAATTCTTCCCGCTCGTGTACTTCATAGCGTGGTTCCTCTGCCGGGAAATCTGCGGCTGAACCTGTCGATGAAGCGTATGTTGAGACAGAGTCTCGGGGTTTTGGTTCCCGTTCTTCGTATACTACTGGCCTGTCTCTTTGTTTTGTGCTCGGATGGTCGCTCAGGGCTGTTGCCGCGGTACTTCTGGATGTCGAGCTATCCGTTGAGCTGGAACTGCCGCCACCAGGGCGATCTTGGCATGATTTATAGGAACCCATTGTGTAAAGTAGATGTGGAATCTGTGTTGTAGTTGTCACTGGTCCACAGTGAACTGGGAACAGGGAACAGGTGGAGAAGGGGTGAGTCGGATATAAGGCGTAAGTTAGCCGTAAATAAGCCGTAGGTGGTAAGATGAAGGTACATCCAACGATACTCCCGGATTCTCCAGTTGGTTTTGAAACAATAAAAAGGGTTCGAATGTCAGATTCCCATGACGTGGGGTTGGGAGAGGGATGGGCTCTCTGGCATGGAGGGAATTAAGGTATCCGCAATCCAGTTAGGAAGATCAGGGAGATTAAAGGAATCATATGATGAAAGGGAACAAGAGCAGGGGTAAGATTTCCCGATTGGAAAAACCAGGAAGATATAGGAAATAGGAAACAAGGCAAAAAGTCAAGGGGGGAATGTCAACTCGTCATTTGAGTACCCGATCTTCCATGGGCCATGAAACCCCTCATTAACCTCCCAGACTTCCAGTTCACATCCAATAAGATGGTCAGGGCTCACCGGTAACGATAACAAAGAGCCAGCCTCACTAAAAATGTGCCTATAGAAAGCTCCAAGGTTGTGTGATGTGTCTCCAGTGTCGAGTGATAATTTGTTCTCCCCCTCCTCTGTGATCCCCGGGCCAGTGAGATCTCGGGCGCCTGCATAGAACGAAGTCTGGACACGAGTTTCATTATGTCAGGGTTCAGGCCTCGTCCAAGCGTGAATTTTGAATTCTGAATGCTCCATACTGAATTTGAATATGGATTTGAATTCTCAAATTCTCCGACATGAAGTTGCAGTCAGGGCATAGTTGGGACGTCATGGCAAACCGTGGGCCTCTGCGGTCCGTTCCGGACAGTGGAGCAGGGCGAAAAGAGTCTCATCCTACTTCCCTGGAGACCTTGGATGAGGCAGTATCCTCCGATTTAGGTTATCTGATCAAGTTTCGGAAATTCCAGCGTGTCCTGCCATTGCGACAATGATCGGCCGCATGGGGCCACCTTTGCGAGACCCGTATCAAACGAGGCTTCACTACTCTAAGCCTCCACCTGCGTACATGCGATGGAAATGCCCAACCATCCGTTGCTTTAGGCGACCATATACTTGGAAGGGTCAGGGCTACGAGAGAAGATCTCTGGCCAACCTAAGTTGCGACCGAGAAAATATGTCCAATGAAACTAATTGACCAGCCGCGGAGACAACGGGCCTGGTCTGAACGGCGAAATACGATGTCCAACGTTACCCTGGATTACCCCCGAATGAAAAATATGTCCAACCTGAAAATAAGAATGGCAGTTTACACCTGCGCATAGAGAGGCTGAGGCAGTTCCTCCCCTGGCTTAACCAGGGCCTCTGTGCTGCAAGCTGGCTGAGAGACGAGCCCGGTCCGGCTCCCCGGGACCGGAGGTCGGAAGCCAACATAGGCTTCTCGCCGGTCTCCTACTGTGATTGACCAGGTGTGCAACCCATAGTAGGAGGCGATGGAGTGCACCAACCAACGACTGAGATGGTCAGCAAATAGTATACTTTAGAAGTTAAGAGCAGGAACTCACCCAAATCCAGCCGCCCGTTCATCGACCGGACTCTCATATACCATCTTCTCACCATCGCGCTCACTGTGAGAACTCATCTCTTCCCGCAGCAGACGGAGTCTCTCCTTCCGCTCGGGCGCGTCATGCATCTGCCCATTACGCCCAACAAAGACAATCTCGTCTTCCGAGTCACTTGCCGAGTCCGGGGCATCTTGCAATCCCTCGTTCCGCAGCAGCACCTGCTTTTCATTCCACTTACGTATGAAGAGACGAATCTCTTCTTCCAGGTCTTGAAGCATGCCACGTGCGGCACGCGCATGCTTCAACTTTAACCGGAGTTCCTTGGGAATATGGTGCTTCTCATTAGCCCCCTTGGCCGCCCTCATAGCCGACTGATGGTCTACTTTATGAGAGTAGTGGACATCCCACAACGGCGCAAGGTAATAGGGCATGGGGTCATGGCGGGTATATGTGGGCTGGATATCCCAGTCCTTGGAAGACGGAGGTTCGGCCCAGGGGTTGTGCAACAAACGATCTTGATATCCGGTCAGCATGCAGATTCACGTGCCAGGACGCGCCAATGATCGGGTCATCCACTCCAACCCAGCTCATGAATCTGGGACATACCGTTCTCCCAGCGCTGTCTCCGTCGGCTCCCATCCTTACCCTTTAGAAGGGCTTCCCGTCGCTTCCCGATATCGCGCTGCAGAGGCTCCCGGCGTCTAAAACTGACCCTCGGGGGACGCAACTCGGTATTGGCTGGTGGAGTGGCTTCGTCGTCAAGCGGGATCGACAACGACACGGTGGCACCGCGCAGATTTGAGCGCGTTGGAGTCGGTGTGGAAGGGGTTTGGTCTGCAGGGGAGTCTGAGAGGCTCATGTCCTGCAGGGACGCCACTGCATGTTGCTCTGTCCACGCGGAGATGGCCAGAGCTTGCTGAGGTGAAAGGGTCGCGGAGCCCTCAGGGCGAAGGCGCGGGTGAATAGCCATGATTGAGGGAAGTGCAGAGTAGAGGAGGGGAAGAGATAGAGACAGGATAAGAAGAGATAAGGCAGTCCAATGCTCCAATAGTCCGAGGGTTGCTGCACGGGGCTTAACAAGGCCGATGATTGGTGGGAAGTAACCCTGGTTAGCCCTAGCCCTGGTTTCCTATTTGGGATTCTTCCTCTGGAGTGAGGCTGACACTAGTTCAAGGCTGACCAGTGGAGATCTCTCGAGTCCTTCCTAGGTTTCTTATAGTCCTGCATAGTGCTTCGTACTTCCAGGTTCGTACTGGTGTGTGTGTTCTTATCTCCGGTGACTCACGGGCGAGTCATAGTGGGGATTCTAGGCATTCTCCACCCGATCCCCCAGATCGCCTGGGTTCTGTATGGAATGGAACATGACTGAACATGGCTTAACTTACCATAAATTATAATGTTTTCCTGGGCTATTGATCCAAAGTCTAGATCGGGTAGACCGGATAACGAATAGCTAAGAATAAATGTGAAAGCCTAGCGCGGGGTCCAGAACTTGGCGCCTAAAGGGTAACAAGGCGCGTGAGACCGCCCCCATTCTCGATCCCGTCCTAGCTCCGAAAGCTTTAAAAACCCTTCTCCCCATCCTTTTTTTTTATCCTAGGTATCTTATTATTACACTTATCATGAAGTTCTTCGCTCCCCTTGCGCTGAGCGCAACTGCGACCGCGCTGGCATTGGTCAACCCGGAGCAGCAACCTTTGGCACCTTCGATCGTCCAGAACCCGCAATCAAAGTCTCTGATCGAGCTGGCCCCATACCAGACCCGCTGGGTGACGGAAGAAGAGAAGTGGTCCCTCAAACTGGTATGTCAAGGGTTTTCCCTCCAATCTGACCATAGCTAACATTTGATTAGGATGGAGTCAATTTCATTGACGTGACCGATGAATGGCAATCAGGCTCCTATGGAACCTTGCACACTTCGCGCATTGTTCACTATCCTGAGGAGATGAAGCACTCCGATGCTATCCACCCTCTCTTTAAGACCCTGGACAAGAAGAACATGCGCAGTAACCTGGAGCACTTCACCTCGTTCCACACCCGCTACTTCAGGTCCAAGACCGGTATCGAGTCTGCAACATGGCTTTTCGACCAGGTAACCGCCGCGATCCACGAATCGGGCGCAAGCGACCACGGCGCGACCGTTGAACGCTTCTCTCACCCTTGGGGCCAGTTCAGTATCATCGCCCGCATCCCCGGCGAGACCAACAACACCGTCGTGTTGGGCTCCCACCAGGACAGCATCAACCTGTTCCTTCCATCCATCCTGGCTGCACCCGGCGCCGATGACGATGGCAGTGGAACAGTCACCATTCTTGAAGCACTTCGCGCCCTGCTGCGGTCGGAGGCTATCGCCCAGGGCAAGGCCCACAACACCGTCGAGTTCCATTGGTACTCTGCGGAAGAGGGTGGTCTTCTTGGTTCCCAGGCTGTCTATGCTCAGTACAAGAAGGAGTCGCGCAACGTCAAGGCCATGCTCCAGCAGGACATGACGGGCTACGTTCAGGGAACTCTTGATGCTGGTCAAAAGGAGTCGGTGGGTGTCATTATCGACTACGTCGACCAGGGCCTCACTTCCTTCATCAAGGAGGTCATCACCACCTACTGCGATGTCCCCTACGTCGAGACCAAGTGTGGCTATGCTTGCTCTGACCATGCCTCTGCCAGTCGGTATGGATACCCCTCGGCGTTCGTGATCGAGTCCCAGTTCGAGAACTCCGACAAGAAGATCCACACCACCGAAGACAAGATCGAGTATCTCAGCTTTGATCATATGCTACAGCATGCGAAGATGAGCTTGGCCTTTGCTTACGAGCTAGCCTTTGCTCCTTTCTGATTTTGTTCATGGATTTCTCTCGGTTTACATAATTGTTCGGCGTTCGTGTGATATACCTCTGAGCTGGGTCTTTCGTTACTAGACACCCTAAGTGCTTTTCTGGCTTTTTCGGGCTTATACCCATTACCAATTGATTTTCATGACTTGGTTTACCTTTATTTTTATTAAATCCTAACGTAATTGCTCACTGTAGCACGTAATTCCAAGTTTCCAACACATATACTCCATACAGTAAATCTCGAGTTCAGCGGACCCATCCAGATATGACGTAGGTAAATTACCTTGGCGATTCACCTCACGTGATGCCATCCGACGATCCTGTGGAAAATGTATCCCACTGCCTCACCGATCTTGACTTATTACATTGCATCTTTCACTTTCAAATAGGCCAATCCTTCCGGGGGCCTCCCATACTAACCCCTCCTATTCCATAACCACCGAAACAGCCCCGTCTCCAACTATGGCCAGCCCCTACGCCCAGGAACTCCAACTTGCAAGCCTAGCAGTGCAACGAGCAGCCCTCATTACAAGGAAACTCCTCTCAGCTGTCGACAAAGGCGCTCTAGACAAAAGTGATGCCTCTCCGGTAACAATTGCCGACTTCGCTGCACAAGCCTCAATCATCGCGGCGATCCACCACGTCTTCCCAAACGACGAGATCGTTGGTGAAGAAGACGCAGCAGCCCTCCGCGAGAACCCAGTCCTCCTCGAACGAACCTGGGAACTAGCAACCGAAACCCACCTCGATGATGAAGCCAGCGAGGCTCTCCTCCACACCCCGCAGACCCGCGAGGAACTCCTAGACCTAATCGATCTCGGCGCAAAGGGCAACTGCACCCCCACCAGTCGAACCTGGACCCTGGATCCCGTGGATGGCACAGCAACCTTCATCCGCGGCGGGCAATACGCTGTCTGTCTCTCCTTAGTAGAGAACGGCCACCAAAAGATCGGCGTGCTAGGCTGCCCGAACCTACGGGCATCTGGATTCGTCGCCGAGACACTCGTCGACCGGGATGGCCACGGACAGCTCCTTGCCGCAGTAGCCGGCCATGGTGCAACCATCCAGCCCATGGGCCCTGGCGCTCTCCTCTCCTCTAGACCGCTCGAGAAGATCCCGCAGATCACAGATACCTCCGCGGTGCACTTTATCGATACGCAGGCTGCCACCACGCAGAACCTAGAAGTCCACGGGCGCGTCGCAGCTAGTCTGGGCGCTCCATGGCCGAACCCGGTTGACCTGTGGTCAGCGCAAATGCGTTATGTTGCCATTGCAGTGCAGGGCGGGTGTAATGCCTTCATTAAGGTGCCGTTGAGTAAAAAGTATCGGTCCAAGATCTGGGATCATGCAGGTGGCATGCTTATTGCACAGGAGTTGGGCTGCGTGATTTCCGACCTTGAGGGACGTGCTGTGGATTGTTCACAGGGCCGGACTTTGGCTGGGTGTTATGGTATGGTTGTTGCGCCGGCTTCGGTTCATCAGCGGGTTCTTGAGGCTGTTAGAGTGGCGCGGGGTCTATAGAGTTGGTCTTTTGCATGGGCTTTTTGGTTCTGAATTGTCTTTGATTGATACCCAATGATCTGCCAACATAATATCATATCAGTTCTAAGTACTCTGTACAGACAAGAACCTTATAGTTGCACTGATCGCCGACATAAGGTTGGAGCCCCGCATTCTCTACTAATGGACAAGTCAATGTAGTTTAGCGTTTAGGCACTTTCCAGGTTTACCCTTTTGTTTCACATACATTAGCTCCTTTTTGGCCGCTTTTGACCATGTTCAGGCTGATCTTCCAAGGTATAATAAGACCGTGCGTGGATCGACAAGTTGCGCCACTCCAGGTTCAGGGACCTTGGGACACTCGGATCTCTTTCTTTTACTTCAACCTTTGGTTTCTCAAGCCAGAGGCCAGGAGTGAGTATAAAAAGTGAAGATATTGACAACTAAATATTTTCAGTTTGTATAACGTTGAATGTATACCCCGTGGTACCAAATAAGATGACATCATCACCAGCGGTGGATTTGACCTCATTGCTGCATACAGGATTTGTGCTCTATGGTGCCATTGGTCTGCAGGTCTGGTGACCTCGGGAATCCCCAGATACTATATGTAACCCCCTCTCCTGTTCTGGCTTTAGATTTTCTAGCTTCACCTTTGGGATATCTTCACCATGGCTTCCTTCAATCCTTTCGCTAGACGTGAGACTCACAGCGCTAGCTCCCTAAATACATATCGGGTTCTCGTACCCCTCACCTGGGCCTTGGTCGTGGTCTTTGGCATCTACTACTCCGTCCACTCGCCGGACGATGTCAAGAAGGGCAAGAAGATCTGGAAGCAGGCGAACAAGCGTAACACTCCGTTCAGTCAGAATACCACCTTGACAGGTATTTACTGGTATGTTGAAGATCCCCCACATATATATCTATGTCCTACTCTATCCCACCCCACACCGTACTAACCAGAATATAGGATCGTCCTCCTCCTCTCCCAGCTAAGCTACGTCTACCACCTCTTCTCAAAAAACAATGTGCTGGTCACAGCTGCCGCCAACGTCGCCTCCCATTTTATCCTGAACAACCTCTTCCTCTTCGTCTGGATCCTGCTCTGGACTCGCAATTACTTCTGGGGTGCCGAGGTCATCCTCGTTTTCCATTTCATCAACCAGTGGGTAACCTACTGGCGCCACCGCGGTCTGCCAGCATTCGTCCACCTCCCAGCTGTTGCAGGCCCCTATGCCTGGACACTGACAGCATTGTTCTGGAACGGTGCTGTCGCCGTGCATAGCCATAACCTGCCCGGAAGAATTGTCGCCAATATCTTCATTTGGGTTATCCTGGTTGTGGGATTGTTTGATATTGTCCTGCGGGAGGATTATATCCTTGGATATTGTCTTAGTATTTTGTCGCTGTGTGAGTATTACCATTCCCCCTTGCAGAATCCCATGTCAGGATGCTCTGTCAGATATATTCTGGATCATTTGCTAATATATATATCTCTCTAGCCCTGGCTCTCCGACAAATCTCTATTAAGATCATCGCCCTGCAGTGGATCTTCGCCTTTGTCATCTTTGCCGTGTTCTTGGTTGTTTCTCTTTACATCTCTACGACTAAGTATACCGGTCGCGACAGTCTTTTCCGTCGTGTCGCACAGCCCGAGTCGACTGACCGCGAGAGAGCGCCTCTGCTCAATGAGCAGGTGTGAATGTTGTCATAAGCCGAGACCGACTATCCATGATATCAGTTACTTAGCAGTTTGGCATCGAGTAAGTTGAATTACAAATTGGTTTCGGAAGTATACGGACATTCTTTGCGATGGAGTTGCGTTTAATGAAGTAATGCACTAATTTTATGAAAATGGACCCACTTGAGATATATTGAATTTGATATGAATATTGATGAAGGATCGAAAGAGTATTGCCAAATAAATGAAACAAATAAGATAAAAAACTATCTCAAGTTCATACTATCGTTAATTATTGTTGCCCCCGTGCGGTAACGTTTCTCCTGCAACTCCTTGAAAATGCGACACCCGACTCGCCGTTGCCCCGACAACCTCCTCCACCTCCACTTTGTTGATGCAAGTTGTGGACGAACCGGGCTGGACTTGTTTGCTCTGGATTTCATTTATTGACTCCGCATTGTTCTCCTCTTTACATCTATTCTTTGATCTCGAGGTAGCATTCATTCCTCAGTTTCTAAAACTTGACAGGTCTGGCACCCTCTGTCTCAAGGGTTTGACTCTCATTGCGCAAGCTGTCTCATAATACTATGAGGACCTGAGTTGGAACACATTCCACGTTCAACATGAACCGTCACCCTCCGTCCAATTATGGCGACGAACCGCCAGCATACCTGGACCACGAGACAGCTTCCTTTCTCTCCGATCACGAATCTCCGACCAATGCCTCCCGTCATGGCGCGACTATGCGCTTGCTGCCTACCAGCGGTGACGGCGCCGATGATTTCAGGAATCCAAGGGCTGCTTCGCCTTCCGCTTATGACCCCGATTATGACCACACTCCGTATGTATCCAGTGCTCTTTTCTTGATACAACCCTACACCCTACCCACATTCCAGTGGTTTCCCTCGCTACGGGGAAACATGCACTTTCAACTTAAACTCCTTCCTTGACGTGACAGAGGCTGGGAAAAATCTTGGTCCTGGTGCAATGGCTGCTTGAATGCTGTCATTGGACAGAGCTGCTTTCCCTGGTGTCGCGTTGCAAACCCTCCGCGTAAACAATGTACATTGTGCACTTTGTACATGATTGCATTGTTCTGTTTCATCCCCTACTCCACCCTCCACCCTCCACACAGGCCATATTACTGCCGTCTGAGGCATAATGGCGTTTCCAACAAGACCAAGGTCTAACGTGAGGACGCGCACTTCTAGGACCGGAGAAGATCCAGGCTATGATCGATACTATCAAGTTCCGACTGCGTCTTCGCCTTCGCGTCCACCATCTAGCTTGACGACTGGCTCCAACCTACCAACTGCGAGCTTAGCAGATACTTCCGTCTACCCGTCTATTCCCCCACGCACAGGATCTCCCATTCGCCCATGGAGTCCGTCTCATATCCGGCCGCCATCTGTGTCGAGTGTTGGCTATGAACGCGCCGATTTGAATGGCAGCCCGCGGCCCGGTACACCAAGCTCTAGATACGGAGGTAGTCCTCGTCGGCCGTTGCCTCCTGCTCCTCTGTTTTCTGGACCAAAGTCATCGAGCGCAGGGGATACGAGCATCGATATTGGGGATGGAATCGACGTAGATGACCCATTCGGCGGCGATGGGCGCACAATTCACCACACTTCACGCGGCAGTGTGCGATCATTCATGAGCGAATCGACTATTCTGGGAGATGAAAAAGACGAGATGCAAAAGGTCGACCTCCATGAAGACGACGATGACGACGCCGACTCTGGGATGATTGATCCCAACTTGCACTACGGCCCAGCACCTGAAAAGCAGGGACGTCGCGGTGTCCGATCTAAGCAGGTCGCCAAAAGGAGGTTCAGCTCGTCAACGGCGAGCTTATTTTGGAGTGCAAGATCCCGACAATTCTTCACAGTTTCCTTCCTCGCAGAGATGAACGCGAGTTCACACATATGCGTTATACTGCTGTCACATCTGACCCCGATGACTTCACGAACAGAGGGTACAAGCTCCGTCAACAGATTGGAACGACCACCCGCGAAACTGAACTGTTCATTTGTGTCACCATGTATAACGAAGATGAGATTGGTTTTACCCGTACCATGCACGGTATTATGCGGAATATCAGTCACTTCTGCTCCAGAACCAAGTCACGTACTTGGGGCCGTGATGGCTGGAAAAAGATCGTTGTTTGTATCGTCGCTGATGGACGAAAGAAGGTCCACCCTCGCACTCTCAACGCCTTGGCTGCACTTGGTGTGTACCAGGAGGGTATTGCAAAGAATATTGTCAACCAGAAGGAGGTCCAGGCCCACGTGTACGAGTACACGACACAGGTGTCGCTTGACTCGGATCTCAAGTTCAAGGGTGCCGAAAAGGGCATTGTGCCATGTCAGGTTATCTTCTGTTTGAAGGAGCATAACAAGAAGAAGCTCAACTCCCACCGCTGGTTCTTCAACGCGTTTGGCCGTGCTCTCCAGCCTAACATTTGTATTCTGCTTGATGTTGGTACTCGGCCTGAGCCAACCGCCCTCTACCACTTGTGGAAGGCATTCGATCAGGACTCGAATGTTGCTGGTGCTGCCGGTGAGATCAAGGCAGGCAAAGGCAAGAATTACCTCGGTCTGCTCAACCCTCTAGTGGCGAGTCAGAACTTCGAATACAAAATGTCCAACATTCTGGACAAGCCGCTGGAATCGGTCTTTGGATACATTACTGTGCTGCCTGGTGCACTCAGTGCTTACCGGTTCTTTGCTCTGCAAAACGATGCAGATGGCCATGGCCCGCTGAACCAATATTTCAAGGGTGAGACGCTACACGGTCAAGACGCAGACGTCTTCACTGCCAACATGTACCTGGCTGAGGATCGTATTCTTTGCTGGGAGTTGGTTGCCAAGCGAGAAGAGAGATGGGTGCTGAAGTTCGTCAAGAATGCCGTTGGAGAGACTGATGTGCCGGACACGGTGCCTGAATTTATCTCGCAACGTCGTCGTTGGCTGAACGGTGCTTTCTTCGCTGCTGTCTACTCGATCTTCAACGCCAAGCAGATTTGGAAGACGGACCACACTATCCCTCGGAAGATTCTTCTTCATATCGAGTTCTTCTATCAGTTCCTTAATCTGCTATTTACCTACTTCGGTCTTGTGAGTTAGGCAGTGATTCCTTTCCGGTACATGCAAACTAACCTGTCTAGGCCAATTTCTATCTCGCTTTCTACTTCATTGCTGGCTCCTTAACTGATAAGAAGCTTGATCCATTTGGCCATAACATGGGCAAATACATCTTTATTGTCTTGCGTTACGCTTGTATCCTGGTTATGTGCTTGCAGTTCATTATATCTCTGGGTAATCGACCACAAGGGTAAGTCACCTCTTTACTAACAATAAGGAAACTTGACTAACGCCTTCAAAGTGCCAAAAATCTGTACCTTTCTGGTATCATCGTTTATGCTGTTATCATGTTCTACACCGTCTTCTGCGCCCTGTATCTGGTGGTTAAAGAACTGCTCGCACGCGCTGGCATTGGAAGCGACGACCTGGACGTGAGCAACAGTCTCATGACCAACATCGTCTTATCTATGCTGTCAACAGTCGGTCTCTACTTCTACAGCTCCTTCCTCTACCTGGACCCTTGGCACATGTTCACCTCCTCGATCCAATACTTCCTCCTGATGCCAAGTTATATCTGTACATTGCAAGTTTACGCCTTCTGTAACACGCATGATGTCACCTGGGGAACAAAGGGAGACAACGTGATCAATACCGATCTGGGTGCCGCAAAGGTAATCAACGGATCAACCGTTGTCGTGGAAATGCCTTCGGAACAACTTGATATCGACAGCGGCTACGACGCAGCCCTCCGCAACCTTCGCGATCGCCTCGAGGTACCCGAGCCCCCACCATCCGAGTCCCAACTTCAGGAAGATTACTACCGCGCCGTCCGTACCTACATGGTCTCCATCTGGATGGTTGCAAACGTTATCTTGGGTATGGCAGTCTCAGAAATCTACGGCGTTGACGCAGGCGGTACGAACATCTATCTCGCCATCATCCTGTGGTCTGTCGCTATCCTCGCTGCCATTCGTGCCATCGGTTCGACCGCCTACGCAATCCTCAACGTAGTCCACAAGATCGTCGAAGGAAAGACCAAGTTCGACGCTGGCAATATGACCAACTTTGCGCCTAGCTCCTTTGGAGGTAGTAGTGTTGGCAAGACTACCGAGTCCGGCGCTACATCTTCCCGCCCTGTACGCTATGGAGGTGGTGCGACCTTCAAGGATCGTCTCAATGAAGTGCGCTGGTCTGCCAGCCGCGTCGCTGGGAAAGCCATGTTCTGGCGGAAGTAGAGAACCTCTCTCTCTCTTCGCTTAGAGATTTATGTTTCCTTTTCTTTTCCTTTTTAATTTTTTGCTGGAGTTCATCTTTTTTGGAGGTCTGCTTTGAGATATCAGGTGTTTAATCTTTGTTTGTTTTCTTTTTATGATGGAAATATTGTCACGATATTGCTTTTTTTTCTCTCAGTTTGATATATGTGGACATGTGTATTGATGGATGTACTTACGCTTTCTTCGGAATTGAATTATGCATTTGATGGTAATCTGTCTTTCCCATGGTGTCCCGGGGCTTTTACACCTAAAGATGCAGTCAGCAAAGATCCTAATAAAAATTTATTTAACGCATAGCACCAAGACTCCCCAGCAGAAAAACATCCCTCAAAGTACCCAAGCTCAATAGTATTTACAAAGAAGCTAACAAATACTCCACAGCATCAATCCCCACGGAGCCAGCAATGAGACCATTCATCCAATCCAACTCATAATTCATTTAACCGATTCCCATCAACCTCATGAATCCTCGTAGCCCGTGGCCCCAACTCAACTGGAAACACCTTCTCCCTCTCGGGATAAACAGGGTAAACAAGATGCTGTTGCGAACTCGCCGCCGCAATCTCATCAAACATAGCCTCCTTCTGCCTCATATTCTTCCTATAGATCCGCCTCTGAAGAAGAATCGTAATAATCGCCGCTAGAAGACATGCACCCAGACCACCACCTATCCCCGCACTTATCGCTGTTGTATGTGACGCTGGACATGTTGATCCGGCGGCGCAAGTACCAACGGAAAGATCTTCAGAATCGCCTTTTTTGCTGCTCGTGTTGAGAGTAGATGTAGATGTAGATGCAGACGTAGGAGCAGATGAACTGGAAGATGTTGACATTGAAACTGACGACTCAGACGAAGCAAATGAAGACGAGACAGCATCTGAAATCGATGTAACCGTCACATTAATCATCTGCCCCATGTCCAGCCTGACGGCATTATCGCAACAATCGGAGCCGTTGACGCTGCCGCACCAGAAACCGCGGCCTTGGACTGGACATGGGATTACGTAGAGTGTTGCGTCGGATGCTATATTTAGCGGAGCAGAGGTTAACAATAGACTCCAAAATTAAATGCCATAGCTGGTCAATCGAGAGAAGAACACAATCATCTCTTACCATCATCAGCAAGACCCGGACACTGCCCGCTCTTCCATGTCGAATCCGTACAAGCACCCTGTCGTAATAGACCGCGGAAATTGGGATCCTGGATATAGCACACTCCGCCGGAGAGACAGATATCGTTTGGAGTTTCGTTGCTTTTTGCGAGTGAACAGCAGGGGCTATTTTCTTGAGATGGGAAGCAGGGTTGGAAGCTGGAGTCTGCTTCTTTGCCGTTTGTTAGGTAGCATTTTTGGTTGGCTGTAACTGTCTTGAATGTTGTTTGGAAGATCAACAGTTGCAGGATTTGGTGGATGGTTGACTTGGGCATTGCTTTTCTTCGTCAAAAGAGATTATAGGGTATGGGATATATGGAGAGCGCGTGTTAAGATAGAAAGGATTCACGATTCTACTGTTGTTTGATCTTGTTAGTGCAGATGGGGGCTGAATTCTGAGACGACTTGATGGAGAGATACATAGTAACTAGGGGATCTCATTGGTGATTTGAGGCGGTTAGTAGATTGTCGGGATTGGTGGAGGCCCGCAGATCCCAGTGCTAATTATGTTTTACTAGCCCTGTGAAATAAATTGGGTACTCCGTATAAGAGATATCATCGCCAAGACGAATAAGCGCCAGGTTCTCTAACACCGAGCATATTTTTGGCGCTTGCCTAAACTATAGTGAAATTGAAATGTATTGGCTAGAAAATAATAGCTCGATGCAGTCGGTTAGTTAATTTAAATTAAACGGTGAAGTAATGGACTTTGAAGACACCGCCATTGATCTTTGTGCATTCCGGACTTTTCGTCTTACCTCCTAGAGAAGTCAAAATCAAACGTACAGAGATCTAGGGAACTCTCATCACTGTAATCTGTGTACGTATTAGCACCAGCCAGTTAGACAGTGAAAATATCAGTGATGATTTTATAGATTCTGAAGGTTTACTTTCATCTCATCTCCCAATGTTGAGATGGTCAAATGATCAAACTATAACCGGGAAATATTGAGACATACTTGTGGCCCCCTCACCAACTTCTTTTCGTATTCATTGTCCAGCGTAAATTGCTTCCTCGTTCCCCCAAGTCTCTGCCTCATCATGTCTTTATGTTTGCCAAATGAACTGATTTATACGATCGGTCCGTACTTAAACATGTGGAACGACTCGAGCAAGTCTTACGTGCACGGATGAACGCCTCGTCCAAACGGATAAATATTTCCACAACTGCTTCAACATTTCAGCTTTACACTTTCAACATACGTGGTTCGAAAAGCTCGGCCTTGGTATGGGCCGTGTCGACAGGATCCGCACATCGACGAATTGAAGTCCTGTTCTTTGGCAAATTTTGAACTGCTTTTCGGACACGCGTACACCAGTGATTTCGATGAATTTAGAGGGAAAGCTATCACCCCGGCATATATCAAAGACTCAACAGGGATGCCAAAGGAAGTGCCGAAATAGAATCTCCTCATAGCATGACGGAGATGTATAAAATGGAACTGCATGTCTTTGTGGTCAAGCGAGTCGAAACAATTCCTGAGCTTAAAATGTGGAGTCGGTAAGCTGATGTGTCCAGAGATGCAGCTGCAAGCAGGCATAGCAGAGGCAGGACTGCTATAAGTCACGAGCGATTCTGGTCAATAGAACAAATCGCGGTTCAAGCTCTGGACTTTCTGCATAATCTGCAGGGAAAGCCTTCGACAAGAGCTCATTGCAGCTTCGGAAATTCATAAAGTCATGGCTGCAGTGCCTGGCAGGTGGCGTCAAGTGGCGAGGGATATCTGGAAACAAGACTCAACAAATTCGGTGGAAGATCCTCCAGGGTGTTCATACTGTGATTAATCCGAGCTGTGGTCACAGTGGCCTAAGAATAAGATGGACTCACCATATTGCTCCTAGTCTATGGTCACCTGACAAGCGATTTTATGATTCCACAATTCGTCATACTCCGATAGTCTGCTATAAATTTTCTAAACACTCACTTTCATATGTTTGTTCTTAGCCTGAGGGTTAGGCGATGCAGCTGGAGGCTTGGAGTCCATACCCGCTATTCCCGCCCACAAGCAGGTAGAGAAACACAAGGCCTGTTTATGAAGCCGTATCACTTCAAGTTAATCCTCAACCTGAAGGCAGAAAGTCCACGTATATTCAAAACCATTTGTCCGCCCAGAAGCAGAGAATGCGGGGAAGCCAACAACTCAGAATATACTTAGTGAGCAAGCCACAGAACTCAACAATGAGTGATCAGATAAAGACGCTCAAAAGGCATGATCGGGTAACTCGGATATCTTATGCAAAAGCGAGGGGTGAGCGCTAACTAATCGAAGGCCAAATTAGCAGGGGAACCCATTTCATAGGTCACTCGAGGTATAGGTTACTCCGAGGTACACTCCGGGCTACTCCCCGAGGTCCAGAGCTAGCACGTTTTGAATTACTAATAGGATAGAGGGGCTTCAACCAATTTCAAGTTGCTCTAAAATTAATGCCCGCTTTCTTTGAATTCGATTTCAATCTATCATGCGAGATCATTGACCATGTTCTCGGAAAAAGCAACCCATGCGGTACCTGCTACTTCTGAAGTCACAGATCTAGCGCATATCAGTGAAAATGAAGATCAGCCTGAACTACTATCCAGTGTTCCCACAAGGAGTATCCTACGAGGATGCCTCCAGGTTCTAGGTGCATTTTTTATATTTTTCAACGTCTGGTTAGGCAACTCCCCTATGCATTGTTACTTCATAGCGACTAACTCCTCAAAAGGGGCCTAAGCTTTGCATTTGGATCCTTCCAAAGCTTTTATGGACTCACATACATTCAATCATCTACCGCTTCAGACATAGCATGGATCGGCACAATCCAATCATGGCTTCTAATTGTCGGCGGGCTACTATCTGGCCCGCTTTTCGACCTCGGCTACTACAAAGTGATGATATTTGTCGGAAGTTTCTTAGGCGTTATTGGTATGATGATGCTCAGTCTTGCAAATACATACTATGCGATATTTTTGAGTCAAGGGGTATGCATGGGTCTCGGATTTGGGCTGCTTTATGTGCCCAGTATTGCATTGGTTAGTCGCTCATTCACGACCAGACGAGCTGTTGCTTTGGGCGTATCAACCAGTGGCGCTCCTGCAGGTGGCATTATCTACACCGTTATGTTCAACCAGCTTATTTCAAAGTTGGGATTTCCTTGGACTGTTCGTTGCATGGGATTTGTCATGCTCGCACTTTTCTCTGCAGCTGCTGCCCTACTTCTGTTGCCAGAGAGAAATACCAAGAAACCCGAGAGAACTCAACGCAGGAGTCTGCTTGATACACAGGCGTTCAAGGATATACCATTTTGGAGTTTCACCGTCGCCAACTTTTTCTTTACCTCGGTTATATCACGCCTTTCTATTACATTCCAACTTACGCGGAAACGAAACTGGGAACATCGCGAACGTTGGCTTCTAACATCTTGATGATATCTCAGGCATGTTCGATCATCGGCCGTGTTGTACTGACCATCTTTGCTCACCATTATGGGTCAATGATCTCATGGATCTCGTGTGGAATATTGTCAGGCATACTCTGCATCAGCTGGATAAGCGCAGACAGCCTTGTTAAATTTATTCTATTTGCTTCTTTTTATGGTGAGACATTCCCCTTGATCTTTTTATTGATATTCAATCTAATTCAAAATGCAGGTGGTATTTCCGGAGCTTTAATTCCACTTCCACCCAGCGTTTTCTCTCATGTCTGTCCTGACCCTAAGAGGCTTGGGACGTGGCTTGGAATGGCACAGAGCCTGAGCAGTTTTGCAACCCTGTTGGGACCGCCCATAGCAGGTGCACTTGCTTCAATTGGCGCCAATGGCAGTGCCGATTTGAATTATCACGGCATTCAGCTATTCAGCGGGATAACCATGGGCTTTGGGGCCCTACAGCTGATAGGTCTATGGTACCTACTCTACACGAAGAGAGGCAAGACGGGTCTTTTTTGAAAATGCAAGAAGATGGCGTTATTCATGACTCACGATATACGATTCCGAGGGTAACTGTCCGAGGGAAATTGTCCATTCTGCTTAGCTTTGTTCTGATTTGGCATTGCATCAGCGTTTTCCCGATAAAATCAAACCCGTATTGACAAATTAATGTCATATTTCACTCATAATTTGAAGTATTCTCTCCGTAGTTCTTGCAAGTGAATGATATAGTTCGGAGAGACAGCCAATCAAGTCTTCTCGGGAAACCCCTCATCACGGGATCTCGGTGTTCTCATCGAACCATATCAACGTGAGTCATTGGCAAGAAACTGAGATAGGAATATCAACATTTAAAGCTAGACTGTTGTTCTCTTGTTCTCATTTTTAAAAAGGCAACTGTAGAAACAATTGCATTGCATCTCAATCATGGCAGCACTACGCCCCAAAGGACCTTTGGTCTCCTTCACTCCGGCCCTACTGCCGTCGAACAGAACAATCCCAGGCCGAACTATTTCCCTAGAGAAACTTGAACCCAAACACGCAAATGACCTCTTCGCACTCACCGGCGGAGATGAGTCCACCCCCAATGCATCCCTCTGGGACTACATGTTCGACGGCCCATACAGCGACGCAGACAAATTCAAAGCCAGCATCGCAACAAAGTCAACCTCAACTGATCCATTCTTCTTCGCGATCATCGACAAGCGAAAGACCCTTCCAACATTCGGAAAGGCAATTGGCTATCTATCATTGATGCGAATTGTGCCCGATCACTTGGGAATTGAAGTCGGGAATGTTATGTACTCGCCTGCTCTCCAACGGACGACTGGTGCTACAGAAGCTATTTATCTTATTTCCCAATATGCATTCCATGATCTTGGCTATAGGCGGCTGGAGTGGAAGTGCCATGCATTGAATGAGCCATCTCGTCGGGCTGCTTCGCGTTTGGGATTTACTTATGAGGGGACCTTCCGGCAGCACATGATCGTTAAGGGGAGGAACCGGGATACAGCTTGGTATTCTATATTGAAGGATGATTGGGATGCTTCTTTGAAGGTCGCACTGGAGAAGTGGCTGGATGAGAAGAATTTCAAGGAGGATGGTAGCCAGGTTAAGACTTTGCAGGATTTGAGGGGCGAGAGTGCATAGATATAAGCCGTTGGGGTGCTTTCTTTTCCACTTATATACCGAGAGTTCAAATAGATCTGCTATCTGCCTTTAGAATCTTAGAGACAACTTCTAAAGCTTTGAATCCTTCTTCTCGCCCTTCATAATCTCCTCGACAACCTTGGCCGCCATCAAAGTCTCCTCATCCCTGCAGTGTCTTCCAGCAATCTGCAATCCCACCGGGACACCCTCATACCGCTCAGGACCCTGATACTTCAGCCACTCCCTCTCATCAATTTCATCCCGAGGGGTATACTTCTTATCCTGTTCGGACAACACATCCAACTTAGGGTCAACAGTGAGCCCGGACGGGAACACCGCAGAGGGCAAGTCCGCCAAATTCCAAATGGCAGTGTAGTTCCAATAGTGGGACTCGCCCATAACGGCTGCAGCTGCAGGATATGTCGGAGATAGAATAAAGTCGACACCACGACGCTTAAGAAGAGCGTTGTATTCATCCTTGAAGATTTCTCGCTGTTCTTGCAGCTCCCAGGTTTCGGCGTGGGAGAGAGGCGAGGGACGACTGTAAGACAGGGCCCATTCTGTGAGAGGGCGTGCTGGTTCTCCCGATTCGCGCATGAGTTCACGCTGTTTGGCGCCGGCATCGGGGTAATATAGGGCAGACTGTAACTCTATCAGTAATCTCATCTTGCGAATGAAGAAAATTCACTGCTTACAATGACTTCCCAGCCATGCTTGTGCTTATATGGTTCCCAATCCACCACTTTAACCCCCGCAGCTGCCAACTTCTCCTTGGCGTGCCCGAGAGCCCGAGTGATTGGGGGATGCGGCCGAACCCATCTGTGACATCAATTAGCAAACTTCCAGTGGAACATAAGTTTGGCTCTCATCATACCCATCATCCCACATAATAGCAACAGTCATATTCCGAGTCGGAGCAACCGTCTTCCACGGCACAGGCATCAATGACGTCTCATGGTCCCAAGGCTCCTGTTCCAACACCGCTCGTTGGAACAGTTCTAGATCCTCAACTGAGAGACTCGCCATTGGTCCAACTACACCTCGAATGGTCTCCTGGCCCGATGAAGCGACTTTTATTCCTGTTCCGGGATTACGAAGTGTCGAGGGGCGGAAACCATAGGCACCACAAAATGCCGCTGGACAACGAATTGATCCACCGATATCAGTGCCAATACCTAGCGGGGCACAGCGGAAGCCCATTGAAGCGCCTTCGCCGCCTGATGATCCGCCTGGGGTCAGAGCGCGGTTGTATGGGTTGACGGTTGTGCCGGTGATGTTGTTGCTGCAGCATAGGTGCTAAAGTATAGTTAGCTACTGGAAGAAAAATCTTGGATATAGCCGTACCATCAACGACTGGGGCTGATTAGTGCGGACGTGGAAGACCGCACCGGCTTTGCCGAGTAGTTGGATGAGAAGGGCATCTTCTGTGGCGACCTTGTCGACCCTGTTCTCATAGTTAGTGATGGCTTCAAATTAACTACAGGCTCTAAACAAACTGACCAGGCAACATAACCTGTATTGCAAGTTCGATTCTTGAAAGATAAATGCTCTTTCACACTGATTGGAACACCGTGCTATCAAATGGTTAATTTCTGGCAGTTATCAAATCATTTGGATCGCCTACAAGTGGCCCGACTAGTCTCCCTGTACGTCGGTAATACTCATCAAGCTCTTTAGCACGAGCGATTGCCTCATCTGCCATGAACTCAGTTGCAAAGTTAAGCTGCGAGTAATACATTAGCAACCAAGCGAACAAAGCCGACTTCCACTATCTCACCAATTGATGGCCCAGGACGGATCTTTTCAAAAACGCAACCACCACCTCTTCCGCAGTCATATTCCCCTTGCTCATTTCAGCCACTAGTGCAGTAGCTGACATATCGGTAATCTTCAGCTCGCGCACACTCAGTAGCCCACTTTCCCTAGGAAAATCAACCACGCTCTTCCGGGAAACAGGCGGCAACCTGTCAGCAGGGAGAAGCCATTGCTTCGGAATGGAGTTCTGTAGAATATCTCTGCCCTTTTGGGCCTGTTGCTGCCATCGTTCGAGACTCATGTTATGGATTGGAATGAAGTATGGGGATGGTTGCGGCGGTCAGGGATCAGATAGAGGAGAGAAGCCACCGTCGTACAGCTCACATTCCCCGCACAGAATCCATTATACCCCATTTGGAAGGCTGTAGCTATCTCGGAATCGGAAGGAAAGTTCCTACTCCAATGTTTGTCCTCGGCCATCCCCGGTAAGAGTGGAGGATCTTATCTGTCTGCTTGATAGGGAATTGATCGCTGCGGAGTAATTCCGCTATCTTGTCACTTGCATTTGAGGTTATTCAGAAGTATTGAATGGTGACAATTTGGGTGAACTTGAAGATAGATCTATAGCTTCAATAGCAATCCAGTCCAATCGTTGTTCTTTTCGTGCCAATATCCTCATGTAAGAAGGGCGCTGAATAGACCTTAAGATTTCAAGATTGCCTTTTGCTTATATTCTGTTTGATTTATCATCTCGAGATAGTTTGAGCCTTTATAGTCTTGCCGTAGAGACAGTGTCGTATAGATCTTGGTAGCCTGTTTCCCGATTGTTGGGTTTGGGGGGTTGGGGGGAGGATTTCACCCATCTTTGCCTGACTTCTTGATAGGCCGCTTGATACATTCAAAGCAGAGCTGCAGCGTCGACTAAATGTTAAGAAGAAGAATAAAACCAATAACATACCACTTTGATGGCCTGGTTGAAGCATGCAAATCCCTTTGTAAATCATGGCTGCACGTGACCACGTGTCGCGTTCGACGCGATCCGCGGATCCAGTCTCCTCTTTTCAACAGACAAGCAGACTAAAGCGTCCCGACCTACTAGCAAGTCAAGGCAGAAGGACTCACAAGCTTCCTCCTACCACATCACTGCAGCATGACTCAAGATCAAGTCGCCCAAGGCTCCGCGGCACCTTCGCCGCCACACGACCCCTCGCACGAAGAGCACCAGTACCTCAATCTTATTCGTGACATCCTCTCTCAGGGCGAGCACCGGCCCGATCGCACAGGCACCGGCACAAAATCAATCTTTGCACCACCTCAACTCCGCTTCTCCCTCTCCAAGCCCAACCCAGAAGGCGGCGATCAAATCCCCGTCCTGCCCCTTCTTACCACAAAGCGAGTCTTCCTGCGGGCCGTGCTAGCTGAACTCCTCTGGTTTATCTCCGGCTGCACTTCATCGCTTCCCCTCTCCGAAGCCGGCATTAAGATCTGGGATGGAAACGGGAGCCGCGAGTTCTTGGATAAGGTTGGTCTCGGCCACCGCGAGGAAGGCGACCTGGGCCCCGTATACGGGTTCCAATGGCGGCACTTTGGTGCTCAATATGTCGATGCCAAAACCGATTACACCGGACAAGGCGTCGACCAGCTCAAGGACGTCGTGAACAAGCTCATTAACAATCCTTTTGATCGCCGTATCATCATGAGTGCCTGGAACCCCGCGGATCTGACAAAGATGGCTCTGCCACCATGCCACATGTTCGCTCAATTTTATGTCTCGTTCCCTCCTGGCATGAAGCTTGATGAGAAGACTGGTCGCCCGACAGAGAAGGGGACCCTCTCTTGTGTGCTCTACCAGAGATCCTGTGATGTGGGTCTTGGTGTGCCCTTCAACATCGCCTCCTACGCTCTTCTCACTCATATCCTTGCTCACGCTGCCGATCTCCACCCCGGCACCCTCATTCACACCATGGGCGATGCTCATGTCTACCTTGACCACGTTGATGCACTTAATGAGCAGCTTACTCGGGAACCTACGGAATTCCCCGAGCTGCGCATTAAGCGTGATGATCGTGGAAGCGCAGTCGTCGATGGCTGGAAGGAGGATGAGTTCGAGGTGATTGGTTATAAGCCTCACAAGATCATCAAGATGAAGATGAGCGTTTAATGTTTATAGATTTCTGCGGTCTATCCGAGTTACGATATCTGTATGATACCAGTTATTCCCAGTGTTTACCATAGATTATGGGTAGACATCATGGCAATACATTCAATATCCGATTCTAATATGTACATCCTCATATCATTAATAAAGCTTAATGATAAATGAAAATTCAGACGCATCGTCTCACATCATGCAAATATGCCGCTGGGTGTATCAAGCTGTGTATATGCTCCGAAATAAACAAGAAAAGAAGGGTAAAAAGACGAAATGCCCAAATGCATCACGAACTCTCGAGAACAACCCCAGCACCACGCAGCAACACAATCGTGTCACCCTGCTTAACCTTCCCAGCACCAATAGAATCCGAGAACTCCAAGAAATCCCCAGACTCAACGTGAAAGATGCGCAACTTAGCATCCTCACCACCAACACGATTATTCAAATTCTCCACCCTCAACTTCTTAGCCGCATCATCCAATACACGACCAACCTTCCACCGTGAATCGAAATAAAAGTTCCCAGCCGGCGGCTCGGCAGCCTGCGTCTCCGCCGTCCCAACAGTATGCAAATAAAGCCTCTTATCCGCCGGAACAGAAGCATCTCCCTTCGCAGAACGCTTCAAAGTATTAAGCGCAACGGCACGCGCAGCAGGACTATTCGGCTTAGGCTTCGGCTTTGGCAAAAGAGTCCCACTAGCAGCCGCCTGTTGCTTATCACGGCCCCAAGTACGAACGCGCGCAAACATCGACTTGATAGTATCATTAGCGCTAGCGCCATTGCTCTGTCTCGCGCCCAGCGGGGTAATCTTGGCGCAATCGTGTTCCTCGCGCAGACGGTGCTTGAGGCAGTATTGGTGGTTACATTGTGGGCAGCGGACGGCGGGGTCTTTGAAGGTGTTGATGAGGGTTTTACATTGGACGTGGTAGCACTGCTCTGAATTGTAAATGTTTGGTTTTTCGGGGGCGGTGCGGTTTTCTTGGTTGTTGGTGGCTGTTCCGTTGCGGCGGCGTGCCCATTCGCCTTCGCATGGGCATTTGTGGGCCGTTTCTGAGCGGTGTTCTAGGCAGTAGGTACTGTGGCAGGATTCGCAGCGGAAGGGGAGGAAGTCTAGTTGGCCGCAGTATTCGTATTGGCAATGGCGGCCGATTGATTCGAGGTCTGTGTCTGCCATTTGCGTGAAGGATTCATCTTTGGGTGAGGGGTTGCGCCCTTTCGATGCTGTTATGGGGGCCATGGCTATGAGAGTTGTTTGGGCTTGGGAGTGGACTTGGGACTTGCAAGGTATAAATGAGGCTCCGATGCTCGAAGGCCCTGGCACAATCGACAATCGCCATGTGACTAATGCGGAGAAGCTTCCAGGCGGCTTATCTAAGCGCGGAGATATCGAATCGGACTTAGTGCATGTATGACAAACATTTGGGAATATCTTGAAGGAAAGAAAGCAGGGGAAAGCGAACAGCCGCGCGTTAGTAGTGTTCAAGGTTGACTTGAAAACAGAGTTCCATAAGAGTTGGCTTTTTCCCGAAGTTCAACCTTGGAATCACTCTCCTCATGCCTTGTGAGTAGCTTAGTGATTTTATGTAACAACTGATGTATACACTCGCATATATTCCAAGACCTTCATAAGGTATCATGCTTAGAGCCAATTAAATAGTTCGTCTCAATAGATTGGCATTCTGATGCTATATATAAGAAGGATCAATTTGAAAATAAAATATTTGTTTCCTCCAAGCTCCGACAAGCAGTCTCAGGAAGCAAACACCATGTCCACAATAGTCCAAAGAAAGTCGTCACCGAAAAGAACCAAAACGTTCCTTTGGGCTGTAAGGCATCTTGAAGCAACATAGAAGGGACAGCCTTTTTTCCCTTTTGTTAGCAACCAGTCACCATATAAATCAAGTTGGTAAACACACCTTGGAAATACCATACCGGTTGGCATAGTCAAGACACATTAAAAGACTGGATCCAGTAGTCCGAACACGCAATGGGAAAACCTCAGCGTTGATGATATACTGAATAGAATTCCATCCCATTGCCCAACCAATTACAACAAAATAGATGAAAACAAATGCCGCAATAGCTGCGTTTTTAACAGATCCTGACTCATCACTGGAGGAAAATGACTCGACTGTGAGATAGATTGCAACATATAACATTGCAACCTGCTGTACAAGAATTCCGGACACCAATGATCGCTTTCGTCCAATATGGTCGATCAAAAGGACAGCGCATATTAAAGATGCAATGAACTTGGCTGCGCCAAAGACTGCTGTTATGAACAGTTTCTCTGATTGGCCATTGATACCAAAGAGGGAGAATAACTCGGGTGCATATGCTATAGGAATTTGAGAATTAATACCTGAAAGGGAAAATATCTCGCTTACTGGTGATGGAATTTGCTCCAGACCACTGGGCAAAAATCTGTGCCGAAACCACAAAAAGTAGACTTTGCTGGTTTGACTTGATGGTGAAAAGTTCCCTGATAGATTTGAACCAGGATTGTCTCATAATCTGATTCTGGTCTGTCTCAAGTTCATCTTGAATTCCTTCAATCACAGTCATGACATCAGGGTGTAATGCAGGTAGACTCCATAAACTTCCCAGTGCTTCCTTCGCTTTATGCCAATCTCCGATCTTGCACAAATATCGAGGACTCTCTTCGCACAAAAATGACGATAGGAACAAGATGCCTGCAACAATGATTTGTATGCTCTGTGGAATGATCCACTGCTTGGCACTATCATTCGACATATGCAACGAAGCCCCCAAGCAGAAAAATACTATACAGATTAGCGACGTCGACAATACACTCTGATCCACTTACCCCAATCATGATCCCAACATATTCAGACATGGCAAACATGCTAACAAGCATACCTCGAGCATGAGCAGGTGCGATCTCCGCAAGGTATGTTGGTGCCACAACACCCGCCTGTCCAATTCCAAGTCCCAATATGCAGCGGCCTGCGTATACCTGCCCCAAATTCCCAGAGGCAGTTATAACAATAATGACACCAGTCATCCAAAGCAGGCAAATCTGTCGCATCGACCACAGCAGTCCAATTCGTTCACAGAGGAAAAGGGCGATAAGGGCTCCGGGAACACTTCCAATATGAACCATAGATGTGATATTCGAGAGTCGATTGGCTTGTTGAGATGAGTCGAGATAGCTGGCACGAATGTCGAATTCACGGATAAAGGATTTTTGCGCGACAGTCGTCGATATAATGGCCTCATCGAGTCCTATTTCTTAGTATACTGGTTTGGTATGTAAGGATAAGTGAGTGACTCACCTCTCGACATCCCCGATAGCCCAAAGCAAAATGCCGCACATAGCAAGCTGAGGCTACAGCTCTGGAAAACCGAGCAGTATCGTCTGGACGTCTTCATGGTGTGTCGTCAGCGTCAAAGTGCAAGACAATTAACATTTCTGTGGCAAGACTGAAGATGAGAAGTGGAAGAGGACACTCTAGCCACCACATGTCCCACTTGGGATTTCTTTCCCATTTACTAATATCCTGATCATTTCTATTATTATGGGGCTTGTTAAGGGGAGGACTCGGGTTGTCAAGTGTACTCCGTCCGAGGGAATCCACTCTCAGCTCTACAGGGCTGAACTAAGGACAAGCCTTGGATTGTGTTTTGGCATTGGACGAAACATGTTTAGTTATTTGGCGCTTTATGCAGGCATAACAAAAACTGGCAAATTAGCAATTAGGGTATTGACCACGGTTGGTGGCTGCCATACGTCACATTCATACGCCCAGTCGGAGGTTTGAACAACATCCGCAATTTAACGTGCTATACGTAGTGGAAGTCGATGATTCGCCGATTAGAGGTGTCGTAAGACCTCTCTCGGTCTAACAACATGCTTGTATGTCTTACACACGAAGACTGGGTCTATCGAAGGTTAGTGAAAAAATTGGGTTGCCATGGTTAACTACTATAATATATATCGTGATACAATGAATTGTATGAAATTTGACGAATGTTGAATGCTGACTTTAGGGTGAAATGGTGTAAAAAAACGTGAGATGATATCTAGGGAGCGTCTTAATCCCTCAATTATTTGCTACCCCTCCTAATCATTATACACTAGTATTATCGAAGTAATTAGATTCGTCTACGGTCCTGTGGTAGCGTCTTTGGTAGTAAACGTACGCTGTAAAGGTACAAAATGCCGTACCCCAAAACATCTTTAATTTTCAATCGCCATTTTCTCGATAACTAGGAGGCTACGCATACTCCGAAGTGAATCGGAGATAAATTAGATTGTCTATTATAACTTGCCAAAATTTGAGAGCGATCGGAGGTCATTAGACCTCACCAGTCTAACGAGGAAATTAATTCCCAGTCTAACGGGACCCACTTTTTATGTCCCATAAACCCTAGTATTTAAGCGGAAACCATAATTCCCAGTCTAGTAGACTGGGCCACCCCCGTGGGATATGAAGGCAGTCGAGGGGCAGTCGCGGGGCTTGTCGAAGTCTCCGATCTTGGTACCCGACCCAGCACGACCCAGCCAATCTGGTAAGCGAAGTCACGTGATTAAGTATTGGTTTAGTATCAGCGCCAAATCCACTATGCTTCTTCAGTATCATCGTATCCCCAAATTCCAACAGATATAAATGGTTACGACTCTTCTGTAAAACGTACAAGTCCTCCCGTCTAGAAAATATATATCTTTGCATGATCAGAAGTAAATTCTGAAATGCCAACCACAACAGTCCGAAATAGAAAATTCATTGGTAATTAACTTAATATGAAGCTTCATGAAATCAGATACAAGGTGATTTCACCAGTTTTATTAATAGGTAGACCTGATTCATTATCAATATTAGTGGTAGATACCAAAACAGTGTTTAAAAACAGTAAAAAACGGGGCTGAATAATCAGTTTATGCGGCCAAAAAAGGAAAGTCTTGGCATAATTATGAAATTGCGGGGGACCGCATGGGAATTGATAGGGACACTCCCACTTTTGTTCCGGACACTCCTAATTATGTAATATCCATGATTAGGTAATTGAAAACGTCATGTGATTGTATTGGAATTACCACAGCAACATCATTCTAAATGTCATACCATAGTATAGTATAAATCCCCAGCCCTCGCCTCCCTCTTTTCTTAGCTCCTCAAATCTCTGCCTCTCGGATTTTTCAGAAATGGAGCCCCCTACTGAGCAAATTTTTGATAGCAGAGATTTATTAATTGCCTCTGTCCGTCAGCATGCTCTCTCGCAAGGTTACGCTGTCACTACTATACGATCAATCACAGATAAGTACATCTATCTTGGTTGTGACCGTGGTGGCACGTATCGTGACCGAGTGAATGCTCCTGATGGAGCGAAACGAAGAACGACAACTACACGGCGGATTGGCTGTCCATTTAAGCTATACGGGAAAATGCTTTTTGATGATAAGTGGGAGTTACAGGTCCAAAACCGGAATCATAATCACACAGCTGATGATAATATGATCGGACATTCAGCTGCCCGTCGGCTCACAGAGGAGCAGCTTCAAAAGGTCCTACATCTATCGGAAATTGGATCTAACCCTCGTGGCATCCTAGCTCTAATCAAACGAGAGCATCCTAATGCTTTAGTTACCCCTCGAGACATCTACAATGCGCGAAGTGCTTTACGAAGGCAAAAGCTCGGTAATAGTACTCCCCTTGAGTTTCTACTGAAGACTTTGAAGGAAAATCACTGGAAATATGCTATTAAGCAGGATAGCGAAGGACATGTCCTCTTTTTTATGTTTGCACACCCAGAGTCAATCAAGTATGCTAACCTATACAACAGGGTATTCGTCCTAGACTGCACCTATAAGACAAACCGATATCGTATGCCTCTATTGCATATTATTGGTGTCTCGCCATCAAATTCAACCTTTAGCGTTGCATTTTGCTTTATGCAGAATGAACAGGAAGAGAGCTATATTTGGGCTTTAAAGACTTTTTTCTCATTTCTCGACCCCCTCTCTTTCTATCCAGTTCTTTGTACAGATAGAGACCTTGCATTATTAGGTGCTGTCAAGGTCGTCTGTCCAGATTATCCCCATCTTCTTTGCATCTGGCATATTAACAAGAACGTAACGTCTAATACGAAGCAGCATTTTACGACGAACGCCGAATATCAAACATTTCAAAAATCATGGAATCAGCTAATTTATTCTACTACAGAGAACGACTACAATTCGAGGCTATCAGAGTTCGAGAAGCGATATCAGACCTCCCCTTCTCTTCGATATGTTAAGGAGACATGGCTAATTCATAAAGAAAAATTCATAGTTGCATGGACACAACAATGCCTACACCTCGGTAATTCTGCGACCTCTCGAGTTGAAGGCTCACATGCCTTTTTTAAAAAGCACATCGGTGCTTCGACAGGGGATATGTTGATCGTATTTGAAAGGATTTCACAGGCTTTACAAACCCAGCATGCTACGCTTGAATATGATTTTAGACGAGATCAGATTGAGAGGCCAGTAGTAACCTTACATCAACTTTATACTAATATTGTGATCAGGACCTCCCGCTATTCGATACGACTGATTGGCGAGCAAGTTACAAAGGCTAGAAGAGCTACAAATCTTGCTCCTTTACCCCCTTGTACTAATACGTTCACAAGGACAATGGGTCTTCCTTGTGCCCATCGGATTACTAGTTTATTGGAGAGCAATAAAGCTATCCCATTGACAGATATCCACCCATTCTGGCGAACTGGGCTTTCTGAAATGGAATCAGAATACCTTCCTCTCTTAGAGCCTTTGATTCCTTTTCCAAAGCCTAAAAAGCGGAAGTGGGATCAATTGGAGCAGAAAGACGACAGCGAGACTATGAATAAACGGAAGAGGGCACCCTTTAAATGCACTGCATGTGATAAAGTTGGGCATACACGAAGGTCATGTAAATAATACGGAGAATGAATACCAATACAATCACATGACGTTTTCAATTACCTAATCATGGATATTACATAATTAGGAGTTTCCGGAACAAAAGTGGGAGTGTCCCTATCAATTCCCGGACCGCATGGGGGACCGCAAAGGACCATGGGGGACCGTGGTGCGGTCTTGACTACTTTGGAAAATGACCAAAGACCGGATTGTACTGTTTTTGACCCTGTTGACCTGTGCCGATATCTGAGGCCCATCTCAATCGCGGATAACCCCCTTTCTACTTTTTCAGGTCGTGGCCTTGCCCTAGGGAAAAATGAGCAAGAACGACGTCGGCATCCCCTTCCTGCTCGTCCGCCAGTCGACGTCTGCGTGAATAGCAGCCGGCCCGATTTTACACCAATGGCTGTTGTTGAAGTACTGAGCGAACATCCGTCTGCAACAAGTGGTCCCTTGTGACTGACGGTCTGACCTGCACGGCGTTGGCGAGCCAGGCGGGGATTACGCTGAAGCAGTTTTTGGCGTGGAATCCGGCGGTGAGTAGCGATTGTGTGACGAATTATTGGTTGGGGGAGGCGTATTGTGTTGGTGTTAGTGCTAAGTACCGGGAGGGGGTGAGTAATGCTGCTGGTTACTAGCGAGGTAGTAACAAGTTTGACCATACAGGGGGAGTATATGGACAAGAATCGATTGAAGAAGTTGGCTGTGTCTTCTTTTCTGCTTGTCGGTAGCGGTGAGCGCGATTGTCGGCCCTTCGTTGATTGAATTTGAGATTCGAGTGTGGTCTACCGGCCAGGATTATTGATTCTGTACATTAATCTGATGAGAATCAGATATAGTCCTCCGGATCCTGCTCCCTCTCTTCCACAAACTCAAACGCTTTCCACTCCATGTTCTCCCCGTCTCCGCCCACAATATCCTCAAACGCCTTGATGACTCCGTCCTCCGGCCTCCAGTCCTCACCGACCTGCCACGTCACTTTTCCTTTCCCATCTCCTCCAACGGCAGGCGCCTCGTATCTCACCCCCCATCGGAACATAACCGTCTCCTCCTCATACGAAGTTGGAGGCACGTCATCACTCCCTTTATACTCCTTCGCCCTCTCCTTGGAGGGCCGCCACGTAAGCCACGTAAAAAGCTCGGCGTCTCGAATGGCGGGCATCTTTTGCCGTTGCAGAGACGAGGCAAACGCCGAGAGCAAAGGGTTGATGCGTTCCGCGATGGGGCGCAGACGGAACATGTCGGGGTTGCGGAGGTCGTATATGTCCGGTGCGTCGCCCCGGTACTCTTCCTCCTCGTCGGACATCAACTCGTGCGTCTCGTCGTCGTCTTCCTGGCCGGGCGGGTAGTGCTCCTCTCTCGTGATGGCGAACCCTGTCGCGTGGGGATCTTCCCCTCGCGGGCCGGAAAAGTACCAGCTGCCGTCGGGCGCGCACGGGTGGAATTCCACGTTGAGGTGCCGCATGTGTGGCCATGACAAACCGTCGCCACCGGAAGGGAAAAGACCGGGGGTGATGAGCGCGCAGACGTCTAGTTCCTCCAGGCGACTTCCCAGGTCCTGCAGGCCAAGAGACACAGGGTCCATGCCTTCAAACTCGTTGGTCGAGGACGACGACGACGCGCCAACAAGGTCGGGCATCTGCGCCGCTTGGTCCACCTCGTCCCAATGGGAGCTGGGCCTCCAGAACCAGAGACGGACCTTGGTGAGGGAGGACGGCAACAAGGGCATGGCATGATGCACAGCCCGCGCGAACTCGGCGCGGTCATCGCGCCAAGGACCTGCCCAGACGCGGGAAATTATGCGCAGTGCCTTGGATGTGAAGGCAACGGAAAGGCGCTCCCACAGCCAGGGGCAGTCCAGCTCGCGGAGTTGAGGGAGGCGGGTGGCGAGTTCGAGGGGCGTGCGTAAGGAGACGGGCCGCATGTTGATTGGGTCAAAGGTGGAATCCCGGTCGGGGAGGATGCGCAGTTGAGTGACGCGGTTGAGGAGGGGCAGGCTGTCCGGGTTCTGGACGGTGAGGCGGCGAGTGTGGAAGGCGCGGTGCAAGCAGTCTAGGTGGGGTTCGAAGGACTGGTTGGAAACGCATATGACGGGCCGAAGACATTCGTCTGGGCGGCAGAGGTCCAGATCATCCGAGGACGGTTTGTCTGCCATGTCCTCGAGGTCGTGCAGTGCGTTGAAGAAAGCGTGCATTTGGGCTGAAAAGTGGGCGTTGACGGTCTCGAACTCGGCGGGCGGCTCCCTACACGGGAGGGGCGCGCCAGGCCGGTTGAGAAGCAGCGGCATTTCCGCCTCGAGTTCGCACGCGCCAAAGACGATCTTGTCGCGTCCGGGCGGTAGGCGCGCATTGCAGGCGCGGACATTTTCGACGAGGGATTCGAGGATGGCGTCTTTGGAGGGCGGCGTGGCTACCTGAATGTGTTGGGACGCTATCGTGGAGATTATCTTGGAGTGGTACTCGGTACCGTCGGGATGGCTGATTGGTGTTGTCTGAGCCTGTGATTCATGTAAAGGGAAGAATCCAAGAAAGAGCCCCGGGTGAGATGAAGCTTTGTACGCCATTTGGAAGTGATCTAAGTGGGGCTCCGGTCCGTTTTCTTGCCCAATCGCCGCCAAAAGTCCCTCTTCCAAGGTAATTCAATTACCTAGGTATTGAAGTGGTCGATATATCATCATATGTCCCGGTTGGAAATGGTCGAAAGGTCCTTCTTCAGCGCCTAGATTTCTCCAGGATTGGGAGAGTCGGAAACATTAGTAACGAGCATGCCTAGGAATGGCACTTAGCAATCAGGGGAAGTACGTGGAGGCTCCGAGGCAGAGCGATGCATTGAGAGAGAGAGACGCTGGCTTAGAGTCAGAAGATAAACGGAATCCCCGTCGATACCAGCCTGAATGTATAAAGTCACTTTTCTACGCACCAGAGTTTATCGGCTGCTTTCGGGATCGGGATATATATCAAGGCTCAAGAATGTATGGATCTAGTTTTAAAAGCAACTTACAGCGATATCTGTCACACTGCTAGGTAGTTTGAAAGGGAGGTATGACTCATCATAGACTGGTTTTTGCCCGGCGGTCATCTCCTTATTCTACACCCAATTTACCACTGAAATATCTTCTCGATTGATGCAAAAATCCTATGAACGGTGACCAAAAAATTGAATGGCCATGGAGGAATGGAGCTGACTTAAACTTCAAGGTCTTTTTATCCACGGAAGCACATCTAAGATGACTTTAGCAAAAGTAACTATTGAAATGGGGATGGCACGATGGCAGTCTGGCATAGCAGATGGGTCGATATCAATAGAGAACAAGCAACCAACCACTCCCACGCTGTGATGGTGTGTAGAGCGAGGGCTATGTAGGCGAAGACTACCCTCGAACTAATAGCACATCATGAATCAATAAACTTGGAGAGAAAACATTGTCATCTTGAAGGAAGGACTATGGATGAAGCATGCCTCCTTAGGCAGTTATGACACCTTAGGCCGCCAATGTACTATTGTCACGGGTTCCACCACTACACTATGCAGGGATGGGATATGTGTGCCGGGTCACACATATCCCATCTATACCTCTATCCGTCTTAGCTTTGCAGGTATGTGGTAAGACTAACTATGCTTACCATTTGATTACCATATTAAAAGAGACAGTCGCTTCAAAATTTGCTTAGTATCTATTTCTACCTCTCACGAAGACTCCATAACTGAGATTATGGTCTGCCTGAGAATACGGGAACTTCGTTATTTGCTTTTAGATTGTATGACCCGACTCTTCTCTCTAAGAAACTCGTGCGAGACAGTTCTGTTTGGAGGTCTAGACCTGAACCGAGATACCTTGAGTGATCATTTAGAAGCAGATATGCCGAAAGAGCAGCCTACTATTTCTGCTGCCTCCGGCTCTGTTGTATCTGCTAGAGACTTAGAGCCGATTCGTTTGCACGTTTGTTACCCTTTCCTCCTTATTGATATCAAACTCTGACCAAACAAGACCGTGCGAATTTGGTTTCCTTCTAATGGATTCAAAGTTATGGAAGACATTAAAGGAAAGGGTCTCAATGATGTGGTATTTGATGCCATTGCTCTTTAAGAGCCTAGCGTTTTGCATCAAGCCTACGATTATCATGGCATCACGAAGGAAGTATTCCTAGTGGATCTTGCGGTGCTTAAGGCTGGTATTTCACAGGTTTTAGGGAAGTATGAGATTATAAAATTCGTTCCTCTGAGTAGCGAGGATCCGATTATTTTGCACTAACCGGCAGAAGATCTCGACTTAAAGAGAGCTCTTTGCTACCAGCGCCTACATTCTAAATACCTGCAGGAATATGCGAAGGTGTAACCTTACAAAAGTTCTTGGATTAAAGGACTAGTACGAGGAACATCTCAAAGATATTTGTACTCGCCTCGAAAAGCTCGGTTACTGTTGAGCAAAGTAGATATAATTATAAAAATCCTTTGCATATATATTGGTTACTAAATCAGGCTCAATTCAATTCAAGCAAAAAGTCGAAGTCTAAAGATGCCGTTTCACACATTATGCTTCGGTACCGACTCTAGAGTATTCTCTTCACTTCACTATCATAAGGCCGTCTTAAGAAAATAATCAGGCCCTAAAACACCTTAGAAGATAAAGCATCAAAATGCTAAGTCATCAGCGCTAGCATCAAAACGGTACTATAACTAAGATTGTGTAAAATATTCCCCACGTAGACGTGCAAGTCATATTTGAGAGAGACGTTCATGTTAGGACACGGTTCCTAGGATCTTCTACTTCTCAAAGTCTTGCAAAGGTCTAGTAGCATTCCAGCATCCTGGCTAAGGGCTTCCGTGGGTGTCTATTGTAAGAGTGACGGAGATTCAATTCTCAAAAAGAGCATTGCCTCCAAAGCAACCTTTGCCGGTCTATGCAGGAATTGGACGGGAAAGAGTTTAATTAAGTAGATGGACGAACAAACTAAACTACTAACTAGATATGGGCAGGGGGTAAGCGACAAAAAGACAAAAATAAATATGTATAATAGGCCCGAGCCGCGGATCGAACGCGGGACCTCGCGCAGGAGTGCTTAGGTTTTGGATACCCTAAGCGCGAATCATACCACTAGACCACCCGGGCTATTAATGAAGTTTCTTTTTAGGTTTGACATCTTGAGCGAGAGCTGCAGTTGGTAAATAACTGCGACTATATTTAGTCGACAGTCTATTTAGTATATCGACATGTATTTAATTTCAACCCTTTATGGTCTTGCTCTTATTGAATGCTAAACACATTAATAATGTAGCTTTCATCTGTTCATAAGGACTCCCCAATTAATTAATCATTTAGCCTCTAAGCAATGGCTTTGTTCTCGAAATCCAGCCTCATCCTCCCCGTGTTTACTATTGCCAAGCAACAACTGTTATCCTGATCGGAGCCTAGGTCCCGATAGACTGTGCGGCTATTATTGGGGAGAGCCCCGCTGTTGTAGAAACCGTTCTATATTTGTCGCTAATAGACTGTGGCTATTTGCGAAGCTACCGGGGGCGTCCCCCGAGCGAGTTGCATAAATTACTCTCCACTGGTGACAATTCATGCCTATATATGCTAATTCCCTGCTAACAGTCGAGCTCCAAAAAAATGCCGCGCAGCCGTAATCATTCAAAATATCACCGGATCAGCGTGCGAAGCCGCTTGGTATTAGCAAAGCGTACAAAGCCACACCACTACTAGAGGCAGATTATAGTGAGTTTGAAAGTGAGTGTGGACTTATTATATCATGCTAGGTTCCTTGTCCTATATTTTAAGTAGTATATGTCGTAATATATTAAGGGTCTTCGAGAAATAAGTTTACCGCAAGATCTTCTGAAGAACCCAAAAAAAGATAAACTGGCAAAATGACTAATAGACTCATAATGTCAATATTTGAAGGTTCTCTCATATAACAGCCCGGGTGGTCTAGTGGTATGATTCGCGCTTAGGGTATCCAAAACCTAAGCACTCCTGCGCGAGGTCCCGCGTTCGATCCGCGGCTCGGGCCGTTTTAATTTTTTTTATCGCTGCTTTCTATATTTTTATCCTCAATAACATACCAGATACTCGTGCAATGAATATCAAATAAAGCGAGTTGTTTTGGAGACATGAATGACATCCATTCATCATAGTGCAAGAAATTTCCGGTCCACAGAAGGTCCCGCAGGCACTCTTAAGCCCAGGAGTCTATCGAGATTTTCTTTACACGCCCGAGTTTCACGATCGACAATATTCATGAGGTAGGTATGTGTTATTTGTACGCTTCGATTCTATGTCCAGAATTTGTCCGCCTCGAAACCCAACAACGTTTTCCCGGCGTTTAGAGTGGATAAGTGGGCGGGGCCTGTCTTTGATGCCGTTTTGTGTAAATGGAGTCGATGTGGCGCTTCTTTGACATATAATCCCAAGAAACCTTTTATTGCAAATATCTAAGGTATTCCAGATATCAGTCGTGACTGTAGTAGCTTATTCTGTCTACGCGTTGAAGAGTAACTTTATGCTTTCGCTGAAGCCGTCAACCAGACCCTGGAAAAGCATATCCCGCCGCTTCGATGGATGAAGTTAGCAGTGTCTCCAGGTATCTTTCCATGCCAGCCCTTTAACTGAGTATTTCTTAACAACTTGGATGAGTTTTTCTGCATTAGGTTTCGACTGGTTTTGGACAAGAACCGCACCCAGATAGCTTCATCCAAGTACATGGTCCGAAGATCGCATTAATATGCCTAAATAGGCTCCCAATATATATTTGTGAACCATCGGAGCACTGCAGTTTGAAGTTCTCGTCGCAGTATGGAGTCGAATACTGGCTAACCGAGCGCTTGTGATTTGAAAGTCGAATAAGTCAGAGCTTGCGGCTCAGAAACAGAGCATTTGACAAGCCGTTTCAGTCTACGTAAAATGATGCAAATGTCTATGTAACCATTATCTATACGAAGGCACAACAATTAAATCAAACAATGGCAAATCATGAACAACTGCTAGGTTTTGGTGTAGAAAAATGGATTGAAAACGAAATCTCGACGGATATAACTTTGGATTTTGCAGATCTAGCAACCACATTGCGTAGGGAATAATTCCTTAGAATAAACAAATCCCAAGCATGTGGGGCTAGTAGTATCTACCTCCTCGATCTCCAACAGTGAAGTGATATATTGACCAAAATATAATGTCATACACATTTTAAGACTCATCGACAGAAGCTTCTGGTCTCGGCTATAGTGTTTTATAAAACCATGGTCGAGACGACGGCTATCCCGAGGCCAAGGACAAAGATGAGGCTTTTCTGAAAGATAGGTTTCTGTAAATAAAAGACAAATGTTTTCAGCTTAGCGAATAAAGGTGGAATAAGACTTACGGGAAAGATAAAACAACATCGGCTAATCTACTCGGGCCTGTCTATACAATTCTCGGATCAGAACATGAGCACATAAGCACGGCATCCAACAACCTCAGCTGCCACGGTTGGAGGTAATCAGATGAAGAGACTCAACCGTCTCCTTGTAACCAAAGAAAAGGAACCCTTGATTCGAAGGGCTTGCTCCCGCTGTCGGTTAACGATCGAATATAATTAGCCAAGTGGGTTGCATATCTCACATATAACATAGTAAAGTAGCGTTCTCGGGGCTTTGCTATAGCTTTGGGCGAGGAACTTTCAATAGAAATGAGCGAGGTATGAGATGATTAGCACTGCTTCGGATCTCTAAAAATTTAGACTCCTAAACTCTGCACAGATTGAAGAATTTGGTTATTTATTCTAGGCCTACTGACAAGAATTGAGAAGCCACCTTGCTCCAAGGAGTATTACCGCAGGGACAGGAGGGTTCTACTCGGATATTAAATTAACTTACCTTGGTTGCTCTGTTCCTGTCAAACTTGGGATTTATAGCGATACTTCCTTCCACAATCTCCCTTTGAGGTGAAATCATAGTCAATGGTATTTCTATCCAAAATATTGGCTTAAGTAGGCTTTCTTTGATTGTCTTCACATGCGCGCTAGCTTATTGGCATGTAATAACGGCGGAATGGGATACTTTTAAGTATACTAGGATTAGGTTTACCATTGGAGCTTCTCTAATGAGCAAAGGCTCCGTGGCTCTTTTAGTGGCCTACGTATGGTACAAATAGACTGCAAAAGCGATCATATGCATGTACTCCGTCCATACTTGTCTCGCACCTACGCGCATGTATGATGCACCCCATCCACCAAAATCGCGCTCCACAATATTTGCCAAGGCGCTAATAAGCGAGTAGGGGTGTGAAAAGTGGGTCTATGTGTTTGTCCAATCACATTGGACTATGATACTCCATTTTCGCTTGAGCTTCGGATAATCTATTATTCCACTTAATCTGGAGTCAACGTCTTAACAGACCGACCTTTTCAGGGTAGCAAAATGCAAAAAGACAGGCCCGAGCCGCGGATTGAACGCGGGACCTCGCGCATATAAGCTTAGGTGTTTGAATACCCTAAGCGCGAATCATACCACTAGACCACCCGGGCTGTTATGTGGAAGGCGGCTCAATCTTTGAATACACTAAGTCATTGTGCACTCTGGAGTGGGTTGTGATGTTAAGGTGTTGCGATTTATAACCAGCTTTTTGACTGACCTTTCCGTATACTCGTCGAACAAAGCATGGCTTTCTACCGAGTACATGAATGTTAACCGAGTTGTGGGTGACTTCCAAGAGCTTTGAGATAAATTCGCTACCCGAAGCCCGGTTTCAGAATTACCGGTCATATTCTGGTAAATAGACCAGGTACTGGGTTGTTATAGATAGTTCGTTTCGGTTCTATACAGTCCGAATGCCTAGGTGAAAGAATATTAGGTATCTCTTGGGTATTTAGTCGAAAGAAAAGAACATGTGCCCTTGGGGGCGCAAAACTGAGTAGATGTCAGTATAAGTTATATATTTATAACGGCAGTGTACAGTATATTGGATTGAAGACATTCATGTACCACACCTCCCCTCTTCCCTTAAATATCAAAATTATAACATTCCCCTATCTTCCCCCATCCTTCTTCTCTTAACCCTGTTCCCGGTTATCTCGAATCCTTCCACACACCCACCTTTACACAGTCTATATGATTGTCCCCAGGCACTCGAAAAATGGCCCAAAAAAAAAAAAAAAGAAGAAGAAGAAGATGTTGAAAAGAGGTGTCAAAAAGAGGTATTAAGAAGAGGTGTTAAAAAGAGGAAAGCAGGGCGAAAATCCATACAACGTTATGCGTACTTCGAGGCTTTTGTGTAGAAACTGTCTAATACTTCATGGTACTGTACACTTTTATGACACCTGCTGTACCTTCTTGACTCCACTAGCCCCTAGCATACTTGACATACTATATAGGACTATATACCGCGGCGCCGTTCTTTTCCCAAGCCAAATGATATATTATATCCTCCCTGGGAACACCGTCTACCATACTATAGTTGACCCGGTCCTAAGTCTGGGACTGGAAGCAGGCCATACTAAGGGCTTCATCTCGGAATAGCAATATTGCAGAAAGTCTACTGCTGGCTGTGTTACTGTCGATCGCGCTGCTCATGTAACCTAATCACACCGAAAGTAACAATCAAACTCAGTCCAAGTGGTTACCCTCTTAATGCAAACACGGAGGTTTGATTGCCGAGGCGATACATGACCCAAATTGTGGAAAGCCAGACAATTTCAAAAGGTACACCAGGATACAGTCCTCTTAATAACGACCATCATCACAACATAGCCGCGTTCGTCTCATATTGATATGTCAATTATCCCAAGATCCCAGACATCAGAAATGAGCCAAATGCATCTCTTTGAGGACTGTAAACCAGTCAGAGAAAATATTTCAAAAACCAGAGAGGATTCCACCAAGTACTCATTTTGAGGATGAAATCCAAAAAAAAACCCCCGGTAGAAAACACCAGGAAAACAAACATAGCTGGTTGTTTGACCACTTAAAGTCACGAGAAATACACATATCCAAGGTCGGCGGAGCACAATGCGCCAAATATATTACGTGCGCAAAGATACCTAACAAAGGCATTGGTCTTCCTAATCATTTCTTAGATGAAATATAGCCCAACGGATACCTACGAAATCGTTGCCAAGATAATACAAAGAATGAAAATCTTCTATTAAATAAATTCCGAGTAATGGCAACGTCTATTTTACCTTTGATGGAAAAAAACTTTGAAAAAAACAGATGGTCGATGACTTGGATGAAAGTGGGTGGCTACTGTTGGCCAACCTAGATCGAAAATTTCATAGCAGCCCGGGTGGTCTAGTGGTATGATTCGCGCTTAGGGTATCAAAAACCTAAGCACTCCTGCGCGAGGTCCCGCGTTCGATCCGCGGCTCGGGCCTGTGATTTTTTGTTGATTTTTTGTCGGGAACTATTGCCGACAACTGGGTTGGATACCTATTTTGACAAAAACTTAGTTTATCACTTCAATCCGCATGGATTGATCTCAATATTGGTAAAACTAACCTACTATAGCTTCCAATGCTCTATGCTGGTAGTAGGAAAACGCGGGGCCTTGCACCCTATGAATTTTGCTTTTTTTTATATGTTGCAAACAATGACCAACCATATTCGCCATGCATCTTATTCTCTTAGTTGCTCCCTCGTACTATAGCGACCACCCTACTTTACTTAACCCAAAATCCACGAGAGATGACGAAGGATATAGGAAATTCGGCCAGGATGAAGCTACTAGTAAACCACGTTAAGCCATTACTGTACATAGTTATCATACCCTTCAGACATGCCCACTAGGTTCTCCAAATTTCGGCTAATAGAAGACAATTATTTGATAGATCCTATCTATTTATGATCAACTTTACTATACGTCAAGCAACGGTAAGCCTGTCATTGTTGGTATGGTTCCTGTGTAGAGGGAAGCCGTAAATTCTAAAGTGAAAGGTACAGCCGTTGATAATTTACTGGGATTCTTAGATAGAATCCATCGTGCCCTCCTATTGGAGAACAAATCGGAGCGAAGCTTTAATCGTTTTGTTAGTTCGTTGGGCAGACAGGGATTGCAGATTCAAACCCTATCTCCTTTAACTGCCTAAAGTCGAAGGCGAAATGAAACCCCACACTGCAGAAGTCGGTGAAAAGGAAGAGTCACAGGTCTCTAGGCAACTCGCGTAGACAAATTCTGTTATACAGTCGGGGGAATGCGGGGAGAACCATACATCATTCCCCTTGGGGCAATCGCACGCGTTAAACAAAATTGATCAAACTTCTAGAATGAATGTCCCTGATTATACGGGCGATCATTGTGCGGCGACTCTGCCAATTAGGGCTCACGACACAGCACCGGTGGCCGGCCCGGTCTCGGGTATGATTGGCTCGGTTCGCCGACGTGCTGGCCCTGAGCGGGCGATCTATAAATGTTGAAGTGCTCGATAAGATGTTGGCATTACATTATACGTCTGTACTGGGGTTATATCTGAGGGGTTGGTTTCCTCAACTATTTTACTCTCTCTTCCTCTCTCTTTCTTTCTCGTTATTTCCTCATTTTCTTCCAGCGTTGCTTGATCTATTCATTGATCCACAGTAAGTCTCACAATTTGGTCTGCCCCGCGAAGTCCTGATTCTAATTGTAATAGTATCTTTCAAGCATATACACACATTGCGAAACGATTGTCCTGTCTCTACATCACGAATACCAGACTGCAAGACGGTCACGAATAGCATGATAGCGTTGCCTTGAACGCATTACATATCCACCATGACGCAGAACCTTCAACACCAAGACCAGGCATTGCCATTTGGCATTCACCGGACTCGAAGCCGCATGGCAGAGCTTTTGGCGGCCGATGTGCTCGTTGCTGCAGGTTCAGCAACGCTGATTACCCCGGCGGTGATGATCTTTGATAGGTAATTCTTTCTGATCTATATTCAACCAGGAACAAACTGACAAATTTGTCCAGACTTGTCGTCGAGAAATCATTCTACAACCAACCTCTCTTTCCAGCATTCCGCAGACACCTCTGGTTCTCCATCACACAGCCCGCAACCTTCTTAACATCCCGCCCCAGTCTCCTCGTCTGGTCCCTTTATACAGCAACATTTGCAACAGCCAATGCCTCCGAAACCATCCTGGGCAAGTGGTACCCAAAGATCGACCACGCCATTGCAGGCATGACAACCTTCGCCACAACATTCATTGTCAACTCTTCCGTGGGCATCTGGAAGGATGTGAAATTCGCCCAACTATTCGGCCAGCCTAAAACTACACCCACACCCACACCTACATCTACATCTACACCCACACCAACATCTACAGCATCATCCACAACGGCCCAACCAAATACCAAAACCAACCCCATCCCCAAAACCGTCCGCTCAATCGGCCGCACCCGCATCCCACTAGCAACATACTCAGCCTTCCTCCTTCGCGACGGCCTAACAATCTTCGGTTCCTTCAGCCTACCAGCAATGGTCTCAGCCTCAATCCCCGACTCAATCGCCTCCCAAGAATACCTTAAGATCCTGATCGCGCAACTAGCAATCCCAGCCTCAATCCAGCTGATCAGCACACCAATCCACCTCCTCGGATTGGACCTCTATAACCGGCCGCAGGTTATGCCTACGAAAGATCGCGTGAGTCGTGTTAGTCGCGACTGGATTGGCGCGTCATTGTTGCGCATGTGTCGCATTATCCCCGCGTTTGGCATTGGTGGTTTTGTCAATACTGAGGGTCGGCTTTATTTGCATGAGAAGGCTGAGTCGAACTAAATTAGATTAAATAACATAGAATACAGAATACAATATACCCTTTTCTTTTTGTTCATTGTGTGTTCTATTTACTATACGCCATAGTGTTGCTTATCGCTACCCCTCATGTCTCACCGGCCCGGTTGTTCGCGCATCGCATCGGATCGGCCTGCCGGTTTTTTTTTCCCTTTTTTTTTTTTTCTTTGGTCTTAAGTTTTTTCCTTTCTTTTTTCTTTCCGGGGGTTTCTCGCTTGGATTGTTTGATGACGTGATCAGGGCTATGTGTGTCCGTCAATAATCATGATATTCTTGCATGGTCCTTGGAGATCCCGATTTTTAGCACGTCGAGATCCCGACATAGATCACCATTCCGATCGCAGTACTAGTACATCATCGGGATCTGGGCCCGATTTATTGCATATATTGTCTTTGGAACTAGATCATCGGTGTAGGGGTTTCATCTTCTTCTTCTATACTAAGTACGGCAAAGTGCCGATTTACAACTATGATGTACCCTGTACTCAACTACAATGACTCGGAGGGACAGTCAATCTTGATCAAACAATTAGAATGCTATATAGTTGACATGGGCTCGTAACATCGTGCTGTCGTGCTCTCCGCAAAGGGTAGTATACACATAGTTCGGGTCTGGCTCTATGAAGTAGACAAGGGTCCCGGGCTGGCCCAGAGGCATGTTCGCTCTCTCGGGCTTCTCTGCTTCAATCATGCAAGAAGATTAAGTGGCGCAGGCGAAGTTCGGGGCGGGGTGTTTCACGCCGGCTTCATGTTGACTCGTTGGTGTGGATTCAACAGTGGAGCTAGGGCTGATCGACGAGCAATTACCAGGTCAGATTTTGCCCGAAAGTACGCCCGAATTTGCGGGCGGACTGTGACATTTGTGGTGTCGATCATCTCGCTAAGAGCGATGGTACTGCAAGATGCAGGGGACAGGAAAAGGCGTCGGCCTAGGTGAGGATTTCGATGACTATCTTCCAGGTCACCGGATATCGGTGTCCATGGCTTCAGTCCCGGACGTACGTCCCTTATAGCCCAAAGTCGTAGCCATAGAATCAGTAGCCAGCGAGTCTGCATGTTGGAAATCACCCAGGGCGCGACTCGGATCGACAAAAGACGGGTAGTGACCTGCACCATTCAGCGACGAGGACCGCCACATATGCTGGTGGGCGATATTGACCAGTTTACCCAAGACGGCAATCTCAAGCTTCAGCTTGATACTGTACAGCGTGGCCTTGAGAGTAGTCTGGTAGATATAGAAGTTCATAAACTCAATCACCATCAACGCGATATCCATGAGGATACAAGAAACATTGACAGCAAGCAGCTGCATGATAGTCTTGCGACTGACATGATCCTGATTCATGCGCAACATGCGATTCGTCTCCCACATGTACATAGCAGAGATAATGACCTCCTGCACACAGAAACCAGTCAACTGCAACTTCTCCATAACATCATAGCCATCAACAGACGTCTGGGAATTGGAAAAGTTGGCAACATAAGTGAGCACAGTAGTTGGCACATGCAGCAAGAAAATATTGGTGATGATCATCGTTTTCACCCATCGCAAGACGCGCATGTTCTGAATGACAAGATGCAGTCGCGAATACAGCACAAATGACTGGCCGGTGACCATCGTCCACCATCCGATGGTCAACAGCGTAACGGGCAACCAAGTCGCGGAAGTGAGACCGAAAAATTTGATCAAATAGCCGACCGAGTAAGGCAGGATTCCCACGCTGGATACCAGCATGCTCCAGAAGTAGGGACCCTCATATCGTTTGAAGGTGAGGAAGATGAGGACAATCAACTCGACTACGTTGTACCACGCGACGCCAACAAAGGTCGCGATCGTGATGCGGACGCCGATGCTGTTGCCGGTGTAGCTGCCTGTAATCCAGTTGCCTGGGCTGGAATCACTGCTGGAGGACATGTCATATCCCTGATACGATCTGAGATCAAGATTTTTCGAGGTTCAAGTGCCACAGATGGTTTTTTTTTTCCGGCGCGGGGTGTTCCCCTATAATAATTGGAGGCTGGTTCTGCCCCCAAGGGATGCCAAGTGTAATAGTCAGTACTTAGTTGTTCTCGCTTGTTCAATAAGATCTTGACTATCGCTCTGTTGGGACCCACTTGCCGCCTTGATGTTACGATGTATGTCATATGGCTGTTAGAGGGCTGAAGTTCTCAGGGGTTAAGCTTATTTAGATCGAGATCTGATCTGATAACTACGTATGGAGTATATGTCATATGTGTAACTAATTGATATACAGTATGTTGAAGAGAAATCGGGGTCTTGTTTACAGGGCATGTCGGTTGAAATGGGTTGGAGTGGCCCCTATTCGTTCTGGTTTGTTATTGGCCTTGAATCTGACATGTATGCACGAATTGGAGACATGACATCAGACTAGTACATCAGGAATAAGCAAGGTCCTAAATTACAAGAAGCTCTGAAATCCCCTAGAGTGCCGGTGTGTCTCCAAAAACACAGTCCATCATCCTATAAAAAGTTAGCACCGATCCACCTTAACTATAAAAGGCCAAACCCACATAGCAGGATAACGCGTTCCAGGAATCTCCGTTCTGTCGATCAACTCCCGAATCTCCTGCAGCTCCTTCTCCGATAAGTTCAGAGCAACAGTACGGGTATTCTCGTCAAGGTTCTTGATTGACTTGGTGCCAGGAATCGGTATAATATCAGAGCCTTGAGCAAGAAGCCATGCAATAGCCACCTGAGCAGCAGTGCTGCCATGATTACTCGCAACCGCCTTGAGTCCCTGAACTAGTTCCAAAATCTTCGGGAAATTCTCCTCTCCATACTTGGGAAGCATGCGACGGAAGTCATTCTCGGGGATATCGGAAAGCGATTGGATTTGTCCAGTTAGAATGCCGCGACCGACGGGACTATAGGCAATGACAGCAATACCAAGTTCACGGCAGGTGTTCAAGATATCAGTGGTTGGCGACTCGATATCCAATGCGAAGGGACTGTATTCTACCTGGTACGCAGCGATAGGGTGGATGGCATGAGCACGGCGGATAGTCGATGCAGAGCATTCAGATAGTCCGAGATACTTGATTTTGCCTTGGCTAGAAGGTGGTCAGGAAAAGAGATTCCAGTCGTTATCAACAGTACAACATACTCTTTCAACTCAACCATAGCCTCAATAGTCTTCTCAATAGGCGTCACACCATCAACCCGATGGCAGTAATAAAGATCAATGGTCTCAACACCAAGTCTCTTCAAGCTCTTCTCACAGGCAGCCTTGACATACTCCGGATCCGAACGGACTGTCTGCTCCATTGTGCTGTAATGCAGAGCGAACTTGGTCGCCAGGAAAACATCGTCGCGATTGCCTGACTCTTTGACCCACGCGCCAACGGCATCTTCGCTGTCGAAGTATACATCGGCAGTGTCCCAGAATCTTGCACCAATGGCATGGGCATGTTCAAGGAACGCGACCTTGTCTTCGAGTGTACCGGCAGATCCGTAGACACTGCCGAGGCTCATGAGTCCCAAGCCAACGGCAGGGACTTGAGGGCCGTTGCGGCCAAGGGATCGAGTGGGAAGCGACATGGTTGAAGAGGATGTAGATGTAAAACAATGCTTGGTTGTGATGAAGAAAAATCACCCAGGGAACACGGCTTATATAGTAATACTCGGAGAGACTCATTGCGTCTAACTCCGACTTTCCCAATCATCCGACTAAAAACGATGTCCGAAGTATAGAAGATGAACACGAGGTGGGAACTTACTACTACCTTTAGCCAATGAAAAGCCATAAAAAGCGAGCTGTCCAATAGCTTCGCAGTTAACGTTAACCCCGATGTCCCTTGACTATATTGCCCAGAACATCCCGACTCCTTCACTTGTCTATGTATACCGACATGTACACAGGAACCCCACTGACTCGTAAGAGAAAGGTCAAAACAGGCTGCAAGACCTGCAAGTAAGTCTCGGTCTACCCCTCCACATGGGTCACGCTAAGTGTATCAAGAATACGCCGCGTAAAATGCGATGAAGGCCGACCGGCTTGCCGACGCTGTGTATCAACCAGCCGAGTCTGCGATGGCTATGGAATCTGGGGAGGTGGCGGCACTCCCTACGCACAGCCACAGAGCAACCGGGATCTATCAGTCTACTGCACGCCTGTGCCAGTTGGCAGTCTCAACCACGACGAAAATGTCTGTTTTGACTGGTTGATTAAACGAACCACAAAGAAATTTGCTGGTCTATTTCCCTCGGACTTTTGGGAGACATTGATCTTCCAGGCTAGCGCGCAGGAACCTGCCGTGCGCCATGCTGTCATTGCCTTGTCGTCTGCTCACCGGTTCGAGCAATATGGACAGGGGACGCTTGTTGCAAACAAGGTCAATAAAGAGCGGTTTACGCTTCAGCAGTATAATAAGGCGATTCAATACCTGCGCAGTAACAAAGCAGATAGCAGCCATTCGCTCCGCGTTGCGCTGATTACGTGCATGCTTTTCGTCACGCTGGAATACCTACGTGGCCAGTACCAGATGGGAAGTGCACATCTTCGATATGGCATGAAGCTGCTTTCCGATGTTTCTGAGTCGAGTCCACGATCTACGATGGCCCCGACTATCCTGTGCACGGAGGGAGATTTTGCCTACAACGCCTTGGTCGACGCCTACTCCCGACTAGGCATTCAATCGGCTATGTTCGGCCATGTCCCTTCACATATGTGTGTCGTAGCGCAAGATCCACAGACTACGACTATCCCCTATATTTTCACCTCGCTCCTAGATGCAAGACGCACACTGGATGATCTCTTGAACAGAGTCCACTGCCTCAAAAGACACTATCACGACCATCACACGCCCGACTCACCCACAGACAAGAAAGAAATGGTCGAAACAAAGAATAAAATCCTCACCGACCTAACCCTCTGGCGCAAAGCATACACATCCACCCTATCCCGCCTCGACAACACAAAAATAAGCGGCAAAGACAAAACCGGCTACCTCCTCCTCCGAGTCTACCACGAAATGGCAACAATAATGGCCTCAGTATGCCTGACCCCCTCAACCGAACACCAAGAAATGATCTTCGACTCGTACACCGAAAACTTCATAACAATAATGAGCTGCTTCCTGGACCTCTGGAAAACATGGACATCAAACAACTTCCAAGAAAAACACCTAGCAACCCTAAATGCGCAATCAGACGACCTTAAAGCCCTCTTCCAAAACTTCAAAACAATGTCCGACATGAACACTATAATCGAAACATCCCTCCTAGAAATCCTCGAAACATCAAAAGACATCACCGCCCACCTCCTCCAAACACCAGACTGCGGCGGGGCCGGCTTCACCGTCGAAGCAGGCTACATCCCACCTGTCTACTACACTGCATTGAAATGCCGTGTGCCACGGATTAGACGGCAGGCTGTACGGACGTTGCGCGCCGCGCCGCATCGAGAGGGGGTGTGGAATGGGCCGCTTTTGGCTAATGTTCTTGAGGAGGTCATTACTATTGAAGAGGGGGATTTGTATGCTGGGGATGTGAGGGTTACGGGGCCTAGTGGAGGGTTTCTTCCTAGGCCTATTGATTTGTGTTTACCCAAGGTGCCGGCTGGGATGAGGGTTTCTGATGTTAGGGTTATTTTGCCGGATGATGTTTCTGGGGAGACTTTTGTTAGTTATCGGAGGAGGGGGGGGGTGGGGAGTGGGTTAGTTATAAGAGGAAGGTTGGGAGGTAGTATAGTATAACTTATAGAATGATATGTTGTTGCTTGGTGGATAAGTTACTTGTAAATCGATGTACCATCTACAGGGCATATTTTTTTCATCTGTCTTGATTATAATCTTAGTTTATTGTACAATTTTCATATCATGACCTTGTAAGGACATGAGATTCGTTAATTCGTAACATGCTTCCAAAATCCACAACGCCCCCAAAAAATTTGATCTTGCTCTTGCTTTTCCAAATTCAATGTAAACAACTTTGCACTTGTATCACCATCACTTGCCGCCTCCCTTTTGGCTTCGCAAAAATGCTGCAACTTGTTCATGTCGAGTGACAAAAAACATTCGTTTCTTTTCGGACTTCCAAACCAACACGCCAATTTCCGCAGCATACTGGCAAGGAGCCGAATATTCCGCCAGGCTGGTGAAGTCTTTGAACAGGAAGCCAGCTGTGGCTCGAAGGCGGTCTCGCTCCAATTGCCAGAGCCGAATTTGATCTGTGACGGTGGGCGGGAGCACAGATGCTTGGACGCCCTTGGCATTGGAAGTGCCGTGGCCAGCGTTATGCTTGCGCAGCTGTGGGTGCGCGTGCGATAATAGGTATGATATGATCTGATCGGCGGTGATTCCCATCTCAATGGCTCGGCGGACAGATTGTCTGGTGATCTTTCCTGTAACCAGATTGGGGAAGCGGTATTTGAGGTTCGTGAAGAGGGAGATGAGGGAGATTTGGAGGGGTGATGAGGTGTAGGCATAAAGCCGGTAGTTAGTCTCAATGATGATAAATCCCGAGCCCGAGCCACTAGACTGACTAGTCGGTCCAGTGAGGGACCCGGTGACAGGATTGCTCAGTGCGCTGGAGTCGGAGGTAAGGGTGGTTGCGAGACGCGTGGGATAGAAGCACGGTGCGTCGGGGTCTTCCTGGTAGACAATGCCAAAGTCGGCTAGGTCGGTGAGGGTACGGAGTTGATTTGAGGTCAAGTGCTTCTTCTCATAAGACGCACCGAGTTCCAAGCTGCTCAGTAAGAACAGGAAAGAAAGGACCTCGACACTGTCCATGCCGATGGCCTCGGCGCTTTCGACGTAGAGAATCAGAATATTCCAGACTTGCGTGTTGACGTCTTGTAGTACAAATCCGAAGCCGTCCTTGGTGATGTCGACGCGGCTTCCTCGGATTTCGACCAGATGTCCAGCTTGAAGAAGCTGCTTGACGCCCTTGCTCAGATTGACCATGTCTCGCTGTCCGCCAAATGCGCTAGTTCCGACCATGTATCCCATCACACCTTCCCATTGCCGCCTGGCGTACTCGTCTAGATCGGCGATCGAGGTCCGCGTTTCACCGGGACCCTGGGAGAACACACCGAAAGAGTGCGAATCCTCGGCGCCCATGAGAGCTTGTCGGAGCGAAGAAGCAAATGGGTTGGTGACCATGTAGGCTCGGGTTTTCTCACCGGTGAGCGTCGTAGAAAGAATGTGCAGTCGTCCTAAAATTGAAAGCGCATTATCCCGTTGTCTTGAGTGATCGTCAGTCTCTGGAGCTCAATCAGTCAGATAAGGCGCTCACTTCTTGCTCTCTGTGTTGACCCAGATTTCCAGATCGGCTGTCGGAAGAGGGTCTTTCAGATACAGAAGTGCCATCACAAAGCATTTTGCTAGATCCACGTTAGTGAATCATTTGCATTCCCGTAGATGAGCTCATACCCAGATCTGGCAGCATGCGCCGGAATATCGCGAGAGCTGTTGATGGCTGCTGGTATAGCTTGTAGAATGTCGTCCCGGGGAGACCCTCCAGGTACTCAAGGGGACGGGATGTCGCGCTGGCCATGATGAGACACCTGAAGCAAAGAAAGTAAAGAAAACAGCTGTGGTGGAAATGACGCTAGTACGGTGGCCGGAGCGGCAGTAAATGGCAGTTCCGGGGGATGAGCCCGCCGACTGAGAGTAGAATGTTGGTCCTGTCTTTCACTGTCCATTCCTTATTTGCGAAATGGCTTCTTTGAAATTTGTTCGCTCGGTAAGTTTGTATATGCCCGCTGAATTCCAATGATTGTTTACTAACGTATATAACCTCCATCAATAGGTGTGGGAGTCCTTTCGGGCTACTTCGGGCCTTGAGCCTCGGTACGTCAACATGCGTTTCTGTTAGACCGACGAATGAGACTAATGGTTCACGATAATTGCCTGATTGAAGTCTCTTGAACAATGTGAGCTCGAGCTAGCTCCTCTTTGGTTACATTCAACTAATCAATGACCGGTTACAGCTCCGTGTCACTGCTGCCCGCCCTGGTATTGTCAACTTTGAGCTCGATATCCAAAAAGAGCATACCGTAAGTCTATTTGTGCAAACAAATTCATCTTGATGACTGTGATGCATCTTCGAGACCTTATTTGTTTCACCCGACCCTATTAACATGTCTCTAATATCTACTTCTCATATAGAACCGCCTGAACATCCTCCACGGAGGCACCATTGCCAGCATGGGTATGTTCATCATTACATGTTGTATAGATATTCTGATCAATTGCTTACTTGCATGATAGTGGACCTCGGTGGCTCGTTGGCCGTGGCTTCCCGTGGCCTGTTCTCGACTGGAGTGTCAACTGACCTGAACGGTGAGTCTATCAAGCGGTGATCATATATTGAATCGCCGTCTAATGCAAGAATCGGCTCTAGTGACATATCTCAACTCTGGTGGCAAGATCGGTGACAAGATCTTTGCAGTATGTCTATCTTCCCTTCCTCCCAGTCTTTGCAGTGCTAACTACCGAATTTAGGAGGTGACCTGCGACAAGTGTATGCCCCCTCGTTCCAATATCTCTTTTCTTGTCTGGAACAACATTGACTAACACATTATATATAGTTGGTAAGACACTTGCCTTCACCAATATCAAATTCACAAACCTCAACGGGCACATTGTTGCCCGTGGAAGTCACACTAAGTATGTACCCTCTTCTCTTATGCCACTATGCAACTGCTAATGCTTTTAGATACGTGACACTGGCATGGAAAGATCCTCAGAATATCGTCGAGGAGATAAATAACTCCAAGGAATAAGCGTATCAATCAATCCTCGTATAGAGGCGCAGGCTGGCGTGGATTTGATAGACTTGTTGTATCCGAGCCAAATTCTAATATCTAGACCGTGGTCATTGATTTAAGAATTCCCACTTCTGTGATCTTGAAAGCTCATATCAACGTCTACAGTGGAGATATCTCTGGTTTACACGCTTAACTCTCCGAGGTATTTATCATTCACGTTCCAATGCCATGGTGGTCAAGGTTATGTTATGTGCATGGTGTTGAAACCAATGACACTTGTAATCTTTATTCAACATGCTTCAACATGCAAGCTGTCGCCTTTCTGGTTCGCCTCCACTACGCTTGTCTCGTTTGCCCTTTGCTGAAAATGTCTTGGCGATACCCTCAGTGCATATAATTCATCAAGTTTCTCGAACGAAATCCCCTGGTACCATGATTTAGTAAACTCTAGTAATGTCATATAAGGAGAATCGTACCTTTGTTTCTGGATATAAGAACCATCCCCCAACTGCAGCAATAAGCCCCGTCCCCAGAAAGATGAAGCCGACCTTCCCACCCAGACTTCCTGCATCGGGATTGATCTGATAAAGTGATCAGTAAATATACCTAGATGGATACATGTCACCTCTTACCATATATGGAATGGTAAACTGCATGATCAGTCCCCAGACGGCATTGGTGATAGTGACTAATCCCTGAGTTGCACCGCGAAGGCGCATGGTAGCAATTTCCGACGCTAAAACAAATCCTGTCGCCCCAATGGATAGCTGGAAGATGATTGCCCACAAGTATATGAAAACTATAATGCCCCAACTGGCTTTTGTTTGGTCTGGGACACATCCCAGAATCCCTATGACCAGGAGCATAAAGCACAAAGCGAACTGTGGCCAGACAATCAGGGTCCGACGCCCTAAAATCTCCGTCAGAGGGAAAGCTGCAATACTAGACAGAAGCATGACGACATAAAGAACCACAGATGCATCGAAATAATCTTTCACATGGATCAATTGCAGAAAATAGGTCGCGTAGCCGATTACGAATGTAGCGCCAATCATTTGCTGGCCACTGGCAGCAAAGATAGCCGTAAAGGTCCTTTTGCGGTTCTTGGCTCCAAAGCACTCAAACTCTGTTGACAAGTCGATTCCCAAAAAGCTGTGCTTAGGTGTGTCTGTTGAATTTTGAATCTCGGATGTAATGCGGACTTCTTCCTCCATTCGTCGAATTTCAATGTCGTAGAAGGCGTCGTCCTTGAAACCATAGACCTTTTTTAATTCCTTCTTTGCTTGAGCTGATTTTCCACATCTGACGAGCCAGTATGGGGACTCGGGGAAGAAGAACCAGCCTGCTGTAAGAATGACTACTCAAAATGTTAAAAAATGGTAGTCGTGTGGCTAGTTTTGTACGTACGTGGGAAGATATACATGGCTACCACTGGGAGCCACCATTGCCTATGATGACAAGTTAGCCTAAGCACGGCGCACACCGTAAGTTCAAAGCTTACCATTTACCGTCGATATAGCTTCCTCCCTTTGATACTACAACACTTCTCAGGGATTTAGTAACATTGGCCACACACTCGAATGGGAGTAGTTACTGACATGGCAAACTGCCCAAACACAATGCTAGTATTGAAGAAGCACAAGAAGAAACCTCGTAGCTCTGGTCGACAAGTCTCTCCAATCCAGAGGGGTGAGATGGTAAACATCGTGCCAATGGCAATTCCTAGGGTGATGTTAGAATTGAGAAAGGGGTCTGAAGGGCTTCGCTCACCATTGACGCCTCTGCCGGCAAGGTGCATTCGCCAATCCGTCGACAACTGTTGTAAAAGAACTCCGGCAACGGATATCATCATTGCCACCAGAATTCCCGGCTTGCGCCCAAACCTCTCCAGTAAGGGAACAATAACAAAGGTGGATACGACCTCACATGCTGGGGCAATCGAGTTCCAAGCTGAGAGGTAATGCGCCGGGATTATGTAGTCTCCCGACGGCCCAAGGATACCAAATTGCTTCTGGAATGTGGGCAGTGCCGCCAATTGACCCCCGCGACAATGTCGAACCCCTGCATCATCACACCACTGGATACCCAGAACGCTGATAATATGAGCACATGTATGTCTTCTGAGTTCATAGGTATGCAGACTTACCCCAGAGAGCGAATTGCCACTGCGAACGGAGCATTTGCCATTTCTTATCAGGGCTGATAACGGTGTAGTCAATTCTAATGGGAAGTCAGTCACTACAACCTCCTGGGGGTGGAGACACTGTACTCGTCGGTCATCGTGATGGATCCCCGCCAGTATAGCTTTTGACAATGCTTGCATCTCGAGAAGCGGAGCACGCAGTTATATATGCAGCAGCCTCAATGCATGCTCGATCTTCCCCGTGGGGAAATGTGGAGTCTGGGGTACGTGAGTATATGACTCGCGGAGTACTGAGGTTGCTCCGCGATGCTCGGCTGTCGTGGGTATATGACTCGCGGAGTACTGAAGTTGCTCCGCGATGCTCGGCTGTCGTGGGTATATGACTCGCGGAGTACTGAGGTTGCTCCGCGATGCTCGCGAGGTACATGCCGAGGTCGGCATAGCGGGGCCTTGGCAATGGCGGTTGTCTATAACTTGTGCATAGGTTCAATGATATTGGTCTTAGATGCAGCAAAAGCCATGGAGCCTACTCGCATCAGGCCATCTCTGCATTTTACTGCTGACTACTGGATCAATGATCCTTGTGCACCTGGATATGATTCGGCGACGGGCTTATACCATGTCTTCTATCAATGTAAGTGTTTACGATGATGTGGTTGAATTTTACTCACGCAGTACAGGCAATCCACATGGTACCGAATGGGGCTCGATGTCTTGGGGTCATATAACCAGCGAAGACCTCATTTCCTGGACACCTTCCATGAGGCCCGCATTGGTTCCTGACCAGCCTTATGATCATGACGGAGTCTTTACAGGTTGCATGGCACCTCCTACAAGTTCCGAACAAGGCCCTCTGAAAGTTGTCTACTCTTCAGTTCAAAATCTGCCTTTTCACTGGAGCACACTTCCATATCCCCGCAACGCTGCTGGACTAGCAATTGCAAAATCCAACGATGGCGGTAAGACATGGACGAAATGCTCAGAAAATCCTAGCTTGATGGGTGAGCCCAAGGGGATACAAGTGACTGGCTTTCGTGATCCCTTTCTAGCAGAATGGCATGCTTTGCATCAGTTACGTGGACAGAAGTCCCTGTATGGTCTTGTCTCCGGAGGAATTGCAGGCCACGGCCCGACAGCCTTCCTGTATTCTGTGCCACATAACAACATATCAGAATGGCAGTATCTGTGTCCTTTGGTCGACATGCCTGCTCGATTCCAGCCCTCACCGAAATGGTCTGGAAACTTTGGCGTTAACTGGGAATGCGTCAATTTTCTGACCCTCGAATCTGAGAGCAACAGCCGCGTCTGTTTGATACTGGGAGCAGAGGGGGATGTGGAACGTGAACATATCCGAAATTTTGAATCCAGTCCACAAATTGCCCCAAGGACTGTTCGGTCTCTGCTATGGATGTTTGGTGACTTGAGGGTTGAGAACAATTCAGCTCGTCTTGACTACACTCATGGCGGATATTTGGACTGCGGGTCACTCTATGCGGCCAATTCATACTTTGAATCCTGGTCTAAGAGACATATAATGCACGCGTGGATTCCCGAAGAGGACATTACAGCGAGTTATGCCAAAGACAAAGGATGGAACGGAGCATTGGCCATTCCTCGCGAGCTCTTTCTACTTTCGGTACCAAATGTTACTCGAGCTCTTCACGGCCCCCTGTCGGAGGTAGCCTCTGTTGCACGAGTTACAAATGGAGACGGCTCAGCCACTATTCAAACCCTTGGAATACGGCCTGTTAAAGAGATAGATCAACTCCGCAAACGCTGTGGTCATGTCTACCAGCGGCAAAATATCTCACTCCCGTCTTCGACAGCCGAAGCAACGCAGACACTGTGCTCGGCATCGTTCTCTACTTGGGAGCTCGAGGCAACGATATCCATTGACCCGAGTCGCTGCCATGAATTGGGTTTTCATATCCGCCATAATAGCGACATGTCCTCATGTACTACCATCACGTTTTCTCTTCAGGAAGAGACGATCAGTGTCAGCAAAGGAAGATCAACATCTGATCCAAACATACGCAATTGCCCCGAACAGGGCCCATTTACTCTCTTTTATAGGGCTAGTCATCTGGCTGTCGGGTCCGAAGACAAATTGGAAAATTTGCGTATTCGCGTAATCTCTGACGCGGATGTCTTAGAGGTTTTTGCAAATGACTGGTTTGCCTTGACTACGACGGTTTATTCTCCGGAGTATTCTAGCCCTACTGGAATATCAGTCTTTGCTAATGGGGGGCAGGAGAGTGCTGTTTTCGAAGAGGTGAATGTTTGGGACGGGTTGTCGACTGCTAGGAGATAAAGAGGCCTTGGATTAAAGAAAAAGCAATACTATTATATCGTTGGAATTCTTATAGACCAGCATCTGAAAGACGCTCTTCTATTACTCCCTGTAGAATCATCAAGGATGAGCTCTTTTGTAGAATTGTCTGTTCGGTATGTCCCGATGCTCTGAGGCATTGATAGAACTGAGGTGAACAGAGCCCACTCAAACAGGGAGTATTTGCTGCAGCCATGGCGGCCACCGTAGTCATAAAAATACTATCTCCCAAAATTAGTCAACCTATATGTTTCTCAAACTAAAAATTGAACCCACCTAACGAACAATGTCCACCTGTTCACCTGGCAGTTATGGAATGCCGCAACAATACTCGGTGTCAGCATTACATACGAATCAAAGAATATCTGACAATGATCCAGAAGGAGGTCTGTAACGGCTCCATCCTGCATCACTTGATAAACAGCCGGCCAATATATTGAAAGCTTGCAGCAGTAGTACTGGACCCGGAGAAAGTTTGACAAAGGACAGGACGGGATTTCGACAAGTTCCAATGGCTGTAACACATCGCCCTTATCAAAACGGTTTACATCGGGTAGGTAACTATACCATTCCTCGAGCTGGTGTTCCAGCTCCAGTGCAATACCTGAGGCATAGACGTACTTTCCGGTAGATGTTGCCTGGACAGCTGTGTTGCATCGATGTAGCATACGTCTCATGGCAATCTCAGCCAGGAAATAGCATCGCGTATTTTCCACGCTTGTATCGACGGGTAGCGCAAGTTCCGGGGTGGCAACTCCTGGTGATGTGCTCTCGGGTTTAAATTGCCATGTATGCTGGCATAGTGGGAGTGAGACATGTTCATCCAGACACCAGATATCGCTCTTGGCAACATCCAATTGGCCGGAAATCTCACTATAATGGAAATCAGTGATAAATCACTACTTTGGGACTTGAACTGCCTACTTCTCGAGTAATAGTACACCCCAATATGCTTGCCGAGTTAGTTCAACAGTGTTTGGATCATCACCTTCTAATCCACTAGAATAGCTATATCAGCTTTGCGTCATTGTACTCAGGTAGAGGGGAGTCACCTTTTGATAATATTTTGGATCTTGGAAGACGCAATTAAACAATAGTCATGTGCCAGACAAGGCTTCAATAGACAACAATAATACAAAGCGATCAACATCAAGCATTGGACACTCTGGATACTGCACTCGGAGATGATGATTGGCAGCGAGGCTAGTGCTGTTTCGAAATACGGGGTATCTGAGACTGCCTCATCTTCCCTTACTATATGGCCGACTGCAGCCACAAGAAGGGAAAGGCAAGATTCCGAAGATGGATGTAACGAGCCAGAGAGTACCCGAAAGTACTCTTGCGAAAAGTCCGACGGAAGAATAGGATACCAGATGTGAACCCGCGCGGAGAATGCAGCCAAAGCGCTGATGTGAGAATTAGTTGTGATCTTTGATATGCTTGCTCAACCCACCTCACTGCATGCCAATGATGGACAATAAGCATCCGTGTACCTCCGGCCTCATGGCACTTGGACCCGGCAGCTCGTTCCCCTCGGATTAAGGTCTGAGCGAAACCTGCATCTAGCCCCAGCACATGCATAACGGACGAATTACCAAGCAGCTTGGAAGGCAAATCAAAAGGCGAGTTAGCTTGATTTGCCAAATCATCATATTCATTTCGCAGATCTGCAGTGCGAACATCCGGGGAAACGGGCTGCGCTGGAAGCATCAAGCTGATCAGTTGATCAAGGCGTTTGTTCACGGCATTCAATTCTTCTTCGACCCTGTCAGACTATGTGAGTACTATCTTTGCGCGGAGAATACAGTCACATACCGACTGGGACGCTCCACTGGCGGCTCTTGGTAGATACAGGCCACTCCGTGAGTTTGGCAATAGTGGCATGAGGGTCTCTGCGAATCGCATTTGGTTCTCCGCGCGCGACATGCATCGCATGCCAGGCTCGTGCGTTTTCGCTTGTTTGGGAGATGTTCTTCCATGCTCATCTGTATAGTGTTTCAAAGCACAGAGAGGAATCGCGGGGAAGGTTATGTCCTCCGCGTTAAACCCGCGGAGGGCCGGCAATGTTCCGCGATACCTCCGGGACGGATATCTTATTCGTCGCGGAGACATCAGTTCACTCCGCATATCTTGATCAATGATCAAAGATCATCAGCGTGAGGGTGTCGGTTCAGCAGGTTACTTAAGGAAGCCTACCTCATCCAAGATGTTGCTTGCCACGATCTATTCGAATCTCTTTGCTCGAATACCTCGCTATCCCCCAAAATGCCTATTGGAAGTGATCTACTGGCCAGCATGGCCAAGAGGAAAGTTGCCCGTAGCGCTCGGGTGGCTAGTTGGGACCAGAAGGGCCTTAACGAGGATGCCTTTGTGGTTTTGCCTGGCGAGTCCATCGTGCTCGCCGACATTGAAGGACCAGGCGCCATCACCCATCTGTGGTTCGTACAAACCTGCCGCAAGATCCTAGGCCCGGGGTTGATCCCCTACTCCAAGTCCGGTGTCGCGATGATGGAAATCCACAATGCTCTCGGCCTCAACTACGAAATCAGCGAGCCGGACTACTACCGCAAGGTGCTCATCAAGATGTACTGGGATGATTCTGAGACTCCCAACGTGATCGCACCCATTGGCGACTTCTTCTGTCTCGGTCATTCCATGGCGGCCAATTTCCAGTCTCTCCCCTTCACGGTGTCGGTCAAGCCGTCCGAGGAGAAGAAATTTGGCGGTGCTGCCGCGTTCAACTGCTACCTCACTATGCCGTTCAACAAACGCGCACGCATTGAGATTGAGAACCAAAACGACGAGGCTTATTTCCAGTACTTCTACATCGACTATGAGCTCTACCCCGAGCCTCTGCCTGCGGATACGCTGTATTTCCACGCGCACTGGCGCCGCATGAACCCAACCAACGGCTGGGCGCCGTCTCGGATTCAGACGAACAGCCTCGAAACGCAAGTGCCAAACCTGGACGGAAAGGACAACTACGTCATCTTGGAGACCGAAGGCGCCGGGCAGTTCATCGGCTGCAACCACTCCGTTGCGCACTTCCAGGGCACCTGGTGGGGTGAAGGCGACGACATGATCTTCATCGACGATGATACCTGGCCCCCCAGTATGCATGGCACTGGCGGGGAGGACTATTTCACGCAGGGATGGGGCATGCAGAAGAACGCGTACCCGTTCTGCGGCACGATCATCCACGAAGAAGACGTGCCCAACTACCAAGTCAGCTACCGCTGGCACCTTACGGACCCGGTGCGCTTCAACAAAAAAATCAGAGTGACCCTGGAATCAGGGCATGCGAACCATTTGCGCGATGACTGGAGTACTACCGCGTACTGGTACCAGACTCTCCCCGGGCCCAAGCTTGATATTCTTCCTGTGGAGAAGCGCATTCCGCGCAAGCCTCAGTTTCCACCTTCGGATGATGTACCTGAGCCGGATGTGAGCAGCATGAGTGCTGAGAAGCATGCTATGGTCAAGCAGCGCGATGAGCGGATGGAGGCGTTTGTCAAGGACCGGAATGAGTGGCTGGCGAGAAGGGCACGCGATTCTCAGGAACGCGCGCGCAATAATGTCGATATTTGCAAGGATATCAGGGCGCGCTTCTTGCAGGGTTTAGGCAAGTAGAATGAAGGAGTTTTGCTCCCAGGAGTAGAATAGAATGCCCTTATCTTTTCTCTTCTCTAATGCACATCCGATATTTTCCCAAACAGCTGGTCATAAAGAAGAAAGTAAAGAAAACAGGCCTACCTCGACTGTCCAATATATCTTAATATCCACATTTTGATCCCTAGCAGTAGAGGGATCGTGGCGGTGCGCGCAAACCCCTACGCCCTACTATTCCAAGATCTAGAGGGACAGAAGAATGCGGTCATTAAATTTGCAAAATCTAGATCATACAATATCCTCATCGCCATAATCATCTTCAGCACCCATAGCCTCATCTTCATTCAGAAGGCCTTCCTCGCCCTCTGGCGTTGTGTCCATGGTGATATCACCATCACCCATAGCCTTCACCTTAGCCTGGGTCATCTCGAAGACATACTGACCAAGATGCTCAACGCCTTCCATGGGTGTACCTTCAACATCGGCATCAGCAGCCCGTGTTGTCGGGAACATCTCGCCAGGTGCCAGCATGAGCTTATCAGGACGCTGCAAAAGAAGATCAAAGGCAGGCTTGAGCTCGTAGCATGACTCGAACACTTCTCGGCGGCCTAGGACGTAAAGACCCAGGCGAGCACGGGATAAGGCGACGGTAAGACGGCGCACGTCGCGCAGGTACCCGACACTACGGGTACGGGTGAGAGAGAGGATCACGACTAAATTATATGTTAGAAGAACTATTTGCGGTGACTTTGTATGGCACCAAGAAAAGATGCCTTCGGGGGAAACTTACAATCATTCTGCTCTCCTTGGTACCGGTCCACTGTGGTAACGATCTTGGGCATTCCAAACATTGGGTTCTTGCCGCAGCGGTGACTCAAAACATCACGGATAAGCGCGGTCTGTCCAGCATACGTCGCCAAGATCGAGATCTTAGAAGCAGGATAGCCCAGCAAGCGCATGTATTGATACATGGCCACAGCGTACTCCGCTTCACCAAGGTTCTGAATGAAATGAGGAGTTGGCTCACGCTCTCCAGATCCTTGGTAGTCAGGGACATTGATGAACTGGTAGTCGAACTGGAAACCAGCATTGGCCTGCTGGTACTCACCAGTCTCGACGATTGGGAGATCGCCAAGTTCCTTATACCGCCAGCGGAAGAGCTCTGCGATGCTTGATCGTGCACGACCTTGCTTGTCCAGGTTGATGACTGGCACACCTAAACGTGCCAGTCGTAAGAAGAGACTTTGCTCGAAATGAGCGTATTGACGGAAAGCCATGTTCTGGATGACGGGGGAGTTCTGGTAATGATCACCACAGAGAACAACGCGCTTGAGAGGAAGCTCGCCATTCTTCATGTTCTGCAGAGCGTTGGGAATGAAACTTTCGACTTCGGTGATCTGCGCGGCTTCTTCCATAACTACGTTGTCATAGTGGAAGCCTAGATCAGCAATTTCTTGCCGGCGCATGGCCGCATGTGTCGATGTCATTGCAACAACGCGGGCCTCCTTGATCAGCAAGTAGTTTGCCTTGTCGCGAGGTTGTCTCAAGATCTCGAATGGCCGAATGTCCTCCAGTTCTGAGAAGATCCGAGCAATGTGACGTTGGCAACCCGAAGCAGTGTCGACGATCGCTTCCTTGGTGGCTCCAGCTTCAAAGAGAGGTTGAGGAGCATTTGCAAAGTACGATTGGAATGGGAACGAGGCAACGATGTCCTCGGTCGATACCTCTTCGGAGTTGGCTCGGTCCCAGAACTTGGCCCACGTCGGTTGAATGTAGACTGTGTTGAAGTATCCTGCAGTCTCACATGAGTTTCCATGCGCACCCTCAATCCCAAGTGATGCAGCCAAGCGCATCACTTCTGAAAGATAATAATTGCGGTTGTCAAGGAAAGATTCAACACGTCCATGCTTGCTGTAGTTGGACTCTGTGTCTAATTCCTCCTCACCGTGGCCCAGTCGCAACAAATGGCGCTCATCAATGTCAAGAGCGACGATCTTCTGGAAAAGTTGGTTGAGTGCCTGGTTGCTGTGCGCGACGAGCAAGGTTCGCTCATTGGGGAAATTGTGGTAAATATTGTTGATGATTTGTGTCGTAACATCTGTCTTTCCAGTACCGGGAGGTCCCACAATCACGGTGAGCCCCGGCTGGGTCCCAGATGCAATTGCCTCCACCTGGGCAGGAGTGAATCGCACTTGGTTCAGCTTAGGTGCATCAACAGGGTAAGGGCCGGGGTTGGGTGGCTTGTATGTGGAAACGCGCATAGCACTAGGGGCCGAATCTGCCTCCTGGGCTTGCTCGCGGCGTCGCTTTTTTGGTGCGGGGGGTTCTGCCGCTGGCTCTTGATCAACATATTCAAGAACGTAAGGTGGGCCAAAGCTCGAGTTCTCAGCTGCCGAGGGTTCAATTCCCGGGAAGCTTTCAACTAAATGAATCCAGTCTAAGAGGGTGTCCCGGAAGTCAACAGTCCGGAGTCTGTTTGGAAGCTGCGTGTACTTGGCACCAGCGGGGTCACCATAGCCCAAAAAGATGTCTTGGAGCCAGGAGGGAAGTGTCATATCAGAGACAATGAGTTTTTGCATCGTCTGAAGAATTGACTTGAAGTTATTCTCTCTGCCTTTTCTCCGTGCAACCACGTTGATCAGGGGGTAAACATCTGGTTTGCCGTGGGCTTGATTGTCCTTGTCAGCTTTGAACGCAGCAGCATCCAAGTGGACAATCAGTCTCCTGATCCGGGGCCGAGATTGGTAACCATTGGTCTGACCCGGTTGCTGACGCAGTGCGCGACCTTGTTCATCGAGCACTTGTACAATTTCCGCCGTTCGAAGATGGGTCATCCGAGGGCTTTCAGACTCATTCTCTCTGAGCTGACCAGGGCCGGACTGAACAGCTAATAGGTACACAACATCATCGGGACGAAGTGACTCCCATTCTTTTCTCACAGTGTCTGCAAGTCTCCCCACCTCGATGGCAATCTCTGCGCGAACAAACGCCGGGTTTGTTGCTCCGACCTTCGGAGGTGCAACATCAATTATAGCAGGCTTCGAGATTGGAATGGCCATTCGAGAGAATCCCTCGAAGTTTAAGCTTCCGTCACGAGATGTTTTTGGCTGCATGCGTTTGACGACAGACTCCATGTCCTTGCGGATTTGGAAGAATGCCTCCGACCGGTACAACAAGAACGAGCGCCACAGGAAATCTCCCAGACTCAGGTACTGAAGGTTCAACTTCGGAATAGCCAACGGCCTTGATCCATCGTATGTCTCATTCCTTAACAATGCCGGGTCGTATAGGTTTTCTTCTGTAGGCAGTGGGCTCATCTTCTCTACTGCCTCCTGGAATGGTACCTTGCGCTCATAAAAAGAGCCCAAAACTTCCAGGTAGAATTGGCGGTCTGGGTTGATGTTCGCGGATTTTGGATAGTTTGTGCGGAATCCGAGGTGAGAGCACAGGCTCTGGAGTTCTGCCTCATCCAGAGATGAGAGCTGTCCCTCCAGGTCAGATCGGTGCTCAATTGACCCGAGGTTGGAAAGTGCTAGAATAGTGAGTTTGTCTTTGAAGAACTTCATAGAGGTTCTTTGCAATTGAGCCAGTTCCCGGCAATGCAAGTCATAAACTCCCTGTGGGGAGAGAGCTTCGCCTGAGTAATCATCAATCGCAAATTCGACGAAGTGCTTCAGAAGGCCATGGAAGTCACGAAGCAGAGCGTTATCAGGCGCGCGGTATAGCGGAGAAAGGCGAATAACTGGCAAAAGATTGAGATCCTTGAGCAGCGTATTCACATATCGCCGAGTGGGGAGCTGACTTTCAAGGTCAACCAAGAGCTCAAGGAAGCGTTCGCAGTACAAGAGGTTCTCGGTCTGTTCCTTTTCAGGGCCATTCAGCCTCTGTAGGAAATCTAGAAGCATGGTGTAAAGCCATGAGCGCTCAAAGCGCATTTTTGCTTTGGCAGCTTCGTCTCCAGCCTCATATCGCTTCCCAGAGGCCCTCCATGCCTTTTTCAGTGTAGGTGCCTTAGCGATAATGCGGTCCCTCGTTTCATCGCTAGCCAGGTTGTGCCATATCGAGATAGAAACCAGAGGAGCACATTCTTTCCGAATCAGAACATTCTCGAGTGACTGGAAAGCGCTGATAACGAAGGATATGATGGCGAGTCTAGAACGTGTCGGAAGAGAGTGATCAATGCTCATTGACAGGATTCGGTGGAAAAGATTCGAGAAATCGTCGGCACGGTCGGAGAAGATATCTGCACTTGTCAGCTGCGCTGGAAGACTCGACTGTAGTCGCATTGACCCACCCCATATCGGCAAGTGCTCGCGATGCTTGACGCTGACAATCAAGGCGATCAATAGAACATGATGATTTGAAGCATCCTCGGTGTAGGTCGGCCACAAGTACCTGGTAACCAGTCAGTCAATAGCCCTGCGGCAATCGCGAGATTAAATAGGAATCGTACTTCTCCAGGACATTCAGATTCTCCAGGATCAAAAGCGTGCGACTGTTGAAGGCCTCCGCTTCCAGAGGATCGTACAATTGCTTCTTGATGACATCTGGTTTGGCCTTGCGGACCTTCACGTTCGACCAGTTGGCCTTGGCCAGCTGCACCCAAGGGCTATCGTCGCGAAAGTCCACCACCGTTGGCCTGGTATCAAGACTCTGCGCCATCGCAGGTGCCAATAATCCCTTAACCTGATTGATTGGGGCTGGTTAAGTGACGTGGGGTGGATTGGCGCACTTCGGGAACATCAGTTGAAGCTGGGGGAGCTTTTTCGAAAAGTCTTGGCTTTTGGTCTCCGCCGCGCTTCACTCCGCCCGGTCTTCACTCCAATCTCACTTTCTGCTTCCCCCCTTTCACGCCTTTACAACTATCCATCTGCTCCTCTGTCGTTTAAGAAGATGGAAAATGCGGGTGTTGCCGGTGTCCAGGTCTACAAAAGACTGGTGGACAGCCTCCTGGATCGCGCCGCGCAGGTGAAGCTCGACAAGCAGATTGAACCCCCATTGACAGAAGCACACCTGGGCGAGACGATATGGAAACTTTTGCCTCAGGATGAAGAAGCCATCAAACACCTGAATCAGCAAACCAGGCCTGCGGCTGTTGAAATCGCGTTTCGCGAGAAATTCTATCGCCTCTTGGTATGGCCAATCTAGCTCGCGTTCTGCGGATATATCTAACTTAGCGATTTGCACCAGGCTTCTACTTCTATCGACGATCCTGCTTTCATCCATATCTGGAACCTTCTCGACGTCGTCTCAATCTTTTCCGATAATGGTCAGCCACGCTCCTCCGCCCTGCGTGGTTTACACGGCTAACATCCTTCAGAACAATGCGAACCCGGCCTTATCTTCTGGCTCATCGAAGAGCTTCTGGATAGCCAAACCATCGATGGTTGCCGCAAAGTCTTTGACTACTTAGAGTCTCGAAGGGAGAGGAATACCAAGGTGCGCAATGCCTTCTACCCGTCTGTTCCATCGCAAACCTAACTCCGCAAAGAAACACTTTAAACAGAAAAGCTTGATTATCCTACGATCCTGCAACGAACTTCTTCGCCGGCTTTCGCGCGCAGAAGATACAGTATTCTGTGGCCGGGTGTTCATCTACCTCTTCCAGAGTTTCCCACTTGGAGATAAAAGTTCGGTCAACCTTCGAGGCGAATTCCACTCCGAGAACGTCACTACCTTCGACGACATTGCGAAGCAGTTTACCAAACCACCTTCGCAAGACACAACGATGACCGAGGGGACTGCAGTTGCGACGCCCGGAGACGCAGAAGCGGGCCAGACCGAAAACCCTTCTGAACCAGGGGCCAGAGTTCCCAAGGTTGTTGTTTCTGAGGGTCATGAGAAAAAATCAAGCAGCAAAGAGGATGTTGACTTGGATGCGCTCTACCCCGTTTTCTGGAGCCTCCAGGCTTTTTTCTCAGCACCAAGCAAAGTGTTCGACTCTGAACGGTTTGCGTCTTTCAAAGCTGGACTGGAAGCGACACTATCTGCGTTCAAGAACATTAACACGGAAATCGAAAACCAGAGCGCTGCCCGAGTTTCGGAAGATGCACGGAAGTCGAACAAGCGCAAGCGCATTGTGGATGGCGCTGAAGTCGCTAGCAGCTTTAACCCGAAATATCTGACAAGCCGAGATCTGTTCGATCTTGAAGTCAGTGACACTGCGTTCAGGCGCCATGTTCTCGTCCAGGCTCTCATTCTTCTCGACTTTGTACTTTCTCTCACATCCAAGTCCAAAACACGCCTAGCCGATGCGACAAACAAATCAGTACTTTATGGCTTTACCCTCAATGAAGAGGACACGAAGTGGGCAGTGAATATGAGAAAGAGCATTGAAGGGTATCTGCAGCAAGGTCCTGGTGGCATGTTTTACTATCGAATGGTGAATACCGTGCTGTCTCGAGACAAGAACTGGGTGCGTTGGAAAGCTGAGGGTTGTCCATTGATTGAACGACCAGCCATCTCGGTGGCGGAATACAAGACTTCCCGCGAGCATGCCACCAAAGCTTATGCGAACAAGCGCATCCGTCCCTCTCCGATGGGATCTCTCGATCTCAAGTTTCTCGCGGACAGCGAGGCCTTGGTCAACATTGAACGTCTCAAGCAGCCTGATCGATACAGCGTTCCCACCGCAGATTCGTTCCTGAAGGGTATCATGGACGACGAGATGGACATTGATATGGCGATGACTGACGAAGATAAGGAGATTGCAATCAACGCTAAGGCTAGTAAATCCTGGCGGATTCTTCGTCTCTCTGCGAAAGGCAAACTCGCTGCGTTCGACAAGATCGAAGACGGAAATAAACTTCAAGTCTTGTTCGAGAGTCCTACAACCGACGGCATTCCCCACCACGGCGAAGAGCCAAATGGGCAGAGTACTCGTGACGAGCGACCTGATAGTGCCAAGGGTTCTCTTCAAGGCTTGGATGGGGCCCAGTATACGCCCACTGCGAAAGAGGATCCAGGTCCCAATGAACAATCTGGCAAAGCCAAGGAAATCCCCCAGGACGTGGATGGAGCTCAGGATACATCTGCTGGGAACAACGACGTCATCAGCGAAGAAAAGCAGGACCCGAGCACTGCGAACAACGAAGAGGCCCTTGCCGCCTCTACCGCCTCGAAAGAGGACCCTGCCACCTAAAGCGAGCGTGTGGCTTAATGGAGATATTTGTTGGACTGGTACTGTACACTACATGGCACCTCATGGCTTTGACCTCCTTTGCTCGGACAACATCCCCCAATGGGCTACGTCTTGTCGCCATAACACCTTGGTCAGCCACACCCAAATTATCCAGGCAACATGCAGCATCTCATGCATCGATATCACGGCGCTCGTGCAAAACCTTGGAACTGACATTACCACATCCGTGCACCTGCATTGTCCATGCTATCAGCTTCATTTACCGCCTCGGGTCGATCTGCACTTTCTTTTACCCAATTCGAATATCAGATTCTCTCGGGACGCCAATGCAACCTGACCGTTATTCGGTCTTCGCATATTCATCGGATACATTCAAGACCCCCTTTTCAAGGTCCTCAACATAACAATACCCCTATCCAGAATACCAGGGCATATGCCGATCAAGACCGAACACCAGGTGGCCGGCGGCACGGCGGCTTCTTTCGATCCGAGTCCGACATCTCCGTGGGGCTAACGGGGGAGTGGGTAGCTTAGTCCGGAAGCGCGGCCACTAGCAGCAGGAATAAATATTCATACAGTACCTGTACCCGAGGGGCGAATGAGGGCCAGAGACCAAAGACCACATCTGGAAAAATTAGCTACCGACGTGGAGACTAAGATTCTTTAGCTGATCGGCAACTCTAATAGAAATGACTTTTGGGAAAGGTTCCTGCATGAAGTAGCATAACTAAAGAGCCAGTCAAAGTGTAAATCCCGTCCAATAATCCCAAAATCGATATGTCCATCCAGAATGTTCTATCTCCGGAGGAATTGCCAGTGGCATGGTTGGGCCGCCCGAACCGTCACAGCCATGTTTCAGTTGCCAGGCTAAGGAAGATTAAGTGGCTTCGGTGTCAGGACAGTAAAGTCGGTGCCTGGAAAAAATTAAAAATTAGAAAAAAAAATGAGGAAAGACTAAAAACACTAGACTAAAAGGCAGAGGAAAATAGGAGCCCACGAGTTTAGGAAGTTTAGAAAAAAAAAAAGTCGAACAGCATTAGTTCCAGAAGTGGACACATTGCTCATATTTTGGCCCCCTCCTTCGAGGTAAACTCCGCAGAAACTGCGGCAGGAAAATCCTTCGCGTCCATTGACTTGATTTCAGTGGTAGTTCGCATGGGAAGCTAGAGAAACCCAAAAAAGCTAGAGGCAGGTAGGTTGAGACACACAGACGCACAGAGCTTCAGGAACAAACTGTATAGGTTAACACTAAAGTATACGAAAGCACACATAACTTCACAATCAGACACAAGCGCTGAGTTTGGTCTCCACGGTGGAACCCGCTACATACATGTAGAGGCTTAGGCTGCGTGATTTTCATGTTTTCGATCTGGCATGTCTTATACACTTGAAATATTCCACCGGGCTAGCTGCTAAATTCGCAACTTCTTCCGAATTAGTACAGCTAGAGATGTTAACCATGGAAATCTAATTGACCCTGCTTTCTCAGACTGTGACTTCCATGGGTATAGTTGACCCGATTAGTGTTAGGACAAGAAATTTGGCTGGACAAAGCTATCTAACTCGTATGATTCAGGACAAAGCTATCTAACTATATGATTCAGGTAATAGGAACGGGTACGAATACGTGATGCATGACTATCTGAACACGTTCCACATTCCCACGTTCTTGATTATTGATTATTGATTATTTACTTTCATACTCCTGCAGGGCATCGGCCCATTTTGCCGCAGGGGAGAAAAAAGGCCACTCCATCCGAGCCAAGAGATCGGCTTGCGTCACCCACACGACGTGTAAGCAATGGAGCGAAATGAAAGGGCTATAACATGTTAGGGAATTAAAGTTGCTCTTCGATCACCTCGATCTGACTTCCCCCACACCGTACAATTTCTGTCTGGACCGTGTACTGTAGGCGGATAGTTCCGCGTGGCTGTCTCTTTGACGTTATTTCATTTCCCAAGCCAGAGTTTGGCCATATTCCTTGAAAGGGAAAAGAGGTCGATGTTGAAGCGATCGTCGCCGTTTCGGCCGTAGCGAATCAGCTCTGTGGACTCTGATTCGGGATCGAAGTCCAACGGTTCCGAGTTTTCTCCTCCGAGACCCATCAAGGCTGCATTGCAATGCTCCACGTTGGATATATACGGGGAACCATGAGATGTACTCCACTTGTACACTATATGTCATTGTACGGAGTACTTACATGTATATTGTACTGTGTATTCTGTCTGTATCATGTGGCGTGGCTGAGTTTGTGGCACCTATGAGAAGAGAGTAAAATCCCGGTGGACTATACTGGCTATTCGGTATTCCCGAGGCAAGTTCTGGCCCACAGTAACTGCAAGATCTTTTTACTCATTTCACCTGCGACCCGAATTGTTTCATGTTGTGGAGATTTCAGGAGACATCTACCGAGCCATGGTCAAGTCGACAGTCATTGCCCCCTAACGGGTAACGGATGATTTTCGCCCTCCCTGTCTCTGCGCATGGTCCGCTAGGTGGTCTCTCCTGCTAGGGCCAACGCCGCTTCTATAGGAACTAGGAACTATTGAAATCCTTTCGGACAGGATTTTACAACGGTTAGCACTAGAATTGAAGGGTAGTATATAATCCCTGTTGTCTCGCTAATACATGTAACTTGAACCGGTTTCAGAGCTCGCCAGTGTCGCCAATGAGGCTCTCCCAGTCATACTTCATGCAGCATTGCAATTGGATTGAATTTTTGAATATTCAATATTTATTTTTCATTTTTGTTTTGGTCTTACAATCCGGTAACTCCACTTGACCTCCCTCTCTATCCATTCACGATGGAGTGTGGCGGGCAGCGTGCTGAGTGGTCATCTCTGATCGATAGCGAGGGTCCGGCGCCTTAGGGTGGCCGCTTACGGATCCCACCACGCCACATACTTCCACATGGTCTGCGAGTTCCGGCCGAGCAAGGGTCTTTCGTCTACGGTTGGCTGATGACCCATGCAAATGGTGTCGGGCTTTTTTTGTTTGGCCTTTTTCTCGCTTTTTTCTCTTTTCTCCAGATCCCGGAGATCGAATCCCATAGACCTCTACCATGTATCATGCAATCCGGCAGTGAAAGATGTGAGAAACAACTATAAGTAGCTGGTTGTTTCTCTCTCGTCCGAGCCGAACTCCGCTGGACCCATACTTCTTTCTTCCTTGTCCAGACTTGTCTGAGCTGAATTGCTGCGGATATTTCCAGGCCGTTCAGCTCGGGGCATATGATTTGCCACAGATCCATGCGTCCTGGAAGATTCGGCCGTGGCCTTTATGGAGAGGTGGCTAGGTGGCTCAGAGCACGACTCCAATATTACCCCGTACTTGGTATATTTTTCTTTTTTTTGGATCTTCTAGAAAGCCTTTAAGCCGGATATGGGTAATGGATCTGAGGCTATGGTTTTATTCTCCGAAGACGATCCTTTTAGTGATGCTACTAGCTGTTTTATGTATCATTTCTTTACGCATCTGTAACCAGTGTCTGATACGGTGACCGCGCTATTGACCGTTCGGTGTGGGATCTTCAGTAAACAGATCGGAGTGATCGCATCTGTGGTGCTCTTAACACATGTAGTCTTTCCCCCCACCCTTTCAGTGATCGTTGGGTGTCGTACCTTGTGCATTTCCCTGTTTTGGTGTCTCTTTTGGCTTTCATCAGACCGTTATGACCGTTGGGATCGACCTAGTCACAATACTTTTCATTGCACACTTCATATCTTCGAAGGAAAGAAAGCCGGAGGTATTCTGCATACTGGTCTTTTCCCGGGCCCTGTGACTATACTTGTGGACCCTTGGGGCATAGTGGGCGTCCGTTTAATATCCTATCCCGACACCTATTTCCACTACCTCCGCCCTTGTCCTCGCTTGGCTATTGAGCCTTGTTGGATTTGCCTCTCACGTTTGGGATATCTCCCCTGGTCTAACAACATTGCCAGGTACCAGATTTCTCACCCTGGTGGATGCCCTTCTCTTACATGTACTCCGTACAAGCCGCGTAAAGCTCATCAGAAACGATCTCGGATTCAGAGGAAATCAAGTGTCCCGCCTCTTCGTCTGGGCCATCTCTTTTTCCTTCTGGACTGCTGCACACCGGTTCTTCTGACACACATCAGTTGGCGCCCATCACCCCTCTCTTTCTCTCCAGCAGTATAGTCTGGAACACGCTTCACCCTTTACTCCGTTTAATTGAAGAATCCCTTCCTTTACGCAAGCGCCCCGGTATTTCGATCAGACCCACCGTCTCATCTAAGGGCCGTTATTAGTTCTTTTTGATTGCCAGGTTTCTCTAACGTGCTGATCCTTTGCCTTGAGATTCTTGAAAATCTTCGTGGTCAAGGACTTAAGTCAATTCTATCATGTCAGTCGGCGGTCCTTGCCTTTGGTTACCTGCCTTATCTACGCCAGTCCCTTCGCCTCTGTCTACAGTCTCATCTCATCTGTCCCGGAACAGCGAGAGATTCTCTCTAGGAAGGACGATCTCCCCCATTACTCTGTGAGGGAGAAGGAGCCCGGTATTCCCGGTCCTGTTTCTTTTGCTTCTGGACGTCCTACGGAGATGCAACCGGCTGGCTTCAAGGCTGAGAATGCCTTGAATAACCCGTCCTCGTCCATGGGTATGTCTGGTCCGGCGTACGCGGGAGAAATCCCACCTCGGGATAGGGTCAACCACAGGCTAGAAGCTGCGAAACAGGATATGCTACCGCGGGTCAAGTTGGAGATACCCAGTATCAACCAGCGCCCCTTTTCGCCTGCTCAGCCCCTGGTCGGGCCCGGACATCTTGATGAGACAGCTGGTTCTTCGTTTGGACATGATCACCGGGATGAGCACGAACGGGAGGAGACGATTAGTCCTGATGATGATAAGGATATGATGGGGAGCGATGACAACAATAGATCGCCGTCGTTGGAGAAGAAGAAAATGAAGCGATTCCGGTAGGAGACATTGAGATGAAGTACAGAAATCTGAGGCTGACTAGGGCTTAGCTTAACACATAACCAAACACGTTTCCTGATGAGCGAGTTCACTCGCCAGGCACATCCAGATGCTGCTCATCGAGAGCGCCTTTCGAGAGAGATCCCTGGTTTAACTCCTCGTCAAGTACAAGTCTGGTTCCAAAATAGGTAGGGCTTCACTATTCACCTCTATTCAGTTCTTTGTTAACATGGGCATCTCTACAGACGAGCAAAGCTCAAGCGTCTGACCACGAATGATCGCGAGAGAATGCTTAAATCTCGGGCCCTCCCTGACGATTTCGATACCACAAAAGTCCTTCGCACGCCTTTTGAAGGCAAGTCAACAGGTGTTACTCCAGTGGCGTCTCCACAAGGCTACGCAGCCCCAAATCCGGATTTCGGGGCCTTGAGAACACTGCGTACTGAATGTTTCCCCCGACCAAATGAAGACGAGTACCTCGTTTCGCCTCTCAGCTCTGCGTCGACCGCAGGAACCTACATGTCCTCGACTGCGGGACGAAATGACGGTCTGAATCAGTCGAACATGATGTTCCGTCCTGCAGCTTCTGCCTCCATGAACGATTTGCATAGAACCATTCGCAACGATTACCCTGTCACCAGATCGAGCAGCCTATCCGATGCTTCTGCTCACCCTTCTCCTTACGCATATCAGATGCCCAACCGCTTCGCAGGACCTCAGGCAAACCAGCCAGGTCTGCCTTATATGAGACGTCCCATGGAATATTCTATGCCACGGCACCATGGCATGGCTGCACCTTATGACCAGCACCAAACTTTCGAGGGCTCAGTGTCCCCAACCGACTCACAGGGGGCACATATTACATACGACATGAACAATCTCGGTATGTCTTTCTCCCAATCGGGCATGAACCAGCCCAACGAAAAGCAATACTAACAAGATACTTTCAAACAGGCTCGCAGCCGCAAAATTACCAGCTGGGAATGGGCTCTCAGCTACCATCACAAGGACGACCCATGTCCACCATGCAGAACATTCCAGTCTCAGCTCCCCAAGAGTACCGATCCTACCCATATGAGACTCCTTCGGCCATTCCCTACACACAAGCCAATACCTCCAACATGAACCTTCCCGCCTCTTTCCCTTCTGAGTCTGGTCCTGCGGGACACGATCAGATGCAAACGCCAACTTTGGACCCTCTGCGAAATAAATTCGGGAACTCGTCTTACAACTATCCTAACTATATTCAGCAGTGAGGGAAGCAACAGGTGCAACGAGCTCAAAACATGGACGCCAGCCTTGTCTGCTATGCCCTCGCTCTATACTCTCTCGCACAGTTTTCATCATCTACACAGCATTTTCGACTTCGACATCGACTTCATTACTGTCATGTCTCGATCTCCATCTCCACCTCTACCTCCATGTTCCGGTTAACTGGTTAGCTGGGTTAACCAAGGATCCTTGATCTATATCAGCGTGCTTTAATCATTAATCATTTTCACAGCGTTTCTGGCTTTGGTTTTATGGGTTTCCTTTTAAGGTTTCTTCTGTTCTATGTGTTTATACTATCCTTATATTCTGTTTTAACTGCATCTTTACTTTATTTTATTCTCATATGTCAGTTCTGTGATTCTACAATTGCTTGTGTTGGGGTTGTTGAGTATGGTATAATTGGGTAGTGGTTTAATCTGGGTCATTTCCAGATAATACCACAAAGCTTGCCTGATATCAATAAGTTGGACAGTCCGTTACTGTAGTATACTAGATAGCATGTGAAAATATATAATGACCACCTGTTCATTCCCCTATCCCCTGTCTTTCTGGCAAATGCAATTTCCGAGTCGTTATTAGCTTATAATCCTTAACTCGTTAGGGTCAGAGCTCCCGATGCACCTAAATCATAGTTCCCTTGCCTGCATAGCCTAGCAAAAGCACCGGAGTCCGAGTCCCAACATCACACCTGGGAACCCTGGTCATCCACATCCGTCTCATCAAATCAGAAACAAGACAAAAGTAATCCTCAACCCTTTGCCTGAACACATCCACAATCAGGCCACAGTCTCTGGCCACTCAAGTGGCGAGTATTTGAAGTGTGCCCAAGTGCGGCCAACCAGCAGCCTGTAAATGAACAACGATGACCACGTGACTCTATGCATTCCAGCCAATCAGAGCACAGGCATTAACAACAATCTTTGATACTCTGACGCATCCAGCCAGTATAAATAAAAGAGAAGCAGGACGTATCTTCTTTTTATTTTCTCATCTTCTTCAAAGCCTCCAGATCTCTGAATCTTCACTCCTCAACTCTTTAACTCTCAGAAAGTTGCAGCTTTGCAAATTCATCACCTTATCACCAATCCCGCCAACATGGTTCACCCCGCCACTACTTGCTGCAAGACCTCCCAGGACGGCAGCTGTGTCTGCGCCGCTCAGGCCAAGTGCTCCTGCGGCCAGCAGAGCGCTCTCCACTGCAGCTGCAACAAGGCTTCCTCCGAGAACGCCGTGACCGGTCCCCGCTGCTCTTGCCGTAAGTCACCTTTTATTTTCCTGCAGAGATGTCTATACTAACATGCAAATAGGCGCCCGCCCCGCTGGCCAGTGCACCTGTGAGCGCTCCGTCAGTGAGAACGCGGCCATCTCTGGCGAGACTTGTGCTTGCGGCAGCCGTCCTCAGGGTATGTTTTGTTCTACTATCTCCATAATATTGGTAGATGAGATTTGCTAACTTTGTTTCTTTAGCTTCCTGCACCTGTGAGAAGGCTGCTGGTATCGAGTCTGCCCTTGAGGTTGATTTCACTACCCGCTCTTAGACGAGAAATCATCTGGTCTTTGTTTCATTTTTTTTCCTGCTTGATGGTTGATATGCTTTCTCCATCCAGTTGCATTTCCTTTCCTTGCTGTTGCGGGATTGGTGGAGTCTTGGGTTCGGGCATACAATATGGTTGCTTTGGGGTTTGATACTCACGAGATACGAAATGAGAGACTAATTCTTTTTGTTTGACTGGATATTTAAGTAAGAAATTGCGCAGAGATGGTAGTATGCGAATCCGATTCAATTTAAGGATCCTAGAGGATATGTAAATGGATTGGGTGGCTTTTAAATAGGATTGTGCTTAAAATAGGTACATTTCGAGCCTCACAAAGCTTGTTCCTCTGAGGTGTGCGGATGAGCAATGGAATGGTTGAGCCGAATATCACAATACGGCATAACTCCTCGCTATAGCATCTGCTTACATCTTTCATTTCACGGAATCACTATAATCAGGGATCTGTAGAGTGCAAGTAATACTCCCAGCACAGCCACCGCCCAAACATTATTCCGAAACCACCGCCACGGCGGAACTCTGGCTGATCGACAGCGGAAGTGACCCAGGAAAGACAAGTTTATGGGGATGGACTCAACACCTCTGCTGCTCCGCCTATTTCTCCTGGGGTCACTAAACTGGCTGTTTTGTACGTTGTCACCCCAGCTCAACTCCGTGGCTTCGGGTCCCACCAGCGGCTGACCAGCATCCCAGGAACCCTCCCATAACCTCAACCCCCTGTTTTCCACCGAGCTCCAACGAGCCCCTCCGAATCCCTCCCAAATCACCTGCATGGCCAATGCCCACTAGCCGAACTGCCATCATAACCGGGACATGGTTGTGTGACGTTGAGCCTCCGATCGCGAACCCCCTGAGGCGATAATCCCGCGTGGCATGCGCGGGCGACCTTCGAACTGAACCCCACCATACCGTCCTTATCACGGTCGTAGTTGAATTCGTGACTACATAACGAGACGGTCCAATACCTACAAATACAATCCGCAATCATGTCGTCGATGCGAGGGCTGGTGCAGTTCATTGCCGATCTGCGCAATGCCCGTGCGCGCGAACTGGAAGAAAAGCGCGTGAACAAGGAGCTTGCCAATATCCGACAGAAATTCAAGTCTGGGAATTTGAACGGCTACCAGAAGAAAAAATACGTTTGCAAGTTGCTCTATGTCTACATCCAGGGCTATGATGTTGATTTCGGTCACCTTGAGGCTGTTAACTTGATTTCGTCGACTAAGTACTCTGAGAAGCAGATTGGATACTTGGCTGTTACGTTGTTCTTGCATGAAGAGCATGAGCTGCTTCATCTGGTTGTTAACAGTATTCGGAAGGATCTGCTTGATCATCATGAATTGAATAACTGCTTGGCATTGCATGCTGTTGCTAATGTTGGTGGTAAGGAGTTGGGAGAGGCGCTTGGGACGGAGGTCCACAGACTTTTGATTTCACCGTGAGTTCCAATGTCTGATCTTTGGTTTGCTAGGTTTCTGACTTTTTTTAGGACTTCCAAGGCCTTTGTCAAGAAGAAGGCTGCTTTAACGTTACTCCGGTTGTACCGCAAGTACCCGGGTATTGTTCGGAACGAGTGGGCTGAGAGAATTATTTCAATTATGGATGACCCCGACATGGGTGTTACTCTCTCTGTTACCTCTCTAGTTATGGCGCTGGCACAGGACATGCCGGAGGAATACAAGGGTTGTTATGTCAAGGCTGCACAGCGGTTGAAGAGGATCGTGGTCGATAATGATATTGCCCCGGATTACCTCTACTACCGTGTTCCATGCCCATGGGTTCAGGTCAAGTTCCTGCGCCTGTTGCAGTACTATCCTCCATCAGGTAAGACCAATCGATTCGCTATTTTTGCTCAGTTGCTCACCTTCTATAACAGAGGACAGTCATGTTCGCCAGATCATCCGAGAGTCTCTATCTCAGATTATGCAAGCTGCAATGGAAACACCTAAGAATGTTCAGCAGAACAATGCTCAGAATGCAATTCTATTCGAAGCCATCAACCTTCTCATCCACCTCGACTCTGAGCACAACCTTATGCTACAGATCTCCTCCCGCCTGGGCAAATACATCCAGTCTCGCGAGACCAACGTTCGATACCTCGGTCTGGACGCTTTGAGTCATTTTGCTGCTCGAGCTGAAACACTTGACCCGATTAAAAAGCACCAGAACATTATCTTGGGCTCGCTTCGAGACCGCGACATCAGTGTCCGACGTAAAGGATTGGACCTGCTGTACAGCATGTGTGATACCAGTAATGCTGGCCCGATTGTCAATGAACTCTTGCGATATCTGCAGACTGCAGACTACGCCATTCGAGAGGAAATGGTGTTGAAGGTTGCCATTCTTACCGAGAAATACGCCTCAGATGCACAGTGGTACATCGATATGACATTGAAACTGCTTTCACTGGCAGGTGAACATGTCAACGACGAAGTGTGGCAACGAGTGATTCAAATCGTTACCAACAACGAAGAATTACAAGCGTACGCAGCACACACTCTCTTAAACTACATGAAGAGCGATTGTCACGAAAGTTTGGTGAAGATTGGCTGCTACGTCTTGGGCGAGTTCGGTCACCTTATCGCCGAAAATGCAGGCTCAAGCCCTATTGAGCAGTTCCTGGCCCTGCAGGCCAAGATGTTCTCCAGCTCTGACAATGCGCGGGCTATGATCCTGTCATCATTTGTCAAGTTCGTGAACTTGTTCCCCGAAATCAAACCTCAGCTTTTGCAGATCTTCCGCCTGTACAGCCACTCTCCCGATTCTGAACTGCAACAGCGAGCATTTGAATACCTGTCGCTGGCGACCCTCCCCACAGATGATCTGCTCCGAACAGTTTGCGATGAGATGCCTCCCTTCTCCGAGCGGGCTTCCATTCTACTCTCTCGGCTGCATCAGAAGACAGCCGGTGCTAGTGAAAGGAAGGCTTGGGTTATTGGTGGCAAGGATGCCAATGCAGACAAACAGGAAATGCTCCTTGCACAGAACACCGGTCTCAAGCGCACCTTCACAACCATCGTCCATGGTACGCGGACTGGGTCTAATGGTATCCCCGCCAGCGCAACCGGTTCAAGTGCATCAGGCGACTTGGCTGGCCTGGATCTCAGCAGTCCTTCGGGCCCAGCGCCAAACATGGCCAGTGCCGCTCATCTGACCCCCGAATGGGACATTGGCTACAACCGCCTGTTTTTCTCCCGCGAGGGCGTTCTTTTCGAAGATGCCCAGATCCAGGTCGGACTGCGGTCAGAGTACCGGGGTCCTATGGGTGTAGTGAAACTGTACATCTCAAACAAGTCTACATACCCTATCGGGTCCCTTACCACTACAGTCGACAACCCGGCCTCCCCTAACCTGAAGGTCGACACCAAGAACCTGCCAGAGCCAACAGTGGCAGCTTCCGGGCAGACACAGCTGACTCTGTTCTGCACTGCACATGGCCCATTCACGGATGCGCCTACAATTCGTATCTCATACCTGGCCGGTGCGCTGCAAGCCTACACGCTCCAGCTGCCTGTCTTGATGCATCGCTACATGGAATCCTCAGCGCTGTCAGCTGAAGAATTCTTCAAGCGATGGCGCCAGATTGGCGGGCCCCCGCTGGAGTCCCAGAAGACCTTTGGATTAACAGGCAAGAACAAGTCGATCAACGAGGCATTTACTCGCAAGATTGTCGAGGGCTTTTCGTTCAAAATCTTGGACGGTGTCGATCCAAACTCCCAGAATATCGTTGGATGTTCGGTATTCCAATTCGAGGGTGGTAAGACGGGCTGTCTGCTCCGGCTGGAGCCCAACTATGAGAAGTCGGTATGTACTACTATTTCCTTGGCTGTCCTTCTAACTGTGATGTTTCATCTTACTAACTCTACCCCAGATGTATCGTGTCACGATCCGTGCTACTCAAGAACAAGTCCCGCAGTCCCTCGTGAGACAGATGGAACAGAGGTTGTCGCAGGGAATAAGAGGAGACGAGTTCGACTCGTAATGCATTTGCATCTGCGGCTGGGTTCGAGCTATTCATGTATATCTCTAATTGGATTCCCCAGTCAAATACCAGCGAGCGTTCTTCGAATTGGAGCGCGTTCTTTTCTTGTATAAACCTTCCACTAGAATTTAGTAAACAGTATACTACAGTAGGACCTTATCCCCATGCTCCCTTCTTTCATGCAAAGGGTAAAAACTAAAAAACAAAAGTCGTAACTCATAACCCCAGTAATGCAGTCCAAACTCAAACAACCCTAGCCTCAGCCTTAGGCGGCCGATCCCCAAAGATAGTAGTCCCAACCCGAACCTGATCACTCCCAAGAGCAATAGCCCCCTCAAAATCAGAACTCATTCCCATACTAAGCTCCAACTCCGCCTCAGCACCTGTCAGCCCAAGCTCCCGAACAATCCGGTCCCTTGTCTCACGCAAACAGACAAAATCCTCATTCTCATTCTCTGCAGTCGTATCCCTTGACCTAGCAATCGCCCCAATAGTCATAACACCCTGCAATTTCAACCGAGGACACTTCTCCCGGATGAAAGAACACAATCCCGCCGCCGCAGCAGGTTCAATGCCCGCCTTATTCTCTTCTCCGGATGTGTTAACCTGCACATAGACGCGCAGTCTGCCATCAGCACCGTCATCATCTTGCCGACCAAGCTTCGTAATATCCCTCTCTCCCCACCCCTTATCAAGCAACCCAGCCTTCTTCTCCGTATCAACACTCTCAACAGCCCACAACCCACGCACATCACGCGCAAGCATGACACACTTATTAGACTGCAACCCGCCAATGAAATGCCATTTTATAGTCGGAGGCAGGAGGCGTGATTTCTCAAGCAGTTCTTGGATGTAATTCTCGCCGAAGTGTGCTTGTGAGACTGGCGCTGGTGCTTGGTGTAGTGCTAACGCATCGGATGCGGGTTTGAGCTTTGAGACTGCTACTAGTCTGATTGGTTTGGAGGGGTTTGGGGCTTTTGCTGCCGCCGCGCTGATTCGGGCTGTTACTGCGCTTAGGTTTGCGAGGAGGGCGGAGGTTCGGGCAGGTGTTGCTGTTGCAATTGCCATTTGGGGTTGTTGTTGTGGGGTTTCGGTGGTCATTTCAGGGTGGTTTTGGTGGTTTGTGTAGTGGGTATAGGTGTGCGTGGTTTATCTGGATAGAGTGTGTTTTTTCTGGTTGCTGCCCACTTGGGAGTGTGTACAGCTTGGTAAATAAAATCCCAAGCTAGTTATAGAATTGTTTCCGCCTCAGGCAACAATTCGGAGATGGCCGCCACACGTGACCTTGGCGTCTCGACACCGCCACAGATCTCTCTCTCTTCCCTTTCACGTCATTCCGTTTGCATCTTCGATCCGCACGGTGAGATCATCCGATCTGACCCACGCGACAGCAGGATTGTCAAACCCCGACACCCTCGATCTTACGGCGCTAGACGATACATGTCGCAGCAGGCTATCCCGGGATCCTGGCGGCAAGTCTAACAGGAAGAGGTCCAATCACTGATCTGCATGCTCGGAAAAGAGGTCCTATGGAGCAAACCCTATGGAGCACCGGCACCAGGCGGAGCTCGTCTCAGCCTTTCAGGGCTCATATTGTCGTTGGGTTTTAAACTGTGTTCTCTATTTTTATGGGCTTCTGCAAGCCTTATTTTGGACCTTGTCGAACCTGTCGAAACGCATAGGCGCCTGTGTTTTTTTTCTTTTTCCGATCTTGCTTTGTAGTTTGCTTGTCGGCCAAGACACAAGGCCATTTTCATTACTCTACAGCCCCATCAAAGCGCTTGCCAAGCTGCACTGTTTAATTAGATGCCTAATTCCTTCTAAAATAGTGCCGGAAAATTCGCGCCGGTCCAAAATACGACCTGGTTTGCTGTGTCAGATGTAACCTATTGGCCGACGGATGGGGTAAGATGCAGCCCTCTGCATGGCCTCAATAGTTGTTCGAAGTAAAAAATGGAATAAGGATTTCTTTGACGTCAGACCAATCAATAGCCGTGGTTCCATTCATGACCTGAGTTCACTCATCATGACAGTCCACATCCGGGTACATATAGATCTGATCTAGAACTTAAGCTTGCCTCTCACCTACTTTCCTGCATCTTCCACGTCTTTTCCTTACCTACTCGTCTCTACTCAGCTGGACTGAATACGAGTCATATCCGTCCGCCTCTTCGATACTACACACCTCCCTGCCTTTTATTCAGGCCCAATATCTCGAAAAATCACCGAGCTCCCGCCATTGTCAATATATGATATTTGCATTGGCATCCACACATCTTTGACTACACAGTCGACCCACTCGACTCGCATCTCGAAATCACACACAACACCACGGACCGAAACATCCGGTTATCCATACCAATATCTATCATCTCGTACACACACATCGTGAGAACCAGGGAACCAGTCATTCCCAAACAACAACAAAACAGAGCAACACACAATAGCCAGTAGAGAAGCACATAGTTCATCACAATGTGCCGCCAATACTTCACATTCTACGAATGGTGCCAATGCGAAGAAGACGCCGGGCAGAGCGTATGCGCCGGCCACCGTCGCAACAACTGCCCGGGCGTTAGCATCGAAACCGTCCACATGCACTGCTTCTGCAACGGCCACGCTACACAGGGCTTCAAATCCGAGAAACAGACACGGAAGGAGGAGAACAAGGCCGGGCGCCGCTCTCAGGATTCTATGGATGAGAAGACGTCCTTTGGACGCCGCTGGTTCCAGTGGTATCAATGGCGGGGCTTGCGATCTCACTGAGGGAGTGTCAGTTTTAAGATCTCTTTGTACATGTATGACTTTACAGCTTTGGTGTTTTGGTGGTTCTTTGTTGGTTTCTTGGATAATGAGATTCCAAGATTTATGGCGCTTATTGGTGTTATGATTTTTATGAGACTTTGATCTTCTTCAGGGTGTTTTATTAGATAAAATGGATTGGTAGTCCAATGCCATGCAGCAGATCTCATTGCGTGTATCCTGATCTTGTGTTAGCAGTGCTATTGTCTATCAGACAAGTCTCAGGCTGGGGGTCAACAGGCACAATAGGTGATGGCAGATGGTTTTGGACATAACCTTTATTGTCCAGTCAATCATATCTATTGCGATATTGTACGCATTTGTCGTAATTATATCCATATAGATATTCGTGTTGATATGCGTAGTAGTATCTGTACTAATATCCGTAGTGAGAACATTCTGGTAGGCCTATGAAGCGTGTATAAATGCCACATATCCGTGTAAGACATTTGATCTCCCAGCAGATGAAGAATGTAGTTCGCCGATCGGCTGACCTCCTTCCGTATCTGAACCAAAACATGTGAATCTTCCCCCCACTCCCTTTCTTCCTACTTTCTTCCTACAACCTCGCGTCCTCCTGCGTATCTCGTCGCGTATTATCCGTCTCGTTCGTCTCGTCCCTTTACCTTCCATCATCTCGTCATATTCTGACCATACCTACGCAGGGACTGGGATCTGCCCTTGGCGCGTCTCAGAATGGACCCGCTCAAGGACCCGCCTCCATTTGGAGATGGGGTCAACAATGGAGCCTCATTAGAATCCCATTGTGAATTGGTAGACTCTTTGAATCGCATGACTCTCGCGACAGCAATCACCACCCCGTTGCCAACTTCACCTGTATTGTCTGCCCAGAATGTCTCGCTCTCGGAACTCCCCCACACATCGCGAGCTACTACAAGTGCGAGCTTTGTTTCTACTGCCGATGCTGTTCCCCCTCGAGAAGAACACCGCAAGCCTGTTCCTGTTCCTGTTCCTGCACTACAAAAGCGCAAGTCGGCTGCTTCTCTGCGCGTGGTCTCACAGCCTCACAAGTCTTCATCGCCGACTCCGCAGACCCCTCGCCGCAGTTCAATCAATCTCGCGGCGTCACCTGTGACCACCACGCCGTCCAGCATGCTCCCGCAAGCATTAGCCTTTGATTCTAACGTGGAGCAATCCGTTCCAACGGCTGCGTCTATTGCGGCAGAGCTGTTTACCCAAGAATGGGGCTTACACCAATCCACTGACATCTCAACCAAAACAATCGCTCTGGTCCATGACGCATGTTATGGGCACCTCTTTTCTCGCCTCGGATACACGGACCAGTACTTGCAAGATATCGTTGAAAGACCAGAACGGATTCGCTCCAGTGCTCTTGGTATCGCTGCGGCGTATGTTCGCCTCGGTCAACGATATGCGGGAGAACGATATGCTCCCAGTCCAACACTCGACGTCCGTACACTGCCTGTGCCCTTCAATATCCGCAAGACAGATCGCAAGTTGGCCATTCAGAGTCCAACTGTTACAGAAGTACATGGTTTCTCATGGATGTCTGAATTCAAGGACATATGCAATCGCGCTGAGTCGAAACTTGCCATGGGTGCCGACGAACTTGCCCGATCTTACATCGTTCAGCATGAAAAGGTCGTCCCAATGGGCGATGAACTGCACTCTGGTGATCTTTACCTCGGCCCCGAGTCCTTGAATGCAATTCAAGGTGCATTGGGTGGCGTCTGCGATGGCGTCGACGCTGTCCTTGGACCTGGTCCAGTGGAGCGGGCTTTCGTCTGCATTAGACCTCCTGGCCATCATTGTACCTCGGACTGGCCCTCTGGGTTTTGCTGGATCAACAATGTTCATGTCGGCATTTCTCACGCAGTCATCAACTACGGCCTCACCCATGCTGCTATTATCGATTTTGACCTTCACCATGGAGATGGTTCTCAGGACATTGTCTGGAAGCACAGCGCCCGGCAGCAAGATCACAAATTTAAAAAGCTGGCAGCAAATAACATCAAAAGAAGACAGCCTCCGCCTCTTTCGCCATATGAAGCAACACCAATCAGCTATGTCAGTCTTCACGATATTGAATCCTTCCCTTGTGAAGATGGCAACCTTATAAAAACGACCGGTGCTAGCACTTGTATTGAAACAGCTGACAGGTCCATCTGGAATGTGCACTTGGATGAGTGGAAAAAGGAATCAGAGTTCTGGGAACTGTACGAAAACAAATATTCGATATTGATCACCAAGACCCGCTCTTTCTTGCGCCGGTTCTCAAAGCAGGTTGCTCAAGACTCCGGAGGCCGTCCACCCAAGGGCGCCATTTTTATCTCAGCTGGCTTCGATGCGAGTGAATGGGAGAACTCGAATTTGAACCGCAAGTCCAAAAAAGTGCCCACTGAGTTCTATGCCAGGTTCACCGCCGACATTGTTCGCATGGCCCAGGAGAAAGACCTTGGCGTGGACGGTCGTATCATCAGCGTTCTTGAGGGAGGGTACAGCCAACGTGCTCTGTACACCGGTGTTCTGGGCCACCTGGCTGGCTTGAATGACGAAAATGGGCCCGGTGCTGCTTATTCTTACGACCCCGCATGGTGGTCCTCTGCCAGTGTGAGAGATCTCGAGAGCACCATAGCCGGCCCGTCTAAGCCTCGAGGATTCTTGAGCCCCACGGTCGCATCGTCTTCTCGGCTTGCGGCCTCTAGCCAAGACCGCAAGTCTGGTGGGGATGACCTACCTGAGGTCAGCTGTGCTGTGGCAACCCATGAGCTCTCGAAGCTCATCATTCCATCCGATATCCGCACGACAAGCTACACCGCAGCAGATCTTCCGAAGCCTCGCATCTCACGTCGAAAGACTGGAAATCTTGGGGAGACAACCCCTTCCGAGGACCTCCTGACAGCAACCCGCCTCCGCTCACGAGCTTCCAAAACACCCACTCCCCCTTTGCCCTCTACACCTCCTGCGCGTCCACTGTCCACTCCGAAATCTAAAGGGGCCACTTCTCGCCGGCAGTCGGGTCGTCCCAAGACCCCGAGAACTGCCGCTAAGGCTTCCGTGCCTGAGGTGCCCCCTGTGCCAGCTGAGCACCTTCCTCTGAAGCGAGAAGAGCCCGGGACACCCACTCCGCCTCTCACGCGTTTGGTTCTGAGGGGTCCCGCGACTCCCTCTTTTCATGGAGATGGGGTGGATCAGACTGACCACATGGAGGATTGAGGCCAGGGAGAAGGGAGTATGCGGCCATTTGGCCTTCAGTTTCGAGATACCCGCATGTACGATTACCAATGCAAGTTTCCTTTTGCTCGTTAACTGTTCCTATGTAACTTGTAATTTTGTAGTGGTTTCTAAAAACTGTAGACTCACACCTTTAAGATAAAGTCATAATGATATCAAGGAGGTAAGGATCCAAATTGCTTCATGGCTCTTATCTTAATCTTATTTAACCTGATTGAATGTCTCACTAGAAGGATTCACGACTTACCTTCATGCGTATAGAATTGAGTGTGTGGTACTCGAGAAATAATGACATGGTAAACTATAGGTAAATCCGGTAGGTGACTGAGACCCCGATACTTAATGGTAAAAGAGAGCGACTGGAATAAGTATGAGTAGTAGCTTGTAGAAGGGCATCTGGTGTTGGTGAGCGTTAGCATATACTTCTGTAGTCAAATAGTGGATGCTGTTGCCAGAATAGAAGATCTGCTGTCCACCTGCCTCTTATATAGATGACCATGGAGGTGAACCATACACAGAGGTCAGATATTTCATATTGCTGGGCGCTATGCAAGAGGATAGGTATCGTAGAGTATGGAAGATCTCAGAGAAATAGTAAAATTAAAGTCGTGAAGCCTGGCAAGCCCAGCATCAGAGTAAATTGTAGTGACGCCTCGCTCGGAATGAAGATCTTCAAGGGCTTATGTGTTACTGCAAATGTGTTGCTGCAACCTGGCTGACTTCTGGTGGGTCATTTATCACTACTAGACTGGAAGAAAATGATGCTGTCTGGCTTTGGGGGGTTTCTCTCGTTGTTTTTACTGTCTGAGCATGAGGCTTTTTTGATCTTCTCCATTTTGGCCGGAGCCTACCATGCTAGATCCTAGGTGTGTCTAGCATGACGGGTGGACTGCTTGGTCAATGGATTGGATGGTTTCGAGGCAAGCGAGCTTCCATCTAGGTAGCAACGGGCCCCTGCGAGACGATGGTGGGAGGGAAATGGGAGGCTAGAAAAGAGGACTGGGTATGGCAGGCAGAGGTGGGGGTGTCTATGGTATAATAGAGGGGCCGGGTATGACTATGAGGACGCTCGATATAATTATAGATGACTTAGACTTGATAAATAATGAATAGCAAGGCTACTGAAGGAGTGAACTGAAAGAGTGACATATAAATCCTTTTTACGTCTGTAGGGTTGTAGGATCTCTTGCTACTATATATATCGAGGGAAACACCATGCTCATAACATTTGTCCTTCATGTCTTTTTTTCTGTCGATCACCAACTACCTAACCAAAAGAGGTACATATCTGAATCATGCCTGTCTCTCAGGTCTACAATCGAACATTTAACTCCAGTTAGGGCTAAACTACATAGTTCGGTCTATCAATATTCCGCTCATTCTCATACACTGGTATGGACACAGAAATAGCTAGAGCATAATTATTTCTCTGGTCTTGCTTCTCGATCAAGAATTACCATTGATTTCTTGAGGGGTATTATATGATTGATCATGAACAGTTCTTGCCTTGCGTCAGTATAAGGAAATTAAGTCGCTTCGAATTCTGTTTATATTTCTTATTTTCATGAATCAATTGAGTGCCCAACATTCCAATAACACGGGCTTGTGGTCTAGGGGTATGATGCTCGCTTCGCATGTTCAATTCTGTTGACCTGTAGAGTGCGAGAGGTCCCGGGTTCAATTCCCGGCGAGTCCATGAATTTTTGCGTCCAATAATCCCATCTATCCTTATCTATCTATATGGGAATATCTTTTTGCTGTTTTTTAGTCTATTGTTGTGTAGGTTTTATTGATTTATTATTCGATAGCATAGAGAAAGCGACATCGGTTTCTTTCTTATGCTATTTGCTCGAAAAAAGATGTCGGTTGCTGTATGAACGAACCTTTCGTGTAGAAGAAACACAGATCGACCACACTGACACGGTCGCATACCACCATTTGATCCGTATATTCTACAACAAAAAGCGATCTGATACATCAATAGGCAGTCCACTGGTTCATCACAACGGTGGCCACTCAACCTTGGATGAATATACGAAGCAAAAAGAAGTATAATGTTATATATACTTCAAGGATACAAAAAAGATGCACTGGGAGGGAATCGAACCCCCGCCACTACTTTGGAAGAGTAGTATTCTACCACTGAACTACCAGAGCTGTTTTGATTTATAATCAAAATTATCGATAGACTACTTAGGTATGCAGAGTATAAAATGGGTATGAAACGAGGACTGCCATCCGCTGTGCCAATGTATGGATATAACGCTCAGTCGAACGCTTCATGTAACCATCAAGCATAGAATTCAAAGTAAGAAGGGTTCCCATTCTCACGCAATATACCAGATTTATCTAGAAGGCTAGCAGACAACTGGATTGGCAATTGGTAAGATATGCACATCCTTCATTCATAGATGCAAAAATGTATATCACGCTATGTAAATCAAGTACCATAGAGGGTATATGCCTCGCAAAAGAATACAGCCAGCACAAAGTCCACAAATTTTATGCAAACAGAAAAGAAAAAAACACCCCATTCATGCAGGACTACTCTCGCTGCTATCTCCATCCGCATCTGCAACAGGCTTGATCGCAAGAATCTCGAAACCACCTTCATCCCTATCTTCACCCCTTTGGGGCCACATGATTTGTTTCATCACAATGGCCCGAATCATCATATAGCACACGAAAAAGTACATCAAAAGAAGGGGTAATATGGCCACACATCCAACGATATTAATAGGTTTGCAGGAAAATGCATCACCAATGGCAAATGTGGCGGTAATCAACGCAGTGTTAGGAAAAATGAATGAGAACCAAGTCATGGAAAAGTCCAATCGCTTGGGTCCGATGGCGGACCAGTGGGCAGCACTGGCGATGATGAAGAAGAATATTGCCAATCTAGATAGAACCAGTAAGCATAGTGAAAGAAAGACCAACGAATAGTACATACCCCCACAGCCATAAAGACGAAAAGTTAACCACGACTTTCATCACATCAGCAGCGAGCGCACCATTCCCCATAAAATCAGAAGGGAACGCCCTCTTCGCCGCGGATGCCATATTGACAATACCCGCGACCGTAAAACCACTAGGCCCAACAGAAACAAACATACCAGGACGAAGATTCTCCTTGGGAAGCTTCTGCGTCATCAACCGATAAATAAAAGCTGAGTACACCATCAACGAGACCAAAAACCCAACACCCTGAATAGTCGTACCACCGACAATAACACGAAGCGCGGCGGACGGATCCAGCTTGGAACTCAACACACCAGCATGCGGACCAATAATGAGCATGGGGTAAGCAGGAAAGATCCAAATAGGCGTCATCTGGGCGATGGTGAAAGTCTGCGTCGACCACAGTAGCAGGTAGACACCAGCTGAGAACATGACGGCGAGGAAAGCGTCGATCCAGAATAATACGCAGACTGCGCGCATCAGCCAGGGGCCGGCGTGTTCGGGCCCGTATTGGGATACGTTGATCAGGATTGTGCCGAAGGATACTATCGCTGCTGGAACGAAGAGTGATTCTGTTGGGTGCATCAGGGATGCCCTGAATGTATAGGGGAAACAGTAGAAGCGGAGAAGTAGCAGACCCCAGATTAGGAGGTATAGAGCGATATTAATTAGAAAGACGACGACTCCGATCGCGTACAGGCCTTTGAATTGAAAGGGCACTGCTGTTTGTTAGCGAATGCTGGACATACAGCATCAGTCTTATGGATGTCTTGCATACCTTGATAGAAGACATTAGCCAAGCCACCCGTGGCCATAGTCAATGTAAAGTATGCCCATGTAACATGGCGAATTCGTTTCTTCCATCCAAGTCGACTTGGTGGCTTGCGCCTGACAGCGATTCCCAGGCCATTATGGTCGAAACAGGCAGTGGCCTCTTTGTTACCCTCTTTTTTTGATTTCTCGGCAACCCGCGACGTCGCTCTCTGCAAGACTTCCTGCAGAGCTGTAGAATGAACTTCGAGCACTTGGCTACCTGGACTATCTTCAACGCCAATGTCCGAGAGGGTCCGCTCGGCATCTTCTATGGTGGGGGTTCGATAGCCGTCATCCCCAGGACTTCTCATATGTCTGGGGACATTCAGGGAGTCGTCCATGACTTGGTATGGTTGTAACCTGGCAACCAGAGGCAAATTGAAGGGAAGCGTGGCGGGTCTCGCCACCTTCTTGTCTGGGGTAGTAGCGTGCCTGAACTAGATCCGGGAGATCATGAATGATAATGGAACCTGGGCACCCTGGACACCGTACTATGAGGCGAAAAATTCAAGATGCCAGCAGGAAAAGCATGCGCAGTCAAGGGCCGGTTCACTTATTAAATAGCGGCCGATCAAAGTACCTCGATACGTGAACAGACTGATCGACACGCATTAATGTGGGACCCGATGCAAGAATCCTAAGGTCTCGGCCAGGACCGTGATGGCGGATATAGGGCCATCCAATGGCTATTGCTGATCAGATATGTCGGCGGGACTGAGCAAGGATGTCAAGGAAATAATATCGACTGAGCGTCATGAGGGGGATCTGGCGAGTTACAGGTTATCCGGCTCTGGAGCCAACGTCATTCGCCCAGTCCACTGGGGCCCGGGATTCGGCACGTCCCTGATTACTGAGAGTAAATGTTTCCGATTACTTCCAATTTGCCTTTATATGGAGGAACTCGAATGTTATTGTTCAATTCTATTCAGGTCCACATTGGTAAAGAATGGAGCTATTCCTGGCTTGGGGCGCCTTGCAGCGACCCGGACAAAGGGCTACATACATCTACATCATCGTCCTGCATACTGCATGTTCGATATGCATAGAACTGATATCAGAAGAAGATCTACATTACAGAGGAAAGACTATGAAGTGCCAATCTTTGATGATCTAACATAACGGTGTTGTGATTGGTATGCCCTGAAGGGAGATCGTTCGTATAACTACTGTGTAGAGTAATATAATGACCAAGCCCTGCATACTGGGCAGATCTACGGGAATATAACCCTTTAAAAATTAGCGTTCTGACTTTATTATACCAAGCTACAGTCTTCCATCGTTCTTCAAGCCACATTATAGTATAAATCCGAGATAGGAAATGAGGGTTTAGGGCTTGCCTGTGATAACAGGAGAGCCGAGGCAAGTCTGGTTCAGTCTCCACCTCGTATGGAGCAAGTTGTCTACTTAGATAGCTTCAATTACAACAGACTCTTTCGTTATAATCAATTCAATTACTATTGAACTACTCTGTCTCATTGCAGACATGCCGGGAGTGACAGATAAGCGCAGATCGGTGCTGATCACTGGGTAAGTGACTCGCGCCAGATACCAACCACTGCCTCTGATATCTGCTTCAGGTGTTCCCCTGGCGGCATTGGGAACTCCCTCGTGCGTGAATTCCATCGCAATGGACTGCGCGTGCTAGCCACAGCTCGTGATGCTAGCTCCCTATCAGATCTAGCCGAGCTTGGTATCGAAACCTTGAGCTTGGTGGTTGATGACCCGGAGAATGTCAAGGCATGTTTTGCAGATGTCGAGAAGAGACTCGGCGACAAGGGTCTCGACTATCTTGTTAACAACGCGTGAGTTGATTCCTGTATATGGCGGTGCTTGTGGCTAATATCAACTAGTGGTCGGAGTATGTAAACTAAAGCTATGGCGTCGAAGATATACTCATTGCCGCAGATTACACCGTCCCTGCTATGGAAGTAGAGCTTCCTGAGGTTCGCTCGGTGTTCGAGACCAACCTCTTCGCCGTTATCACCATGTGCCAGACATTCTTGCCGTTGCTCATCAAGGCAAAGGGCACTATTGTCCAGGTTGGCTCTATCGCCGGAGTAAGTATTGAATTGCATTGTCAGATATCTCGTTGACACTCCTAGATCATGCCATACGTATTTGGGTCCGTCTACAATGCATCCAAAGCAGCACTGCATTCATTCAGTGACACGCTTCGCGTGGAGCTGGCTCCATTCGGGTTCGTTATATGTATTCCGAAACCCAAGGTTGCTTTCTAACCAAGCCAACAGTGTTCATGTCACAACCGTGGTGACCGGCGGTGTCCAGTCGCGAATCGCGCGCATTGACCGCACCTTGAAACCGAACTCTCTATATACCCCGATTGAGGCTGAATATGCGCAACGTGTGAAGCATAGCCAGAAAGACGCTATGCCGCATGCTGCCTATGCACGCAGCGTGGTTACTCAAGTGCTGTATGGATCTGCACCCTGGCGGTGGTTGTGGCCCTGGGCTCAAGGCCGGAAGGCCTGGATCTGGGAAGGACATCGTAGCTGGGTGATCTGGTTCCTTTCGGGAGGCTGGGCATGGTCGGGACTGTTTGGTCGGCTCATGACTAACATGTTCAAACTGTGGAAGATCAAAAATGGCGCACGCAAGTAGGGGGATGTCAGAGTTGCTGTGGTTATCTTTAACCCAATGTATAATAGCAGAATTCAAGCTCCAAACCCCATACATAAAAGAAGCCGAGACGAAGAGCAGACAAGTACCGACTGTACAAGCCAGGGTTCCGTGATATTCGCGTTGGCCCGATGACTCAGCAAGGGACGGCCTGTGGTTGGCTGCGACACCCGGTTTACCGCGACGCAATGTCATCCCGAGAAAAAGAAAGCTGTTCTCCCCTACTCATTCACAGGGCTATCTTGATTCCCCTACCCACCTCTCCTCTCCTCTCTTTCCATTCTCATCATGTTCAACTTCGCCCGCGGTAGACCCATTGCGGCCGCTTACAGAGCTGCGACGGTGAGTTCTTACCGAGTCAATCGGGCCGCGCCCGGCTTCCTTGATGTTGATATATACTGACTTTGCATAGGCGCCCTCCGTCTCAAGCAGACTCGCTGTTCAGAAGCGTAACCTTTCCATTCACGAATACCTTTCCGCCCGTCTTCTCAAGTCGGTAGGTGGACCGCGTTCCCCCTTCGGTCGCTCCAAAAAAATCAAAGTCGGCTGATAAAAGATCTAGTACGGTGTCGGTGTCCCCAAGGGTGAGGTCGCCAACACTGCTGAAGAGGCCGAGGCTATCGCCAAGTCGATCGGTAAATTTCACCTGAGTTCCTCCCTGCGAACGCGCCTGCTGAACATTACATCCCAGGTAACGATGACCTCGTCATCAAGGCCCAGGTTCTCGCCGGTGGCCGTGGTAAGGGTTCCTTCGACAACGGTCTCAAGGGTGGTGTCCGTGTGATCTACTCGTGAGTTTCACCAATCGAAGAAACCGACGCAGTGAAACTGATAGATACTTCTCAGCCCTACCGAGGCCAAGATGTTCGCCGGCCAGATGATCGGCCACAAGCTCGTCACCAAGCAGACCGGCGCCGCCGGCCGTATCTGTAACTCGGTCTACATTTGCGAGCGCAAGTTCGCCCGCCGCGAATTCTACCTCGCTGTTCTCCTGGACCGTACTACTCGTGGCCCCGTCATCGTTTCCTCCTCCCAGGGTGGTATGGATATCGAGGCTGTCGCCAAGGAGAGCCCCGATGCCATCATGACCACCCCCATCGACATCCACGTTGGTGTCACCGACGAGATCGCCCGCACCATCGCTACCGACCTCGGCTTCTCTGAGCAGTGCATCGAGGAGGCCAAGTCCACCATCCAAAACCTCTACAAGTGCTTCATGGAGCGCGATGCTACCCAGCTTGAGATCAACCCCCTGTCCGAGACCTCCGACCACCAGGTCCTCGCTATGGACGCGAAGCTTGGATTCGATGACAACGCCGAGTTCCGTCAGAAGGAGGCCTTCTCGTGGCGCGACGTTTCCCAGGAGGATCCTGATGAGGTCAAGGCCGCTGAGCACGGTCTTAACTTCATCAAGCTCGATGGTGACATCGGCTGCCTCGGTAAGTCTCCCTTGGTTGGATAGAGATCTCGCGATTCTAACATGTATTTAGTCAACGGTGCCGGTCTCGCCATGGCCACCATGGATATCATCAAGCTCAACGGCGGTTCCCCCGCTAACTTCCTCGATGTCGGCGGTGGTGCTACCCCCCAGGCTATCAAGAGCGCCTTCGAGCTGATCACTAGCGACCCCAAGGTCTCTGCCGTCTTCGTCAACATCTTCGGTGGTATCGTCCGCTGTGACGCCATCGCCCAGGGTCTCATCAACGTCGTCCAAGAGATGGGTCTCCGCACCCCCATCATTGCCCGTCTGCAGGGTACCAACATGGAGCAGGCTCACAAGCTGATCAACGAGTCCGGCCTCAAGATCTTCTCCATCGAGGACCTCCAGAACGCCGCCGAGAAGTCCGTCCAGTTCTCGAAGGTCGTCAAGATGGCCCGTGATATCGACGTCGGTGTCGAGTTCACCCTTGGAATCTAAGGGGATTCCTTTTGCATTTTAGAGTAGAGGGGTGGCATTTAATGCGAGGCTCGCGAAACCAAATCGAACTGCCGCAGTGACATCTTAGAGAGATCTTGATGCGTTGCCGCCTGTTCCTGTGTCATTTATTTTCTTTTGTCACTGTATTCTTGAGTGTTTCTATGACCTGTATCAGTTCCTAATCGGATGGGTTATGTGAGTTTTAGTTTTGGTTCTTTTTACTGTAGTATTAAGTAGTATTGGAGGGAAAATCGCTGTTTGATGATCTTCTGTACGAAGGAGCCTCCAGGCCTTCCACCTTCGAAAAAATGTTCGAACATGGTTCAAAGACATCAGATTTAAGGTCGAGGTAGGGTGCCCAATATGGCCTGCCAAAATAAGCCCCTGCTCGTGCTTTGTTTGCGGTATATTTGTGCCTAGATCCTCTTTGGGCAAAGCATTTGATACTTTGACAGCGCTTTATAATATAGCATATATAAAACGCCAATTTTCTACTCCCCTTCTGCCTTTATGCCAAAAACAGTACATATAGAGATCATAGAATATATGAGGGTATTGATGCCCCAATCACCTTCTGCAGAAGATAATGAAGACCAAAATTCCACTCCCTAGACCTTGGTGTTCTTTGGCCGTTTTTTCGAGGCTCCGATATATCCCAAGTCATCAACCTTGCACCTCCCGCCATCCACAACGCGACTTCGTCAACTCCTTGAAATCCACCCGACAATAACAACTGATCTATCCACCGCGACAAGAAATCTATCAACTGTGACTAGATTTCATCTTGCGACCGCTTGTTCTGTTGAAGTGTTTCCCCATCTGCCTTAGCCTTCTGTTTTCTATGGCCATCCACATCACCACCCCACGCCCGCTATGCCCACGCAGTCACCTCCGGATATGCAGGCTATGTTGGATAACTTTCTAGCTCTGAAAACATCGGATCGTCGCAAAACGTATGTCTACTTGCCATCGCACCACACCACCACAGCACCATAACCAGTATCCAGACACTGACTCAAAGTAGGGTTAACGCCATCCTCAACGCGCTGACTGTTGACGAAAAGCGCGACCTCAAGCGCAAAATGGATAATGTTACCTTCCAGGTTGATATTTGGGGTTCGTTGCCACCTGAACTTCGGGACCTTGTTGTGAAGGACCTGAATCTACATGACCTTTTTGTACTTCGACGTGTATGTTTGTTGATATCTGGTCTTTGGGCATTTAACTGCAATATCCTCGTTCCTGGCTAACACCATGGAGGTATCCAAACTGTGGAATAAAACGCTCTCTTCCCCGAGCGTACTCCGTTCAGCGTACATGTACGCAACAATCACCGGAAAGCACGTTTTAGATACCCTACCCGCCGAACATGTTGAAAGATGGATCAAAAGAAGAACAAAAGCAGAACAAGGGCGACCATTTGCTGTGGGCAAATTATTGGTTTCTCCAGACCACCTGGATACGGAGGACGAGCAAATGTCCTATGCAAATGGAATGTTTGCCTGGGTTGACACGGGGACAGACAAAAGCTCCATTTGTCTCGTGCATTTAACCACTGGTGAAAAAAGGCACTTTACCACCGATAATCGGGAAACGCTGGGTAATATCCACGTATCTGATACATTGGTCGCGGCGATATCCATGCGAGGGTACGTGTCTAACTCAAACGTACACTGAATGGGGCTCTAATATTCCGACAAAATAGGTATTGCCATGTCTGGGAGATCATGACCGGAACCCACCAGTCCTTCCGCCTCACGTCCTTGAGCTTCCATCACTTCTTGACGCACGGAGTCAAGGTGATGATAAGTTATGAGGACAACATTATTCATTTCTGCTTCGCCACCGGAATTGCTCGCACGTTCGCAATCGAGGGCCTGATCTGTTCGGCCTCTCTCCACAAAAGTGACGACGAGGTGTCTCTTATCTGTATCCGCGACAAGACCGGCCATGGCCCCGAATTAAGCAAAGCCGATTATCACCTGCAGGTCGAGAAGTACACCGTCGATACCAATGTGTTTATCCGAACATGGTCCCGCTACGAAGAGCTTCCCTTTCAAGATGGCGTTTACCGACGATTAGGGCCCGACGAGACTTTGAGAGCATACCAAGGCCAGGTTTCCTCAATGCTGTACCCCTATGAAAGGACCAACCCAAGGCTCTATCTTTCACTCACGGACAGCGACCAGATAGCTGTACATCGCATGCCAGTCCTGCCAGGTCATATTGAAGATATGGATGTGGCCTGGTTCGATCAGGGAATGGCATTTTTTACACAGCTACAATTCGGCGGAACCCGCCATGTGAACATTGGCGTTGGTCGTGAAAGCTTGAGCAGTCCCAGCTCTTCAGGAACATTGTCCTACGAACTTACCCTCGCACGCCTGTTGCCTCACCCGCCCCAGCTAGATTCCGTTCACCGCATATGGGCAGGCGATGGATTTTTCCTATACCTTGGGCATTCCGAAGTCTGGGTTTGGTGCTTCGATGAGGATTGGAACCCTTCCGGCGCGCTTTCACTGGCATCGTAGGGTTTAATCGACTATGAGGATGCTAGGCACTACCGAAGCTTTGAGTAGTTTCAGCATACGACACATATCCAGCGACTTTTGATATCCACCCTAGGAATACATAGCGGTGTAGTAATAGATACAATCACCAACACATCCGGAACCTGGTGAAGCACGATTCTTAAACCTCGGCCTTTAGAAACAACCATAGCTATCTAGTTGACCAAGTATCTTTACGTCGCTATATTGTCATTGTCATGTTTAATGATATAGATGGCCCTAGCTAGCTATAGCTAGCTAGAAGTCTGTAGTCATTATACACCGCACTCGAAGTAAGCCCAGAACTATAAAAACCCGGCTCGAAAACGGTAAAAAAAGACAAAAAAGATTGGAAGTCGGCCGTTTTGACAGGGTAAGACTCTTTTAAATGCACATATGCGATGCTAGTGTAGATACATTTGAGATGAGATCGGGAGTTCTAGCTGATTCATGAAGGTAGGATATCAGAATTTGTACAGGCATATGTAATCTCAAGAGACGACAAAGCTAGTGACTGTATATAAGTTATGAGTTCAGTTCTGGGATTAGTTAAAGTCGATTAATAGTAGGGTAAAGCTTTCAGCCTACTAGTCTGTCTCTCCTGAATATCAAAGAAATATATAGTCACCCCTTTTCTCCACCTTCCGTGGCGTCTTCCGTTCTTCTCTGCAGATCCGATTGTCACGCATTTTCAGTTGTTCCCCGCAGCCTCATCTTCTCTTGACACTTCGAGGCTTGAACCTCGAACTTGAACTCTCTGGAATTCCACGCGCAGTTGGGCGCGATGACAGAAGAGACTATTGGACGTTGATCTCGGGATAATCCACCTTTCCCACGTTCCTACGGCACGAGCGTCCATCGCGTCCCCGGTGCATCCGTTCATCCCTTCGATATGAGTCGCCTCGCCGATCCCTCCTCCCGAATTACTTTTGCCGGGGTCCCGGACGGCAGGACACGAAACATCCCCGTGCTATCGTCGTCCGGTCATTCAGGCGCGATGGATATCACCCCTCCTTCGCCAGCGGGCGCGCATGGCAGTCCTGACGACCGCGCTATGAACAATGGCTCCGATGGCAATTCCCTAAATCCCCCAAACCCGGCCGTCGGCGCTGCAGCTGCAGCTCAGCAGCCGAAAGTCGTCCAGACTGCTTTCATCCACAAGCTGTACAAGTAGGTTGTTGGCCTTGCGCTTGCTCTGGCGATGTCGCTAACCCTCCGAACAGCATGTTAGAGGACCCCAGCATCCAGCATCTCATCTCTTGGTCGAACACAAACGACAGCTTCGTCATGTCGCCCACATCGGAATTCTCCAAAGTCCTCGCGTGAGTGCTGTCCTCTCCGTCAGTGGCTTTTCGCTGACCGTCGCAGATCCTACTTCAAACATACCAATATCTCCTCATTCGTCCGGCAGCTGAATATGTACGGGTTTCACAAGGGTAGGTCTTCTGGATGCGAGCTTTGGTTGCGCGGTTACTGATTGTGCTTGTCTCTGATAGTGAGCGATGTATTCCACACCGGATCTCCTGACTCTGCGCTGTGGGAGTTCAAGCACGGCAATGGAAATTTCAAGAGAGGCGACCTAGCTGGCCTGCGGGAGATCAAGCGCCGAGCATCGAGACACGCCCTGATTCATCGCGACTCATTCCCCGGACACAAGGCTGCTGCTTCGCAACCTGGCACACCTGCCGAACCCGTTCCAGATGCTACGGAAGCTAGATTCATGAACCTCGAGCACACCTTATTCGATATGCATGCTCGTCTGTCCCGGGCGGAGGAGGGCAATATCGCACTGAATTCGAGATGCCAGGCTCTGACCGAAAGTCTGACAAAGTGCTATCATGTATGTTTGCCAGCACTTGCCCAGGTGGTATTTTTTGCTAATCTGATTATAGTGGACGCATTCTATCTCACGATTCCTCCAAGCTGTTGTGCCCGACAGGGAAAGTCCCCTGCATCGGGATGTCTCGAGCATGCAAAGAGAAGTCGAGAAGCATCTCGAAACCGTTCGCGCCCTCGATACTCCCCACGAGGGCCTCATGCCCCCTCGACAACCATACTTTGCCAACATGGCGGAAACCGGTCCACCATTGTCTCCGCGCCAAATGCCTCAGGACGACTCCCGTCGCCAGTCCATGATGGACCACAACCCTAGACCCAACAGCATGATCCGTCCACCTGTTCCTCCGCATCTCTCAGTATCTCCTCGCCGCTATGGCTCAATTGGTGGACCCTCCTCCGCATCAACATACGCTCGGCCGCAACCTCCAATCGCACCGCCGCAACAACCTCAACCCCACCCTCTCTCAGTCTCAACGTCCCCAGGGCCTAGCTTAGCTCGCCGCCATACCTCTGCGGATATCCGACAACACGGCTGGCCACCCTCAGCAGGTGCCTCTCCCTACCCTCCTGGCAATCCCCCCAGTGGACCTTGGCCCCCATCGCCACATGGAACCCAGGTTTCCAGTGACCAGCAGGTCCGTGATGTCCTCGCCCAATACGAAATGGGTGCTCCGCGCCGCCTTCAAGAACAATCTCGCCATGCCACTCCACCGACTGCCGAACCATCCCCATCCATGCTTGGTGTTGACAACGGCTGGACGCTCGGAAACTCAAGATTCCCTCACGGATCTTCCTTGCCTGCAACACGCCGCTCCAGCATGGCAAGCAACGTCCACTCACTGCTCAACCCTGCCGACACTGCTGAAAGACCTGATGAGGACCAGCAGGCAATGGCCGACGACCGCAAGCGGAAACGATTGGAATAAACTCTACACTACATTAAGGAAAATACCCGCATCAAGCTTCTATATCCAAGATATCATTATTAAACTAGGTCTGGATCCCCGGAGTGGATCTAGCTCTTTTCATTTCTCTTTCACTTTTGTTTCCGCCTCTCTCCCTCACTTCTCCACTTTGAACTGCATATGTATCATTGACTAGAGTGAGGGTCCCTCCGTATCTTCAGACTCATCTGGATATCTAGAAAGCCCCCAAAGCTCTGGCCATTGTTTTTAATCGCACCTGTAGATGCCCCTTTTCCTTTCCTGTTTTCTTTACTCATCCTGGATGTTTAATTACCGGGATCACGCCAATCCCGGCGCCTGGTCCTCTAGGACGACGGATTCGCCTCTTCGCTCATACAATATATTATATATACCCTTGGGTTGGGCGGAGCGAAAAAAATAATCTGAATTTCTTGAGGTGTCTAGAGCAAAAGATTGGATTTATATTGTATTCAATATATGCAGATAGGTTATACCGATTGGATGGTCTTGGATTTGCTGCTTTGTTCTAGTTTGGGTATCTTGGATATGTATCTGTAGTGGCAGATGAGCTGCCGTGAGAGAAGTCTCTTTTCGTCCTCTGGGAGAAGATGGACTGCAAGAGCAGAGCCCTGAGAGCTGGTGGATGCCCTGCCGGGCGGTCTTGCTTATAGCTGCGGAAACAATGGTTTGATATCAATGCCATTGCCCGGTTTTGCGGCTCTGTTCACCATGTCCGGCGCATTCAGAGCATCTGCCATCCAATCCAGTCCCCCAAGAATATAATCCCAATGCTTCTCAGCGCCAAGCGAAGCGCGCGCGCAATTGTGCTCACATTGAATCAATCCAATGCCGAGGCCTTTCACCTCTTCTTTCTCTTCTTCGCGCGCTCAGCTAGAAGTTCATCCAGATAACTCGTCGCCTTCTTCCTCCCCTTCGAGCGCGCAGGCGCAGGCGCAGGCTCTGACGGTGCACTCTCTTCCTCAGCTTTCTGTTCTGTATTCTCAGTACCGGAACCAGCACCAGCACCAGTATCATCAACAGGACTAGCAAAAACATCCTCCACAGCACTCGCACCAGCCTTCTTCTTCTTCTGCCCACGACCCACCCCAGCACCAGCCCCAATCCCCCTCATATTCTTCTTCTTCCCAATCATAGCGGACCGCCCATCCTCGTCATCATCCTCGTCATCCTCATCCCCAGCACCAGTACCAGACGCGGAAGCATTATTCCCAGAAGCAGACGCAGACGCAGACGTAGTCGTCGAACCAGCAACAGCAGCCTTCTGAGCCGCAGCAGCCTTCATAACACGATCATAGTTCTTGCCGAGGAGTTGTTTGCGCAGTTTATCATTCGAGCCCAGCTCGGTCCGGTTCCAGCTTCCGTCGGCTGCTTTTTGGGGGAGGGGGCTCCGACGCCGAGTCTGCATTTGTTTTGTTAGTTCCTTGTACACAGAATGGTAGTGGATATTGCCAATGGATACTCACGTCTCTGGTACAGCGGTGAAAATCTCATCTTCTTCTCGTTGTAGTTCCTCGTCCGTTTTGGAGTTTGCTAGTTCATCGTTGGTTTGTTGCGGGAGCCAGGAGGCTACGAGTCGTTGACTGCGGGATAGGGCGACGTTTGCCCGGTTGAGGATTACGTCGGACTCGCTTTTGGAGAGCGACATTGTTTTTGGGGGTTCGTTCAGGGCGAACTTTTGAGGGTTCGATATTGTTTAAGGTGATCTGCGGTGAATCTTTTTTTGCCGGGGTTGTTGGGGCGGTGAGGGTTATCTCTGATCTATGGACTTATGGAGTATATACATGACCTTTATGCACTTGCTATCGAGTACTTTGGCTGTTAATTTAATGTTGGGGTTTTGCTCAAATATGCAATTTTATATTTATTACAAATTTGTAAATCTGTTCGCTGATTGCTTATGCCAATTTGAAATCAACGTCTCCTTTCTCCGTGTCATTAACCACCATCAATATATAAGTATCTCGCTGTATTCATGTTAGGCTCTGGGGCTCAACTTTACCATGAGCGGATGTTTATCCCAAAGAAGGAAACAATCTTGTTCAAGCCAGTTATGTCCTGGTTGCTCCAACTCCATGTCAAAGTTGAAGATCATACGAGCGAGAATGATGCGCATTTCAACATATGCAAGGCTAGAAATAATGTCAGAGTTAGCCAAAGGCACAAAAAATAGTGAAGGAGAAGTGGAAAGAGGACTGAATGTATAGAAGGAGCTACGTACTTTCGTCCAATACAGTTTCTGGGACCGTAGCTGAACGGCTGCATTGCGATTTTGCTGTCATTTGCATAGCGGGTATCACCTAGATGACGCTCTGGGACGAATTGCTCTGGGTCGGTGTAATTGGTAGGCGAATGACTAGCGGCTAGATGAGAAACGGAGACGATGGTCTATCGCGAATGTTAGTGGCTTTGCGTGTTTCATTCGGAAGATATCTTGTACTTACACCTCCGGGGACCCAGTCCCCGGCAATCATGTCGCCCTGAGCATCGACAATGCGTGGAAGCCCAGCTGCAACGGGAGGATATAATCTCAAAGCTTCAGTGAGCGTGGCAAGGCAATACTCCAGCTTGTTGCAGTTCTCAAGCGTGATCTCTTCCTCCTTTGTAAACGCCGATCTGATTTCATCCTGAAGTTTCGCAAGCACGCGGGGGTTCTTCAACAATAGAAATGTCACCCCGGAAAGTAAAGTCGCAGTAGTCTCAGAACCGGCAATGATCAGAGTACTAGCATTGGTGATCATCTCCGGAATGCTGAACCCCTTTTCAGTGTTGTTGTGCTTCAAGATATTAGCGAAGAAATCAGGTCTCTCGTTTGACTTCCTCAGTCGACTGTTGACCTTTGCCGTGGTCAATGCCATGTGGGCCTCTTTCTGAGACAAGATGTGCTTTGGGGCAATCAATGGGAGGATATAGTTCCATCCAGGAAAACGCCGAGCGACATTTGAATAAGAGCTCATTTTGATATTGCCGAAAAGGATGGAAATCCATTGATGATAATTCGAATTCTTCAAACAGTCAAATGGCTCACCAAAAGCCAAATCCCCAATGATATCAAACGTCGTGAAGTTATACCAGGCAACCATATCAACGGCGCTTTTCCCACAAGCGATGTTCTCACGCAGGCGCTGCATCAGAAGGTCAACATAGCCCTTGATGATAGGCTCTTGCTCACGCAACGAGCTGTCAGAAAATGCGTGTGACAACAAACGCCGAAAGCGAGAGTGATCTGCATCGCTGGAGAGAATGATACTCGGAGCTCCGTTGCCGGTTGTTGCATAGAACCGGTGATCTTTCATTTTCTGGCTGTGGCCAACACGAGTACCATAGATGGGCTTCCAGGCATCGCCATGGATGAAGGAAAGCTCATCGGGGGCAATACGAACTACCTCGCCGTACTGCTGATGCAATGTCTTTATTTCTTGTGGGGAACGACCATACATGATCATTCGCATATAGGGTAGACGCGTGGCAGCCATTAACTTTGGGCCTGGGTATTTGGAAAGAGGGTGGAAGTAGACATTGTATATGATGAGGCCGATGGAGTAAAGGGCGATCTAATACATGTGTCTTCGGTCAGTTGAAGTCCTGTCATGATGGCTGAAGAGTAGACTGCACTTGCCAGTGGCAAACTCAACCCGATCAAAGACAGAGTCATATAGGAGAAGTCTTTTGGACTTGCAAGTCCTTCAAGGCCAGGAAGAGCCATAGTTAAAGTTGAACTTTGGAGTCTTGATAGATCCAATTCCCACTTCTTCAGTCTGGACTATTTATACCTCGCCCCCATTCATTCTACTCGTGTGACCAGCTGCAAGACATTAAGAATTATGCTACAAAGACCGTGCACTATGAAGATCCGTGAAGAACCCCGCACACTGCAAGTTTGACCCCTGTCACGACGGGGCTTGAGTGACCTGAAGACTAGTCTGGGTGTCAAGCAGCCTAGCCCTAATTGGCCATCTAGAGAAACCTCAAAGTCCCCCAGAGGCTTCGTTGAAGTATTTCCAGGCTGACAATAGACTTTCTTCATTTAACCTTAAATGAACCGAATGCTTATAGCTTGTCATCTCTTAGTAAGCTTCCTTCAAACAACAATCGTGTGATTTCCAAATGCAGATCGGCGCGTAGCGTCATATAGGCACTATTTCTCATTGGACACACTAGTGTTCTAAGCTAATATATGCGGTGCCACCGGACCCATATACAACGTCTGATTATGCAGAGAATATAGGTGTTATGACAGGCTGGTGGGTTCTTCAATAAAATTCCGGCATCTCCTTTATGAATTTGCATAATTTTGTGTTTGAATCCAAGAGCAAAGTACATTTATCCCATGCTGGAGGAGCTGTCTTGCCGTATGCTCTCAGACGATCTGCAAAGATACCATGTGTGTTTTGCATGTGATGCCATTGTGCTATGACAGTTGAACAGCCAAGAAAATGACAGGCAATTATTAGAATATAATACAAAATGGTGTATATGTGCTATTGTACATGTCCTCTCTATCTGTCTTCCCCGTCCATATCGGAATGTATGCTGGGACCCACACTAGAATCCTCCCAGTCCATGTCTTCTAGGTTGTCAACAAAAACACCCTCATCATCCCATTTGGCGGGAGCTTGGTGACGTGGCCGTGGGGCATCTGTCTCAATGACCGCCGTCATTGCTTGCACAAGCTGATTGCATAACTTGGACAGAGCTCCTTGAGATTTATCGGACAGCGGTCTTTTCATGGTCGTATAGACAGTCTCAAGAGCCTATAGCGAAAGTCAGCTTGCGAATTGATAAAAGACAGGGGGTGATGCTAACCTCATTGAAGATTTTGTGTAGCTGGACCACGTCCTCAAGAGTTTTGTCATTATTCATTTCAGTTTCTGGGTTCAAGGTCGCCCAGTCGTTCAAAATGAGCTCGCCTTCGGCTGTTCGTTCTAACCCGTTGCCAAAGAGGGCCGCCGTTAACGGGCGGACGTTGACTGCTTCTTTCATGACTGTAGGTTGGTTTGGCACTGACCATAAGTAGTTGAAAATACATAAGATTTGCCGCGAACTGAAAGTTTTTCTTGCTTCCTTGGTCAATTTGACGGGAATCAATTTATGTTTGGACTTGAAGGATGCTCGGCCAGGGAATTTCACGGCCAAATGATGGGAGAGGCAATGCGTTACCAGTGCTTTTATGAGAGGGAGGTGATCTGAATTCGTGTTCATCGAGGCGTTGCCGAGTCTCCCACTAGCAGTCTGGACGTTCAGCTCCGTTCCTAGGTCCATTCCGGCGGGTATTCGAATGCGAGACAACCTCTCCATGATTCGCTCAGTCTCTCGCAAGACATTTTTGAACTGCCCATAGTTGATCCATCGGTTATGAGCAAACTGAGCAGCTTGCCAAGAACCTTGTTTATGCTCCACCTCTCGAACGGCTCGGAAGGCTTGGATGTATTCGTAGTGAATGTTCGCTGCTTCCGGGGCAAAAGCCATGCGCGACTTCTTTATCTTCGCCGCCATATCAGAGTTGAGAGGCCGCACGAAGAAATTCATATGACCCCCGAGCGCTGCAAAGATCACCATAGGGTCCAAACACTGAAAAATAATGCCCAAAACAGCCAATTTGGCATAGGTTGGATGTACATTTAGGTCATCTAAAATGTGACCCAGATCGGTAACTTCTTCGTTTTCCTCCAGCGCTTTTAAGTCCTTCAAAGCAGCCACTGCAACATCAACCTCTGATCTCTCCGGTGGCTCAACCAATCGCCCAAGTAGCTCTGAGATGGTCCCTGGAATTCCAGGAGTTGATCGTTTGACTTGCAAGCAGAATGGTTGGAGATCCTTCCGTCTGATCTGTGTGGCTCTGGACGTTGGAAGGGAATCAAAACGCTTCTGAAGCCCAAGAAAATAGTACTCTCCAGCCTGAACTCTTCCCGCACGCCCTGCCCGTTGGAACGCAGCGTTTTGACTGATCCAGCAAGGCGCTATTGATTCAGTTGCCGTGAGAGCCTCGAAACCAGCTTGATTTACCTTGCCAGAATCGATTACATATCGCACATCTTGTATGGTGAGGGATGTCTCGGCTATGTCAGTTGCAATGATGACTCTTCGACAACCGTGAGGCATTTTGCGATCCAACTCGAGCTGCTCCTTTGGCAATTGTGCATGAAGCTTGACTAATCTGAACCGACTGTCGTCATCGAAGTTCAATCCCAGCTCAGGGCTGAAATTTGTGATGTGCTTCTCCACGGTTAAGATGTCATGCAAACCGGGAACAAAGACAAGAACAGAGCCTGTCTGAGTCGATGATAGTACCGAGAGGACAGCCGCAGAAATTAACCCCCAAGGTACTGTTTGCCCGTCAAGGGACGATACAGGCGGTAAAATTTGTTCCCTCGTTGCGTTTTCTTCCTCGGGCTCCCCAAAGGCTTTAAAATGGACATCCAGAAATCTCTTTGTAGAAGGTTCCTGAATGAGGCCAGATAGAGCCCCCGGCGTCAGATTATAAGTGATTTCTTCAAGGACTTCTTCAAGATAGTGCCTCTTCACATGGAAAGTGCGTCCAGGAACGGTGATATGAGGAGCAGGCGCAAGTGTCCCATCTGGTGCCTTGTTGGAGAAGTAGGAGGAGAAGAGATTGACGTCGACCGTTGCGCTCATGATAGTGATCTTCGGCACTCGAAGCCCAATACTTTGAAGCTGTTCAATGCGGATTTTTATGAGCATCATTAGCAGATCGAGTGGCGCGTCACGGACGTGGACTTCATCAAGGATGATATGACTGTACTTTCCTAGGACAGAAAGTCCATGTCTCAACATCATTAGCAGAATTCCCGAGGTGCAGAAGGTAATATTTCCTCCCGGAGTTGGTCGGACGGAGTCGTCTCGCAAAATGTAACCAACACTTTCACCAACTTCCTCGAGTCTTTCTGCGGCAACTCGATGTGCCAAGCTCTTTGCCGCGATGCGCCGTGGCTGAACACACAATACTTGACAATCAGCACCAACAGAGTTGTCTATCGCCGCATCAAGAAGGAGCTGAGGAACCTGGGTGGACTTTCCAGATCCAGTTTCTGCAACGACAATGCTATAGGTGTTGTTTTCAATGAGGTCAACAACGGGCTGCGCGAAGGACTTCGATCTCACAGGTAACATCTCCCTAGCCTCTGTGATACCCTTAAACTGTGGATCTTCGCAGGCTCGCGCCTTTCGCCTGGAACGACGCAGTCGCTCCTCAAATCCTCTTCGCAATGTGTAGCTGAGGGGGCGAAGTGACGATCATCTTTGCTTGGCAGGTGAAACTTGCTCCCAAGGGTTCGCCTGTGCTTAACGGGTGCGCCCTCAGTCATCTCGAGATGGGCTGACTCTAACGCTTCCTTTGCATCGCTGATTACAAAGGACAGTTCATCGTTGATGTGAAGCCTGGCTTTACAATTTTTCTCACCGGATTCCTGCTCCGCTTTGAGCTTTTCCTCGCCGGATCCCTGCTCTGCTCTGGGTACTAGCTTTTGCCAAACACCTGCTTTTTTCAAAGATGCCACCATGGACAGTTGTGCCATTTTCTTTGCTGTAGTCTGTTTTCAAAGTTAGACACAAATATTTGAGATCAGTGGAGCAAGGTTTAGCAAGTTACATACTTTGTGTTTGGCATGTCCACCACCCTGAATTTTTTTAATGTGCTTAGGTATAAAACATTGAGAAGTACAGATGAATCCTCCTTTATCGTCGCGTGTATAGATAAAACTGTCACAATGCAGCCTGTGGCTTGTCACAAGGCGGTTGAAAATTTGAAGGTCAGACACGCCCTCGATGGCTTGATTCCGTGCCGGAGAATTGCCCTCTCCATTTGACTTGTTCTCTCCATTTGCGGGTAAACTTCTCGATTCTCCATGGTCTGAAGGTGCTTCGACCACAACGCCAGCGGCTTGGGATCTCGATCGACTTGTCCCTGAAAGGGTGCGTGTGATGAGAGGACTTGTGAACGGGCGAGTATCAATTGTTTGCCGGTGCTGTTCGAGCGCAGACTGATTGCCAGTGACTAGTGATGACAGCACTTTCGGATTGAGCGAGGCCCGAGATAAAGTAGTAGTTTGGGAGACCGTGTGTATTTGCCGTGTCGAGAATCGTCCAAGTCTCAACTGGCTTGATCCCAGACAGGTAGTACTGAAGCATCCCCCATTTGGAGCCGAGCGATGTGCTTGATTGCAGTTGCGGAGATAAAGACTGGCACTTGTTGCGATTCCCATGGTGTATGATCGAAATTACACGGCCGGGTACGGAGGTAGACAAGCATTGCGCGGAGCGATGGGGTGGCTTCAGGCCATCGAAAGAACGTGACCGAAATTGGAAAAGACCGGATGGAATAGAGTGATGCCACAGACATACAATGATGCCTTTGCGTGGGTGAAAAAGGGGGATGGCAAGAGTGACAGATTAAATAAAAAAAGAAGACAATTCCGCGCCGCCGCATATTTCGGTCTTGGCACTCCGAATCCTTTAACATCAACATGTAAAAAGCGCCCAACATCTATGATTATAGCAGTATTTAGGATTTAACTCGGGGATTTTTGGAAATTAGAGCTTATTTATTGGAACGGCTGAATATTCGTAGCATCATGTGTAGGTCTTATGTACAAGTCTATCTATATACCATCTATGGCTCTTCCGCCCCAGACATACTTCCCCAATCTGTTCTAATGTAGTATAGCACAGTATACCGCAGGGTATAAATCTCAACAAGGAAAAGAAGGAGTACAAGCAGTTCATGCTGTGGCCTCCTTCTGATGCTTCAACCGCAACTTTTTCTCCGTCTTCATGAATTCGCGGATGCCAATCGGGATGTTGGAAAACAGATCATCATCTTGTTTCGGCATAGACCAATTCGTTTCACTGCCACCTCCATCATCGTCCATACTTCCACTGGCTGAACGGACTTCAGCTCTGGGCGCTGCGCGCATGTCTTCTGTCCCCTTCTCAGGACCGCCTTTGGCCTTGGCCGTTGCGACCCTAAATGCCCAATCCTCCATCTCATCTCGGAAATCATCCCAGACGCAGTGTACACAGCCGCTCATGCAGCAGTTGTCTGGTTCTTCGGGCTGAGGGGGGATGGGAACCCCATTGACTGTTCTCCACGTCGACTCCGGAGGCGCTTCACCGGGGTTGTAGCGCGAGGACCGGCCTGGACCTGCAAGACGAGTACCGAAAACAATCGCCATTTTTTCTTGGGGGCTCTGCGGTTCATCAGTGGTTGCGGGCGTCGGTTTGTGTTCGGGCCGAACCGGGGTCGGTCGCGATGTCGACGCAGGACCACCGTATGGGGAAGGCGATTTCAGGATCAATGAGTAATATCCTGCCAGCGGGTGGGCCTGAGGAGAATCGGCAGTTTCCTCCACAGAGACTGGAGCATTATGTGCATCGGACTGGTCATTGGAGTGGGCTTTCATGCGCCGGAGTGTCGGAGCCAAAACAAACTGTCTGTGTGAGGCAAAGGAAGGACGCGATACAAGAGATAAAAGGGAAGAGTGAAGACGGGTCCTCCTGGGTGAATGTCGAATGCCAGTCGAGAGACACTCCATGGTGAGTTGGAGAAGGTCAAGACCTCCGAGATGCAGATGTAGGGAGATTAAGTCATAGTGTTTGCACCCAATGCAAACATCGTTGTTTATCTTCATCTGCGCGCTGCAGATGAGACCGAACACGCCACAATGGATTCCCCCGCCAAACGACGAAAAACTAGCGAATCTACAGGTATCGCTGTGCCTCCAGAGCTCGCCCAAAATGCGTCACGACCACCACGACCTTCCTTTCAATCCCCTACAAGGGCCAGTCTTGCGCGATCGCATCCAGATGTGTTAGAGCGCGCGCTTAGCAGATCTCCCACCCGACGAGCGTCAAGCAAAGGGGCCGAACAGACCGACGCTCGAACCTTTGGACTCCGGGATCGCAAAGCCCTCCGACCCTCGTTGAACGCTTCTGCAAGCCCTCTCACTCGGCCCCGAGTGCCCGATGTGCCAGGAGGATCCCCCAACAGGCGCCCAAGTGGCATCCAGGCGTTCTCAAAGCCGCCTCGCAGAAGCTTGAAGAAGATTCTTCCCGGAGATTTTATGTTCGAGTCTCCAATTCCACGGTCAAATGCTCCCGACTCGATCACACCCGAAGGCCAATTGGCATTGGAATTAGGCGACGCTACACAAGAAGCAGATACCGATATGGGCTCGGGCGGTGCAATGATGGCCGAGGATATTCTTGAACCAGACCTTCCCCCTACTCCAACTCAACTCGGACTGGAAAAGGCTCCAGATCGGCCCAGAGGGATGATGAGCAGCAGCCCCAGTTTACGACAAGAGAAGCGGATTAGACGACGAAACACCGAGCCATTGGGTGAAAGCCCTTTGAAAGCTGTGAAGTTTCGGTCCATTACTCCCACAGAGACGGAGACAAGTTTCAACCAGGAGCTGTCTGTGACTGCGCAAAAAAAATACAAGTCGCGCAAGAGAAGTGCTACGGAACTGCAGCGGCTTAGAGATGAGGTTGAAGAACTGGAAAGGTGGGCAAAAGAGATTGAGTTCAAGGATAACCTGAAAGGCGACAGAGGACTACATAGACTTCTGTGAGTTGACAAGATGATATTGACATGAAAACCACTAACCCTCTTCAGATCATTGCTTACAGCGGAAGAGGCAAATCTCGAGAGCCTACCGGTTCCTCGAATAGCCCCGAAGCCAATGTCTTCGATTCTCGCCACTCTACTCCCATTCTCCTCTAACATCCGTCAATCCAAACGACAGGCATCACCTCTGCCAACGAATCCGTTCGCTCTACAAGAATCCTCTAGAGAATTGCCATACTTAACAGTATTCGCACCACTGACTCTCAAATCCCGCACAACTCGATCATCACATAGAGAAGGGCCGTCAGAAACACACTCCCTGACCTTCTCCGCTCCGTCCCCATTCCCAGCAAATCTTTACAACACAACAGTAGTGTACGAGACGAATCCAGAAACCCAAACCGTGGTGTCCGTGTCTGTTTCAACTGGCAGTGACAGCAAGAAAAGAAAAACGCCGGAAGCTCTCCGCCAATGGATTGATACACGCCTAGAGAATCCCCTCTTAAAGCTGGATGTGTCAACCCTCTGCTGGGGCATCAACCGGTACTGGGAATGCTCAGTCACACGAGCTCGCCTGTGGGCACACATTGACCACAAATACGGCAACCAGGCCCTGCGTGGCAACAAAGACCCATTACCCGAAAATGAGAACGGGGCTATCACCATGTCAGAATTACGCCGACTACTTCCTCATCTTAATCGGAGTACGATGGCCATCAAGCCCAAATTGTCAGGCTCGGGTCCTCGTGTGCTGTTATCTATCACCTTGGTTTTGGATGATTGGACTGGAGAGCCTCAACTTCGACCTGAGATCAGTGTCTCTTTGACAGGCGCAGATCGGAAGATCGACCACGAGACTAAGAAGCTGTTCCATGCGTTGCTTCGTGAGGGTGAGGGCGATGATTTGGCTACGAGCGGTGTTGATCCTGTCTTGAGAGCTACCGAGGGTGCTCTCGGTGCATTGTTTGGTGGTCTTTGATATCCCGTTGATTGTTAGCGTTGGACTAGTTGGAGTGGTTATTTAGCGTAATTATTTGAAGATACCCTAGCATAGTTCAGATGTTTAATGTAATCCGCTTGTGGATGTCTGTCGATGACAACAACTTGTGTGCATTCATAGAAGTATGTACTTTTGGAGTGATGGCCTATGCGAAGACATCGTCAACCCACGCCTGACTAGACCCAACTCGCCCTCCACAGAGCTACGAAACTAAACCGATAGCACACGCTAGTTGCCGATGTCCGTAGAAGCCACACAACGTCACAACCGTGAGCTCAATCACCAGCCGAACTAGATGTACAAGGCATACAAGGCAAGAATGAAGAAAATTGGGACGGTTTTGAATTTCGAGAGATCTTCCGAGTTCTTTCTTTTAGAGACAAAAAGGAGTAAAAAGTGGGGGGGGGGAGAGGGAATCAAGGAAGAGGCGCCACGCCATGCCACAGGTACACTAATCCCCGATTCGAAAACCGACCCGATCATCATCATCAGCACGAGCAGGGAATTAACACATTTATTTCTTGGCGGCAGCCTCGTCATCAGCCTTGGCCTTAGCACGCTTCTCGCGCATGCCGCGGTAGCGGGCCTCAGCGCGGGCCTCACGGAGACGGCGGTAGGCAGCCTCCTCACCCTTGGGGAGGGAGTCACGCTTGACCTCGGTGACGGCCTCGGCGGCGGTGGGGTTGGTGATGGGGAAGGTGGCCTCGACGCGGGTGGCGATGCCCTCACGCTCGCCCTTGGCGACGGTCTCCTTGACGGCCTTGACGTCCTCGGCAGAGGAGTCGAGCTTCTTGAACTGACCGCTCTTGCGGGGGAAGAGGATCAGGCGGGCCTTGTAGTCAGCAAGGCGGGCGACATTGGCAGTCAGGGACTCCTTGGAGTAGTTGGTACGGCGGTGGTCGACGGAGATACCAACGGTGCGGGCAAGCTTCTTGGGAATGCCAGCCTCCTGTAAAGCGAAAAAAAGCACTAGTTAGCATGTCTGTTGCTTCGTCCAATTCGTGACCCTTTTTCGAAGTGGCGGATTCCAATTTACCTTGAGCTCAGCGAGGGTGAAACCACGACCGGCACGGACACGGCGGTTGTACTTGACGGTGGGGCACCGGACAACGGGACGCAGCTTGTCAACCGGACGGGGAGCAACGGCAGCCGCCTTAGCGATGCGGGCCTCACGACGACGGAGCTTCCGGCCGGGCTGTAATTCATGTTAGTCGACAAAGTTCATTCCTGCGTTGAAATTTTTTCCCTCGATGCGAGTCGGTTTGCGATATCGTTCGGGATAAAAATTTTCTTATCGGGAGTTTGGATAGTCGTACCTGGTCGAAGTGCACACGCACACGACGCTGCCAGTCCTTGCGGAAGTCTAATTAAATTGTTAACCACACCATTCCTTCAATTCTGAATCCACGTCGGTCCTTTCAAAGCGATCACACAGATAGACACAAGGCGGGATCACTCACGGTTCTTCTGGATTTGGTTGTTGTGCTTGATCGCCTATATATCCCACACACAATCGGTCAGTCATCATTCTTTGATATTCGAGCCCGTATTTCGATTCGCGGATTCCAATTAATCGCACAGGTCGATTCCTTCATTGTATCTTCCAAGTAGATGAGGGTAACGCACCATGTTGACGGATGGGGATCGAGCCGGGTGGTGGTCGTCGAGGGTTGCTGGTCAAATCTCCCTTCACGGCAGAAAATGAAGTTCCCATTTTTCGTGTGGCCGCCCGCTGACCGGCTCACCGCCTCGCTTAGCGAGCCCTAACCTTACCCGATTCGGTAATCTGCCGGAGTTACCGACTTGGGATTTTTATTGGGGATTTTTGTATTTTGATATATTGAAACTGACGAGAATAACAAGAGCTCATAAGGGAAAAGAATCGATTCGATTTAATTCTACGAAAATATTTCAGTTCAATCGTTGTAATTTGTGATTTGGCCCGAAAGACCCTAGTCCTATCGTACATGGTCATACCATTCCATTTCATTTGCCATCTATAGATGCAAGAGCCTATAGCTCCAAGCAACGTCTTCATTCCATTCCACGCCTACAAAGGCCGGGTACAGAATAGACAGGCATCAATACCCCGAAAGCAAAAACCAACTTAATAACGCCAGTTGAGGGCCATGGATTTGTCACATGGCCTCTCAGCATAGAAACAAAATCCCAGTCGCTAGGTTGAGAACGCCGTATACGGCATGTCTTCATGAATCGTGAGTCTTTCCCAAAGTCGTAACAAGCAAAACAGCGCTAGGTCATGAATCATATCAAAATCGGCAACACGATCTGTCATGCAGCCATAGGATATGGGCTTAGGCGTTGATGCCCAAGCCAATACCGTCACCGGCCCTGGACTTCTTAGAAGTGGGTCCAGTAGCCTCGATGCCTGCCTTGCGCTTGCCGGGGCGAGATCGTTCCACGCCAGGCTTCTTCACCTGACCAAACAGCTTGGTCTGAAGCAAGGTGCTGCTCTTGGGAACAGTGGAACGCATGTGAAGGTGCGAGGTGTCCAGTCCATCTTCCGGAGCTTCAGAGGCAGAGAGCGACACAGTGCTGTCGCTGTCGTAATGATCGTCTCTTGGAGGTCCTCTGGGCGATAGGTATTGGCTTTTGGGGTGGTTGGGGGTAACAGGAACGGAGGTGACAGAGTGACCGCCGTAAGCATGTGTTTGGTTGGTGAGTTTGTCGGCGTAGAGAAGAGCAGCAAGACCATCGGTGTGTTCGCCGTGGCAGATACTGTGGAGCTCATTCTGCGTGCCTGGTGACGTACTGCCGTAGTTGAAGATTTGAGAGAAGTGCTTGCGATTGTCCCCGATGCGTCTCTTCAACATATCGTTTTGCTCCTTGAGTTCCAAAGATTGAGCGGTAGCATCATCAATCGCGCGCTTTGCCTTCCGAAGCCTGCTGTCCAGAACTGTGTTGAGCTTTTCTAGTTCTTGCGACCGCCGGAGAGCCTCGAGGTAGTCATTGTTCACGACAGACTGGGACGGTCTGGGTGTGGTAGGCTCCGCAGGGTGCGAGCGACCGCGGTACTCGGCGCTCTGCAGGATTTCAACTTCGCGCTTGGCGAGTTGGTGCTCGACCTCGGCGCGCTTCACGGCTTCATTGCTTGCAAATGAGACCAGGCTATTCTGCAACTTGAAGTGTAGCGCAGACATGCGCGATTCCTGCGCAATCGCTAGAAGGTCCTTGGCAATGATGCGCAATTGAGCTTCGCTGGCATGATCAATTTCCTCTGCGGTAGGCAGGTTCTCGGAAGCACCATACGCATCGCACAAAGATTTATCTAAGTCGGCCGGTGTGACCAACGAAGGACTCAAAGAGCGGGAGTGTGAGCGAGATCGAAGCGGGGCACCCGGAATCTGAGTTGAGGGTGGAGGAGTCATGTCTGATGACGACAAAGGCGGGGGCGAAACGAACTTCTTATCCGACTGGGATGATGGGCGCTTGGCCATGGCGGTGAGATCTGGCGAAGGCGACAAAGTGGCCCGACGGACTGGGGTTGAAGGCACGATCTCGGCGGGTTCTCCCAGGGTGCTTTGCGAGTTGGGTTGAGACATGATGAATGTGGAGTGATGTTGATATATCGATAAGATCAGGGTTAAGCGGGGAATGGATCCTCACGCTGTTATCCTTATCAGCATCTATCAATGGGGGATAATCGAAGGGCAACACATACCAGAGACTTAGCAGTCAAGCCTCAATAGTGTCAATCACACAGATGCTCAGACCAGGTATGTTGCCTGAGGAACCAAAATCCGAAACTACCGGGATAGGGAGTGTAAGGGGCAACAAGAATGAGTATTGGAAAGCAGTGACAGGGAGGTGAAAGAAGGGGAAATCATAGAATAAGGAAGCTTAAGAGGAAGAGGTTACTCCAGCTCGCAGTAATGAGGGGGGCTGGGAGGCTGGGAACGGGGAGTCTGAAGGTGCCCGCTTTGGGTTAGCCCCTGTCCCAGCCCCGGCCAATTATCTAAGAATATTAGCCAATCAGAGGCTTGTATCAGGTATTACTAAGCCCGTTTGGGTTAGACTGACGATCACGGGACGCTCAGGGCAAGTAAACACCCGCAACCAGCCAAGCGCTGGGGGGTTGGGTAGGCAACCGATGTGATATCATCTATATTCTGTACATCTCTCAAGCGTATTTCCATGTCTCTTGTCTATGCTATTTTGTAGCCTTGCTAGAGGGTCTTTTTCAGGTTGTGTATCTCTTGAGTTCTCCCATTGCTTTTTCGTCTTGTTATAACAGATTCATAAGCGAGAACGCCTAGAGCATACAGTACGATTTGTCTTTTCTATAGGCCATGCAAGGGTTTCTAAAAGCCTGGATACTCAATCCAGTCATTTATATGATAAAGCTAGCTAACCTGAGCAGAAGTCTCATAATCATGGCGCTTGAGGGGCATAGTGAACATGGGATTGCCAATTCCGGGCTTATCCAGCGTTAAGGGCTCCTAGAACCTGTGAGTATATAAATTGTGATAGCTGGGCTACTTATATAGAGATATAGATATCGTACCGGGGGTTTGTCCTAGGCATATAAGTATGGGATGATATGGGCTCCCTTCCTCTATCCGTGGTCTTTGTTCATCTGGCCTGTGATGACGCATTTGTAACCATCACACTGTAGGAACTGGTTAGGGGAAATGGCTGATCAAGGATTGCTGCACTGTCTACATATTGTCATAATGTTTGGAGGGCTATTGGTGACCGAATATTGATTCGGTCATGAATTCATTATCCAAGAATGCCAATAAGAAGACTCTGATATTATCAATCGGTGTATACTGCCTAGGCAGTGCTAAACTGTAAATAGGTTGTGGAAGATAGAACCAGACTGATGTTTGTTGCAGCGATGCCCTTTGCGATGGATATCTGGCCTTCTTCCGGAGCCAATCCCATTAAGAGCCACGCGAAGAGAGTCGAAGCTCAGATAGACCGAGGGCTAGACCAAGCCATTCAGGATATAAGTATGATATCGTTCAAATCAGGCAGTTATTTCTGTAGGCTCTTGTCACTTATTTCCGCAATCTCCGACCTGTCTGCTCTATCCCGAGTCCTTTGAAATGGAACGTGGAGGCATAGAACTCGGAATAAGCCAGCCACCGTTTACTGGGCCATCGAAGGAAAATGAGTCACTGCGACAATGTTTGTATTTTTGTAGATGATAGGCAGTCTCTCAGGCTAGGATGATTTGGATGCCATGACGATAGGGTATACACTCTGATGAGTGGAATCAGCGAGTGAAGGGAATGTAAATGGGATGAGAGGAAGAAAGAGGGAGATGAAATGGGTAAGATTTTGGAAATATATGTATTTAGAGTTAGAGTAAGGTAAGTCGAGATCAGGTACGTATTTAGGGAATTACGACTTAGAAAGGCTAATAGACTACCTTATCATTCGGTAGTAGAGGGACAAAGAAGCTTAGTACGTAAATAGAGTTCAATTTAAATCGCGGAGAGGAAAAGATACTCAGGAGAGATATTGGTGCAGCCCTAGGTCCTTTCTTTTAGAAACCAAAAATTAGCAAAAAATATATGAAAAGAGGAGCAAAGCACTAAATAGGCGAGGCTAGTCTAAAACTATACCCTTACGTGTATAAATGGCGAAGGGTCCAAATCTGCACTGCAAGGCCCGTTCTAGATAGATCGATGACAGACCGGGAAAATGCTGCCTGAGGCTGCTATCGCGGGATCGTGAAATGTAAACAATCCACTTCCTCCGACACATTTCTGAGATCTCCATTCTTTGTGTCAAGACAAGCGCAAATTTGCCGATTCGCTTGGTTTCCGCCCTTACATTCTTTGTCCCGCTCGGACATGAGCGGATCTCTCAACTTGCGGCTTTCTCCCTGACCAAAACCCAACAATACGCGGGTCGAGATGGAAGGACAACACAAGACAACAACACGCCCTCCGAGCGGTATTCCGCGGCCAGCAAGTGGAAACCCTCGACTGACTTCAAGGCTGCCATTACCCGCGGCGACCACCTCCAAATCGATCAAGCCTTCACCCTCCCGAGATAGACTACGAGCCGACCCTGGTTTAGATGAAAGACGGCTACGAAGGCCTTCATACGACACACTTGCGAAGAAACCGCTCGCGCGCTTTTCATCCCCGCCAAAAACCCGAACAGATTCAATCTCAGCTTCGCAAATACCAGACGAAACGCAAGGCGGGGCAGATGACATACAAACCTCGGAGGAAATGACCCCAATTGCCGGCGATGAAGACACTGCATCAACCGCATCAATACAGGAAGACCGTGGTCGGTGCGAAGTGCGTCCGTCCTTGTCTGAGCGGACACTTGAGACGCTATCACAAATTCCACCCTCCCCGGCGTCGGTAAGAAGACAGTCCAGCTTTTTCAATGGCGCCAGCCCAATACGCTCGCCATCTCGTGCTCCGTCCAATGTGTCCAGTTATTCGAGATCGCCATCCAGAGCCTCGTCAGGCGCGCCAAGTACCAGCGAGATGTATACCCAGCCTGTGTCGCAACTACGGCTTCCCTCGAAGCCTCGCATGTCCGTTGCGTCCCTTTCTCCAGTGCGTGGTTCGGAAGAAGGCAAAACCCCTTCTAAATTGAAGGCGCCGTCGAGTAGACAAAGCCTTGCACCAGGGGATGAGGCACATTCCGATATCAAGTCACCACTCAAGAAGAAATTATCCCAAAGATCCATTGGGAACAAAGATACAACAAAGCCCTCGAGTGTCCGACCCTCACCCGGCAAGATCACCACAAAGCCTACTCAATCAAACATGGGACCCCCACAGAAACCCCTTCAAGTGAGAAAAACACGTAAACCCCAGTCAGAGCAACCGTCCGCTATGCGATCTCCATCGACGGCGTCAAGATATGTGTCTGCTGCATCCAACGTGCAGGATGAGCTATCCCCTGAGCAGCAAGCAGAATCCGAAGCCAGGAAAGTCTCGAAATCATCTAGTACGCTGCGTGAGACCATAGCCAAGGCGAAGGCTGCACGTAAGGCAATGGCAGCCGAAGAGAAGAAGGAAACACCACAAAAAGTGATACCACAGGCTCCATCTGCCGATTCATGGGGAGGCGCTGATGAAGAGGATCCTTTCAATCAGCTACCTAAGGGTGACAACCGATTGGTCATGCGAAAACGAGTTCAAACAGGACGCTCTACCGGCCAGCTGAATATCGCGGCAATGTCTTTGACAGAAATTCCAAAGGAAGTCCTGACGATGTACGACTACGATCCAGACAACTCAGCGAACTGGTTTGAGAATGTCGATCTCGTGAAGTTCATTGCTGCGGATAATGAATTAGAACGTATTTCAGACGCTGTCTTCCCGGACATCAACCCCGAAGACTTTGATCCAGACAGTGACGACCGGGGACTTCAATTTGGTGGGCTTGAGACATTGGATCTTCATGGCAATATACTGAAATCACTTCCGAACGGTCTCCGCCGTATGCAAAATCTACGCACTCTCAATCTATCGAACAACTCGTTGGACATGGATAATATTCAGATTCTCACAGAGATAATGTCTCTGACAGATTTGAAATTGGCAAATAACAAGCTCGAGGGACAATTGTCGACAGTCTTTGCGGGTCTTCACCAACTGGATTCTTTAGACCTCCGCGGAAATAATCTCACCAGCCTCTCCGGGGCACTGGTTGGGTTGACTTCTTTGAGGACATTGGATGTCAGCGAGAACAAGCTGACCTCTTTGCCATTCGAATTGCTCAGTAAACTTCCCTTGAAAACGATCAATGCGCAAAAGAACAAGCTGGAAGGTACCTTGATTCCTGCCTCAGTGGAGTGTTTCGAGACCTTGCAGACCCTGAACATTGCGAACAATGTTGTCGTGGTTTTCTCGGCAAATGACATGCTTGATCTGCCTAACATACATACTCTTTTGATTGGTGTCAACCGCATAACGCACCTCCCCTGCATGTCTTCGTGGCAGTCTTTGTTAACACTCTCTGCGGAGGAGAACAAAATTTCAGAGCTTCCACCGGGATTCGTGGAGCTCAAGAATATCAAGAAGGCTGACTTCACTGGAAATGACCTTTTGCGTTTGGATGAGAAGATGGGTTTTATGGAAAGCCTCACATCTTTCCGTGTCGCCAACAATCCCTTCCGTGAGCGGAGGTTCCTAACCATGGACACTGAAGACATCAAACGTGATATGCGAAGCCGCTGCGAGCCCGATCCTCAGGACACAGATGATGAGGGCTCAGTAGCCACTCAGTTCACTCTGGCACCAGAAAACCCTGCGCTCGATGTCAGTTGGCAGCTCAAATCCGGCGGTACTCTTGATCGGTCTTATTCTGATATGGCAGATCTCAAGGTGGACCAGCTGGAGATGCTTCCCTCCCAAGATATTCGCTGCCTCTACTTACAACACAACGAGATACCCTGGTTCCCAGCCCCAGCACTTGCAATGCTCGCCGAGGGTCTTGTTGAGCTTGATCTCTCGAACAATCCCTTCAACGGGGCTGACTTTCTGTCTTCTCCGCTTGAGCTGCCCAAGCTGCAATCTTTGAACTTGAACGTAACCAGATTAAAGTCGCTGGAGCCTCTGTTGGCCAACCTGACCGCTCCATCCCTGACGTTCTTGGACATTTCCCATAATCGCCTGAAGGGGCCCTTGCCTCAAATCCGACAGACCTACCCAGAGCTGAAGACTTTCATTGCGTCTGATAACCAGTTCGCTTCCTTGACCTTTGAAGCGGTGCAAGGGTTGCAGGTTTTGGATGTTAGCAACAATGACATTGATTCCCTTCCCCCGAAGATTGGCCTGCTGGGTGCTGAGCGCTCCCCTAAGAACTGGGGTAACGGATTAGCCCTGAGACGCTTTGAGGTAGCCGGCAACAAGTTCAGAGTGCCTAGATGGCAGGTAGTTGCCAAGGGGACTGACTCAATCTTGGAGTTTTTGCGAGACCGCGTTCCACTGAATGAGCTCCCTGAATGGGAAAAAGACGAAGCCAGTGAGGAGGAGCTCTAGGAAGTGAGGACTAGCTCAGGCCATTATTTCGATTGGTGTGTATAATGAAAGGTTAACTTATCATTTTTGTTCTATGTACATATACATAATCTCTATTTATGATTTTCCCGGGCATTTGTTCATCTTATCGTCGGACTCTGCACATATTTGTGACAAGTCATCTCATTCAGTTCTCGTCAATTGGCTTGCTGACTTCATCAATGACCTTAAGCCATGTCTTTGACCATGTGGTGAACTTGTCTGCTGTCTCATCGGAACCCGCTGCGGCAACCCAAGGTGACATCACCAAGTCCACTGCTTTTGTAGCACACTTGCGCGTCTTTTGCAGATATTGACCCGACTTGTCGAAATCGGCCTCGTATAATGCGCCAGCCGCCTCATCGACGTGGTCTGGGATAGCTTGTAGGTTCAGCATCAACGACTCCAACTTTTTGACACCAGACGGAGAGGACAACGGCGCATTTCCGGCATTCTTGAGACGGTTGTTGATGATAGCAGGATAGACCTGAGCAACAGGCTTGAGGAACCGGATAGAGGACTTCTTGTGTTCCTGCAGGGCGGCGGTTTCTTCGTCGTCGTCGTCGTCGTCATCATCGTCATCAGAGTCCTCTTCGTCTTTCTGCTCCTTTCCATCATCACCTAGAAGCTCATCAAAGAACTCATCTCCATCTTCCTCAGGATCCCAGTCCTCGATTTCTTCAACCGCGTCGCGAACAAGATCTCTCCACTGCTCGACGCGGCGCATAACGAATCCAACCACGCCCTTGTTCGCGACATCAGTCACAGTATCACATGCATCCCAGACGCGACCAGTAGCAAGTGTAACTACATCCTTCTCAGCTTTGCTCAGATCATTCTCTTTTCCATTGTCCTTCTTCTCCTGATCCTTCTTCTCTCCAACGCGCTTGACGTCTGACACAAGATTCAGCAGTTCGGTCAGAGTCGTCTTAACCAGAACAACAACTTCCGAGTTAAACGCTTTGGTGTATTGGACCGGTGTAACAAGGAGGGCAGCGGTAACGATCGACGGCAGGACGGATTCATTCAGATCACGGAGCACGGTGCAGATAGCCGAATGTGTGAACGGAGAGGTGATAGCAAGCAATGAGAGTTTTGTGACTTGAGCTTTGAGCGCGCTCGACGAGGCCGTTAGGAGGGGCAGGGCTTCGGCATCTTGCGCGGCGGCTTCGGCTGCTGCAGCGGTCGGTTGGGTCGTGAGGGCCGTTTGGAATTGTCCAATGAGGGTGAGGGTTGTGCTGAGTACGGCAGATAGTTGTGACATTGTGAGTTGCCGTGAACCTGCCACTGGTGGCTTCTCTGGAGGGGTCTGTTGTCGGGGAAAAATTTTGGGTTGGGTTTGACAACCTTGGGCCGCGGGGCTGATTAGGGCTCTGCGGGGTCACCTGTGGTTTTGTTTGTATGTTACAGCTGTTAAAGAGGGAAATGATTGAATATAATTGCTTCTTCTGAATTATGGTGATTGGCTCAGTATACGTGATTTTCAATTGTATCGACTCAATCACGGTCGAATGATTGCAGTAAATAGTATTCTTGTACGGAGTAGTATAGTACTGCTTCCGCCGCCTACCATACCCTGCACTGACTTCTGTTGAATGATCGCAAAAGGCCAACGAAAGAACTGTTCAGACTATTTGCTAATTCAGATTTGGTAAATATACAGAGGTCTCACAGTCAGGCTTCACATTCACGCCCAAGCAACCGGGTATACTCCAAAGGTTACAGAGCGAATCCCATTACAACAACCTTGCTACTAGGTATTGATTCTGAATTAGATACCAGGTAGCTATCAAAGCTACTGTATAAATGATTATTCAAGGCACTGGATTAGCAATAGCCCTGGAGAGCTCAGAGTATAAGATTACTAAGCGGATATTTTCCAGTCAAACGAGACAAACACCTCATCATTGCATTCATCCGAGCTTCGCGCAGTCCCAAGCTCTTTGCCAAACAACCCGCAATTATGGGAACATCCAGACCTCGCGCCCCGCCAAAGGCCCCTGCGACACCTGCCAAGTCCGTAGAGGTGTCACGACACCTGCCCGACAAGACCTTCGTCATCGACAATGGCGCCTACATGATCAAAGCGGGCTACGCCTCTGATCTCCCACCCGAAGAAAGTGTTTCCGCCTGTACCTCGATTCCCAACGCCCTCGTCAAGACGCGTGATAACAAAATCGTCATTGGCTCTCAGCTGTCGACAGTAACCGACTGGAATGAGGCCATGTTCCGACGCCCGTTGGAGAAGGGATATGTTTCGAACTGGGAAGCGGAGAGAGAGATTTGGGACCAGTCGTTCTTTGATGAGAAAGCGTCGGCTTGGAATAAGAATACTCGGATCGCTGATCCCGAGAATACTACACTTGTGCTTACTGAAGCGCCGAATGCCCTGCCTATTCTGCAACGACACTCAGACGAGATGGTTATGGAGGAATGGGGATTCGGGGGATATGTGAGGTGCATAGGTAAGATGGTCTGGTTATTTGATGCTGTCTGAACTCTGGTACTGACTTCCTCAGGTCCGACCCTTAATGCGTGGAACGAAATTCATACTCTCTTCGGCGACCCCCTCACCACGACACCAGACTCAACTCCTCTGCCCGCAGACTGCTTATTGGTCGTCGATTCTGGCTACTCGCACACAACAGTGACTCCGGTTTACAAAGGTCAAGCTCTGCAACGTGGAGTGCGAAGACTCGACCTAGGAGGCAAGCACCTGACAAACTATTTGAAGGAGATTGTGTCAATGCGCCAGTACAACATGGTTGATGAATCATACATCATGAACGAAGTCAAAGAGGCAGTTTGCTATGTGAGCAATGACTTTGCCGGGGATTTGGAGCAAACGTGGAAAGCAGGGCGGAAGCGCCAGGCCAGTTCTGAAGAAGGAATTGTGCTAGACTATGTGCTCCCTGACCCAAATGCAAACAGAAAGGGTTTCAGCAGACCCCATGACCCACTTTTGCAAGTTAAAAAGAAGAAAGGAGCGCTATCTGGCCTCAGTGCTGAAGTATTATCAGAGGATGTACTCGTGCTGGGCAATGAACGCTTCGCTGTTCCAGAGATCCTATTCACCCCAAGTGATATCGGGATGAAGTCGGCCGGTGTACCCGAAATAATCCTTCAAAGCTTGTCGGCTCTTCCTACCGGCCTGCACTCTGCATTCCTGGCGAATGTCATGGTTGTTGGCGGGAATGCCTTGATTCCAGGCTTCATGGAAAGATTGTAGGTTTCTGAATGTCTAAAGACGTTTAACTCAACTAATAAACTATGCTTTGCAGGGAAACTGAGTTGCGGCAAATTGCATCTGCCGAATGTGTGGTGAGAGTGCGCCGGGCTACTGAGTGAGTTATCATACTTTCTGTTACAAGGTTGCATCGAGCGCTAACATTTTTCGCTAGCCCTGTCCACTCAACATGGCTTGGAGCCTGTCGTTTCGCCACAAACAGAGAGGAAATCAGCAGAGTAGCCATTTCTCGTCAAGAATACCAAGAATATGGATCTGGATGGGCTGGTCGACGGTTCGCCGGCCTTGTATAACATGTCAATTACAGCGGCAGATTTGGGATTGATTACTGTGGGAGTTTACGGTGGTTAAAATCGACAGCATCTGTAGCATTAGTGATACCCTAGTTTTCAATGTTGGTGTTTGGTCAATATGATTGCAACAATTTATACTTTCAAAAAGGCCAGACCATGTCGCCTTTAGCATGACGAAGTAATTTGTCGCTCTTGTCTCCATTAGGGCTGTCATGTTAAGCTTCTCGAAACTTGCGGTAAAAGGATTTGCAGTCCCATGGATACATTCCAACTCTTATTTCCCTAAGCTAGAGAATGAATGTCGGCTTCATACTATAACTCGAGTCAATACAAAGGAAGTGAAGTCTTGGATGACAATGTGTTCTTCTGAATAGCCAAAATATGACAATACCCCCAACTGTAGCAGCCGTCATCCAGCGCGTATTAGGGCTATCTCAGGAATACAAAAAAACAATGTTTGCTTATCCTTGGTTACTCTTATGATGCCAAAGGCTCAGCCTGGGAGATGAGGCCATTCTGATCTGCGGTAGTATCTTAGAAGGAGCTGCCCCGGCTCTATCTTACATACTAGGCCGTTATTTTCAACAAATTATCATCCCCTGAAGCCACAGACAGATAAATTCGCTGTCAAGATTATACAACGTCTTTCAAAGGGTGGGTTACCAGATCCACACTCGTCCTAATGTTTCCGAGTTGCCTGGACAGATTCCTCAAGAGAATCCAGAAAGTCTCCGGGGACGAACAAGAGTTAGTATTGGAAAAACATCCAAAATTCATGGATATTTACTCTATACAGATGTGCAAGCTGTTGCCAGGAAGTCCAAGCCGGCAAATCACTGACAGCTCCATGTGGACATAACTTCTGCAGAACGTGCCTCCGACAAATGGCATTAACAGCCCTGGAAACCACCGACCAATTTCCAGTGAAATGCTGCGGGAAAGAGGTTTCCCAGATAGCAGTCCTGAAAGCCCTAGGCTCCCGAAACAGAAGACGCTATATCGCCCGATCAGACGAGTACGCAATCCCACCCTCAGAGCGCTTGTATTGCCCCCGAACGAAATGCGGACGATGGATCAACCCCAAGTACCAGATTAATCGCTTGACCCATAAGGTTTGTCCTTACTGCTGGGTGAAGATCTGCCCGAGTTGTCGGGATCTCGTGCATGGTACCAGGGAGTGTTCGTATGATCCTGGTCTTCAGTCTGTTTTGGAGTTGGCCAAGAATGAGAATTGGCAGCGGTGTTTTGGGTGCCACGCTGTTGTTGAGAAGATCTACGGGACGTGTGACCATGTCGTTTGCAGATGTCGAACGGAGTTTTGGTATGTTCATCTGTCCAGGGTTGGGCTGAAAGGATCCCAGTCAATGCTGTTTGCTGACCAACTAAGTTACCAATGCGGTGCACGTTATAGGAGTTGCAATTGTTCTGGAGCCCCTCCCGGTCAGGAAAATGTGGTTGTTGCAGATGCGGATCTCGATGTTAATATAGTGGTTGCTGCAATGGAGGGTTTAGACTGGGAAGGGGAAAACTAATATTGTTGGGGGATTGACAAGTGCTTGGATCAGATCAACTTTATATTTTCTATCAGAAAAAGTCACAGGAGGGGTATCGTGCTTGCAATGATTCTCCTCCCTCACACAGGCAGAGACGCCTAGTAGTCGTAGAATCCCTTTCCACTCTTCTTGCCTAGCCAGCCGGCATCCACCATCCGGCGCAGAAGACCGGCAGATCTATACTTGCTGTCACCAGTCTCCTGGTGCAGGACATTCATGATTGCGAGGCAGGTGTCCAGGCCGATGAAGTCGGCCAAGGTCAATGGACCCATCGGGACGTTGGTGCCGGTCTTCATGATATTGTCAATATCTTCCCGGCCACCAACACCAGTCTCCAGGCAGATAATTGCCTCGTTGATGTAGGGCATAAGGATTCGGTTGGCCAGGAAGCCAGGTGAGTCGGCTGACACAGAGGCAACCTTGCCCATGCGCTGGACAAAGGCAATGGCCGTGTCCATTGTTTCCTGGGAGGTTTGCAGGCCACGAATAATCTCCACGCCCTTCTGGATGGGGACAGGGTTCATGAAGTGAGTGGAAATTACTCGAGACGAAGCCTGCAGATCAGTGGGATCCGCACTCGTCGCAGCGGCAATCTTGGTGATGGAAATGGAAGAGGTGTTCGTGGCGAGGATGGCATGCTTCGGGGCGATCTGAGCCAAGCTGGCAAATATCTTTGTCTTCAGGTCCACGATCTCAGGGACCGCCTCAATGACGAAGTCGACGGAGGAGAGGTCGTCCATCTTGAGAGTGGGTGTCAAAAGTCCACGGGCTGCGTCTGCAGCCTCACGAGTGAGGCGCTGCTTGGAGACATCCTTCTCAAGCAGTTTATCTGGGGTTTAATGCTGTGTTAGAAACTCTGGTGATAGCAGCGACTAGTGGAGCTCGGCGTACCGGCAAACTTGAGGCCCTTATCCAACGATGCCTGAGAAGTATCGACAAGGGTTACGGGGACCTGTGCTTTCTGTGCAGCAACGAGGGCAATTCCAAGGCCCTATAATTGCGTTAGGCCTGTAGTCGGGCTCTGAATAGCATCTTACTCACCATCTGGCCGGCACCGATCACACCAAGTGACTTGACCTCGGCTGCATGAGCTGCGGAGGTGGAGCTAAAGCTGCGGGCCACCACGGGGCCCCGTTGTGAGAGGGAACGAAGTGTCGAGGTAAGCATGGCTATGTTCGAATGCTTTAAGCTATATAGAAGGAATATGTGAATGTGAAAGGTGAGTGAAGAAGCAATGGTTATACTGCAATGACTTCACGTGCTTCCCGACGCCGATGTGTAGTAGAAAATAGCGACCATTTAGTCCTTACGACTCACCGCCTTACAGCTGTTTACGCATGGTTTCATTCTGGACATGTAAAATGCTTCACCCACGACCGACTTCGTACTGAGAGCTGTCAATTGATTAGTAATAGGCTATATAAATATGGCATATGCAACTTTGGGGTATGAAATTCGCATTGTATAGTACTACGAGGTGTAAGATTTTACGCACCAGCTTGGAAGTCGGCCATTTTGACGGGGTAAGATTCTCTCGCGACAATACGAGTATGTAATTGTAGTGTAAATCAATGTTATATTTTCTCAGCAAGAGTGCCCACACCCAGGAAGAGTGCTACAGCAATGCTATAAACGAGACATGCGTAGTAGAAACCACAACTATAGAGCTGATATTCTGCCAGACAAACAGGACAAATGGCCGCAAAAACCTGCGGTAAGAGCGTCGGTTATCTTCGGTATTCTGGCGGCATCCAGTTTCTCCGAATCGCCGATGCCGAGCACGCGTCGACGCGTTGCCATTTCGTACGCTTTGGGAAGCAGATTGATACCAGCCCACCATGGATGAAGAGGTTGTCCCTCTAGGCCACGACGTGCAGGTCGTCGACCCAGACGTGCGAGGCTATGTTTATGGCCTGGTTACTGCTGTGAGTTCTTTCATCTTGCCTTGTCTGGTTTAATTTACTGATGCGGTCAATTCTTAGCTCGGAGGTTTCAACGGCGAAGATGCCGATCGATATGTGCTCGGAGATGACGCTTTGGCCTGTTTACGCGATATCAAGCGCTGGCTGAAATTGTACGACGAGAAGAACAATCGCATGGACGTTGCGCGGTGCCTGGGAGAGGCTAACTTGATCAATGGAGATCTACTTCCGATCCTTGCGCTCTGGTGGGCTACGGGACAGAAGAGCAAGCATATGACGAGGATTTCCCTGGCGTGTTTGGAACTTCTTGTCCCATTGACTTGGCCAGTAGAGTTCCACAGCCAGATGACGGTCAACCACCATCGCCATACCCCCTACATCCAACAAACCCAGGTCCAGTACAAACGCGGTATTCTCAAATATGGAGGCTCGACTCTCTTACGTGCCGTTATCCGAATTGCCCTTCCTAGCATGGTGACTGCTCGATCCGAACGCGAAGCCCGAGACGAAGGAATTCTCAAATTGATGCTGTACTTCCTGCGAAACATTGCGATCATTTCCCCGAACACCCGGCTTGCTGCCGAAGGCGAAGAGGAGGAAACATCTAGATCAGCAACGATCAATGCTTTCCATGACCAGGATGCATTTGCACTTCTCCTGACTATGTGCTCGAATGTTGGCGATGACTTCAACCTTCAAGATATTATTCTGATGGAGATCATTTTCCACATTGTGAAGGGTGTCAATGTCGAGAAGCTGTTCATGGACGATGATCAGAGAAAGGCAAAGCGGACCGACGAGCTTAGCGATCTCTTGAAGAAGGAAAACTCGGTACGACGGGAGTACGCAAAGAACGCCCCGACACGCCATGGAAGATTTGGTACAATGATCTGGGTCAAGCGAGATGATGCGAAGGTGTCTACGGTCTCTGGGCAAGATGTTTTGAGGGACGATCAGACTACTCTTCACAAGATGGACCAAAGCAAAAAGTGGAACAAGCCCAAACCTCGGCGCAAGCAAGAAGACGCCGTTCAAAACAGCAACTTCAACATGCCCGCTCATTTGAACTCGGAGGCAACTAAGAACCTACGGACTTTTGTTGAAGAGTTCCTGGATTCTGGATTCAACCCTCTTTTCACCCACGTGCGGAAAGCCATTGAACGCGAAGCCGAACGAGTACTAGATATCAACACCCGCCAATTCTTCTATACGGTTGGATGGTTCCTCGAGGCAGAACGTGTGAGGAGGGCCCGACAGTCCCGTCAGCGCACCGCCCAAAATGGGGGAAGGACCAAAGATATTGAGCCGGATAGTTATGGCTTGGTCGCTGGAGTCCTAAACCAAGAGACCTTCATCTCCCTGAACCGGGCCATGCAGAACAGCTTGGACAACAAGGAATGGCAAGACCTTAATGCCCAGATGCGCTGCTTCACTCAGATTCTGTTGACCGTGCAGGAAATGGCTGTGTCACCGCTTGAGGAAGATCAGGAGATTGCCGAGAACATCCAAAACCGAATCTTCTACGAAGAAACAACACATGACCGAATTCTGGCAATCGTCCGAGGATACAAAGATCAAGGGTTTGGTTACCTGGATGCATGCACAGAACTTGCTCATGTCTTCTTGCGGATGTTGGAACGCTATTCCAAACTCAACGCCGACATGCAGATTCGATCCCGCCGGAAGGCCAAGCGCAAGCAGAAGAAGGCCGATAAAGACACGGAAGATGGAGCAGATGATGACGAGGAACGCGACTCCGAAGCCGAAGACGAGGTGGAAGCCGCTCAGGTCACCAAAGAGCGCAGCTTTGACTTCAAGCGCTTTGCGGCCAAGTTCTGCAACCAGAGTTGCGTGGATACGTTCGTTGCATTCACAGGCTTCTACAAAGAGCTTAACTCGGAGCAACTCAAGCGTGCCCACCGCTACTTCTACCGCATTGCGTTCAAGCAGGAGATGACTACCTTGCTATTCCGCGTTGATATCATCAGTCTATTCTACCGAATGATTAAGGGCCCAGGACCAATGGACTCAAGCAATTCCGTCTTTAAAGAATGGGAAGAGCTCGTGCGGCAAATCATTCGACGAATGATCAAGAAGCTCGACCAGCGTCCGGCCTTGATTACTGAAATGTTGTTCAGTAAGATCAATTCGACTGTTTACTACCTTGAGTTTGGACACGAAAAGCAAACATCGTACCAGTCCAAGCGACCACCGGCGGAGCTCATTATCACATCACCCGAGGCGACAACCAAGGAAGCCGAGTTGAAGATTGTGGTTGGAGCCCTTGTTCTTGACGGGAGAGCAGATCTGGTGAAATGGATCGTTGATGTCTTGAGCTCGGGAGCTTCTGAAAGAGAGGCCTGGGAAGCACAAGATGAAATTCGGCAGGCCGAGTCTCCTGAAGCTGTCAGCGTCCCAAACCCACTGATTAGTATGTTCCCTGCTACGCCGATTCTAGGATAAAACTAACTGTACTATAGCCGTCAAAAGCAAAGACGAGGCTTGCAAGAGTGCCATGTTCTCAAACGCTAGGCTGCGTCTACTGATGAAGCTCGTTGGTTTCGAGCGACTGGGTGTCGAAGACGTGGTTGGTGCCGCTTGGGTTATTCCGGCGTCTCAGCAGTCTAAGGACCTGCGTGAATCTATCTCGGAAATCCAAAAGGCCCTTCAAACACCATTCTCCGGGGATGGTGATGATGATCCTCGTAAGCATCTTACACAAAAGAAACCAGGAGGTCCTCGGGCCACGGTTCAGGGTACGCTCGATGTTAGCTTCGGATCCGACTCGGAAGGCGAGGATGTGGTTCCAGATGGAATCTTGTTCCCGCCAAACCCGCGGTCAAAGGCTAATGCGCTAGACCAGCTGAAGAAAAAGCGCAAGAAGAAGTCCAAAGATACAGAGCCTGAATTGGACGAGGAAACTCTGCAGGCGCGACGTGATGCACGTCTATCAAACGCTCTTTCTCGCCAGGCGAAGATCAAGAGTGATCTTTTCATCCATGCCAGTGATGAGGAGAGTGACGAGGAAGCAGATAAGGAATTCTTCCGCCTCGAAGAAGAGCGACGAAAGAAGCACGATGCGGCAGTCAAGCACGCCATCCGTATTGGTGCCACGGATACATCAAGCAAGGGCAAAGGCAAAGGCAAGAAAGCCGCTGGACGCAAGCGAAGCGACACAGGCGGTTCTGCAGCCGCTAAAAACAAGCGACAGCGCCGTGATTCTGGTTCTGCCGGAAGCGATGCCGACAGTGATGCTGATGCTGATGGCGACATCCTCATGGCAGAGCTTGATGCTCAATCTTCGCACACTCAGCAGGAAGTCTCTACTAGTCTCGGTGCTGGAGAGGACGAAGACACCCCTCTCACATCTAGTGAAGACGATCTTGCTTTCGATGATGATCTTGCGTTCATGCGTGACCGTCCGAGTAAACCCAAACCTCCAGCACCCGAGAATGATGCTGAAGATGAGGATGTTCCTGTGGCTGCATCTCGAAGACGTATGCGCGGAGGGTTTGTAATTGAGAGTGACTCGGAATGATCACCGTCATTCATCTTTGCGACATGTTATGACCTGATGAGGCGTTTTTGGCATATGTATTGTGAAGCATCGGATACCTAGGTTCAGTGAGAACACGAACACTTTATGACTCAATATTATACAAGCTAGAGGGGGCATTATAGCCGTCTCAGCAATATGTAATCACTATAGACATCAACTCGAGGTCCGTGCTAGTGAGGTTTAAATACGAGCTTTCCCCCTCTGCACATCTTTCCTTTTCCACCTCTGCACTATCAATAAGAATGACCTCCCTAAGCACCAAAACCCTAACAGCAAAATGCCATTGCAACAACATACAATTCACAATAACCCTCCCAACAACATCCCTCCCCCTCAAAACACACATCTGCCACTGCAACATCTGCCGCCACGTCCATGGCACACCATGTATCTTCCACGCACCACTACCAGCAGGAATAACACCCCAATTCATCAGCCCGTCCAGCATGAATAACCTAACAGGCTACAACCACGCTTCGGCACTAGGAACACGCCATTTCTGCAATACATGCGGCTGCCACGTCGGCGATCTAGGACTAGACGATGGAAACTGGACAATATCTACAGCGATCTTCACAGAACCAAATACCGGGTTGTGGGAGATGAGATCACATTGCTTTACGGATTCATCAGCTGATGGTGGTCTCTCAGCTATATTTTCGCATATTGATGGTCGGCGGCTTGAGATCTTTAACCCGGAGGATACATCCTCTGGCTTGACGAAGAAGGACGTCGGTAGGGAAATCCGAACCGATGAAGCAGAGTCTACTTCCGAGGAACTACTCGCTGAATGCCACTGCGGCGGCGTTTCCTTTACCATTTCCCGTCCTCGAGAAGAATTCATCGCCAGTTCTGCAAGTGAAGGATGGTTACACTCGTCTGATACGAGTAAATGGCTTGCACTTCTTGATCTGTGTGATGACTGCCGCCTCACTACTGGAACAAATGTCATGGCTTGGATGTACGTTGCGTTGGATCATATATCGCCCCACTTATCGGCAGACTTGGTTATTGGGTCATCGAAGAGTTACAGATCGAGTAAAGGTAGGCTGCGGACGTTCTGTGGGACTTGTGGCGCGACCTTGTTTTATATTTCTGATACTCGGCCTTCGGTTGTCGATGTGGCGGTTGGAATTTTGCGTGCGCCGGAGGGAACGATGGCTGAGAAGTGGGCTATCTGGAGGGCTGGGAGGATTGTAGCTGCTAATAGTGGATTGAAGTATGATCCTGCATTCAGTAAGGCGCTTATTGAGGGGATGGCGAGATGGGGTGGTGAGCGTGGGATGCCGGAGGATTTTGTGGTGCCATAGATGCAGAGAGAGAAGTTCATAGAACATCCAGTATCAAGGGAACCAAAGAACTTAACAAATGCCGAGATCCACCACTCTTCAGCCGTCATTTTATGGACTTTTGTGCAGAATCTGACATAGCCGCTATGAGTCAACACGGTAGTGGGGAGTATAAGAAGCGTCCGCATCCACAACCTCAAATCTACATTTCCTCAACCTCAACCTCTCCCAATTGACAAAATTCACCACAATGACCCACTTAAACTTCATCACCCTAGATGTCTTCACATCAACCCCCTACAGCGGCAACCCACTAGCAGTAGTCTTCCTCCCAGAGGACCCAGCCCACGCTCTAACCCAACGCCAAAAGCAAACCCTGGCACAAGAATTCAACCTCTCAGAAAGCATTTTCGTACACCCAGTGACAGAAGCCACAAAACGTACCATCGACATCTTCACCACAGATTGCGAAATCCCCTTCGCAGGCCACCCCACCATCGGCGCCGCATCCTGGTTCCTAACCCACTCAGCCAACCCAGCCGACGGCCCTGGCATCACGACATTGGCCACTAAATCTGGCGATATCCCCATCACCATTCAAGACGCCGCGAGCAAGTACGTCGCCGCGCAGATTGCGCATAACACGCGCATCCACGGCGCGCGGTTCGGCGTTAAGGAGTTATTGCGGTTGCATCCGACTCTGGCGCCTTTCTTCCCCAAGGAGGATGTGACGTTCCCTTTGTTTTCTGTTGTCAAGGGGATGAGTCAGTTGTTTATTGAGTTGGGGTCTTTGGAGGCTTTGGCTGCTGTTACGCCTGCTACGGGTGGTGAATTTGTTTCTAGCGAGTATCTTGATGAGGGGTGGAGGGCTGGGTTGGTTTGTGTTTATTTCATTGTTAGGGGCGTTTGGGATGATGTTTTGGGGAGGGAGGTTATTCGGGCTAGGATGATGCTGGGCACTTTGGAGGATCCTGCTACTGGTAGTTCGGCTAGTGGGTTGGCTGCTTATTTGAGTCTTACGGAGGGACGGGCTGGGCAGGATTTGGATTATCATGTTGTGCAGGGTGTTGAGATGGGGCGGAGGAGTGATATCGGTGTTGGGGTTTCTCTTGATGGTGAGAAGAAGATTGAGAAGGTCGTTTTGACTGGGACTGCTGTTTGTGTTTCTGAGGGTAAGGTGTTGATCCCTCAGGCTTGAATATAGCAGTATGCAGAGCTCGATATATTGCGGCTTCATCCCTTGATTAGTACTTGGAGACTACAGCTACCTAATAATGAGCTTGGATTCAGAACATAGATTCGTGATATGGAAAGATCAAGTTATATAGCCCAGTTTAGAGCTTCTTCTCCTCAACCAACTGCCTCAACACCTTAATAGTCCCCTCAACGGCCATCTGGCTCATCTTCCTCTCCTTCTCAGCCAACGCAGCCAATTCCTCCTTGGAAACCCCAGGGTGCCTCCACTCAAAGATGTAAGTCATATAAAGCTCTCCATCAGCGCCCTCACTGATCACATTATTGATCTTGCTCCCATCAGGCTGCACAAACTCCACACGACCAGCCTCAAACGCGGTAACAGTTTCTTGGACTGTCTTCTGAGATTCACGGAAAAGGACTTCGCGGACGGTCACGGGGTTGCCATTGTCATCGTAGGATTCGCTCACGACCTTTGTGGATTGGATCGCTGCTGGGACGAAGGTTTCTGCGCTGCGGATTTTGAGGAGGAGCCCTTTCCAGATTTGGTCCACAGCTAGGACGGGTGAGAGTCCTGGTGGGTTGATCGGGGCTGTGAAAGCAATATTGTTTGTGGATGGCATGGTAGAAATATGTTTAAATGACTTGGATATGACGAGAGTGTACTTCGATATAACAAGAGTGTCGGATCGTCTCTTTTATGCCTGGGGAATGACGAAACCGATAAGCCGATAAGCCGATAAGTAAGCTCGGCCTTTCCGTACGCCGACCTGCTTACTCATTGTCGGGCCTTCGGTTTCCTCAGACCGTGGAACTATTTCCAGTATATACTCTTATGGAACCAACTAGATGTTTTGTTTAAAATCTAGAAAGCGAAGACGAAAGAAAAGCTAGAGTATAACCGAGCTGACTAAGTAGATATAGACAGTTATCAACAAATCGCAAAAAAAGGACTGTCACAGGCTATCACAGACAAAACATCCCACTTATGTGTATTTAGCAACATTATTCCTAACTTATGGCCTTACACCCCGAAGAATGACCCCGCCACCCTAGGCCTCAATATTTAACTAGCTGCAGATAGGCACAGTAGAAGCAAGCTCATTGGCAACATGCGCCCCACGAAGACCGAAGAAGGCAATGAACGACACATTTACCCCATTTGTGACAGCTGGCATTCTATTATCTCCTGCAAACTACAGCCTTGTGTGGATACAGAGGGAATTTCAACAAGCTCGTATTTATTCAGGGGTGACCTATCTCTTCCCCAAGGCTAGCAATCCTTGCATCTTGACGCCACTTCCCCCGGTTGAAACAAACAACCCTGGCAGAATGCCTGAACTCACCACAGACCAGGGCTATCAACTCGGCGTAGACGTCGGAGGCACATTCACAGACGTCTACGTATTCACCCCGCACGGCGAAACAGTACGAGCAAAAGTCCCAACAACAACCCCAGACCAAAGCATAGGAATCCAGAACGGAATTTCCAAAGCCCGCGAGATATTGAAGAACACATTCGACTGGTCGGGTACATTCCAATTCATCCACCATGGTACAACAACAGCTACAAATGCCGTTCTTGAAGGAAAGGGCGCCCGCACGGCTCTCGTCGTCACAGCCGGACATAAGGATATCCTCGCTCTGCGCCGGTCTCAGATTCCTGGTGGACTAGGTGCCTGGTTGCATTGGACACCCCCTGAGCCAATTGTTCCGCTTGAGCGGGTCGTGCAGTGTAAAGAGCGGATGTCTGTACAGGGTGAGACGGTTTTGGCTGTCGATATTGAGGATTTGCGGATGAGTTTGAGAGAATTGGCTCTGCAGAAGCCCGAGGCGGTGGCCGTTTCGTTGCTTAACTCACATAGCAATGATGCACACGAGCGGGCCGTTAAAGAAATTGTCCGTGAAGAGCTCGGGTGTGATGTTGCTGTTATTTGTTCGGCGGACGTTTTGCGCGAAGTTGGCGAGTATGAGCGTACAGTAACGACTTGCACGAATACGCTTGTAAAGCCGGTTGTGCAGACTTATCTGCACAATTTGTCTGAGGTGCTTGCTGCGGAAAGTGAGACGATTCGGGTCCTTAAGAGTGATGGTGGCTTGACCAGTTTGACTCTTGCCTCAGAGCTGCCAGTTAATATTCTGATGTCTGGGCCTGCTGGGGGTGTTAGGGGAGTCGCGGATGTTGTGGCTCGGAGTACACCATACAAGAATCTGATCACGCTGGATATGGGAGGGACTTCAACTGACTGTGCGCTGATCTATAATGGTCAACCTCAGCTCCGACGTGAGACCGTTGTCGGGAGTCTTTCTGTACGTGCCCCGGCGGTTGATATCAAAACTGTCGGAGCAGGAGGTGGCTCAATAACCACCTATATGGAGCTCACGGAGACACTGCGAGTTGGGCCGGAAAGTGCTGGTGCGGTGCCTGGTCCTGCATGTTATGGGAAAGGTGGAAAGCAAGCCACAGTCACAGACGCAAACCTTGTCTTGGGATATCTTCCAAAGACATTATTGGGAGGTGATTTTGCGCTTGATGTGAAAGCAGCCACGGCAGCTGTTGAAGAGATCGCGACACAAATGAAGCTGCCCGTTACCCAGACAGCCGAGGATATTATCACGATCATCAATGAGACAATGTACGGAGCTCTGCGTCTCGTTTCTGTCGAACAGGGCTATGACCCCCGTGAATTTGCGCTCGTTGCTTTTGGCGGTGCTGGTCCTTTGCATGCCAATGCCGTTGGACAGCTTCTCGGAGCTTGGCCTGTTATTATTCCGCCGTCGCCTGGTATCTTGTGTGCGCAGGGTGATGTGACAACCAAGCTTAGACATGAGCAGTCGGCTACATTCATCCGCCTGGTCTCGGGAACAGATGTCGCCGAGGCTCGGGAGCAGTATGACACCCTGGAGCAAATGTGTCATAAGACTCTGCAAAGATCGTCTGGAGAAAAGTGGCCTGTTACTTGGAAGGCTGAATACCAGGCAGACCTTCGATATAAAGGACAGGCTTTGACCATCACGATTGATCTCACGGCCGAGGATTTGGCTGTTGATACGAAGGGGTGGCATAGTTTGTTACGACGGAAGTTTGATCAGCAGCATCAGCAGATGTTCACTTACTGCTTGCCGGACTTTGAGCTGGAGTTAATGCGACTTGGGGTTGTGTTGGAAGATGCTTCTCCAAGCATTGATATTCCTCAAGTTGAAAAGGCTTCAACCATAAGTCCTCCCCCTGATGCAAAAATTGGAGAGCAGACAATTGTTGTGCAAGGCAAAGAGCAATTGGCAACCTTGTGGGACCGTCAGAAAGTCACTAATGAGGGCATCCAACTGACCGGGCCATGTATCATTTCCGAGATGGACAGCAACACACTTATCTTGCCAGGATATTACGGTGAAATCGACAGCATCGGAAACATTTTGATCAATCCACTGGACAGAAAACCTGCAGTCCCAACAAATCACACAGCGGAATCAGCCAAGGAGCTTGTTGAAAGCACTCCACTGGTTCCAACATTGATTTCCTCGACTCTGGCATCCATCCGCAGTGAAATGGACCAGATGATGCTACGGTGCAGCATGTCACCTGCCATCCGAGAACAGCAAGATGAATTTAACGTCATCACTGACCGCGAGGGCAAGATGTTGGTAGGCCAATTTGGAAGTTTCATCACCCAGTTCTTGGAAGTATGGAATGGCACCATCGAAGAGGGAGACGTATTCATCACCAACGACACCTATCAGGTACAGGGTGCCATCAGCCACCTAAACGATGTGATTGCATTCCTTCCTATATTCCACGAGCATCGCCTCATTGGTTGGGCATCTCAATTCGGACATTTGACAGATGTCGGAGGCGTCGTACCTGGAAGCATGTCGATCAATGCAACCTCTGTGTTCGATGACGGCGTCCAGATCCCCTGCATCAAGCTCTACACCCGTGGTGTCATAAATGCAGATCTGGTAGATCTCCTATGCCGGAACTCCCGCCAGCCGGCATGGTACCGCTCCGATCTGACGGCTATTGTAGCATCATGCTCTATGGCAGCCACACGAACGCGTGAGTTAGCAACTCGGTTCGGAAGCGAGGTGTACCTGGCAGCATGTGCAGAGCTGCTATCTCGCAATCGCAATGGCTTTGCAAAGATTATCGAGCGTCAATTTGACGATCTGGAAAGCAAATTCACCGATTTCGTCGACGATGACGGGCACGGCGTCGGGCCATGGGCTCTTACCTGTTCTATGAAGAAGATAGAGGGGAATCGGCTGAGTTTCGACTGGAGCGGTACTTCACCCCAGAGTCAGCATAGTATCAACTTCTACCTCTCGGAAACAATGTTCAAGATGTTCATCGGATACTACCTCATTGCAGCAGCGGCCCCAGGCACAGTCATCAACGACGGCTTCCACGATCTGATCGACGTGCATATCCCCCAAGGAAGTGTCCTGCGACCTGTGCGCCCTGCGCCAATTTCTTGCCGCACTCACTTCCTAGGCCGTACTTTGGATATCGTGCAGGCATTGATCGGTCAAAAACAGGACTCCTACCAGGCTGCAGCTGGCTTCAGTGATTCGCCGCACTTCTTCTATTCCGGATTCAAGCCTGATGGAGAATGGTACCAGCTATATCAAATCGGGTTTGGAGGTGTTCCCGCTCGCCAGGCTGGCGATGGACCCGATTGTCATTGTCTTTTCCCTGCTATCAAGTCCATACCCACCGAGAGCATCGAGTTGAATTACCCTTTGCGCATCGAGGTAAATGAGAGTGTCGCTGATAGCGGTGGGCCTGGATTTTATCGCGGTGGAAATGCACAGCGTACCTTGTACCGGTTCCTTGCTCGTGGGGAGTTTAGTCTGCATGATGATCGGTGGTTCACGAAGCCGTGGGGGTTGAAGGGTGGGAAACCTGGACAGAGATCGCGCAAGATATTGTACCGCCATTCTCAATCTGCTGAGGCCACTCCGGAGATCTTGCCTTCGAAATGTGATCATGTTCGTGTTGATCCAGGTGATTTGCTCGAGTGGATCACTTGGGGTGGAGGTGGTCTTGGGGATCCGTTGACTCGCCCAGCCGAGAAGGTTGCTCTTGAAGTTCGTCGGAAGCTTGTGACGGTTGATGGAGCTCGTCATGGATACGGAGTTGCTGTGAATGGCGATTTCACTGTTAATAAAGCTGAGACTGCGGCTCTTCGGAACCAGATGAGGATAGAGCGTGCTCAGCTGGAAGAAATCCCCATCTACGACCGCGGTGGCAGTCTCGAAGAGCTCTCGGGGACATGTCTGCAGGAGACTGGATTGGAGGCTCCCATTCCACAGTGGGAGACAGATATCTATGGTCCCCATGCCGGATTGGCATACGTAAAGGACTGGTATACCGGAATGAGGACCCAGAAGGGTTGGAAACTGGACTGAAAGGTGTATATATTTATGAAGAGTACATAACCTCCGACCTCATAGTATACTTCACCCCCCTAAACACATCATCCCCACTATGCATAAGGTTTCTCTGCTGAAAAATCAACACAGAGCCCGTCTTAGGAAAAACCCGCACAGAATTCTTAGGTCTGAAGCCATCCGTAAACGAAGTCGCACCCCCAAGAAGTGTCTCACTCTTCTCAAGAGACTGCCCAGCAGGAAGAAAGCCCCCATCTCTATCTCCAACTTCAACCTGTTCAACCCCAACCTCTTTAAGATCAATCTCCCCATCTTCCTCAAACAAATAATACTTCTTCACCGCCTCATCAATATACGGCTGTAACTCCTCCATATCCTGCTCCCCATCTCCATTCAAATACAAATGAATCGTATAAAGAGATTTTTCCTTCCCATCAGGCGTAACGTAACACCCATCCACATGAGGCCGGAAATAATCACCACCCTCATAGCGCAGGAATCTCAATCGCTCATTGAGTCGACTGATATTGCATACCTCCCCACGTTTCGCAGGCCCGAGACCTGTAACAGATGGTTTATCTTTGATCTGATCAATTTCGCATTCGCGCACGAATGGCATGAGTCGGTCGAGCAGTCTCTGTGCGATCTCCGGGGAGTCGAATATAATGCGACCGCTTTTGCGAGAGTCCACCGACATGACTTGTTTCCCGTTGCCGGCGTTAACCATGGCTCGTTCCCATTTTGGGGGTGAGAGGGTTGAGTCTGGGAGGTTGGTTCTTGTTGATTGTTCTGCTAGGTGGAGGAGGTCTTTGCATTCGGACTCTGTCATGAAGTCGTCGATGATTGCTGCGAAGTTGTTTTTGTATGCGAGGATGGCTGGCTTTGTGTGTTCGAAGTTGATTTTGTGGATGGTTGCGTTTGGGGATGGGCCCCTGAGGAAGTCTTCTGGGATTGAGGCCATGATTCTTGCAAGGTCTGAAGAAGTCGGATGTTGACAGGGGAGGCTTTCTATCCATCCCGCCCCCACATTGAGGCTCTGAAGTGGGGCCTGAATTTTACTGAGTCATGTCTGACGTGAGATGCTAAGTCTGAAATGTAGAACATTCATTCAACTAACTAAGAGGGGGCATCAAAACACAAAATACTGACAAACAAAAACCCTCAAGACCTGGATCTCTGGAAGAATCATGTCCTTTGATGGTAACGTTGGGGTGCCATCTTGTTCTCTCAAGTTGGAGTAGATCGCCGAGCACTCAAGACCCCGAGGCAAGCAATCCCTTCGTGAACAGCGTCTTCTCCCCTGCCCACGGTTGACTTGTGCTTTTGGGAAGCTTGGAAGCTGATGATATGATGGATGATGGACGGTTGTTGGCGGTTCATGGTATGCGCATGTTGGGTACTTGCTGGCAGCTTTAAGTCGCGGTAGATCACCGAATAATCAAAGCCTCAAGACAAGGGGAGCTCCTGGGAACGAAACAAAACTCATAAGGTTCTTGCACTGTCAGCTTTAAGTCAGGGTAGTTCACCAAGTACTCAAAGCTTCCAGGCAAGAGGAGGTCTGCCTCTGCAGGGGACAGTGTTGTCCAGAAGGGCCTTGCTGACGGCTTTAAGTCGCGGTAGATCACCGAATAATCAAAGTGTCAAGACAAACAGGATCCGTTCCTGGAGAATGTTGCAGTAGAAGTAGAGTGCATGCCTTCCGCCTTAAATCACGGTAGATCACCGCATAGTCAAGACCTCCGAACAAACAAGATCTTCTCCTCCTTCCATTCAAGAGTGTCGGTGCCAAAGTCAAGCAATTTGCTTGCAACTTTAAATCGTGGTAGTTCACCAAGTATTCAAAGCCACAAGACAAGCTCCAAGAAGAAAGCAGAGCCGCCAAACCCCTCCATCCCAGCTGAACAGCCCGTTGTTGCTTTTTGCATGTCGGGCAGCTGCTGTTTGTGTTCTGTACTTTCGTTTTGTGTGCGTTGGGGCCTGGACTGTCCAGCGTATCAAGCTGATCGTTGCAGCATGCGGCATCCATAGGTTGACCGGAACCGTCGTCGTTGTAACCGGACTGTGCTTCCTAGTTAGCATCTTCAGCAGTTTCGTCATCACGATCGAGAACTCACGGTCCATGAAATCCAAAGTCCCAGAGATTCTGGAAGGTGGGGTTGGCAGGCAGGTTGGAAAACGAAGAGTAACGACAACCTCGTGGTCATGGGTGGAAACTGGTATAAATCGAAATAATTTGAGGACGTATTCGATCCAATGCGACCCCTAGAACCTTGAAAACGATCGTCTTCCTCAGCTTGATGCCCAGAAGCTGGTGAGGCAGACCTCATTGTGACGACAGAGAAAAAACGGACACCTTAATCACAGGAGAGGCACTCACCATGCAATTCTCCAAAGCAGCAATTTTCGGTGTGGTGTGGCGGTGAGGTGTGAAGCGGATGCAGTCGAGCAATGAGAATTCCTAGAACCTGGAAAACAATGGTCTTCCTCAGCTTGATGCCCAGAAGCTGGTGAGGCAGACCTCATTGTGACGGCAGAGAAAGAACGGGCACCTTAATCACAGGAGAGGTACTCACCATGTGGTCCTCCAAGTGACAAGATGTGGTGTGGCAGTCGACAGTGAGGTGTGAGCCGTGGTGATGAGGCAGCGAGGTGAGGCAAGCAGCAAGAAGACTGACAGATGACAGCGTGAACAGAGATGAAAGACTTGATAGAGGTCAGCATTGGACTGTTAGTGTGGGTGGGGGAGTGAGGTGTACCGACAGTGAAGTCTAGTGTCGAGATGTTCAAGTTTGGTGTGTTTGTCTTGGTGGTGCGGTGACCTGGTGATGGAGCAAAGTGCAAGGTGTCAAGCTCGAAGGTCATGCATGCATGATGGACATGGACACAAACAGGTACATCAAACAAAGATGAATGAAAGGGCGAAGTAAAGAGAGAGACGAAGAAGGAAGAGAGAGATGGAGAAGAAAGAAGAGGGGAGAGAAGGAAGGTAAGTTGGTCTGGGGGGAGGACTGGCTATTTATACCCATAGGGTAAAAAGCCATCTGATCTTGCGTGGGAAAGTGTTTTTTTTCAGGGCTATTGGTCTATTTGAGCCCTACCAGCACCTGGTTTGATAGCTTTGTACTTGTGAGAACAGTGAAGACACGCCCAGCGTCAATATTGAGCCCACAGTGCCCTCATACTTGACGAGAGCACTGGGTACTTCACGACCTCACTCGACGTGAAGCCTTGTTTATGACTTGACATTGAAGCTCCAATATGTACTATCCATGACGACCATTATGCTTACTTCAGAGCTTCGTAGTCCCAAACAGGCACCCGGGAGGACACCCTGATCATGAGGCAAGATTTAGAGAAAGGGACGCGAATGTTCGTTCTTCAGCGTCCGCAAGACACTCTTGTTCAACGGCTAGTTTTTGAGAATTAATTGCAGTGCAGGCTTGGTTAGGTCCTAGCAGCCAGCCTCCTGCTTCCAGGTCCATGCTACCACAACTAAGCCTAGCTCACCGTCACTGGAACTGTGTAGGATCTAGGAACTCGCCCTCCGCCGAGATACACAGCATATCCGAGTAATATCCGCCGACCAACCCCCGAGACCTCGAGAGGCCTGATACAGGGCCTGAGAAGAAGACTACAATAAACAATGAAGTCTCGGAGCATGACTAGCGGCGGATGATATGGATGATACTAGGAACACTAGTACTAATGCGTGCGAGCCTCATGCTTGCTATGCACCGAAGCTATCAGTCTCTCGAGAGCTCTCGCTCCATATTGCCTTCTACGGAATGCAAGATAGATATGGTGTACGGCAATATCTACAGTCTGCTCTGTTCCCGAGCTGCGAGCAGTCTTGACTCATGTTTTTCGACCATTTTGCAGTTCGCGGGAGGCTCCGTTATACAGATCTCTTGTGGTACTGGCTTCCGGCTATCACACTACTCAAAAGGTCATTGAAACTGCTCTAGGTGATACCGATAAAACGGGATTTATTGCGGTGCAGCTCCTCAGTAGTAGTCGGCAGAGCACCCAAGGGATATAGCATATCCGTGCTAGGAGGCACTGTCTAATTGAAGAGAGATGGGAATAGTGTTGGGCTTTACAGAATCATATGTCTAGGCAAAGCTTTATTCAAGTGAAGATACAAGCGCATTCATGGTCTATATTCTATATACAAGCAGAAAGGCAGCGAGATGTACCGCCCTCTATGCAAATAATCAAACATGCTCCACACCAAGACTACTGGCAGCCTTCTCATCGCCAACCTGGTCAGCCCGAATATCCCCGTAAAGCTTAATCTCATGAGCCATCTTCCTCGCCTGCGCAACCGGGTTCCCACCCCGAGAGAAGATCAAGTCAATATCCTCAAGACGCAGATTGCTAGTCTCAGGATAGAAGAAGTAGATAATGGGAATGAAGAGGAAGTTTGTGACCATGAAGATCAGGTATGCCTTCCACTGAATCCGGTTAATGATCACAGGCGTGATCATAACAACCGTGAAGTTCCATAGCCAGTTGGAACTGACACCAATAGCCGTACCCTTTGTTCGAGCTTCCAGGGGTAGAATTTCGGGTACGTATACCCACGGCACGGAGTTGATGGACATGCCGTGGATTAGCATGTAGAGGAAGAAGAAAGCAACTGAGGCGGACGCGTAGTTTGTTCCGTTTGGTTGGTGAACTTGGGATAGTAGGGCTGCTACCATCATCATGCAGACTCCTAATCCGAAAGAGCCGATCATCATTGTTTTGCGGCGGCCCATCCTGTCGAGCTTGAAAGCTGGGAGTAGGGAGCCAAGCATGAACATGATTTGAATGCACCCGCCGAGGATCTGTGACAGTTGACTAGATAAACCGACGTTCTTTTTGAGAACGGCTTGAAAGAGGTTAGTATTGGGGGTCTAACGATGAGTGGAAGAGTGGGACTTACTAGGCACGAAATATACGACAAGGTTGATTCCTCCAACTTGGTTCATCAGTTGGATACCCCACGCGAGAAGCACACGCTGGCCAGTCTTGACTTCATCATTATGGAAGATCTTCCAGATCGACTGCTTGTTGACTGCATCCTCCAGTTCGATGGCGGATAGGATTCCCCTGCGCTCGTTGACGATGAACTCATCGTCTGGCTCTCGGTTATAGATAGCACAGAGAACATCGATTGCTTCTTGCTCTTGGCCATGGTTCATGAGCCAGCGAGGGGATTCGGGCAGACCAAATACCAGAACAATGACAAAGATCGCGAAGACGATCTGCATCGCAATCGGGAGACGCCAGGCGATGGGACCGCCAACGAACGACATGCCAAAGTCAAACCAGTATGCAACAACGATTCCTACGGCTGTAAAAAGAACCTCGGAGGAAATGAGGCGTCCTCGAGTCTTGCCCTCGCACATCTCTATAACGCATTCAGCATGGTCAGTGCAATTCTTGGAGTATGAGTGCAGGGTGCTCGGTTTTACTTGCCAGCCTGGTACATAGGGACAGTACTCGTCTTCAAACCGGTGCCCGCACCAGTCACAAGTCGTCCAATGATCAAATGCGGCACCGTGAAAGCCGTGGTCTGCAGGACTGCGCCGACAATGACCACACCCATGGCAAACCAGATCGTCCTGCGGCGGCCGAGCGTCTCACCGATGAAGAAATTGACTGCTCAAGTCAGTCACAATGCTTCAAGAGGGAACATTTGGTTGGTCCACTTACCCAAACATCCAAGAAGACAGCCCAAGTTGTAGCAACTAACAATGATACCCTCTTCTGTGTCATCGGGGTAGTTGAACTGTTTCCTCCAGTCGACATTCCCAACAATACCGCTGAGCACACCCTGGTCATAACCGAACAAGATGAAAGCCACCAGACAACAAGACGTGACAGCAACCTGCAGGGACCGGCCCCTTCCATACCAAGATCGCATGATGGCAGAGGTTGTGGTTATTATAATCCGGCGAAAGGTCTGCAATGGTTCATAAACCACAGAAGAACAACCCGGGGTCTACAAGTCGTGTTTATATGTCTAGCGGCCTGGCAGCACTACGTATGAGGCCTGCAACCCGACGATCCAATCCGCATAATGAGGGGAGAGCTATATCCTGGCCGTCCAATGGAGTGCGGTGGTGGGTTCTGCAGCGGATCCTGGATGGGATCTGGGGAATCTGGAGTCGAGCCATTTAAGCGGAGTATGGAGCGCCTTTGGCTGGACTGTGACAATTATTTCCACAGCGACTGAATGAGGAAAGCCACCCGCGCATCTCCAACTGCCGAGTGACGGCGCTCGGCAAGAGCCGACAGCCTGGCGGTCCCGATTGCCTGTTAGGGCGAGGGGTGGAACAATGCTATTCCGGCTGATTATTTAGGAAATGTGGTTGATTTGGGAAGTTGTAACCACTACTTTATACCCTTATAGTAATGGCTGATATGTTGATGTTTACACTTGTCTCTCTGATATTACAGTGCTCCGGAGCATGTTGGCTAATCTTAATGTTAATATCCCGTCTAGCATGAAATCAAAGCAAACGACGCTCAACATCTCGCTCTGCAATCTTCTATTCCTAAAATCAAAATATCTAAAATCTATGTATGGCCCCCAGGTCTGTAACAGTAACTCCAACTTATCTGTTCTCTATAGATGGCTGGAGACTTTCGCTTCGACACAGCAAAGACTTCCTCAACGACTGTTGCAACTGTTCAACAGCTGCACAGTCACCCTTCGCTCTCTCCGCTACCTGTCTCTTCGCAATGTTAATGTTCTTGGTTTGAACCTTGATTTCTTGGCGAATGAATCGGATTTGGTCAGTCAGTGCCCGTCCTTCCCATTTGATCGCAGAATCAACCGCGGGCTTGGTCTCGTCTGGGATCTAGGTCATGATGTGTTAGAATCGAAATTATGTTCACAAAATTTTCCCACTATTACCTCGATACATCGGTTGTGCATAATGCGACAGTATAGACAAGCTCTACGGTTTGGCTGCCGGCGACAGATGTGGCTTGGGATTTTCTCACTGCGGAGGAAGCAGCGTTGGCAAGGTCGTTCGACGATGTTCACGACCAGAGCGGCTTTGGCTCTGGCCCTGATACGATGTCGAGATATGGCACAGGCGTGAGAGGTCTGGTCATATTGAATTCAAGGTAGAGAATAATGGGTGTGTTGTTAGGATTCTGATCGATGGCAACTAAAACTCTGCTTTCTGTGAATTTCCTTGACGAAGTATAGGCTTCAGCTATGTTTTTTGACACCCATTTATATTGAAAAGGGGATTGAGTACTTCTACTTTATAGTACCCTGTACAAAGGGAGGGACAGCTTGAAAAGATACAACAATGGATCAATTTTGTTACATCCAACGGCAGCAATTCATTGTTCCACAAAGACATATAAGACATATCAATTATTCCGAAGGAAATATTTCAGGATGAAACTTTGGTAGCATTAATATAATTGACCTTCAAAACGGCGTAGTCATGGATAAAGGTGCTTTCAAGATTGACTCACTCAGAGACCTGAATACCAAGGGCCAAAGAAGAGTATTTGAGCTCAAGTAGCTTTTAGCTTCCGAATAATATCGTTCAGTTGTGTACCTAAAACACATTAAAGAGAGCAAAGAATGAAAATAACAAGCGCACCTGGCCATCTATAAATTGGATTATGTAATGCATCAAGCCCCCGTGGCGCACTGTGGCTGAAGACGCATTGATTGGTTCGCGGATCCCGCCTTGACTCTGGCATCCTCTTTTCTCTGAACTTGGAGCATCAAATATCCTTAGATCGAACCAAAGCATACCTCACAAGACCCTTTTGATTAACTCTTGACGACACGACTTGGATAAGAATATTCCCCTCTAATACAGCTTCTGTGATCTCATCATTCGCCAAAGAATCGCCAATCACTTCATTGTTCTTCGTCCTACCCCGTCCTAATCCAATAGGACAAGAGCTCTATTCATATATAATATACGAATCTTGGACTTTATCTTGGAATTTACCCTTGCTAGGGGTGCCCCAGACCCATCTATTGGCTCTGTCGCCAAAGCGCGACATCGACAACACCAGCAATGAATACTACAGACCAAAATTCCACCAAAGGGACAGTGGTCAGCAATGAAAATGGCGAATCCTTACGCCTGGATTCAGAGCTCCAACTTGTGTCCTCACTAGCGAAGCTGCAAGAGCTAGAACGCAAGGTAAGCCCGTGATCAGCATTTCCTCCAAAGCCACAATCCCCAGTCTAACAAGAATAGATCCATGAACTGCGGGAATTCGTGCCACAGGGCCTCTTGGAACCCCTGGTCCCAATCTCAAACCCAGAGAAAGTCACAGCCGACAACCCAGTCGCTGAGACACCACAGATGTTCCGTGAGAATTTAACCGAGGCTGCGCGTGCGCGCGTTGCTGATGTTCAGAACTTTCAGTCGCTTTGGCGGGATCCAACACTGAAGCCTGTGTGGGCACATGTCGAGTCGCGCATCAGTGAGTCAAATGGTCAACTTCTGCAGCCGTCAGGGAAGTGGGAGAAGGACTATGATGTGCTTCTGGAGGAGTTATCAAAGAAGGAGAAGAAGAAAGAGGATGATCAGCAGCGGGAGGAGGAGGATGCTGAGCGTGCTAAGGCTTTCTCTACCGAGGGAGAATGGAAGGCTGTTTTGGAGCGGTTCGTTCAGAGGAATGTGCCCGGTGTGCGGGTTATCAAGGGCCAGGATGAGACTTCTCTGGCTGTGGCACTCGTCCGGGCAGGTATTGTCTTCCAGGTTCGGGGTGAGGCTAGGGCTGATACCCCCTTTTCTGAGTGGGAGGTCTCGAGCAAGAGTCGGACGCCGACGAAATTGGAGGTCGCCATGTTGGACTGCTTGGGTTCGCGTCCACGCAAATGGGACCTTGCATTCTTGCTAGTATGTTTGATGTCGCACATGGCAAAGTAAAAAAAAAGGCGCTAACATCATTTCCAGGATATGATCTCTTCTTATGCGGATATCAAGCAGACACCGTGTGTCAAGTGCAACCGCCTGACCAACAATGGCGCTCAACTTCCAACTCTCCGCCGACCTCAGCCATATCAACAATCATCTACTGAAGGACCACGCATATATACATTCGACACATTGCATGCAGGTTGCATTTAGACTATGATTTATTCCCATGTTGGCCCAAACAAGATCTCAATCCCAATATACCAAAATTTACTATAACTCAGACTCCACAAAACTACAATCTAACAACCACAAGGCTATAAAACCGAACCAAAACATCAATTAACCCCAAAATCTAATCCCGATGTGACCCGTAAATATCATCATGCCAATTCTCAGCCGGATACAGCTCCCCATTAGGATCCCAATACCGCCTCGGAACCCGATGAACCTCACACCGTTCATACCATCTCCCCTTCTCGCTCGGCCCATTACAAAACTCAACCCGACTCCATGTCGCCCGGTTCGGAATGGTATACTTCCTCGTGCGGAAATCGTATCGTTCGCCAGGTTTGCGCTTTACCCAGGGTAAGGGGCTGTAGTTTGCTGCCTCTGCTTCTTCGTTCTTCGGGTCGATACCCCAGCGAGTCCATTGGTTTCTGCTGGGGGCTGTCTTTGATTTTGATTCTGAATGGGATCGAGAATATGGGTGGGTGTGGTTGTAGGGGTCGTTGTCGTCGTTCTCCTTTTTGGGATTGGCTCTGGATTTGGATTTGGAGTCCTTGATTACGCCCACATATATGTCCGGTCCTTTGTTCTGTAGGACGTCTAGAAGGCGCCAGTGTCGGGGCCATTTCTTGGGGTTTCCGGGGCGAGGATCTTTGGGCCAGATCCAGCCTAGTTGAGGGGAGGCTATTTTGTCTTTTTGGGTCATTGGATTGGAGGTGGTATAGTGGCTAGACAAATGGATGGATGGGTTGGGAGGCTTGAGAGAGTTTACTAGAGTGGCATCAACCGCTTCTTATACTTCGCTATACATTGTCAGGCGGGATGTTCTTTTCTTTCTTATGATCGCCTTCCTTTCTGGAACTGAGTCGGATTCCGAGTAGTAATGATAGAGAGCAAACTGCCGGGTGTGTTTTCCTTTGTTGCAATAATTACATCAGATGTAAGACAGTGCAGCTAAATTTTGTTTGGAGTTTAAGGCTTTGTCCCATTGTGTGCATGATCTTGTTATCTATGAGTCGTGAAATGTCTGAAATTTGACAATGGCATGGGAGATATTGGGTTTCTTTGTTTGCAAAAGTATCACAATGATTATCAGACAAGATTCTTTGATATAAATGTCTTAGCTTTGTTCAATCTATGTGAAGAACAATTTGTTGATCTTCTAGACAGTTGACGCAGCAAACCATCTCCTGCATAAAAGAGAAGCATCTAAACAGCGTTCATATGCACTATCAGAGGTGGTAGGAAGTATATTGATGTGCCAATCCGAGAGTACAAAGAAATAAAGAAACCAATTGCTCAGAGCCGCTTATTAGAAAGAAATAGATGCAAAAAAATCAAAACATGTCCCATCGAATGTCAGCTTTGCGGAACGCCATTTTCTTGCTATTAGTACCCAGATCGCTTCGAGAATGCAACGCCCATTATCGAAAATATGTTCATAAGAAATTCAGTGTGATGCAGCTCAGTTCTTCTCAGAATATGCCAGCAGTCCCAGTAAACCAGGTGAAGGAGGCAAACGTGATAATAGCCATGCCGAAAGTGAATTTGAGGGCCTGGCGACTGGTTTCAGACATAGCACCGCTGCAGGTGGCACATTCGAATTCTATGAAAGTCAGCGTTTGCTTGCGGTTTAAATGTTGCGAAAGAAACTCACCATTGAGCGGGGTGTAAGGCTGCGGGGTATACATTCCGAAGGAATACCCGTTCTGTGAGCCCAGATATCCGGCAGAAGCAGTGTCATCAATTTCCTTGCTGGCATCATAGACGAAGAGAGTATAAGTCGCCGTAAGCAACGGAATGGTGGCAGAACTCTGATATTTTCCCGTATCCCAGACTACACTTCCAGTGGCCTTCACACTCATGTTGGAGGTCAACGTATATTCCTGCTTGTTCATGCTGCACGAAGCCACGACATTGACTGCAGATGGTGTGACCGAGAGCGACGTGTAGTTCCATACAAAGGTCACATCCTCGCCGATCTTGTAGTAGCTTGTGGAAAGGGAACCCGGGGTGATCATGGACACGCCTCCAGCACCGGCAGCTGGATCAATGGAGATCGAGGAGGTGGCGGTGGTCTTGGTCTTGGTGCTGTCAGTCTTTGTGCCAGATGTTGTCTCTGAGTCGGTCGCAGTCTTTGTGTTGGAGTTTGTGCCGGTGGTGGTATCGGAGGAAGTCTTGGACGCGGTGTTGGTAGTCGCCGTAGTTTCAGAGGTCGCTGCATCGGAAGTCGCCGTATCAGTAGTATCTGCGAAGGAGGTTAGTGTTGGCCACGACAGGATCAGATGGATTCTGCTGTACCTGCTCGCTTATCTAGGGAGTCGCCTAAAAACAACCCATTTGGCCTCCATGGCCAAGCCGAGGAGAGTGTACCCAGCAAGAGAACAGTGCAGAGCACGGTCAAAAAGAACGACCGCATGTTGAAGATGGAATGTGAAATGTGAGGTGATTGGGAGTTTGAAAATCAAGCGATCGGGGTTATTGTCCCCTTGGCCGGAAGTGAGCTGGACTGATCACGCCCCTTGCACAACCTAGTGTGACTCGTCGGAAAGCCCCGTATATGTGGAAAACAGCGAAATCGTTGATTTCTCGACTGCCCAGAAATTCTGTTACAGAAGGTCGATCAAAACAACGTGGAGTGCAGAAAAAGACCCTAATCCCTTGGCCAGCAGTCTGGACCCTGAAACATGCAGATCACCGTAATATGTGGATTCGTGTGGAAAGAAGGCTTCGATTCGGGCAACGACCGTGACTGTATCAATATCGACAATAAAACGAGTGTCTGTAGAGAAGCATAGAGAATCAAAAACTAAAGAAGAGAAGAGAAAGCGAGTGACTGCTGCGGGGCTAAGCCCAAAGAGGTGAGACATCGGCTATTTTTAGTCGCCAAACTGTTGATGTTTTACATCTGACATTCTTTACATTCTGAGTTGATCAATTCACATGTTCAACGCTTTATTGGGTTCTAGGTGAAAGTGAACAGTGCTTAATGCTGCTAAGTTGGTAGTTGCACGCCTAACCATCTCACTTTTGCTCCTTATCTATGTCAACATTAACGAAGACCATTCTTCGGAAATTGTTTCTAGGTTTCAAATTTACAAGCAGCCCATATGATCTTCGCTAAATACTTGTTCCTTAATCATCGAGGTTTTTATACTCCTTGTTATAGTAGTTACTTCTATAGCATCCTCTACGCAAATAACACAACTGATATCGGAAGTACCGGTTTAGATGGTCAGTTACAGTAGATCATACCAACTATCCCTTGTTGTCAGACGTACAGTAGAGCATCTGAAAATACACTTAGGGGAATAGTTCCCGGCAGAGTTAATTTGTTGTTTATCTCCTATGTCTAGAAATCAACAACATAGAAGACCGGTCTAGTCATTCACCGTCGGACTCAATATACACCAAAGCGTACGCCAAAATGATTTTGAAATTCTCAATTTTCCCGCTTAGCAAAGTATTTTGAATTTTACCAGCGAGAGAATAATTTGAGCTTTGGGGTAGATATGTACTCGAGATGCCTAGTCGCCAAAATAGTACCTCACACCTGAGTATGTCTAATCGACAGATGCCTGACGCAAGTAGATGGAACTAATTTGGTTTGACTCAAGCCGCCGGCCAGATGGAACCTTCAGAGTTAGATCATATATATCACAGGTCTGATATAAATGGTATATTAAGCAAGTTGACAAGCATCCAGCAGTGGAGAGCATGATCAGAGGGATAGCTCTTCTGCTATGATCTGACCTTATTAGGCCAAAATGCATTGAATTTTTGGCAGCGCCTATGCTCCGAGGTCCTGAGGTCTGAGGTCACTAGCCTCGAGAAATGCAACGTAAAGGTCGATCACGAAGAATTCAGCACAATATTACCTTTTCATGGGACTCTAAACTGGACGTAAATGCCTAGGAGAGGAGTATAATCGGCGACGTTGCGACACTGGCACTTGCCATTTCCGCATGTCTCTTGAAACATTTTGGCATGCTCGAAGGGCTTTAAACTATGCGCAACAAGAATTTGAGGGAAACTACAATACTCGGTTGTTAATTCTTCATGTTTCAGAGCGCCCAACACGGAGAGGATAGATATACTTGTCCCCACGCCACCGGAAAGGAGCACATGGCTTCATTATAGTTAAATCGCCAGAGAGTTGAGCCTCTTTACCGAGTCAGATACAACCTTTGCTGTTAGGCACGGATTAGTCTTTACATTGAATATTTTGTTTGACTGGTCATGCCCGAATATACTGTTCTATCCGAGGGATATTGAGAGATTTTCGTTGTGACATACCATGGGCATCATGGGCAAAAGCCCAGGCCTCTAGTTAACTATTAGCCTTCATTATCTTCGTACTGAATGTATATTTCTTCTTTATTCCTCCCGACTTCGTCTATCAATCTTCGCCTTCATGGTCTGATCGTCATCTCTCCCCCCTAATACCTCACAATCAAACAACTTAAAGGCAATCAAATTAATAATTAAGTCCTTAGCGCTCGCTTTTGATGGTGAAAACGACAACAGCTATCTGCCACACGATTTGGGCCCTATTTGACACGCCTGAAAATAGTTCCGACATTACCGTGGTAAATACCTCCTCTAAGCGTATTTCTATATTAGAACAAAAGACTTGAAGCGCCGATTACTTGCAATGCATTGGAAATGGAAACTGAAACGGCGAGATGGCTCTTGTTGACTCTAGCCGCGACCATGTCAGTTCTAGGTCTTAAAGACCAACCCGTCATATTTCTATTTAAAGTGAAGATACTAAAAGCGATTAAAGTGTGATCGGACACAGTAATATGCATATACAGTTCCAGGAGGGGTGGATTGTAAGCGCCAGGGTCCCGCCGATCAAGAAGAGAAACTCCGTGATTGGTCGCCACAAGTATACCTTAGGCAATAAGTCTGGCGGTTATTGCAAACGACACTACTGCAGTATATAACAACTTTGACGAAACTGCGGCTGAGAAGCGCTAATGGGAGGGGTATTGAAATTCCTATGGCAATCGCTTCCAATGTCGTCGCGTGCGGTAACTGATGCCCATCATAAATAGTTGGAATCCCACCACCATTTGAATATCATTTGGCCATACATTACCGACTGAAATATCCAAACATGTTTGAAAAGTTCATCTCTCATCGCACCCCTGAAAAGGACCGTCGGAATACAAATGATCGGGTTGTGGTAGCTTCTTCATTGCCTAATGTGCATCTGCGAGATCCACGTCCGAAGTTTGCGGACATTGAAGCAATGGAGTTCTGGAAACGCATATTCCCCGGCGCCATGGACCAATTCAAATCGAGCCCACCGCAATCCAAACCACAATCCCCGGAATACAATATTCGAGACAAGCGGGACTGGCAGGGTATCTATCAGGCATTAGAGAATGCAAGAGCTCACTACCAGAACCGGGGAGGTGCCGTTGGAAATCTGCGTTTTCATCTCCGAAAGGGGGCCGATGGTATCGCTCCTGCTGTTTCTGTTACGAGGGCCGTCTCTGAAATTGCCCCCGGCGATCCTGTTTTGACGCCTATTCTCGGTGCTCTTGTCATACTCATGGATGTAAGCATATTCACCCATAGGGGTTGGATCAGATGAAATGACTTGCTAATCAGTCTGCTACTTCCACAAGGCCGTGAAGACGTCTTCTGTGGTCCGCCAACAGGCTTTGCAGGGCTTAGGTAACCTCACGACCATTTTTGCAGACGTTGAACTCTTTCTGCGAACATTTCCAAAAGATTCCCATATCTTGAATGCATCACTTTGCCTGATTATCACCACCCTTGATACAATTGAGCGAGGAATTGCTTTCTTTATGAGTGCCCAGGGTAGGTATCCATCTATCTCCCCAAAGAAAAACACTGACATTTTTGCTTTAGTAGCGCGGATGGTAAAGGCAGTGGCATTGGGTGATAGATACGGTGAAAGCCTTGTGAATGGCCTAGACCTGATCAATCAGAAATGCCAAGCTCTCATGCGAGAAGCGAATAAATCGACTCTATATCAAGTTCATTTGGGTATGTCATTTCCAGCTTCTCTTAATTTGGCAGCAGCTTCTGACTATCGATGGCTGAACCAGCTTCTCAGGAGGCGTCTAAGGTGCTTTCCCAATTGTGGGTCGAGACAAAGCAAAGCGTACACCCGGCACTGGAAAGAATACAAAACATGATAGAAAACTTGACTGGGAAGGACCTACCAATCGAGAAAGGCAGACGTGAGTACTTCACTTCTAACAAAAGGAAAGTCTACATGGCTCTAACCTATCTGTATGATACAAAGAAAATTCTCGAGCCGCAGAGGAAGATCTACTTCGTGCAATAGAAACATGTCTGACTACCTTTGTGAATGAAAAAGCCCGGGAGCTCAAACAGAAGGATGGTAAGTGGCATCCTGGTTTATGACAAAAAGCCAAAACATACTGACACTAGTCCTCGTGATATGTAGACGAGCTCCTAGCTGCGAAGCAACAGATCTTTCTGCTTCAATCATCAATGAACCCCAAGCAGCATGACTCCATGGGCAGGTCTCAACTTGGGTATCCGAGCAATAAGCCCCTTAGGGTGGAGATCAAGTCCCAATCGCTGGCTCCACGACTTGGCAGAAGGTACTGAGTTTTATTTTTGGTTATCCGCCCTGAACTATTGCCACATTGCTGCATGGACCTTCAGGCATAGCTATGAAGAGTTGTGTACGAGGACTATGATACGTTACCAGGATTTTCTCATGTTTTGGAAGCCTCAACATCGAAAGGAAACGCCTGATTTCTTCCTTTTGTTTGTTTTCGCGCATACTGGTCGATTCGCCTAGGTGTACAAAGCTTCACCTTGATTTGGAGTGAAGGCACTAGGGAAGCAGTTTTCCTTTTTAGGTCAACGATCAATTTTCATCTTTGAAGTCTGAAGTGGAACAAGTCTTAGGATGATTTGATAGTCATATACAACCCTGCTCATGTATACGTAAAGAGGCACTTAGCGTAAGAGGAACTGTAGCCTCGATCTAGAGTTTTATGGCAGCTGGGTAATTAAGAAAAAGAAAAAGAAAAAGAAAAAGACGTACCAGACTAAGGCACTATAGCACTATAGCAATAGAAGCTTCTAGTCACCGACAATTCTAACCCAGCCGTGAGTAGATGGAGATGGACCGAGTGATATATCCATGACGTATCATTGTTACACTACCAGAACAAGCTTCCAAAGTAAAGCTTATAACAGCGTTCATTGTTCAGCATGACCAGATTTCTGAAAACCCTACTTGAGTGAACACAGGAACGAAATGTTGAACCAAAGCCAATCAGTTATACCCACAAAAGCTATCCTTACCTAGGTAGCCATACGTACCATATGTCGTCTGCCGCTTTTATGAGGGCGCTTAGAGTTAGGCTCACTGATTACTCAGAGACGACTTACTAGAAAGGCTATCTATTAAGCACTTAGTCTACTAAGGAGCACTTTGCCCTACCATACTGTTTATTTTACGATCACTTTTTGGTGGCCCTCACTTTCCACCGCGCTCCAATTTCTAGAGGTACACGATCTTCTAGTCTCGTTCCCCTCTTAAAAAATAACTCACTTAAGCACGATAACGCAAAACTAGAGGCATAGAGTCTATTTATCACGGGCTGTAGCTGAGCTCCGTCGGACAGACCAAACGCCTCAATGCCTACTTATGTATAGAGGCAGGCAGCTGCAAACATTTCAGTCATTGATGACATTGCTGTTAACTCTTCCTTGCGTAGTAGAAAGTGGCTGAGCTGAATGATGACTTTTATCAGCGCTCAGCGGCACGCCACAAATGTAGTACGCCTTAAACGCTTACAGAGTCTGCTGGAGACCGCTTTAGTGAGTTTAGACATTTAATTGGCACGTCATCCTAGAAGTGATTTAATATAATTGAAGAATTTCTCCTACGACCCCCACTCCTCCTTCCCAATTAAATTTTATTTGATGCTTTGTCTTCAATAGGAAGCTGCAGTCCAGTGTATCCTTTCCTTTCATTGAATCCTTGAAGGGACGCTTCATACTCACCTTGCGCGTCGACACCGAGACAACTCAGTATGAGCGGAAATCTCCATCTTGTCCTATGAAAAGCCGTGGCTAGTATCAACAGGTGCCTTAAGTGGATCTTGGTTGAGACCATTCGCTTGATCTGTCCCTCTGATTCGCGTCTACTAACCTAGCGACGACGGTGTTTCCCGACGGACCGCGTAATTGAGATAAGGAGTAATTGTGACGGTGGAGGATTCTAATTGAAAATTCCGAGTTTGTCGAAAATAACCCAGCTCTTTCGAGCACTTTCGCTGCTGCATTTTGATTTGCTGCATGCAGCCACAAATAGTAACACGTCTGGTCGACCCTTTGCTTTCAACTGCTTCTAGGACGGACTCTGAATGGAGGACGCCTGCATAAGTCTCACTAGCTTTGCAGGTGTTCCTACATTAACATTACTCACATTGTGACCAATTTCAGCTTTCATACCAACTGCTAGGAGATAGTAGATTGCCAAATTATCTCCATTGGCCCAAATTGATCATTCTAGCACACAATAAATTCTTGGTTAAACCCCTTTTCTTGCGCATTTAGGAGTCAAAGTTACGGTGCTTTGCTGGAAGGAGGGGAATACAATCTATTCCCTACATAGTGCTTCTCATGATGTGTCCAATGATCAGGTCATTCTGGACAGCAGCGGCCTCCCCATTCTCCACAATTAACCATGCTCAACAGTACTTCACGTAGGGAACAATATCTCATTATGGGGCTGGCTGAGCCTGCCTTGCGTTCTTTAATGGAATTAACCACAAGATGGATGCATGTGAATATTATGATAATCACTTCTCAGCTATCCTCAATAATGATTCGATTCTCACGGTAAAGGCATGCAGAATTTTTTGATTCTTAGCATACATGCAGGTAGTGGCAGCTGAACAACGAGGATCTCACTGTTTGATCCCATTGGAAATTTCATGGCCTTCGAAAATTAGATAGATACTGCCTCGAAGGGCTGGAATCCCCGAATGGCTTACCATGCGGTGCAACCAGAAGCCAGGATAAACCGGAGTACTCCGGAAACAGCACATGAAAAAGTCCTAAGACATTTCAGTGTTCTTCTGACTAGGCTACGAGTTGTTTTGAGCAAGGGACCGTGCCACTAATCGCGGTAGATCGCCAATTTATACCCAAAACATTGCGGGGTCTTCAGGCAGAATAGAAACCAGCGAGCAAGAAGTACAGACATTTAAAGACGGTGCCCATCTTTTGAATTCGAAATGTCAGCAGTCAACACCCTACACGGCTTTGATATACCTTAACGTTGAGTCTTGTCTGCGCGCTCAGATTGCACACCTAGGCCCATAATACTTACCCAGCAGTCCATCACAGGTAACTTAAAGAATCCCCAGAAGTGGACATTATATTTCTGAGCTGACATGTACTATAAAGTCCAACAGCATGACGAACGCAGCCGGTGCCAACGTACATGCAGCTCGCAGCTATATTAGTACTACCATCGATCCTGGCACCTGGTACCGGCTCACAAATGCCCATCTCGGCCCCTCCATCTCCCTTGATGTGGAAAATGATGGCGTGGGCAACAAAGAAGGGCTTCTGAAAATGTCACCTTCCGCCGATTACAGTGGTCAATTCTGGCGGTTTATTCCGCAGCCATCTTCCGGAACGTACAAGATACAAAACATGTTTCTGGGTCCAAACAGGGCCCTGGATGTGTATGGGAACGACAGGACCAAACCGCATTTGGCAACAGAGGGGAATTACTCAGGCCAAATGTGGACGCTAGACGGCTGGGGGGACACGACGTGGAGACTATTGAATGCATATTCTGGTGATGGTCTTCGCCTCGACACGTATTTGGATACACACGGACTCTTTATGGGCGATGGAAATAATTCGGGACAGCATTGGACTCTTACAGCGATTAGGAAGATCTAATCCGCTACATGTATTCAGTGACCGCAATGGAGCAGACGGGTTGGGAGAGAAGTTCTTCAAGATATGTTTCCTCGATGGTAGTGTGTCCAAGCCTTGATAAGTGCCTTGGCTTCCCGCACAGTTCCTATCGGTAAAACATGCAAACCACGAGTTCTAGAAGGTCCAATGAAGACGTCAAAGAGGGGAGGGGAGGGAAGGGGTGATTCCAACTCTGATCCAGCTTAAGATCTACTTCATATGCGGACACTAATGGAAGTGAAAGGTCAGCCATCACACCGTGCTATTCTCTTTGTCATAACATCCGCTGTGCCCTCCCCGACATGAAGGAAGGTAGATATGGAAGGAACAGCTGGTGTCCATGTAGTACAATCTTCTATTATCATCTACTGTAGTTATGGGCATATCCGACTTAATGAGTTTGCCATGAGGTGTGCTTATGTGACCACGAGCTTTCCCGCCCGGTGTTGCAGTCTGTGAACTGTAACTAATAGCGTTTAAGATTCTGTGATATGTTCAAGCGACGAGAAGAAAAAAGATGAATATAAAGAGACCAAAACAGAGTTTGTAGCCATGGTGGTCTTTAAACTTAATAGCAATCCTCCGCCCAAGGCACACTGACCGAGGTGGAAGTGGGTGGAAGAAACAACGGTTTCTTTTAGGCAAATGAATATTTCACAGCTGTTTGCAAGCCAATTAAGAGGACTTTCGGCAATATACGTTCAAAACTAGTACTTAACTCCCTGAATTACAGATTATAATTTCGTGCGTCACCAGAATAGAATCGATTTCTTGAGGAGAGAACAGATCATCAAAACGGGGGATAGATGAAGTAAGTACAACAACTCGCATCTGCACAGGTAGACGGCTCACCAATCTCCAACAAGTTATCTCTTTAGAACTGCCAAAATAAGGTGGAACTGGGATATACACTTTGCGCTTTGGTCGGCGACCCTGCGGGGTGCTCAATAGTTGGACTCGTGCACTGCCTCTATAATGTTCCACACCTTTAATAATGACACGGGGCTCTGTAGAGTCGCTAGAACAGGACCTGTGGGCGACATATGGTAACTTCGGGGACAACCTCGAAGATAGTGGTAGTGCTACCGGCAAGGTTGACATAAGGACCTTCCGCACTAGTCTCGGTGGTCACTGTTTTGCCGTCAGGCTGTGTTATGCATGCAGCGATATTCTTGTCCTCTGTCTTCGTCGTGGAGACCCAGTAACATTTCAACTGGTAATCATCACCGATGTTGTCATTGCCAGACACTCTCGACGGGGGTGTGACGCTCGTCGACGGCGCGGATACTTCTTCTTTGTCCGAATAAGACCACCCATCTGAAAGCCGATGGTTTGTATGACCAAAATCGATTAGCTCAATGCTATTGAGCTCTTCCTCCGTCAGATAATAGCGATCATTGGTACCCTTAACATTCGCTTTGATAAAGACATAAACGGGCAGTTGCATGCTTCCATCTGCATCGAGGGTGGATGAATTGAGCTCAGGCGTAGCCGTCTGGATTTGGAAACCAGTCACCTCCCATGTCGCCATTGTTGAGGACTCAAGGAGTACACGAGGCTATTTGTAAGAGAATGGAATTCTTGTTATGGTTTCCGTGGAGACAGGAGAGACTGTATGTTGTATGTAAGACGGGGTGAGGGGCCTTCGTATCAAGCCATCGATAGCGATTTCGCAGTGATTTATACCTCTGCTCTCCCTGCTCCCCCAGTACGCACAGGGCGCCATATATATTGGACAGCACACGGGGAGAATGTCTCACTCCTAATAAAAATGTGCGTTCCTACGGCTGGCTTGTTGTTGCCCAAACACAGACTTACCCTGGCGAGTATCACTCTTCTCATGCTTGGGTGACGCAGGGGGTTGCGTCCGACACTCGGGAAGACAGCATCTTGGGGCGGAAGTATCAGGTCTAGAACCTTGTTCCGGACCATTAGGTTGTCTGTATAGACAGAGTTCAGCTCGTCTGGCCTTCGGCATCGCCGTTAATTTGGAACGAGTTGGTTCTGCGGCGATATGCGCCGAGAGCACCGAGATCCTGCAGGCGGGTCCGAAAATGATCACTTTCATGTGCCAAGATCTCTAGCCTACAGAACTTCCAGGGTTGGATGGACATTCCATTCAGCTCTCTTTTCGTCTAGTAAGCTCCGTGAATGTCACGGATATTTACTCCGTATAGGCGGCTAGTGTAAGCGAGCAGCAGTGATTAGTGACTAGTCATTGGGCTCTGCTTGGGTTGTAACCATTAAGCAGACTAGCATAACCATAAAGAGGTATTAAAAATTACTGGCGGGGAGTTATGCGCTACGTGTGAGGGGCCAAAAATTGCCGACATAGCTTAGTAGATTAGAATAGGCAGTGATTGCCGATGAACCCCTACGGGCTGAAATATTGGAATATTCTGCGAGGATCTAATGCTCTCCAATTCTCAGCGTTCCAAGGAGAAATTGGTTACAAAGAGGGGATCCAGATTGCCAATTCATTGTAGGATCCGCTGGAGGAAAGGGTTATTCGAGATTACAGTGGACTATTCAAGCAAGGTTTTCTGTTGTAACTCACTGCGAATCTGACCCCTGTCAATACCTTAACTATTGCGGGAAATCTAGAGGGAAGAGGTCTTAGTAGATGAAGCTAATAACTATCGAACTATTCGTCCCGGGTTATGGTGCTGTGGCTATATGTAAAAATACAAAACATCCCGTGGGACACATACAAATCCCCTTGGCACTCAATGCCCATTGCGATTTTCGCCCAGTAGGCTGAATAGGGATTTATAGTCGGCTCCTACTCCTACATGGCTGGGTGGCTTGTTATCTGGCCATAAATATAAAGACGATAAGGATATACTGCACTCTGCAATATCAAAGGAAAGAAACGATCGAGAAAAGTAGCATGACTATAAGTTCAGCACAAATAAAGAGACACTCTGACTCAATCTTAACACGGGCTAATCACACTCCTCCTCGGAATCGAACATTCCGCGAACTTCCAGATTCTTCAAGAATAAGTGATAATAACAGGTGGTCGACCACATGGCAAATGCTGCAAGTGAACTTGCACTGTTCTCCCGGCTGAAGTCGTCCGTGTGGTAACACCTCGCGCCTCCTGCGATAGCCTTCCTCCGTTGTAGTACTCGGGATGCAGCTTTACTGCTGTATCATCGTCCTTCAGATCCACCTGCGCATCGCACCAGAACTCGTAATTGTGGTAGCCGACAATGACAGTGAACGTATTGCCTGATGAAGCCTTGATCCGAAGCATGCCTGATGTGCCACTCCCACCCATTTCGAGCACAAACTTGTCGGGCTTTTCGTCGGTCCAAGTACCGCCGTTCGCGTAGTACCAGCAGGTCTTCTCAACTACCGTGAGGGTCTCATTTGTCTCATTGACGATCGCCACCGGATGAATATAGGTCATTTTGCTACCAGACAATATGAGAGTTATGTCCAGTTAGAGGAGGGTAATAGTAGATAGGTACCTACTTTGTACGAGATGGGGACAGGGACAGGGACAATCAGCTCAAGCAAATAATGGTAGTGAAAAGAATAATTAAGACGAGCAAGAAATATGGGCTTTTAAAAGGGATCAATGGAACAGCAAGATATACTAAATTTACCGCCTGCTACAGGAGACCAAGAGTTAGGTAGGAAGAAGTTTGTTGGCTGGCTGAGCTCCCTCGGACAGACCGAAAGCCCCCTCCTTCCCCCTACCAATGCTACCTCATGCGTGAAGCAAGCATTTTGGTCATATGAACAAGAATAGAAAAACTAGAAAAACCACTGGCCAATACGACAAATATTACTACTAGTAATAATATTGGCTTCCTCTCTCCACTTCGCTGGCTATTTTATCCTCTCTTCCAGGCATCTTGTACAGTGATCCACCAACATCTTCCATTAATAATAAGAAATGGAAGTATAAGAAAGAAAAGAAAAAGAAAGTAAAAGGCATCACTGCATTGTGAGTATATGAGCACGAATTGTCCTGCATCTGACAGGCATATTAAACTAGCCAAGGGCCCAGACCTTTCTGTATCGCTCCTGCGCCTCGATTGACAGTTCGCCCGGACACTCCGGATCATAAGGAACGTTTCCATCACACTCCATTGGTCTGTTAATATAATTCAACTAACTGAAAAGAAGACGGAATTATCTGTCCGCTGATTAGTGAATAGCTGCGTCTCTGGGACCCCGGCAACAGGCTATGGGCCACCCAGAACCAACCAACCGGAATTAGAAAATGCACGGGATTTGGAGATATCGCAGTTCCTGGGAGCTTGGGGCCCATCTGAAACTGCAGACCCCAAAACATGGTGGCTGAGAGGACTAGAGAGTCCGGTGCTAGCTCGACCATAGCAATAACCAAATCGACGCCTTCTAGTGCCTATAAAAATTGGCAGCTGTATGCTCTCAAGGAATTACATTTTAATGCCTGTTGCAGTTAGAGGATGACTAGTTGTTATTATTTCAAAGGTACAAGTGGGGCTGTATATATTCAACTAGAAGATCAGGCATAGACACCTCGGAAGTTTATTCCGATAGAGCCGCTAGCTTTATATCACAACAATCATCGCTCAGCTCACCTGAAATGAAACCACCTCTCAGGTATGATAATGGGAGGAATACTATCATAGTAGAACCCATCCTGGAAACAAAGACGCATCCGCTGAAGAGAGGAAGACTTTTTTTCCACATGGTGGAAAATGACCAGCTGTTCCATAATTCGGGCATTATTGGGCAGAATAATCACGGCAGTGCCAATTGACGGATGAACCTCAACATGCTTCTCAAGCATCGCATTGTCAATCTCTGCACAATGGACACAATGGACCGGGCTGAGACCTGTGACCGAGGCCCTGATGATAATAACGTTGAACGGGCGTTTGTCCCCAATGATCACTAACCTCAAAAGTCATGGCTGGCCTCCAATGATGACAGTCATAGTATGAACCGGGGCATACAATCAGGGTCATCTAGAACCATCGGGCACATCCCTCCCCCCGAGCTTACGTATATGCGCGATGATCCTCATAGCCAGGACTATATCTAGCTTCATTATGCCCCCTGGAGCAGCCAGCTCGTGCATCTCGGAATTCTGCAACGGAGGAATTGTGTCCGGCGAATCACGTCCTGGGAGAGAATGCAATACGGTGTAACACAGACATGAAAGTGCCACACCAATATCGACTCGAACGGGTTTCTACTGTATATGAGGTAAGAAGGAGTCCGTGGGTAAAGATCGACGCCGCACGGTGAGACGGGCGATTGCGGGCCGAAACTTAGCGTTGATGGCAGCTGAAAGTTTGCGTCGTGGGACCTGCATGTGCATTTTCTGTATATTTTCACTTGACCAAATGCCCCGTAGGGCATTTATCAGCGCTGCAGTGGCCCCCATCGAGACCAAATTATGCATCGTGTGCATCAGAATCTGATGCCTTTCCTCCACGGCGAAGCCCAACTAATCGATGCTTTGCGTAAAGACTAGCTGCTCACACGCTTTGATCGCCATGAACTGGAGCTGCAAATTGTCAACCGGCGTATAGAACAGCTGGTGGGGGATCTGGTTGTACGCTGTCCGTGAAGCCCCTTGAAGTTGGCGCTGGCACTGTCACGGCCTCAGCGACTCGAGAAGTGCTTCGAGCCGTTGGGTGAGGGTACCACTCCTACACCTCCACTGACATCTTCGCCGGGTTCTTCGAGGATTCGCTGGAGTCGTTGCCCGAGCAAGTCAATCAGCTCATCTTCCAGAAGCTGGACGTTGACCAAGACCCGGTCGAGCTAGGATTCGAAGGACGCACTTACGATGTGATCATCGCGGCCAACATGTTCCATGCTACTCCTTCCCTGGAACACAGCATTCGTAGTGTGTGACAGTTTCTCAAGCCCGGTGGTTATCCCTTTGCACTATAGATCACCAATTTGCATCCCATTTCGCAATGTCTTTTGATGTGTGCCTTTGACAGATGGTGGCTCGGTCATGTAGAAGGTCGTCCCTGCGGAACAACTTGCTCCATGATCAAACCGAGGCCCTCGAAAATGGGCAAAAACAGGTGTAAGGAGGGGGAGGCTGAAATAGGGCGAAAACAATGTATAAAACGGTATACTCGTCCGAGGGTTTCGTGTTTCGTGTAGAGGCTGTCTAATACTTCGTGGCACAGTATACCCATTTATGACCACTGTTATAGGAGGCTTCAGGTAATAACAATGCAGACGTACTGATCCCAGAAACACTTGCGAACTTTGATATATAAATTGAAGCAGATATATACCCTGGTGAGAACTGACAAAACTCCATAGACAAAACAAATAACAAAATCCCAATGAAAGAAGACGCTGCAGACCAATTCTGTTATAGAGCCTAAAACCACTAGGTAAGCATGGAATTTTGCACTTGTTGGCAAGACCATGGTCTAGTGGAATTTGAGAAAGTACATATCTTTTATAGATAGAGCAAATGGTTAGGGGCCAGTGCCAGCGGCAGCACCACTTGTCCAAGCTGGGAGATGATTAACAAGCTCCGCCTTGTTATCAGTCAAATACAAGTTATTAGCACCAGGGCTAGTGCCAGTAAATAAGACGAATTTCATCCAAGGTCCTGTGAGTCTCTCTGCTGTATTATCGGGATTCACCGCAGCCAGGACTTTAACGAACGGGCACATGACGGCCCAGTTGTGGTCTCTTATAGAGACTTCAATCTCAACGATTCTTCTTGATACCACGCCATTGCCAGTAACTAATTGTGAATGGCCAAAGGTTGGGGGCTCTAGGCCGGACATGGCGTGCATCTGGTCCACATCCTGTTGGTTGATGGACATGATTTCGGCGCCGGTATCATACAACAATGACTGTCCAAGCGGAGCACAGTTGTTGCTTGCACCAGCCGTTCGCATTTCCGTGAAGATCTAGATGGAAGAGAAGATAGACGTTAGAAAGTGAAATGTTGGGAAAGAAGGCTTGCCGATATCATACTTCATGCGAATAGTAGTTATTGGTTGGCCCGATTACGGAGAAAACCATCTGTTGAGGAGGCCCTGCTCCAAGAAACTATGACCAACAGCGTTAAAAAGTGAATTACACCATTGGATTATCTCAATCACTAACCCCTTCAACCCAGAACTCCCGATGTGTTTTATACTGCGCGAGAAACGCTTCGTGTCTTTTGTGGTCGAACGGCTCTGGTGGACCGATGAGTACTCCTTTGGACCAGTAGGTGATCATGCCTCTTATGAACATAAGCTCCTTATTCCTGTAGGCTTTCATGAGAGCCCTGATGTTTGGAAGCTGACCATCCACGTCTGCGTCGTCGGATTCAGTGAGAGATGCTTCAATCGCCCTCAAGGAGACCAGTCGTTCAACGGTCTGCAAGTCAAGGCCCGCAGGCTCTGATGCAATCATCTCTTCACGCTTCTTCTTTCTTTCGAGATATGATTGAAGCCTTATTTCGAAGAATGCAGGGAAGATGTTATAGGCAATTCTCTGGTGGCATCGCTCAATCTGCTCATCGATCTCGTCCTCAAGAAGATCCGGCTCATGAGTGTTCCACCCTTCAGGTAGCTCCGAAGAATTTGTCAGAGGCTCATCCCCTTCATGGGTCCATCGTGGCTGCCTTTTACCACGCGGTGGCTTTTCGATATTTGCCCCGGCGGCATAAGCAGCCAGGACGCTGTAATCAACAAATTTTCCGTAGTTCTCCTTGTCCATCAGCCAACGCGAGTTGGAATCGGCATCAATATCCATGGGGTCTTCGTCTTCTGGGGTCAGGGACCTTGCGGCCTCCTTACCCTTCTTGGAAGCCGCGGCCTTTCCAGTCTTTTTCATGGACCCTTTGGAGGCAGCCCTGGATTTCGGGGCGGGTTTCTTGACGGTAGCGGGTTTGACCACCTTGGAAGAAGACCTGGCAACCGGGCCTGAGGTCTTGCGCGCGCTCCTGCGTGGTGGCATCTTGAAAAAGAAAAGATGACCTTGGTGGTAGGTATATCGTCAAATATTAGACGATATCAACTGTAATTAAGTATGAACTGAGAGGCCATGGCGATGATATTTGTATTCACTCTGCGCGAGGAACTGATACCCGCAAATAAAAACAAAGAAAAGCAGCCGATCGAGCTACCGAGTAAGAGGATAATGTCTGTTTGTTGAAACAAAGCGATGATCTCAGAGGACTCGAGTCTCAAATATGCTATTTTGGGACACAGAGCCCGAGGACAAAGAGATCCAGGATGCTTCGGCCCTGGCACGGCAGTCGTAGACCGTCAGTCTTTCATAATTTACATGTTAACTTACTATTTGTGAACCATTTTAAATCGAGGCACTCGGAAATAAGTAAAAAGGAGGTGGAAAAAGAGGTGACAACGAAGAGTCTAAAGGAGGGTGAAACCTAGGGATTATCTCCAGGTAGCTGATCAACTAAGATGAGTGGGAGCTGAATTTTGTTTCCCTAGTGACCAGTCCTTTGGTCTCATGTGAACGTTCATTTGATTCACAACGGTGTCCTTGGGGCTTCAATGAACAGGGGATGCAGATTCGTGGTCAAAGAGTCGAGTAGACGTTTCGAGTAACCAGCCTTCCACCGCACAAAGAAGGCATGTATGTAGACCAAGGCGCTTCCGCTTCGCCTTTTGGGAAGGCTTTCTGTTGAACAAAGGGGCGTTTCGACTCCTCGTCAACAAATTATATTTCCCCAGCCTCGACTACGCTCTGGAAGAACAGCGACTCACTAAAGAATTTCGTGGCTCTGGAATAATTAAGCAAGGTGGTTCGAACTTTGTTATACTTCGCCAGAGAGTGCACGAAGGTATGATTCGGGCTCATTTGGGTTGACAGAGATTAGCGGCATCGATCAGGAGATTTTAATGCTCCATTCAGGAAAATTCGGTATACATGACGAGGCAAATTCAGTTCGTAGTGTGTGTAATGGATATAAATGGAGTGCACAAAAGAATGTAAGTGAGAAAGGTAGCAAAACTGCTTTCAAGTGCGTCTGTATACAGATCTAAGTGGAAGGGCTCTACAATGTATGCTACCGTCACCAAGTCACTATAGTATAGAAATATATCTATTCCATAAGCCGTCAAATTCTAACCAATATGCACCTTGATTCTTTCTCGATCATTTCATACGTGAATATCATAGAGATCAATCACAAAAGTAAAAAACGCAGAAAGACGGGCAATTTTTCCGACCTAAAAAAAGCAAGGAACGGTCGTACTAACACGAGATAGGGGATGGATGGACAGGAGAAAAATGAAACCGTGAAGAGTTGTGAAAAAGAGGAAAGAACATGCCATTACATCAGAATCTAAGCCTTGATCGCTGCGCCCAATGCACCACCGCCGAACTGCTGGCCACCGGGTCTCCGGTCTCCCTGAGGGATACGGGCGCCACCGCGACCACCGCCGCGACCACCACCGCGGCCGCCACGGCCACCACGGGCGCCGGGGCCGTGCTCGCGCTGGAAGGCGTTGGCCATACCCTGTGTGCGCTGCTCGAGGGTCTTCTCGTTGGACTCGAGGAGGTTCATGGACTTGTCGGCAAGGGTGACGATCTGGGACTGGAGGCGGGAGAGCTCGACGCCCTTGCGGAAGATGATGGCGTCGTTGACCTGGTCGAGGGCGGCAGCGAGCTCCTCGTGAGAAATCATGCGAGAAATCACGGAGACGATCTTCTTGCTGCTCAGCTCGAACATGGCCGCTAGGGAGGTGATGGAGAGGCTGTCATAGAAGGGGGCGTATGTGAAGAGGTAGGTGCGGAGACCCTCCTCCTGGGCCTGCTCGGAGAGCATGGCCTTAATCTTCTCGGGCTGGGGCATGAGATCCCAGATCTTGATGGCAGCGAGAGACTCGGCGGATTTCTTCCATTCACCTGCGGCAAGAAGCTTGGCCGATTGGATCACACCGTCACGGGTGTTCTCCGGGGGACCGGTGAACACCTGGCGCTCGTTGTAGTCCAACATACGGCGGAAAGTCTTGGAGATCATGCGGCGGCGCAGCTCGGGGGAGGACGAGCTCTGGGCCATGAGGGGAACCTCGAGGAACATGCTTGAGGTGAGGTAGATACACTCGAGCAATTCAAGGTTGATGTGCATGTGGAAGGGCAGCTGACGGGCCTTCTCGGCCTTCTCAACTTCGGGGCTCAAGCTGGCAAAACGCTGCAGGATAAGACCCTGAGCGAGCAGCTCCTTTTGGCGACCGCTACCGCAGATCTCACCAAGGGTGTTCTGGGCTTCGTAGATGAGGCCAGCACGGAAGGCACAAAGACCAATCTGAACAAGTGTGCGGTTGAACAAGATCTGGGTGGCAATATCCATGGAAGAAACAGACTCCGTAAGGTGAGACATGAGCATCAAATCACGGGACTTGTAGTATTGGTCGTGGAGGGCGAGGAAGTAGATCTGGCAAAGCATGGCACGGGCACGGGGAATGCCATCGCTGTTCTGGAACATGTAGTTGCAGATAGCGCCCACGAGGCTCTGAATGTCACCGGCCTTGGAGCCAGCAGTAACGGCGGAGTTGATCTTGGTGGGAACAGCCTTGTCCTTGGCGTCCTCAAGGATGGAGACAACCTGGGCAGGCTTGAAGTAGATGTGCTCCAACCGTCTGATAACAACTCTGTTCATGCTCTCCTTTCCGTTCTTGTCGGACTCGCCGAGGCTCTCGACATACAATTGTGAGCGGACAAGGTTGTTGTACAGGGTCTGCTCGTCGCTCAGGCGCTCAATGTATTCAGCGGTGTGGGGGTCGATCTGCTGGAGAGAGCGGGTGAGCTCGTCGTCAAGGCGCTCGACGAAAGAAACAATGGAACCGGGGATGGCGAAGGTCTCGCCCTCCTCAACGGTAGGCTGCTTCTCGTCATCCTCCCACTCATCGGCAACCTCGCTGATGATGTAGCTGCGGTTGTCCTCCAACACAGTCAGGAGAGTCGAGTATTCCTCATCGGCAGCCTTCCATTGCTCGGGGCTCATGTAGTTGGTGCTGGATGTGCTGGTGAGATCGAAGCGTGTGGAGATCAGGGTCATAAGAGTGCGGATGCGCTGGTAGGGGGTGGTGGCCACTTCAAGGAGCTTGGTCATGGTCTTAATCTGGTCGGCACGGTCGGTGTTCTTCTTTCCGCGGGACTCGACGATGACGCGGAGGTGCTTGAGGATGCTCTCCGGGGTGTACTGGAGGGTCTTACCACCACGGCCGACAGTAGCGAAACCATCGTCCTCACCACCGGCAGCGGCGGCAGCGGCAAAGTTCTCGATACGCTCAAACTTGGTGGGCTTGGGAGCAGGGGCAGGAGCGGGCTTCTCCTCGACGTCGCTGGCCATGAACTCATCCTTGTTGGCGCGGTACTTCTCGATCAGGGAAGCGTACTCCTTGTTGTTTTTCTTGATCTTCTGCTTAACGGCGTTGAAACCCTTGCTGTTGCTGGCGTTCATCTTCTTGTTCGAGGCCTTCTGCTTGGTTGCGGTCTCATTGGTGAAGTCTTCGAGCTCTGCGACGGCCTGGATGTAGATCTTGGGGGTAGGACCGGTGATCTTGAGGATCTGACGGTTAAGGTTGTCGAACTCTGTAAATCATACCATGTCAGTCGATGCCGTTCTCCCACCAGATACGTCGCCATCGCGGAGTTTTCTGAGACCCAAAACCACAGAATGATTCGAATCCCGGAATATGGTGTCACTCACCAGTGGCAATAACAGCCCAGTCGTTGATCTTTTCGGCATTGTCGATCAACTTGATGGTGTTCTCAAGTCCCTCGAGACGCTTGTCCTTAGCAGACTTGACAATCGTAACCTTCTCCTCCTCCTCGCTATCCTCACTGCCGGAAGAGTCGTGCAAGAAAGCGCTGGCTCCCTTGCCGCTCTCCTTGCCCTCGGCTTCGCTGTCGCTCTCAGAGCCAGATTCGGATTCGGAGTCGGAGTTGTCAGAGGATTCCTCCTCAGAGCCGGACTGGTAGACCTCCTCCTCCTCATCAGACGAGCTGTCGCTGTCGCTGCCGGAGCCGTAGAAGAAACGCGACGCCATGATTGCGGTTTTCGGTTTCGGTAATAGGAAATGGCGATCCGAAGGGGAAAGTGAGGTCGTCGCCGTCTGAAAGTTGAGTTGGTTCCCGCAGCGAGCCACACACGAAATTTAAGCGAGGGGCTGACTAAACCCGATTAGGACTAGGCTGACTCAGGACAAAGAAGCCCGGTCTATCGACTTCGACTGTTCTTTTAGTACTTAACTGAACTACATAGGTTTTTGATCCTGTCTGTATATTCCTCTAGATTAGTGACTCACAACCTTACTATGTCAAAATATCTCACACCCAGTTATATCGTGAACCATATGAGGAACTAACATTACATACGGGGAACAAGTGAACTTGACTCGTTACTATGCTTCCATTGTTCATTCAACTCAGTTCTACTACTGTATACAGGGTCACAAGAACTAAAACCCAGACTAGAAACAACACAGCGGCAAGTACTATGCTCAGCAGGCTTGGAAACAACCATCCAAACAGAAAAAAGCACACACAAAATGTGCCAAACCACCCAAGTAAATCCAAATTTAAGAAAAAGCAACAGATTTACGGGGAGGCAGGGGAAACAGAAGAGCAGAGAAATCGTTCTTTCAAGCTCCAGGCTATGCCGAGAAGAGAAACACAAGACATCATGAAAAGAGGACAGACGGTCAGTTGTACCGATAAACCACTGCTTAACGAAAAGAAGAGAACAGAAATTGCACAACATAACTGGAATCGTAACACAGCAAGAAACGCAACGAAACAAGGGTTGATAATGCGGATGATCTCTTGGCCTGGACCACTGATGGGCACTGGACTCGCGAGGCGAGCGTGCAGATCGATCAAGCGCTAGCAAGCAATGCAAATGCTGATCGTGTATCAGCGGTCGGAGATCATTTGTAGACCGCGTCCACCCACTGCCCCCGAAGGGCTTTTTTGTGACTCATGCACCTACAAGAGCCTGCCGGGCAAGGGGAGGCAGGTTGGCTGGCGAGGAGAGGAGCGGGTCAGTAGAGCGAGCAGGCTTTACAGACACAGTGCGCTGAAGAGTCATGGAGTTGGTTCAGGATAAGAAAAAAAGTATCGATAGACTAGTATCGACGGGCCTGCTCTCATCTCATGTGGAACACGTGACGTGACAGATACCCTCTGCTCGGATGTTCTATTGCCATTGGTTCTGGCCCATGTATCCTTCGCTCAATACACCGTCTTCGAGGGTGCGGATGAAGTCTCGGTTGCGTTGATTGCCGCCGCCGCCGCTAGCTGCTGCTCGGCTGCCGCGTCGTCTTTGGTTGGCGTTTGCATCCACATACCCATCAGGAGGAGGGGGTAGTATGCGGGACTGGGCTGGAGTCGAATCGGTGCATTCGGATCCAGGTGACTCGCCACTCGCTGAATGGTGGTTGGGATACCCTGAGGATCCATGGTGGATGCTCGTTGACGGCCAGCCCGTGTTGTTGCCTGTGCGTAGAGACTCTGAGGGGGAACCTGGCCTGGCCCTGGCCCTGGCATCATTCCCATTTGGTGGCCATAGCCCGGCGGCTGCTGGGTGGGGTATGGGGGTGGTGCACCCTGGTACATGCCGTTGTACATGGGCGGAGGCTGGGTTTGTGGTGGCGTATGGAATTGATTCATTTGCATGGAGTAGGCATTCTGCGCATGCGCAGCCTGGGCCGCTCTCTGTTTGCTGGCGGCCTCGGCACGTTGTTGCTGCTCAACACCTGGGGCGGGCTTGCTGGCAGTCGAGTACTTGAGGTTCATCGGTGGCATGAAAGGTCCAGTGAACTTTTGCTGGGTGATGAATGGGTGCAATTTGGCTTGTTGAGGTGACCACCGCTCGAGGGGGTTGATTGAGAGTAGTCCGCGCACGAAATCGATGAATGCGACCCGGTTGTTCAGTTCTGTGACAGTGAGTAGGATGTCAACCATGGGGCGAATCAGACCTTACCTCGCTCAACCTCTGCTTGCTTCATGTTCTTTCGAGGCATCGGGTAGCTGCGAATGATCTCCTCCAGTGTCGAGGCAGAGAAATACTTCTTGCTGGGTTGTTCCTTGGTGTTGTGTTCCCTCGAGTATTGCTCCAAGGTCTTGAGACGGTATGTCTTCCTCCCGAACTCATCTTGAGTCTTTTCGAAAAACTCGCCTGATTGTTTACCCATCTCGAGCATCCAGGTGGGTGGAATTCCCAACATCTCGACGATTCGACAGACCTGATTGTATTCCGACGAGCCTGGGAAAAGAGGCAGGCCCAGGAAAAGTTCCACGACGATACATCCGAGTGACCACATGTCGATGGCGGATGAGTACGGCAAACCAAGGAGCACCTCTGGGGAACGGTAGAATCGCGACTGAATGTAGGTGTAGACTGTTTGTCGTTCATCGCATGCTGAACCAAAATCGATAACTTTGATGATTGGACTCTCAAGGTTTTTGAGCAAGATATTTTCGGGCTTCAAATCACAATGAATAAGATGCGCCTTGTTCAACAGACTCAACGCGTTCAACAGTTGCTGGGCAAAGACGCGGACGAGGGTCGTACTCAATCCACGGAATTGGTTTTGCTTGATGAGCTCGTAGAGGTTGACACTGAGAAGCTCGAACGCGAGACACAAATGTTGCCGGTGAATGAAAGTATCCTTGAGGCGAAGGAGATGGTGGTCATCGTTCTTGTCGTACTTGCTGTTGAGCTGCAAAGGGTAAGCGGACGTTCGACAGTGCCTCCAAATATGATGGGAGGCTTACCAGATCTAACACAGAGACTTCCATCATACTCTGATTGAAGTAGGCGGTCTTGTTCTTGATGACTTTGACCGCTACCACTTCTCCCGTCTTCAAGTTCTGGCATTTCACGACTTGACCAAAAGTACCCTGGCCTAGCACATCTAGGATGAGGTATCGGTTCCTGAAGTTGAAAAAGCTAGTTAGCTTCGATAGAGACTACACAAGAGAGCGTATGGGCGTACTTGTGACCGGCTTCTTCGCTGCCGAGGATATCGTTGACGTAAAGGATATAATCGCTATCCTCATTATCATATCCGTCGTTCTTCACACCTTTGCTCGGCTTGGTCAGTACTCGCCGCGGGTTCCGTGAAGACTCATAGTTGAATCCTGGGTTGCATATGCGATAAGTGGCCGGAAGGTGGGTGGTCAACGATTGAAGCGGCTGAACGAGCTAGTTAGAATGGCGATAGAACAAGTGGGGTATGCTGAGGACTCACGCTGATGAATCCACCTTCAGGATTAGCGCGTCGATATGCGGGCTGTACATTCATGCGTGGCTGCAGTTCCTGTACAGACTGGATTTTTTGGAACTTCGGGACCGGACCGCGACCGGGGACCAGAGGAGGCTGAGATGGTAGCGAGCCAGATCGCGGAGATCGCGAACCTCCAAATCCAGGACTCATATGGGAGGAGGCCGATGTTGGGTAATATTGATCGGGGCTGAGGTCACCGGATTGGAGGGGTGGGAGACGAGGGGGGCGATTTGCTATCGAGAAGTTAGCAAATCTGTCAAAACTGACCAGCTCCACGAGTTAACACTCACTTGGCGATTGGTATCCCTGTGGGGGTGATGCGTATTCAGGTCGGGCAGGCGACCGCCGAGAAGCACTCTGAGGGCCGGATGGGAATCCATAAGAGCTCTGGGATTTGCCAGGACTAGTGGGATATGACATCGGCGGCGACAGGACATTCATCGGAGAATATCTGCGAGCGGCCGACGAGGCCGACGATTCCTCTGCCTGACTCAAAAACTGAGAGGAGGCGCGATTGTGGTTTGGCCTCGAAGGGTACTTTGCTCGGTTGTACGGGTCGGCGTCCTCCATGGTGGTATCCGCATCGGTGACATAATCCCGACGGGGGGTGGCGGCAGGCGATGAAGCCATCGAGACGGACTTGGAGTTGGTGCCCGCTGAAGGAGGTTTCGATGCAGTGCCAGGAGTTTGGAAAGACTCGTATGTGTATCCGACGGGGGGCTGTGACTGTGGTGGCTGACCGTATTTGGAGGCTAGTTGCTGAGGATGAGACGCCAACCCAGTGGTAAACTGCGCAGGGTGACCCATGAGAGGATCCTGGTACGGCTGCCAACCAGGTTCCATCGTGTATGTTTCGCAAACGAATGGCGAGACTCGAGCTCACCGTTTCGCGCACTGCGATCGGGGATCGTGGGTTGCCAGCGGGGACGGGCACTAGGAATGCGGTAGGTGAATTCTAACGCAATTCGAGGGAGGGACAGAGAGGAATTGGAATTAGAATGAGATCGTGCTGCACCGCATTATCCAGGGAATTGTTGATGAGGACAAGTTCGAAGGGGGAGGGGGGCGGTCGCAATTTGGTTGCGACGCAGTAGACGTAGGCGGCTTGAGGGTTCAGGCAAGTCTGGAGACGGTTGTTGGCACCCGAGAATGACGGGAATCCAACAAGAACAGGGATGGCATCAACAGAAGGTGAATTCACAATTCACAAACACGAGAATATACAGAAGATGCAGAAGAGGGGAAAGGGAAGAAGTGTGGAGGTTGGTGAACCTTGCCCATACCCGCCATGGATTGATCTACGGAGTGCATCATCTACCATTTACTATGAGTTGAGTATATAACAATACATTATAGGCATGGGTGAATTTAAATACATCCTCCCCTTAACTTACTCACCTGGATTGTGGTCTCCTTGGCGACGTGACTCTTTGGCCGCGAGATCGACATTACATACCCAACTATCACTGCCTAATATTTCATGTGCCGTTTGTCCAACACAGCTACGTATATCGGCGTTATAAGTTATATATGACCAGATGGTGCTTTAATGATACCTACAGCTTTGGTTTATACTGGTTTGCACTTTTAAGCCCACGAGTTATGGTATAGTAACTAGATTGTGACGCTACAAAAATGGATGTATTCTATAAGCCAAGACGTATCAACAAAGGCATACGAGGAAAACGAGCTAGTATCAGATATACCTGAGAACCTTGAATGAACTCAACAGGACTGAATGTTTTTTTTACGTCTCGAGTTGTGTTTATCTCCCCTGTCGCTTCTTCTTTGCTACCTGACGACGGATAGTAAAGGACGCTTATAGGCCATGAGTCCTTTCACATCCGCAACTTTTATATATCTATATGATTACAGCACTGTTTTTAAACAGTAACGACCAAGTGCACTCGAAAATGAGCAAAAAGAGGCTAAAGTAGGGAGGAAACAATGCATGAAACGGTATACTGGCTTCGAGCCTGTCGTACAGAGACTGTCCAATACTTCATGCTAACCATACAATTCACCAAGCCCAGCCGATATACAACCATCCATGCTCGTACTGGTGATCGTTACGCCTGATCTAGACGAAGTCTTCCGTGCTGTTCAGGCACTTAGAGAGAACCTCGCGGAATTACGAATACCACTACTTGTCCCTGAAAAGGTTTCCTGAAGAGGATTTTACTCGTAATCTTCGGCTGACATACTACCATGGCCTCGATTTTTCTCGCCTTCGCATCTGGGGATCTGGAATCACATTTCGTGGCGACTTTAGCCTCGCAGGCGCAAGGTCCGCCGTAATTCCCTGAATGTCTCAAACCAGGCCGACGAAAGCTATGTGCCAGGACCCGGTATAACTTCATGGCTGTCTCTGGTTTTAGAAGTCGAATACACTGACCCCATGCCGCAGCTTCGACACGACCCCAAATCTGGTGGAAAGGCTCGGATGGTCTGACTTCACTCATCACATTGGTCGGCATCGATATCAACAGCCCACAGAACGCGATTATCGAGCTCTGGTCTCCAACTCCTGCTGGTGCTCATCTAGGATGCAGGCAAACGCTTTCCATCGCCAATCGCCAGGTTTCCCGTGGGCCTCTTCCGCTAGCTTCGAGCTATTGATGCACCGTCGTCTCCGCGGTGAAACGCCAGAAGATCTTGTCATTCCGGACACAGACCTCACATATCTTTGGTTGCGGATCCCGCAACGTAGGGATATACCCCAGCTTGCCAAGCCGTTTCCCCACAGTCATTACAGGTTCTCATCGGCTTTTCTGAGCCCAGCATTGCTACGCCCACTCTACACTCCTAGCTTGCTAAAAGTCAGATTGTCATTCATTTTTCATTCACGACCAGTGCAGCAGCAAACACATTGCTTTTTATCATACCATTGCAATTCAGCGAGATAGTAAATTAGTTTTTATTTGGCCTTTCCACAGGGTATTTTCATTTCTAGTGGCTGGGCAGCTCCGTCGAGGCGGATCATCTTCCACCTTCGCGTCCTTTCTTAAAACATCGTTTATCCACGTCGTCCTTTCTTTTGTTTTTTTCCCGCATTCCTTTGTTTGTTCTTACTATCCCTGAGCCAGACGCCTGCACAGATCCATATTCTTACCTAGCTACGTGGCTTAATGAATCCGTCATTATTCATAACTCGTTTTCTTTCTTCCTTTCTTCCTTTCTAGGTGTATACACTTAGCAGCATTTCAGACCCTAAATATAGGCAATAAGTGTCATATTTATATGGGATTGATACATTGAACCCCCCTCCCTCCCCCCTATATGGATGCTCCGAACCTCCATGCTTGGAATTTCAAGCACCAGTTGTTTCTGCCAGCAATATTTCTGCCACCTTACCTACCTGCCATCGACCCTGCTTGCAGCACGATTTTGAGATACCTCCATTTACTATGTCAGTCCCTTAGTAAAATTGAGTCACTATCATTCTTTACTACCCACTATACCAACTGCACGGCACTACTCCCAAATAAGAAACAGATGCTGTAAATTGCGAGGCTTGAAGGTCGTCTGAATGTCAATTATTTTGAATACCCAGTTGAGTCCTACAGTATGGTACAGGAATGACTTATTTCTACTAGGGATTTACATAGTAATTGCAGGTACCTAAAGTGTTGATATACATGCAGGGAGGTGCTAACTTAGCTAAAAAAGATAAAAAGTTCGATAGGAAGGCGGTGAAAAAAAGGGTCAAGAAGTGCCTGATTTGTAAGGCAAAACAGGCCAAATTCAGGCCAAATTCAGGCTGGAGGGGAAGGGGGTGTTCAATGTATCAATCCCCTATTTGTAACATACCAATCACACTATCAAGGAGAAGGTCTCAGAACGAAAGAGCAAAACAGCATGGCAAAAGTGAGGTGAGGTCTAAATCCTAGGATTACCTCATTCATGACTCATGAGTCATGTAAAGCGGTATGTTAGGCGGTGACCGATTGTGCCACCATCCGATAAAGATTGTCTCTGAATAGGACTTGATTGCTGCCTTTGCCTAATGTATTTGCTCTATTGAGCGCCACCATGCACTCACTTAGACATCCGTTGCTTTAATCTGTCCTTTATTTTCATTCCATACAATTCGTTTGAACCCTTATTTCACCATGTCTTCTACTGATGAGGCGAGTCGCCTCCGAGACCTTCAAGCCGATGTCCGCAACCAAGATGATCTCGAGAGAGATATCACTCGACAGGTATGAGCTAGCTCTCGACTTGCAGTTAATATAGGCTGACTTTAATCTCAGGCGGATAAAGCTCTTGCCGAAAAGGCCGAAGAGAATGACATCAAGCGACTCGAGAAAGTCCTGGTGGAGATAGAGTATGTGCAGTAAATTCCTCACATCTAATAGCACCGCTAACATCTATGTCAGACGTATCGACACCCAGGTCCGCCGAGCGCACCAGCGCCTTACCCATTCCGTCGGCACCGCCACCCGCCATCGCGTGGAGAATGAGTTGAAGGGATTGGAGGTGCGCAAGGCGGGTCTGGTGAAAGACCTGAAGGAAATTCAACAACGTATTGATGAGAGGCGCCAGTCGCAAGAGAACGCAACAGTAGCACACGGATCCGGGCGGCTGCCGAACGAGTCGCGCCGTGACTACCTTCTGCGAACTGGAAAGATTACCCCGTTTGCGTTGATGAACGCGGGATCCAGAGATGGGCCGCTTGCCAACCTCGAGGATGCGCTTGTCGATACCGAGGATCAGTACAATGAGGAGCAGGAGCGTGAACGGGCCAAGAATGAGCCAGCGGCATCCCACCGTGATCTTGCACGCCCAGATTTCGACTTCGAAGAGAGCAGCAGCAAACGTCGAAAGGTCGCTCAAACTAGTTCCCCAGGGGCAGATTCCTCCGCAAGCTACGTTGCCTCGGAAGGTGCCGAGGATGCATCAGATGAGGAGTTCATGCCTGATACTTTACCCGAAGCAAAGCCAAGTCGAAAGCGCAAACAAACAAAAGGCAAGAGTGAGCTTGAAGACCTGAGTGGAGTGGATGATGGCAATGAGAAAGTCTACCAGGCTCGTGTCCAGGAATGGATCAGTCGGCGTAGCTCTGCTCGACGGGACGCCGCGACTCACTCCATCGAGAATGGGCTGGATGAGGAAGATGAATGGCTTAAGCCACATCCCACTGAACCAGCCATGGAGCTTGACAACGACTTGCGCGTGCCTGGAGATATCAGTCGCTATTTGTTCCCTTACCAGAAGACTGGTGTTCAGTGGTTATGGGAGTTGCACCAGCAAACCGTGGGTGGAATTATCGGAGATGAGATGGGCTTGGGCAAGACCATCCAGGCAATCGCCTACCTTGCATCACTGCACCATAGCAAAAAGTTCACCAAGCCGGCTATCATTGTTTGCCCTGCAACTCTTATGAAGCAATGGGTCAATGAGTTTCATCGCTGGTGGCCACCCTTCCGTGTTTCTATTTTGCACTCATCAGGAAGCGGCATGATGAACCTCGGCAAAGAAAGCAGTCGAGAGAGTGCACTCACATCCGAAATGATGGGAAGTCGCAGCTCAGGCCGTCTATCTGCTGGCCAAAAGGCAGCCAAGAAGATCATCCAGCGAGTCACCCAAGAAGGCCACGTCTTGGTCACTACATACTCAGGCCTGCAGTCATATGCAGATGCTCTCGTTGATGTTGAATGGGGATGTGCCATTCTTGACGAAGGCCATAAAATTCGCAACCCTGATGCCGGTATCACCTTCAGCTGCAAGGAATTGCGTACTCCCCACCGCATCATTCTCTCTGGAACTCCCATGCAGAACAGCCTGGTAGATCTGTGGTCTTTATTTGACTTCGTTTTTCCAATGCGCCTAGGCAACCTGGTTACATTCAAGAACCAGTTTGAGAACCCCATCCGCCAGGGAGGATATGCGTCTGCATCTAACCTCCAAGTGCAAACAGCTGCAAAGTGTGCGGAGACTCTAAAGGACGCCATTAGTCCATACTTGCTCCAGCGCTTCAAGGCCGATGTAACATCCGATCTACCGCAGAAAAGCGAACAGGTCATCTTTTGCAAATTGACAGCTCTTCAGCGAACCATCTACAAGAGATTTCTTGGCTCAGATGACATGAGATCCATTTACACAGGCAAACGAAACTCACTGTTTGGCATTGACATCCTACGCAAGATCTGCAACCATCCTGACCTGGCTGATCACGAATTGCGGTCTCGCGAGGCGGACTATGGTAATCTAGAGCAGTCTGGCAAAATGCAGGTTCTGAAGGGTTTACTCGAGGTCTGGAGAGATACCGGCCACAAAACCCTGCTCTTCACCCAAGGACGTCTGATGCTGGACATCATCGAGAAATTCCTCAATCATTTGGGTGGTTTCCAATATCGCCGAATGGATGGCACTACACCTATCAAGGAGCGCCAGTCCCTGGTCGACACATTCAACAATGACCCTGAAATCCACGTCTTCTTGCTCACCACCCGCGTGGGTGGCATCGGAGTGAACTTGACAGGTGCTGACCGTGTCATTATCTTTGATCCCGACTGGAACCCATCCACCGATCTGCAAGCGCGCGAGCGTGCATGGCGTCTGGGCCAAAAGCGTGATGTCACTATCTTTCGCTTGATGACCAAAGGCACGATTGAAGAAAAGATCTATCACCGCCAAATCTTCAAGCAGTTCTTGACCAACAAGATCACCCGTGATCCTCACCAGCGTGAGGGTTTCCAGTTGAGTGATCTTTACGACCTGTTCTCTCTGACAGATGAGGATGATAAAGAACTGGAGACAACCCAGCTTTTCAAGAATGCGGAGGTTACGTATCAGGAAGAGACGGATGACTCTCGCGATAAGAGGAACCGTGGACGCAAGAGCGAACCCGTTCCGAAGACCGAAGATGAAGATCTAAATGTGGACGGAGTCGCTAAGATCGAAGCATTCAAAGATACCGCCGAAGAAGAGAAAAACTCCAAATCCTCCGAAGATCGCATTATGCACGGTATTTTCGCCCGCTCCGGTGTGCACTCTGCTCTGGAGCACGACCAAATAGTGAACGGCCGTCGTGTCATCCGCGCCGACCCCAAGTTGATTGAAGCCGAAGCTCGTCGGGTCGCCAACGAAGCAGCCGAAGGCCTCCGCCAAGCCGAACAAGAAGCTCGCAACGTCCCAATTGGCCTCCCAACCTGGACTGGCCAGTTTGGCATCGCTGGTCGCTCCGATCCCTCGACCGGTGGTAGCTCTGCTCGGTCTAACCGTGGCGGTCCTTCATCCGCCAGTCTGTTGGCCAACCTTAACCCAGCTGCTGCATCACAATCCAATAGCAACGGTGACGGCATCGGCAACGGCGCTCGTGCCGGTGCTTCTACTGCCCGCATGCCCCGTGGCAAAGATTTTCTCCCGCTGATTCGGGATTATCTCGCTTCTCGTCGCGGTCCAACATTCTCTCACACCATCGTTGAACATTTCAATCATTATTGTAATACTCCAGAGCGCGTGGCTGAGTTTCAGGAATCGCTTAAGACGGTCGCGACGCTTGATCGTGTTGGTGGTAGAGGCCGGTGGACTCTGAAGCCTGAGTTTGCTCGCAATACTAGCAACCAGAGCCAGAGACGCTGAATGGAAACCTGGTTTCATCAATAGAGATGATTATCTAGTCGGTGCTAGATGGCGTCCATTGGGGTATTTCTTTGTTCTTTTTGGGGATGTGCATGTAAGATAGCGAGTTCACGATATTATGAGGAACGACAATATAGATACCCTTGGGTGGGTTTAATTCACAAACATACTAAGTCATGACTGCGCTAGGCATTTGCTGCATATACATGTACTGTACTGTACAGCCACTAATCCGAGGCTAAGAATCTTCGTTGTCCACCGGGCGTTGCTTAAATGCGCCCCCGTGGACCCCTGTTTTTGATTTAATAGTAGTCCACATTGTTTCATACACCTCATTTTTCATCAAATCGCTCATAACTATTACATATGATCTTATATGTGTAAAAAGTATAATCCACAGAAAATGTCTAGGTACAATGTGTTTATCAGTCAAACTTATGCAACATATGATATCATCCGGGTATAACATCAAGAAAGGGGGCTTTCGCACAGTGGAGTATTCTATTTTTGCGACACAGGGGGCCACAAAATCCCTCCTATACAAGTGACGTGAAGTAGATTAGGCAGGAGATTTTGCCCAAATGTCGCATCCACACAATTCAGGGGAAGCTCCACGAAATCTTGGCAGAGAGTTGTTGTATCGACATGCAACGAGTACATGCAACTACAGAGAACAGAGATGGCACAAGGATGTACAAGTATTCCCACAACACAACTTAAGCAGCGAAAATCACCTCACTTGTGAAACGAGAATCACGTTACTACCAAGATCACCCTTCGGGTAGAGATATTGACCGTCACTCTTGCACATCTTGTCTCAGGTATTCCCCGTAGGGAATAGACAGTGGATGAGATCTGCACTCGATCGCAACCCTGACTGGCGCGGATGTTCCAGCTAATGCAGGAACCCACTCACTTGAACTTCCAAGATGTCGATTATAATCACCATGTGGGGGCTGTTCCTTCATTTACCCCATACCTGCCTCTAACGCCGTGGATCAGCCTTGTTCGGTTGGGTAGAGTCGGCTCCGGCGTCCGGTTTGGGGCGGTTTTGAAGCGTTGTGCGTGCCTTGCATGTTGATAATATGCATGTACTTGAAACAAATGCGAATCAGGGCGTCGGAGAGGATTTCAATTGACAGTGAGTGGTGGTGTTAACCTTCGGTACAATATCCATAGATCAAGTATACAAATGTGCATACGGATAAACAACTCGCTTCTATTTTGATCCAAGGATCTCAATCCGGATCGGCAATCAATACAGACGGTAAACTCCACTGTGGGCCATGAGTTCATGTGTTCATCGCCTCGGATCCAACGCATACAGGTATAAAAGGACGCCACAATCCTCGTTGTATAAGCCCCTCTTAATCAAACCCACTCGCTTTCCAACTCTCCTTACTCTCTCTATCCCTACTCTGTTCGCTCCTTACCAACATCACAATGAAGTTCCTCGCCACCATCGCTCTCCTGGCCTCCGCCGTGGCCGCCGCTCCAGCTGAGAAGCTCTTCAACCTGAAGACCTCCGGCGCCGCCAACAGCACCCACAACGACCTGTACCTCTCCGTCGGCCGTGGTATCATCAACGACCCCCTCAACAACGAGGCCCTCTTCGCCGGCGCCCCGGCCAAGCGCGCTGCCACTTTCTACGTCAACAACGGCACCATCCGCTGGGATAGCGGCGATGCCTCCACCCCTTGGGCTCTGGATCTGATCAAGGTCAACGGTATGTTTATTTCTTCATACTCAAACATGAACAGGTTTCAATTTTGATCCAGAATCTAACTAATTGTTATATAGGCGTCCGCAAGGAGCGCGCTCAGGTTAGCGTCGACCCCACCACCGGATCTAAGGGTTTCACCATCGGTCCTAAGGGCTTGCAGGGCCCTGCCAGCAGCTGGGGTGGATGGTTGTGTATGTGTTATCCCCGATTCCTTCCAGTTCCTATCTATCAATAACGCATTGTGACTAACATGTATTCGTACTCAAGGGTGCCCCGTCGACGCCGCCGCAGGCCAATTCTACCCCAACCTGCACTACCTCAACAAGAACGTCCCTCTGCCCGCTGTGCCTACTGGCTGTGACAAGATTAACTTGGAAGTTGTGCCTAAGTCTTCTGCTTAATGGGTTTCCCAACCCCTTGGATAGAGGCAGTTGGTTCCGGTTCTGAGCTCGGTTGAGCATCTGTGATGCATACATGCGTTATTTATATATCCGTGGACCAGTGCTTCGTTATTATTTGAAAATATTTCGATTTGACCTTGTATATTCTACATACCTCGGCGTATAAAACTGCTTTTCTATATTGCCATAATTTATGATGCTTCAATTTGAAATTTGGATTATGTGTATGTGTTTTGAAGATTGGATTCAACAACTTGCATGTTATCATCGAGTGCTATGACGGCGGCACCTAAGTGGCCTTCAAGTCCCGAAGCTTCTCAGTACATATACCAAAATGGTGGATGTGGACCGTACAGTCTCAGCTCTTTCTCTTGCCCTCTCTCGGTCTGACCAGATTTCAATCTCCGCGAAGGACTCAATTCGCCACGGTGGCAGTGGCCGTGTATCGATTGTCTCTAGTTCATCCAATCTTTCTGGGTTCATGTTTCAACGCTTCCCCATGTGGGAAGCGAGCATACGACCCGATATTGTTCCTACGTATCTAGGCTCTCAATAGTGCATCCCGAATGGGGTGATCGAGAAGCAGAGTTAGAGTCTAGTGATAGTATTCTAGGCTCGGTGGATAGGACGGAGTCGTGTAGGAAGGATATATGCTTCCACTTCTAGGGGCTACCGTTCTAAATGCCGACAGGATACGGATTAGTAAAATACACTGCTCTAGCACAGAGGTCGATATCCGAGTCTAAATAGTTTTATATAGATTACTACTATAAGCTGAATATGGAGCTAATATCAGGGAAAGAGTGGGTGGGAAGAATATCGAGTTCATAAGAAGTTGGCATTGTCAGTCCCAACACTTGCAAAGGATAACTTGCATAGTTCCCAGCATCTATGATGACCGGCTAGTTTTGATCGGCTTCGGACGCTCGACCCAGTCAAATGGACCACATGGCTTGGTCAACCACACATCCTCAGGGCCTGCAGCCCCTCTCGGGTGGGAAAGGTCGAACAGAGTGCCACTTAAAAAGCTATGAGGGAATCCATGATCAAATTCATACCCGGTCTCAATCTCCTCAATCTCTTCGTTCGATAGCGAGACTGCCAGACCGGGAATGCTGCCTTTCAGATGGTCGACAGTCCGGCCACCAATAATGGGAAATACATAAGGAGCTTTATGCAAGATATACGCCAACGCGATATTCAATAGTGTCACACCTCCACCCTTCCTGTTGGCGATTTTCTCCAGGATAGCGGCAACTTGCTTATCCCGCGCGCACACGGGAATGAATTTGCGGCCATTATTCGACTTCTCGCGGGCCTCGTAGCCTTCGGCCGTCTGGAAATTGCCCGCATTTAGTGTCGCGTACGGGGCCAGCCCCATCCCTTCGTCGGCGCACATGGGAATGATGTCTCGTTCATGGTCTCGCCTCGCGGCATTCCACTTCCCTTGATACACCGAAAATTGTCGCAGCCCATGCTGGCGGGCGTACGCGTTTGCTTTGGTCACTACCCAAGCAGGTGTATCCGAAATACCGAGGTAGTGCACCTTTCCTGACACGACCAGGTGATTGAGGCTCTGCATCAATTCCGGGATCGAAGTTGTGTAGTCCCACCAGTGCACGTAGAACAGATCGATGTAAGTGGTCTGAAGCTTGCGCAGGGACTCGTCCACAGAGTGGTTCATGGATTTTGTTCCGGTGCCGACGAAGTTAGCCTGGATCTTGTCTTTGTGGTGCAGCATATACCCGGAGGTATACTTAGTGGCTATCACGAGCTCGTCGCGGTTCTTGCGGGAGGCGATCCATTCGCCTAGCCAGACCTCGGACTGGCCGTCTTGGTAGGCATTTGCTGTGTCGAAGAAGTTGCCACCGTTGTCGTAGAAGAAGTCCATCATTGCGAAGGCCTCTTCTTTGCTGCATTCGCCGTATCTTTCGGGGTGCTTACCGCCAAATGTCATTGTGCCCAAGCATAATGGCGAAACTCGAACTGAGGCAGACGGGGCCAGCTGGCGGTAGCGACCCAATACGCTCTTTGGATCAGTACACATTGTGGAGTGATTAAAAAGGAAGTTTACAATGTATCGGTTTTTAGACTGACTTTTGGACAGAAGCAATCTGAGAATGAAATTACCGAGATTATATAGAATTTGACCACAGACTGGTTCAAATTGACATCAACCCCATAACCCGATAATTAACATGCATGTCATCATCCACCCTGTCATCAATGCTCTTAGTTCCGGTCTCCGATGGATTTAAGGTGTGGGGCAACCTTTTTTCTCGGTGCGGCAAAGATCGTAAGCACTAGCTTCTGATCTTCTCAATAGTGGGCACTGGGATTACCAATGATGGATATTGAAAAGATGACCGAATTTGTATCACGCGCCATACTTCAAGATTGGCTTGATTGATCGTCTGTACACAAAGCTATGATTGTTTTCCTGAGTAGCAGTGATCGTGGGTATATAAAAAGTCACATGGTAGTGTCCATTGTATTTAATTTAACCTATAACGAATAGACTCCACTATAGGGTTAGGTAACCTCTATAAGAAAAGGTACGGGCCCAACCGACAAGGATAACTCGGAAGAACTTTCAATACCTACTACAGCGGGTGCTATTTACATTAACAATGCAAATCTCGGGGCTGGAAGCTTTTAACAGATATCGCGGCAGTCTACTCCCAGGTTCTAGTTGAGCGAGAGCCAGAGAAAGTCCGCCGTGACCGTTAAAATCCTAACTACTGCGTAATCCTGAGACACGCACAGACGTGTTCCCGCAGGATCCACAGTAAGCAGCTTGCAGTTATGTACATTTCCTTACAAGTCACCGACCAGGGCCATAACCTTTCCTCCCCTCGTATGGGTATTGTTTACGGGATGCTCTGACTCCCCTCCTGTAGTAACGTAAAGGATGTCGCGACCATTTGGGAATTTGCCAAACGCCACCGAAGTGGCAGTCATCAAATCCTTCGAGTCCAAAGAGCCTGCTATAATCTTGTGTGATCCATTGGGAAAGACCTTGGTAACCACATTGTCTGTGAGCCCCGCTAAGTATGCAACACCGTTTGAATTAACGGCAAAGTCATCCGCGAGAACATTGTGAGCAATGGTCTCATAAGGGCCCAATGCTCCACCGGTATGTCTATCGATATGAACACGACAGAAGATTCGCCGAGGGCTATTGTTGTAGTACATATAGCCGTTCGTGATCCTCAATCCGTTGATCCCGAGCATTAAGCCTAGCTCATCGGTCGGTGCCATTGTTTCATCCTGATGTATCACGGTATAGTTACCCGTATGAGTATTGAGACGCCAAACAAGACCCAACTGAGAATCTGAGATGGCGACTGATCCCCTTTCTTCATCCAATGTAGCCATACCGTTCAGGGTCCCAGCGGGAAGTGTGGCAATTTGAATCGGCTTCGAAACATTCTGGCAAACATTTAGATCGACTTTCCAAACAGAATTAGATGCAACGATCGCATAAATATCTGGTGAAAGCTCCGTGATCCCGTTCACAGAGTCCGCCGTGTCAAAGTAGTAAACCAATCGCGCCGTACTGCGTCCTAAATGTGTCGAAGGTGTGATCTCCCAGAGTTCTGGTGTATTCACAAGTGTCACGAGGAGATTTCCATTGGGCCGCACGGCGATGTTTTCAACCCAGGTACCATTGGAGAACCTGTAGACGTCGTACAGGCTGGGAGTTGGAGAGGAACCAAGAGCGCAAAGAACTGTAAGGAGAAATACGATGAAAGCCATTCCGGACGCCATTGTCTGGGATGAGAAGCAGAAAGTGCTAGATCTGACAAGGACGCGCGGAAGATTGTGATGCTAAATGTAGCGGGCAAATCACTGCTCTTGCTTCTAATTAGCTGTGAAGGAATACATGTATTAGTATCCTTTCTATAATGGATCTTCTCCCGCTTCCCAAAATGGCCTACTTTCGCATATGCTGGATGCTTATTATACGTCATGGTTAACCCTTATGGCGAGCCAATAAAAGTTGCTTCAGACGCAAGGAAAGTGGGCCAACTTATGCCGAGTAATTGCACTCAAGAACATTTGGCTGGTTGACGTATGATAAGCAGCTTCCCCTGGCTATAATAAATTACGCAACCTACTTTAGGCAAACCTTGAATCTGTTCCCAGTGGGTTCGATCCGAAACAAGCCAGTTTGGAAATCACCTTGTATTTCTCAATGACTTAATATACTGGTTCCTTGCAGCGATGTGCGTGCCTGCAAATCGCAAAGAAGTACCCAGAATGGGTGAGCGTTTTGCCATATACATCATGAATTTGATGTTCATGCAAGTCAAGGTCCTTGGCAAGTTCCCCAACTCGCGCTCTCCCTTTGCCAAGGAAATTTGGTTGCATATAATTTGGCGCCCTTGTCGGTGCCCTGGATCAAAATACTCTACAACACAATTTCCATCTTGCCCAGCATGCTTCTATACAGGTTGTTGTTTGCCGCTTTCTTACTATCTTTATCTGCCGTTGCATGGCAACACGAAACGAATTTGAGCACCGCCAATCTACTCAGCGCAGGTTGTGCCGAAGCAGTAGGCTCTATGATAGTATTCTTTGATGGGTGCTTGCTGACATTGAAAATAAGTGCGCAGAGCTATCGTCTGAGTTTGGACCCAATCTACACTATCCAGCCGATGGAAATTTCACGGTTTGGGACGCCAAACAAACGGAGGTTGAATCCGCCTGCCGTGTGGAGCCATCCAATCCCCAAGATGTCAGCAAGATCCTGAGCATCCTGGTCGATCATTGGTGTCGGTTCGCAGTTAAGGGCGGAGGTCATGCTCGCAATCCAGATGACTCGGTGTCGGTTGGCGGCGTGACCGTCGATATGCACTTGATGAGATCCATCCAGGTGGCTCCCCATCGAAAAACGGTGAATCTTGGCAGCGGCCACGTCCTTTATACAATGTATCACGGCCTTGAAGCGTTTAATCTGACCACGATCGGCGGTCGAGTCGCTGATGTCGGACTGGGTGGTTATGCCTTGGGCGGAGGGATTTCTAACCTTTCACCTAAATACGGCCTGGCCGTAGACAACATCTTGGAATATGAGGTACGTGTTGAATAAGCCAAAGCAGCGGCGATACGTCCGCATCTTGACTAATAGGGAGGAACCTTAGATTGTTCTGCCGAACGCGACGATTGTGCATGCGAGTGAACATCATAATCCTGACTTGTACTTTGCACTCCGAGGTGGAATGAATAATTTCGGTATCGTGACGCGCTATACCATGCGCGCAGTGCCTCAAAAATATATTCTGGGCGGCGACAAGACGTACAGCTCAATCCAGAAGGACAAAATCGCCAATGAAGCCTTTGACCTCACCACCACTTGGAAGAACGACACTGATATGGCGTTCTCCTATGGTTACAGCTATGACCAGGCATCGGATCAACTTTCCCTTAGTTTCACGCATGCATATACGCAACCAGTTCTCCACCCAGCTCCCTTTACCCGCCTCGAAAAGATTCCATACAAGTCAAGTACGGTGCGCATTGATCGAATGAGTAATCTGAGTCTAGAAGGCGCTTCTCACACCCCATCCGGGAGCCGGTAGGTTTTCTTACCGTCTAAAATGAATTCGCGACTCTGTCTAATATTGTTGAACTCGAAGTAATCTGTTCGCTACCATGACATATCACCCATCCGCAGACATGGACCGACGCATCATGGAAATCATGGCCGAAGAGATCCAGCCTATCAAACACGTGGCAGGTTTTTTCCCCAACGTTATTTTTCAACCTCTCTACGAAGGTGCAATCCGCGCGGGCCATGAAAGGGGTGGAAATGCTCTTGGGATCAAAGCCGATGGTCCCCTGACCAGTGAGTTGCCTATTTTGTCAACAGAACTATTCTTTACCTCCCGCATTCAGATGCTGACAATTACCTCTTGTACTAGTTTGTCTTCTAACAGTGATGTGGTCTGATCGGCAAGATGATGATGCTGTGAATGCATTTGTCCAAAAGTGGATTCAACGCGTACAAGCCGCTACTGTACAAGCCGGAAGCCACCATCACTGGCTTTACATAAACTACGCGTACCACCAGCAAGACCCTTTCTCTGGATATGGCCAACACAACAAACAAAGGCTGATTGATGTGCAAAAGGCGATCGACCAGCGGGGAGTGTTTACCTCTCGAGGTTTGTGTAGAGGTTATTTCAAGTTGCAGTAGCAACGGCATTGTACAAGTGTCGCGAGTGATTACCTATGAGATAAGATCAACAATATGAAATGGCCCTTCAGTCACACTAATTCATGAATAACTATAACCGTAGGCATTTGCCTATTGGTTTAACAATAGGCTCATAGCAGTGATGCCCCACTGAGTTTTAATAGGTATGTTCAAATCTCAAACATCAGAGGTTCTTCTCCACGTATTCCGCGCCAATAATTGGTTGATCTGGCAAGGTCATCACATCCTCTGACGACCCAGTTCCATTTACGCAAGAAAGCCTCGCTAACCTCCCACCCCGACGGATGCCATGGACTTTGCCACACAATCAAGCCGGTCTCATCGTTTGAAACATCATAGAAATCAACAAGGTCATTGCAAAGGGCAGTTTCATCGAAGTTTCCATGTCTTCGTAATAGGTTATTCCTCATTTGGGGGATCGGGAAGAGGCCTATCCACGGGTGATGAGAAATCTCCTGTTGCAAAACAGTAGGACGGAGACCCGCTGGGCAAAAGCTGATTCGAGATTCAGGTACACCTTCACACCATGGGGAAATGGCTTCTTCATCTAGCCAATCCATAGTAAATCTCAGCACGGACGTGTTGTCCACAAGCGCTCGAAAAACGTTGAATTGGATCAGAGTCAGGAGTTGATCGACTCTTGGAGAGCCTAATGCGTAGTCTTTACGAGCCGAAGCCTCGTATTGTGCCATGATCTGCTGAATCTCCGCCCGATTCATTTTGTGAATGGATTTTGTTGTTTGATTACTCAATTCAGATGAAACTGTATCTTGATAGCTTCTCCCATTGCTTGCGGCCGCGTTGATGCATTTCTGCTCATTTTCTTCAAGTCGTTCTTCCGTGATTTGAGGGCTCTTTGATAGCTCTGACGTTGCGGGATTTGTGTCTGATTCAGGAGTAGGTTTTGCTCGCCTTCGTCGACCTAAGACCACAGTCCAAGGTCAGCCCAATTGCCGCGCTTATAAGTGAGAGAGAGCATACGATAAATCCTCTGGTTCAAACGATTTTGAAACTTTCGCCGAAGCACTGGGTCAGTGAGACCAACCCAATTCTCTTCGGCCTAACGCACTTCGGACAGCTTTGGCATGCAGCCTACTGTAAGGGCTTCCTTATGTCCATGGGATGTATTAATATTGTTAGTCATATTCATTGAGGTTTATGAACCGGAAAAGACCTGACAAGCCTTGTAAATAATCTAACCTTTGTCCGCCATGAGACCTTTCAGGGAACCCTAAACATAAATATGGGTGTTGATGACGTATAGTAAGCAGGTTGCATAGGTGCCCATACGTTCTCCACTAATATATGCTGATGCAACCAATCCGGTTGATTGTAGGAGGACGATCCTCGACCTGGCCCAAGCTGGCTGGAAGCATCGAATGATACGTACTATTGTGGCACTATACCAAATGGCTCTCAATGCCATGCCCCAGAAATTACAGTGTCTTTGCAGATATGATGACACCAATAAATGCCGAGATGCCGTGGATTCCCCCTGTCAGCCTGATTCAGGTGTATCGCCGACACCAATAGGAAGTAGGCCGAGATTCCTTGCCGTGCCCGAACTCTTTTATTATCCATCGAATCTTAGGCACATATCCGTAGTTGAGTCTTCGTCTGTTTCCAAATTTGGCGCTACAGGTGGTTGTTGCCTGTACTTATGGAATACAATTGGAGGCGAAAATAGATTTCAGTTTTACACACTCTTCAATGTCTCCTTAATCGTTATAACAATATAACAGTACTAACTCAGTATAAGCTACATGTACGTTATCGCCATCACTTGAGACATCGTAAATTACCGTTATATAATTTTATAATTGCATTCATCATCTGACAGGCGCTGAAACAACTACAGATTCCTCAACGAAGCCTGCAACAAGCTCATCAATGGTTTACTGAGGATATAGTCGGGCAAAAGGATTCCCTGTTACGCCTTTTGAACCGTGAACAGCCCACCGTGGGCTAATCTAAGACCTTTTCTTCAGTTCGTCAGTTGCGCCGTGCGAAAATTCGTGCTGCCGCTCGCGATGCGCTTTGTTTCTGATCTCACATATCTTCCATGATCGCAAAGCGCAGACACTAGCACCACCACCACAAAAAAACATGCAACTAACAAATATCTGTGATGCCAGATACCCCGACTGTGAGGCAATTTGTAGAGCGATAGGTTCAGCAAACGTTGTAGGCCGCACTAACAAGAGACATATCATGCTAAATGCGGAGGGTAAACGCTGCAGTCCCATCACTTCTGTTTTAACGGGTGTTACACAGCCCCAAAATGTCCCGGCTACTGTCCCGCTTGTGATAGCAAAAATCAAGAGAACAGGATACGTTTTAGCAGGAATCCAGAGTACTAGACAGAGAAATCCACAGGCTGCCGTCATTACAGCGGCGACGTTGATACGACAAAAAGCATCGGAGCAAAAGCCAACAATGAGTCTTCCAACCGCGAGGCCCAAGTTTAGGAGCGCTCCTATTACCGACCCTTAACGAGCAGAAAGGCCAACTGAGCTGGCGTAGTTCGGCAATGGATATAGTAGCACAATGTAGCTTGGCTCCGTCAGGAGCCCCCAGGTGATCACCAAAATAACCTCGACATAGCTGTATTCGCGGAAGTTAAAGACCTTGTCCCGAGGCCTCACAGAACTCTTGCGGTCCATCAGTAAAAGCGAGCTAACAAGCTTCGCCGCTAGGGTGCAAAAGCCAGGAGCCGATACGTCCATTTTAGTCCCACGGATTCTATGGCAGCACTGGCGCTCAAATTGTAAGCCAGGCGGCCTAACCCAGCGCCTTACGCTGCAATACCAACAGCTAGGCTGCGTTCCTTCCCAAACCACTGCGGAAGAACTGCCATGGCAGTTATGTATAAGAAGCCCAGTCCATACCCGAATAGAAGGCCTTGGCTGAGAAAGAGATGCCAGATTTTGGCTGAGAATGATGCATGTATCAAGGAAAGAGACACCAGGCCTGTGCCTATTTACATGGTGATCCGGGTACCGAGCCTGCGGTTCGAAGCGTGTATAAGAGGCAATATCAATAGAGCTCGAGATATGGCACGACCACCAATTAACGAATATTCTAGGTGGGTGGCGCCAGGAAAGGTTGAATTGGATTAGTAGTAAGCGAGAAAGATACCCCATGCCTGCCAGCGGAAGTCAGTATCACTAGCCAATCCAGCACATACACTGTTCACCCCCAAGTGTGCGCATTAACCAGAAATACACACAAAGTGCAGATCCAGCTGTAGCCACCATCTGGTGGAATATCTTCTAGGTAGCTATGTTCGTAAGAGAACCCGTGAATCCGGTTTCAAGTCCCACAGAAGTGGTATTTGAGTCATCGCCGACAGCGGGGGGCCGCGCTTGAATCTCCATGCCAGTATTCGACATCATTTCGACCTCGTTACGACCTGCTCTGTTCATGTTCGCGGCGAGCCGTGAATGTCATTTAGTACTGACTAACTTTTTTCTTTGAAGCCAAGCCCAAACCTGCAATTATGCCAAGCTCCCTAATCATCGAAAATGGCTTCAACCCCGACGCCAAGTTATGAAGCCCACCGAAACATTTAGCGGTGACGTCTCCTTGGATCCTATCCACATGGGCACAGACGCAGCGATTGCCTATTTCACAGTTACACCTTGTGCCCAAACACATTGGTATACCCATGAGAAGGGCCAGATGATCAAAGTTGTCGCCGGTAGTGGCCGGATCTGCGACAAGGGAGGTGTTCCCCGGTGTTTGAAGACTGGCGATGTTGTCTGGGCTCCGGCTAGGAATATCCACTGGCATGGAGCAGATGATTCCAGCATTATGACACAATTTGTTATTGGAATTGGGAGTACTGTCTGGCATGTTGCTGTGACTGAGGGGGAATATAGCGAGAAGGTGAATAACTGAGAATGACATGCCATAGTTACTGATGTTCACCACGTAGCATGTTGCTTTAATTACGTGGTGCAAACCATTTTTTTTTTTTTTTTTTTTAAATGGATAAGTAGGAAGGATCGACATTTTGGCCTAAAAGGGCTAGAATATAAGCAGAACAAGCAAGGATCTGGACTGCTATCACCCAGTTCCAGGGGTTTCGCATACTACATGCAACATGCTTACGCGACTAAGCCCAATTGGTCAAGACCCGAACCTAACAAGTATATGGCGATCTACCATCCGGATGCACAGTCTCGACTATAAATCTCGCCTCGGTGAAACATGATGGTCTTTATCTTTCTCTCTTTCTCAATTCAAGCCATTCTTTCATCATGGCACTAAGTAACGCCACTGCTATCAATGCAACGATGCGAGCGGTCGTATGGGAAGGCAATGCTTACAATGTCAGCGTTGTTGATCTGCCTAGGCCAACCATCATCAATCAAACCGATGCTGTTGTTCAGCTGTCCAGAGCAGCTATATGTGGATCGGACTTACACATCTATCGTGGTACAAATGTGGGCGAGCCTGCTCCATTCGGCCTTGGTCATGAGGGAGTGGGTTATGTATCTGAGATCGGGTCTGGCGTTGGCTCGCTGAAAGTTGGTGACCCGGTGATTGTTCCTTTCACCATCGACGAGGGTCACTTGCACTCTGATCTGACCTCGCACATGTATGCTTCATACGGCAACGGAGGAGGTATAGGCGGAACACAAGGTAGGCGCTCCCTCGTACTACATGTCTTCGATATCAGCTAACGGAAATCAAACAAGCTGAGTATCTACGCGTCCCCTACGCGGACAATGGTCTCATCCCTGTCCCTTCTCTGGAATACACGAACTCGACGACAAACGAGACCGTTTCACTGGCAAATGACTATCTTATGATGTCCGATATCTTCGCCACTGGCTGGGCTGCCCTCGACTTCGCTGGATTCAACCCAGGCGACACTGTGGCTGTTTTTGGAGCCGGACCGGTTGGCTTAATGGCTGCATACTCAGCGATGCTTCGAGGTGCTTCCACTGTGTACAGCGTGGACTATGTACCCGATCGGCTGCAACTAGCCAAATCGATTGGAGCCGTCCCAATCAACTTTCTCGATTCCGATCCAGTGACGCAGATTTTGGCCCTCGAACCGAATGGGGTTGCTCGAAGTGTTGACGCAGTTGGGTACGAGCAAGTGAACACAAACCTCACAGTCCAGTCGGACGTCATTATTCGCAACATGTTGGCTGTGACATCCCCGGGTGGTGGCATGGGCACCGTTGGAGTTTATGGCGCAGAATCCAATAATACGGCGTCGGCGCCGCGTGCTTCTACCGTCAACACACACTTCAATTTCTCACTTACGGATTTCTTTTTTGGAGAATTTAAATGGGCAGCTGGGCCTTCGAAGCCGATTGAGCTCGCGCCGGAATTGTTGCATCTTGTTTCTTCAGGCAAGGCTAAACCGGGGTTTATTGTCAGCGATGTCATTAATATTGAGGATGCACCGGAGGCCTATGCCAGATTTGAGAGACATGATACCACGAAGGTCGTGATTGATTTTGGTCTGTAACGCCGCATTGGGATTGTCAGCGCACTTGGGCCACTACATGTATCATATCAGGCAAAATATGTACAATTTCAGGTGTACAACATCTTGGAGGTGCGTTTAGATGCGATTTGGGTGGAGAACTTCGACAAATGAAAGAAACGATGTTCAGAAATAGAGTATAGGTCAGCGGCTTAACTCCGAGATCTCCGGGTGATTATCTCCCGATTTCGGCTTCCGCCGTCAGCTTCCATGTTTAAAAAGTTCGAGCCTTCGTTAGTCTTTTCAACTATTCGAAGAGGCCCTAGCACAAATAAAATTATCTATGAATCAGTCCGCAACGACCACTGCAGTAGTTCGAGTTGAACTATTCTGATTTGCGTGGACAAATGACCTGTCGATCCATTGAATTGTCCGCATCATCGGCACCGCAGGATCTGGTTTCGGCAACATTTTGCTTTTACTTTGTCTGACAAGCCCTCTGGTTTACACCTATTCTGTCTACGCCTCGTCGGCCTTTACAGCTACAATTGTCCTGCGGTCAATAGTCGGTGCAATATTACCGCTCATCACGCCCGATATGTACGCTAGACTGGGGGTTTATTGGGCGTCAAGTGTTCCTCCAATTTCGTCACTTGCCTGTGTACCCATACCTATCTTGTTAATTTTCATGGTCCCTAAATCCGTGAGTAATCTAAATTCGCCCAAGAAGAGAGAAACTTGCAGGATTCGGTCAATTCCGCTCATCAGGGGAACCCACGATGAAGCGTATGTTTAGAAATAGAGCGAGTCAATTGCATAGTCAATACGCTATTTCTGTTTGATAATTCACAATCCAGTCATTCTATACAGCAAGAATCTAAAAAGTGTGATTGATGGAAGCCTGTTAGTGAGCCTCAACTCAAGCAAGCGGCTGAGATAGGAAAGCCCCACCGACAGGGATGATTCGGTACATATAACTGTATATCCATTGCTGCATCCAATCTTGGCGTTCTAAAAAATCGAAACAGGATTTCTTCATATGCTCTCTTTATAACAAAAAACATATAACACGGCTCCACTCCACCCAACACGAACTCCTAACAGATCACACATTCAGATAGTCAACCGGCCTTGGCGGCCTTGGGAGGATACTTCTTTCCATCCTTCTCGACCTGAGGCGTGCAGGTACACCAGTCACATGTGGGGATTGAATCCATGACGGAAGGGATGTGGCTACCACAGCCCCACCAGGTGGCCTTGTCTACCATAGCCAGTTAGCTAGTGATTCACTCAGTGATCAATTGACACTTACTGCAGGACGAGCAAGTAGCCTTCATACACATTATGAATAGGTTGGATGTGAATGTTAGAGAGAGATGTGCGTAGACGAGATATGAAGCTATCTTTGCCATGGAAGCGGGAGATTTTATATGCTTTTTGGCGATATTAGTCATAGCCGTCGATTGGGTCGCCGACGTCTAAAGCCCGAAACCCCGAGGTGTTATCGGTGTCCATTTTTAGGGATTTGATTGGGGTCTGGTTGTGACGCATCAAGCTGAGAATTGGCCGCAGATCTCAGAGTCTTCGCTGCCGTGAAGGCTGAGCTGCGAAAGAAGTAAAGTGTCGAAAATTTGAGTGGGGCGGATATCGCGGGGAATCCGCCGATATTCAACGTCAGCATTACAACCCCTTCCTGATACCGGGATTCAGAGTATAACTCGTGTTGGACGTGCAAATCAATCATGCCTGTTATTGCTGTGGCTGGTGGCAGTGGTGGCGTTGGGAAAACTATCGTGGAAAAGTTACTCGAGGAACCTAAGTTTGACGTGGTCGTGTTGTCTCGCAGTGTATGTCTGTTCAGTAACTTTACTTGACAAAGTACTGATAGTGTGATTTATTAGGTGAGACAGGACCAAGGTCTGCAGAAGGTTCAAGCCGTGCAGATTGACTACGATGATGTCCACTCGATGACACAGGCGCTTGAGCGACACAATATCCACACCATCATATCCGCGATTGGCTTAGTTTCTGATGAGGCGAGTCAATCTCAGTTGAACTTGATCGAGGCAGCAGACAAGTCAAATGAAACAAAGAGATTCGTTCCCAGTGAATACTCGTTTGTGCAAACCGCCGAGTAAGTTTCCAACTCCAACTGTGCGTTTTGTATGCTTACAATTTGGCAATAAAAGTTTGCTTTCCATTGACCCAAGTATTCAGTGGTGGCTCGATGCGGCAACTCGTCTGAAGACCAGTAGCCTGCAATATACCAGGGTGATCCCTGGCTTTTTTATGGACTACTGGGGAATGCCACATGTCCAAACCCATTTGCAGCCATTTAGCTTTGGAATTGATATATCCAGTGCCACGGCGGCTATCCCAGGAGATGGTAGCAATGTCATTTGTATGACATACACGTACGACATGGCTACTTATCTGGTCAAGGCACTTGATCTCAAGGAATGGCCTGAGTTCAGTGTTATTGTTGGGGATGAAGTTACCTACAACCAGATTCTGAGCATGGCTGAAGAATTTACTGGTAAGGATGCTGTACACTTAATTTCAAATCTTTATTTTGCTAACAGTTTCTCAAACAGGCAAAAAGTTCAATGTCACTTATGATAGCGCAGACAAAATCAACTCTGGTGATGTGACTGTCCCTGTCCAGCCAGAGGGAGTCGACTCCTCCACGGACGAGCTTAAGGAAACCACCGCACTAGTGAGCAGACTCACTATCAACAACGTGTTCAAGCTGCCGGGAGATCGACTCAACGCTCAATTCCCCGAGGTCAAGCCAATCAAGATGCGCGAGTTCTTACACAAGGCGTGGAAACAACACTGTGCATAGATGGCTTCCTACCCGGAGTTTTATATTACAAAGGCACCGTTCAGTTTAATAGAATTATTGCGCGGAGCTTAATGTAAAGAACGAGTTTCCATGATAACAGAACGTAGACAGCGAAGCTACCAATCGATTATTACTTCCACCAAACAATTTTGAAGCTCTCAGTCATCGATGATATCCCCGGGCATTCCTCTTTCGAGTCAAATTATCCGTCAAGACTCGGAATCTAGCAGACAGGGCCAGGACGATCAACTCCAACGCAGACCTGCCGTCCGGGAATGAGGTTGGAGCACCAGGGGTTAATATCGGTGTTCCAGCACAAGAGTTGTCTCATGGTGAATTTGTTCTGGTTGCGTGAGATGATGTCCCAGCAAGTATCTCCAAAGCCAACTGTATAGTAGTCGACGCCTGTTTTTGTGTTAGCTTGGCTTGAAAGACCCAGTATATACTTTGCAGTCACTCACAGAATTCTGTCATCTTCCAGGCTGTTGCGTCCACGTCAACTTTGGTAGTATCGACGGCCACGGAGGCACCGAGGGAAGCGACTCCCAAGAGACATGCGATGTTTCTGATGGTGATGGCGACCATTTTAGATTTGGTTTGGTGGATTTTCAGGACTGTGGAAATGGAACTGGATTTGTTGCTGATTAAAAGACGCCTGTAGACAGGATTTGTTTGTCAATTTATATCCGTGATCCTTTGAGTTCTGATCAAAGTATGGACCCTTTGGTATGAGGTTTTTCCCTGTCAGGCATGTGCATACCACTTGGAAAGTACGGTAACTACAGATCGGTCCGTAGCTACTTCGGCTGCAAGTTGCATTCGATTTCTGTCACTGCAACCGTGGCTTTTCTCTGACTCTGGTGCTTTTGAAACAATACGAATAGCAGCATCGCAACAAGCTGAAAATGAGCCAATAGTTTCAATGAGATCAACCCCATGGCCTCTTGTCTTGGTATTCTTTTGTTGTTTCAACTGTCTCGGTGAGACCGGCTACATTCTGTCTGTTCTACGGTTACATTGTCCGTGGATATAATTATCAGAGAGTAACCCACATCAGGGAAACCTAGCATTTGACGTATACCGTAGTGTGACGATGACCCGGACCATGTCATTCATCTGGAGTATAGCCAGGGTAGTTCAAACATATGCTCGAGGCATATGTGCTTCATATCACAGATTGTGGGGCAAGCTGGGTCAAGTGAGGCCGGTATAGAGAAGCGAATAGAAGTTGTCGATGCAAGATAGGCTTGGTGTTGGCTTGAGGCTATTTGCTAGGTAGCAAGGATTGTTATACAGAGTGACATTAAAAGCTGCATCAATGACACCGGGCAAACGGTGGTAGCCGGTATCAGAAGGACAAGAAGTATCGGTGAGCATTTTAGAGCACGTCCAATGTTTCGAGTTTTGAGGTCTGGGGCCGCTTCTAAGTCGAGACCGCATCGCCTTAATATCATGGAAGGAAACACAAAGATCAACCAGTCGAGTTGAATGATATTCTTGGCAAGTGATACTCAATTTTGACAACTCTGGTATTAGCCAAGGTATTGGTATCACAAGTTCCGCTAATGTTTGCTGTCTTGTCTGGCCCATATAGGATGAATCTTACATCCATCGAGGACTGCTTGTGAAACAGGCATGGACTCTCTAACTGCGTATCAAGTGATTACAGGTAGTGACTCATACAAGGCACTCTAGTATAGCAATATATAGATCAACATATGTGCGGGGAGTTCGAAGTCTTCTAGAACGGCAAGGTGTTCTACGCCACTTCGGGCGTTGCACGTTAGGGCCTCCCCGACGGATGCCCACAGGTGGTACACATTTTCCGAATTTCGATCACGCAAGATGAGAGCTATCGCAGACTATGGAGCAGAGAACCGGAATTAACAAAGCATGTATGACAGTGCTCTACGTCTCTAAATCTTGTATACTTTGGTATCTTGGCGTCAACTTTTGTATTGTATCCGACCAATTGGAGATATCAATGGCTCTGTATTTCATCACCTCTATTTCCTGCTGTTTATTGGGCAATTTCTAAGTGCCCAATGAGTCCTCGGGCATAGTTTATATCCGAAGCATTCAGATCATTTATAGATCCGGTTCCATGCAGTATTCGTGAGTAATGCTGACAGTGTGGTTGCCGGAGGCAAGAGCTAATGCTCAGCATGTTGATGCCTGGGTGCCTGGGTGTCTGGGTACCTGGGGCTTCTAACTCGCACAGACCCGAAGTTTCGATGTAAAGCGATTCTCGGAAAAAACGACGATGGTTTTGAGAGCTGGATAGATTTTCAGTATCAGAGGCAAGAGATAAAGCCGCTCAGCCGTGGCGATACTAATCAGGTATTCTGTTTCATGGATGGGAACGCTAGCAATGCTGTACGCCTTCCCAAGATATGTGTCGATTAGCATCTATACTCTGTCGAACAAACATGATTGGATACTTACTTTACAAAGGCATGCAGCGTCTGCAGACGAAAGAGGTTTGATGGGACTCGACCGGTCTGTACCCCCTGCAGGACATTTCAATTACCTTGCAAGTACGAGGATGCCGTGCGACACAAGGAAAAGCCCAACCGGTAAGCTACCCAACGTTCATCCACGGTCAGAGGTTAATCTAGCCTGGCAGCAATAAATATATGCATAAAATGGGAGAGCGCATTCGATCCTTGCAAGAGAAATTGAATTAAGCTCGTGCTTCCAAAAGTCGCCGAGTGCAGTGTGACTCCCATAGAGGGCCAGAGCATGTTCAACATTCAGATTCATCCGATTCCGAAATACCCACTCCGAGAGATAATACCAGTCAAGCGGCTTTTGAGGCCGAGGCCTGTGGAGGTGATCGCGACGAAGGGTCATATACCCTCAATAACCCAAAAGGCGCAATGCGCTTCTTTGGTAAGTACTCGCTCACCGACTATCGTTTCGCAATGGTGACACAAACGACTGAGCAGATTCTACCGGTTACGCCTAGGCGCATCTTCTCATTTTTTCATTGCTTCCCCTGAGGGTGTGGGCTGGCTTGACAACACAAAGGGTAACAATATGTGGCGCCATGCCGTTCAGAGAAACGGAAGTCGGTGGAGGCTAGCCGACTGGTAGCCCCGAGCTCTCCAAGATGATTCTCAGAGCAGGTGCTCACTGCCACTACCGTCCAAGTCGGAGACATTAGAGCTGGTCCATGGGTATTTTGAGACCTTCAACAGGGCCGTGCCGCTATTTAGGCCCGAAAACCTCATGATGCAGGTCAACAGACACTACTCGTGGAATCCTAACGAGGGATCGTCATGGTGGGCTGCATTCAATATTGTTCTTGCCTTTGCTTACAAACAAAGAGCCGAGGGCTCAGGATGCAGCAGCGATGACTGGCAAAAATCCATTGGCCACGTTAGGAATGCAATGAATGTGGTGACAAAGCTTTTCATGCGAACTTGTACCTCGCTGTCCAAGGGCTGCTCGGCCTGGCACTTTACTTTCAAGGGACGCCGAACCCTCAATCTCTGTTCATATTTTCCGTTGCCGCTGTGTGCCTGTCGCATTCTATCGGGTTGCACAAATCCAACTCTTTTGGTCTTCCGGAGTCCCAGGTCGAAGAATGAAAAGGGTGTTTTGGATAGCGTTCATTTTAAACGCCTATGTCCCTCAGCGGGCGGGCCGCCCTGGATCTCAGGACACCCAGACTTCAACACTTTACTTCCTTGCGAGGACCCACATGATGGGTTAGGTATGACGGAGATCAGAGGCACAAAGATCAACTTCTTCTCAGCTCTCGCTCGTCTTGCTATTATACAACGCAAAGCCTGTGATACACTGAATAGTACCGAGAGGTTCAGGAAGACTCGTGAAGAGCTGATGAAGGATGTAAGAGCGTGCTTTGAAGAGATCGAAGCCTGGAAGCAAAGTATTCCACCGATAGTTCGGCCGCAACGAAACTTTACGGGTTGTCACCGCCCTTATCTACCGCATATCTTGCTTTGTATACAACAGGGCCATCATCAATGGCTACTCCTCTTGCTTCGAATAGCAGGATATGCTAGCAGGCGCCCCCCACCCCTTCTTACGATTTTGGTTTATCTGATCTAGCTAAGAGTAATGGATAATCTTGAATTTCGATTCATATTATATGGCCTTCGACTTTCATCAACCCTCATCGCTACAAATGCTTTGCTTCAACAACCTACACCCATGTGATGCTTGTATCATGATGGCAATTTGGAACAGGGGAACTTGTCCAGATGAGGCTTGCTTCCTTGTCATCCAATCTGGCAACAGGCTTCAACAGGTCAATCTGTCCCCATGGGCTGTCCTCGAATCTCATCATAATCTCATCATGAATGGAGAGTCAGGGGAAATATATTCGGGGAAGACATTCTTCCATCCGTTGATAACCTCCCTCATAATTTCCGTGACAAATTGGGCAGGCGAAGAGCGAACGAATGTGAACCCAGCGAATGGTCCACTCGGTCCATAGCAGGTTTCGGCGACATATACGAGGTCTTTGATTCTCTTCGCTGCTACGCCGAGCGTGACTTTCAGGCCGAGGCCCTTGCGGTCGAGCGATCCATACCGGAAGCCTTGTACGAAGATATCCGCTTCGCCCACGAGCTCCAGAAGGCGGGCCTTATCCTCCTGTTTTCCGATATCCAGATCGATAGTGCGTTTTCCAGCGTTAAGGGCCAGTTCTAGAGGACCTATCTGAAACTAGGGTTGTTTGAAGACAGGGAAGAAATTCAAATATTCAAGTCGGCGAGCTTGCTGCAGTTGACACGGATAACATCCGCGCCAAATGATGACAATATAGTTCCAACAGTGGGGCCAGCAATGATGCGCACCATCCCCAGGACCTTGATCCCAGCTAGGGGACGACGGTCAAGAAGCCGGCGCAGAGGAACCGGAGGTGTCTCCTTCGCATAAGACTCATGTGTATAATTAATGAGAGAATGTTCAGCAAGTCGCTTTCCCATCTCAGTATTCCTACAACCCTCGGGGAGTAGCAAATACTACCACACAGCCCATTTCTCACGCTATGCATCTCAAGCTCATCGGCACTCCACTTTTGTACATGGCCCTTGATATACTCGTGACCCTCAGCGAAGTCTTTCTAGGGAACATCCATGTCAATTCTCATGGACTTAAGTGTCTTACTTACATCCAACGATCCGTGCAGTTGATACCACACCTTCGGGTCCTTGGTCGGATGCAAAGCAGCCCGACCAGGCAACGGACCAACGCCGAATCCCTGATCAAAATCTTGGGTGAAGATCTTAAATAATGCCCCGGCCTGTGCAAGCGTCGACACATCCGATCCGTTCACGTATACGGTGAAGGTAGACGCGAGACAGATTCCGGCGTGGTCCGTGTCCACGGTAACACTTGCTTCCTTAGCTGACTTCCCGTCTCGCAGTTCGAGGAGTTCGTTTCGAACCGCTCCCATATGGCGTGTAGTGTTGCCACCACCGGGGGGGGGAGTTCATCGGACCCGGGACGATAGGATCAGGTCGGCCTTTGAACTAAACCGTATCCCATATCGCAGTGTCCTTTGTGAAGCCGGGTATTCTCGATGTAAGGAGTTTGAAGATTCGGCAGGTGTCTTTTGGTACGGTTTTGTCGATATAAGTGGCAGGTCCGTAGATCTCATCTCCGGGAATGGAAGATAGATGCAATAAAAAAACAAACTAACTTTATGATAGCCAAATCTCCACGGTCTGGGGACTCCTGGCTATATTTATAGGGACATACTATACGAGGTATCTTCTGCTAAATGGACCTAACCTTCTTAGGGAAGTTACACCAAGGTAGTATTCAAATGTTTGTATCGCCGGCATACTACTACTGCCTTGGGTATTAAAGCTTGCTGGACACCTAAGGAGACCCCTTCAAATCATTACTTGTCTCGGACCATATTCCTCAGCATTACTGCTCTACTATCCCAGTCCTTGGACCTACAAGATAGAGGCTCCTAGGTGTAGAATACGCAACGTTCACGACACTAAAATTAGATTCTCCACCAAGTATAGCACTAAGCAGAATCTCTGAGCTGTGAAAATTGATTCTACTGGTCAAAGACATCCCTGATAAGGACAGGATTAACGCATCCGTGGGTCTATATGTGGAGACATCCGGATGCCAGCTTGCTGTATTTCCACGGGCCGCGGGATTTCGTGTTGAGGGAGTTGACATATATGGGCTCTGTCCTTACCTCGGATACGATTGCCCGGGCCGACGAGTTGAGGGGTTGTGTCACAACAAGAAAGGATTAGCGTAAGAAGTTATAGGAATTGTATAAGTTCATGATTTCATCCTTGGTTGAAATTGAATTGGAAAAAGCGGATTCTTCATACCTCGTTATCGATTATCGGTAAACGATAACAACTCTACAATGTCGCCCAGGTGCATCGGTGGACGACCTGTCAGGGTTGCTAATTGCTCTGGATATCATGGTACAGTCTCAATAATCCGATTAAGCGAGTGTATACTGACTGTACTGAAGGCGACCCTGCCTATGAAATGTATCGCCAAGCAACCCTCGGAGATGTTGATTTCATCACGGGAGATTATCTCGCCGGTATGTTCTTCCGATGGGCGATGGAGAAGTAAACTCACTATATGTAGAGGTCAATATGGCAAATAATGTGCAGGCCTTCCGACGTGGGGAGCATGCAGGCTACGAGGAAACAGCCTGGGAAGGTATCAAGCAAACCATCGACGTGATCGCCGACAAGGGTATAAAAGTTGTGATCAATGGTGGGGCTCTCAATCCCAAGGGCCTAGCCTTTAAAGTAGATGAACTTGTTTGTGATTTTCTTTTCATTCTGCAATGGTAACTAGATGCTGACTTGCGAAATTAGTGCCGCCAAAAAGGTTATCCTTTGCGCGTCGCATATCTATCAGGGGACGACCTCTATCACAAATTCGGCCCCAACATGCCCCAAACAGCAGAAGAGCTAAAGCATCTCGATGCCGAAAATGAGTCCGTCAAACCAGCTCTTACATACGCCTTTACAAACACCGACAAACCCATCCCAATGATCTCAGCGCACGCATACCTCGGAGCCCGAGGTATCGTAGACGGACTCCGTCGAGGAGCTGACATTATAATATGTGGCCGTGTTGCAGATGCCAGTCCAGTCATAGCTGCTGCTTGGTACTGGCATTCATGGTCAGAGATCGACTATGATTATCTTGCTGGAGCTTTGGTTTCCGGTCATTTGATTGAATGCTCTGCCTATGTTACTGGTGGTAATTTCTCTGGCTTTGACCGGTACCCCGTCGATACCTTTGTTCAACCTGGGTTCCCCATTGCGGAGATTGATGCTGATGGATCTTGCGTTATTGCGAAGCATCCTGGTACCGGTGGAATGATTGATGTTGATACTGTTCGGTGTCAATTTCTGTACGAGCTTCAGGGAAATGTTTATTTGAATAGTGACGTTGGTGCTATTTTGGATGATGTTATTGTCGAGCAGATTGGGGAGGATAGGTATATCTCTCTTTACTCTATTGATATTCGATGCCGGTGACTGACCTCTGTTAGGGTTCGAGTTCGCGGAATTCGAGGATGCGCTCCTCCTCCAACCACAAAATTAGCGGTCTTCTATCCCGGTGGCTTTGAGGCTCAGGTTTTGCTAAATGCTACTGGATATGGCACAGAGGCAAAGTGGGACTTGGTTGAAAGACAGATTCGACATTTCATCAGCCAGAATGCACTTGATCGTCTTGATACACTCGAGTTTCAGAGGTGGGAATAACGCTCTGCTATTTGGAAACAAGTTTGACAAGCGATTACAGAATCGGTGTGCCTGCTACCAATCCAGTGTCACAACGAAGCAGCACAACGTATCTCCGCATCTTTATCGCTGCAGTTTCCGCGGAAGCTGTTCTCGCTATATTAGGGGCTCTAAAGGATATCTCGCTGAAGCATTTCTCAGGTGAGAAATATTACTTAAATTTAAAGAGACTCCAGCTAACGGGCACTATGCAGGTTTCCACTCGTCTCTTGACATGCGCACAGCAATTCCTCGCCCCTTCCTAGCTTACTATCCAGCAATAGTAAAACAAGAAGAACTAAACGAGGAGATAAACTTCATCGATGGACCAGACTCTATTAAATCATTCCCAACAGATCATCCGTCGAAATATAAAGACCTCCAACCGCGTCAAAGCTACAACCACACCCTGTCCAGCGAAGAAAAAGCCCTCCTCAATTCCCCAACAAGATCAATCCGACTAGGTGATATTGCTCTAGCACGATCTGGCGACAAGGGGGCGAACCTCAATTTCGGTCTCTTCGTCACTGAACAGAACCACTGGGCTTGGTTACGGTCATACATGAGCCGAGAGCGCGTGCGGGATATGCTTGCTAAAGATGATGATTGGGATGAGTCTTTTTTGGTAGAGAGAGTTGAGTTCCCGCATATGCACGCTGTACATTTTGTTATTTATGGGATTCTTGGGAGAGGTGTTAGTAGCTCGAGCCGGCTGGATGGGTTTGGAAAGGGCTTTGCAGATTATTTGCGTGATAAGTTTGTTGATGTTCCTGTTGCAATTTTGGACTGAAGTTTGATTTAATCTTGAGGTAAAGCTCTCTAAAACGAAATTGAATAATTGATCATCATAATATGTACATCATGTCTCTCATGAAACTGCCAGAACAGCAACTGCCCAGGGGTCCATATTGATCGAATAATTGCCCGAAGGATTGAAAACGCTGGTTGTAACAGTCTGGGCTTGCACATTGAAAGGCGTGTTGCCATGATACTGTGGACTAGAAAGCATTTCCAGCCTTCCAGTCTTGGTACCTGGGATTCTGACCTGGACAGTCTGCGGGTCCTTTGCGTAGTTCGCCAATTTCAAGTAGTAACTTGAATCTGTCTTCGAGGCTACCCAATAAACAGGCCCGAAGTCTGCTGTCGTGTGGACTGGGACGATAGTATCACCCTTATTGGAAGCGAACATCTTCTGAACGAAATAGGACGTGGAGGGTGTTATAGAGTCGGGAGTCGAGTTAAATCCATAGAGTGTGGGCTATAGAGATAAGTCATTAGCCACAACACAAGTTAGAGGCCCAACAAGTCCAATAACCCGAGCTTTCTTACCGACCAAGATATGAAGTCAAAGTGCGCCAGCAATGGAGCGTAGGCTGCCATTTTCACGATATCACTGTTGCGCTCCATTCCCATCATATAAACAGCCTCGCTGCAGCTTCCCTGCATATACGGCCAGTAGATTCCCTCGGCACTTGTCGTGTTCCGAGCTCCATATTCGCCAATCATCACAGGTTGATCCCGCGGCTGGTTATCAAATTGGTTGAACAATTTCACAAAGTCATCTGGCTTTCGATACAGATGCAGGTCAATGATCACATTCTTTGGGAGTGGTGAGGGAAGACAAGAGAAGTCTCCGTTAGATGCAACAATTTTAACATCCGGGTACTTGTCGTGGATGGCTTTGTAGATCTGGTTGAAACGATCCGGGTAGCTCTCACAGCCACCAGTGAGATCGTCTTCGTTGCCGATTTCCACATACTCAACCTTCCATGGATCTTTTCGGCCATTTTCGATTCGCATCCTGCCGTAATGAGTAGAAGAGTCTCCGAACAAATATTCCATCTCGTTCATTATGTCTTCTACAAAGGGTTCGAGATCGGGCCCCGAGACAATACCCCCGTATGACTTGCCCGCCCAGATACCTAGAAGGGGCGCCATGTTCATATCTTCACACCACCAAAGATATTCATCTAGCCCAAGCGCATCCGTGTTGGGATAGAACCAGTCACTTTCTCTCCCTGGACGATTGACCACAGGTCCGATCGTATTGTTCCACTTCCATCGAGAATCAACCTGTAAGCCTTCGATGTTGTTGCCGCCTGGAAATCGAAGGAATGCCGGGTTGACCTCATCCATGAAAGAAGCGACGTCATCGCGCAAACCATTCTCTCTGCCATTGAATGTCGGTGGAAATAGCTGGATGTATCCGAAGTTAAGTGAGCTACCACCCACTTTTGAGCCATCGAAAGTCAGATGCCACTCATTCTCTCCATCTGGAGAGTGGGTAGCGTTGAATGACGTTTTAAACTCGGTAAACTTCGAATCTGTACTCTTGACAGTCATGTTGTGATCAGCGTACACGATTCCACTTTGCGACCCGATAAGTTGTAGGTTGATAGTTCCTGAGTATCTTCCCATCATCCAAAACGAGCTTTTGTAAGTGGCCGCTAGAGCCGGAATTCCTTTATAGCCAGTATTTGCGAAACCCACATAGTCCGTGACTCCGTCCGGTACTGCAACCTTGAGCGAGGACGTAATAGAATTGCTGACAGATTTTGATTTATCTCGGGAGATAGTCACATTTCCCACCGGCGCATAGGCTGTCATTCCGAGACTCGTTCCTTGAAAACCGTTGTTCTGTAGCAATTGGCCATGGATTCCTCCGTCGCCTTGTATAGTTAGCGGTGCTCGCAATCAGCCAATGTAAATTCCATACCGGAATGATCCATTTCCTAGCGACAAAAGGTCAGTCAAAGAAGTCTTCACATATAAAGCTAAATTACTGACTTCGAACATGACCCCATAGAGCAGCGGACTCGATTTATTCCCGCCCTCACTTGCAACAGTAAGAACAACCGGTCCACTTGAGCTATTATTACCCTGAGCCAGTGCACCAGCAAGACATGTAATCAACGCGATACATGTTGCCGCGCCAAGACTGGCGTATGTCACCAATTCAGACTTCATAGCAAGTAAGAACTATACGCAAAACCTATGAGAAATCGAAAATGCGAAAATGCGAAAAGAGCCGATGAAGATCTGTGCTGCGGACATCAAGCTTTATCTCGGAAGCACTGCCCCTGTTGTAGACGGAACATTTTGGTCGGCTATGGAGTGTGATTCGCCGTTGATCCTGACCTGATCCGCATTCTCCACAGAAGGCATCATGGACCCTGAAACGGTAACTCAATGCAAATCATCGCGGGTGAAACAGGTTATAAACTTTGGCGTGCTGGTGCCTTTAACGCGGGCGACACAGAGCGGCCAATAGATGTTGGCTATTACACCATATGCGATGGTTTATGGTGCTCAACGCGTATGCGTAATCTCTTTCATAGATGTGCGTAATGTGGAGAGCCACAAGTTGGAGAAATCATGACGTCAGATACCCTTCTTCTCATATGGGGTGGTGATCCTTACCCAAGCACTCAATTCCATCTCACAGTTCTAAGGGGATAATATCTCTGAATTCACCTTTTACCTCTCAAGACAGCTATTTAATTTGGCCGGCAGAGCGAAAGTGACACTGAACGTTTTGTGATCTTAACCTCAGGAGGGCTTGGCAGGGTTGAAGTCAATTGTGGTGCCTGAGGGATCAGGCACTACACCCTTAAGTTGACGTTAACGTTACTTGCCAAGCTGAGAGCACTCTCTAGAAATACCGTGTAGTGAGTTTTTGACAGAAAACCTCGCTGCACGTCAATTTGACGCCAATTAAAATGCCACATGCTACGAAGCAGTGCTAGAATTGTCAAAGAAAGCACACAGCATTGGTATTGGTAAAGAAATACGAGGAAGACAACAGGATGACGAGAATCGGTAAGTAAAAGAAGCCTAGAAGCCCCACTTAGTACCATGGACAGGCACAGGAGCGGCATCTTCGCGGCGAGAGATTTCCTCGCGAAGCATGGTGATGTCCTTACCAAGTGCCCGGGCATGGCGCTCAACGACAGATTTTTCGTGGCAGAGCTCACGATAAACTAGCCACAGCTCCTCTACTGACGCGTCGAAAAGCTCATCAGTGAGCCACGAAGGCTGGAGGATTAATTCCGAACGGATGGTAAGGGGTTGATCCTCGGTGTTGCTAGGGGGAGGAGCGGCAGACTTATTCTTCTTGCCGGAGGACTTCGGACGCTTATGCGTGACGGCGGCGGGCTTTAGTGGTTTGTAAATCGCAACATGCTTATTCCTCAAGCGGCCGGAACGACGTGGTGTCATGGTGGCGGCTGCATTGCCATCGGAAGCGATGACCTGAAGGACGATACCGAAACCTTCGTTGATGCCGTCAGGCAGGCGGCACGGATCAGGGCCATGGAGGTTGATGAAACTCCGTACTTGTTCTTTGTTATCTACAGGCGTGTCTGGTTAGCTAGGCAAGTGCTATTTTGGGCTTGAAGTCACAACAAACCGGCGTCTGTGGCTTCCTGGCCCGTATTGGTACTCATATGCGTGAACCCGGAACCTGGGGCGTTGCCAACAGTATTGGAGAGGTCATACTGGGAGGTATAGCCAGTGGAAATGACGTGCCAAAGGGCAGTATCGTTTGGCGCAGGGCCAGCCTGGTCGGGCGGGGATGCCATAGTGGATGCTGGAAGGAAGAGGTGAGGAAGAAATAGCGAGTGAAATGTTGTACAGTAGCCAAAACACTGCATTTTTCATTGTTATGAAAATAAACTGCCGGCACAAATATCATCGAATAACCAATTGAATAGAGCGCAGTCTTCCTCCCTTCGCATCATCTACTTTCTCATCCTTTCCTTAAGCTCTGATGCTCACAACCTCACAATGAAGTACGTTGTGGTTTCGGGAGGTAAGTTCAAACAAGTCCTGAACCCCGTGGGAGCTACATGAGCCGCATGAGCCGCATCAGAGGGGCCACTGTGGGTCCGAAGCATACACTGACGACAAAACAAGAGTCATCTCTGGCGTGGGTAAAGGCATTATTGCTTCTAGCATGGGCCTGCCCATCCGGGGCACGGCCCTCAAGCTCACCAATATCAAGATCGAACCTACAATCAATCTTGATGTCGCGACGCTGAGCCTTAGCGGGTGGTGTTCCTTATCGACTGTCACTGACCCATACTGACTGTGCTGAACATGGCGAAACCTTGTTACCGATGACGGTGGCGAAACGGACCTTGATCTGAGCAACTACGATCGCTACCTCATCACAACGCTTCACCCAGATTCTGGGTACCGTGTCATCATTTCCATGTCCGAATTTGACAAGATCGTCAACAATGAACTGCTTGAATCCACGAGGGACATGCTCGAGCATATCAAGAACAAGGCCCAAGGCAACAGAGATGCCAAAAAAATACGTGTCTCAGGTGGTGAAGAGTATCCTTCAACTTGCTACAGGCGTACCCGAAGTCTCTCAGTACATGCGCGGAATCCTTCCAGACTTGCCCCTACGCCATTAAGAATGTCCGCAATGTCCCAACGAGGTTGTTTATATTCTTATGGATTTGTCAGGAATCGCGAAGTACATGGACAACTTCACAAAGGGCACTCCCGAAGTCGACAATGACAAATTCAACAACATCATGCGTCTCGGGGCCATTGGTGCGTAATTTGTGAGTGGTTCATTCTTTTGACCTTTCCGGGTAATGCGTATACAGTATGACGATAACTATGAATAGTTACATGACCAACTCATGTAAACGGATAAGAACCTTGAATACGGGTCATTCCATTGTTGCAGGTAGGCGCGTGGCATATTTCCAATTTGCCAATGTGGGCAATTGTATTATTCCTTAGGAGTGATCCAAAGCACTAAATCAAGGTTGCCTTGTTTCTTGGGTCTTGGTTTTATCCAATGGGGTTCAAACATATTGTACGGCTTCGCTAATATAAACACCGCCCCACAATCAGGTGAATGTCTCACCACCATTTTCCAAGTACTCAACCTCCTCCGGGGTGGAAACCCTTCCAAGCGCCTGGTTCCGATGCGGGTACCGTCCAAACTTGTCAATGATGACCTTATGCCTTTTCTCAAACTCATCATTCATCTTCAAAAAGTCCCTGACAGCATCTATTCGGTTGGATAGAACATCATAGCATTCCTTTTCTTCCTCGGTTAGTGTCGACGGGTCCCTAGCCACGAATCCATCTATATCTTTAGCTGTATCCCCATGCACCTGGACAGCTTTCTCATGAACCGCCGGACATTCGGAGTGCATGAGGGGTAAATGGAACCAAGTCCGATAAGTTAATCGAAAGCGGAAGTAAGAGGACTGAGTCGGGATATCTTCTTTTAGTGCCTGTAGGGCAATTTTCTCGGCCAAGGCTGTGTCTTGGTTAGTCACAGTATTCTCCAGATGTACGGGGTATGTAGCAAGTTGATAAGTACTCACGATCAAAGTTTTTAAAGACTAGTTTTGATTCGTCTCCTCGAAAGCAGTTGCGAGGCATCTGGTCTACCAGGATGATCATGTTAATCCAATCCATTGGGGAAGATGGATTCACCGCAGCGATTATATCCAAAGCCGATGCTCCAGAGCTAACAATTGTCTCCAGAGCTGGGCGGAATTTCGTGCTTTAGCTCGTTAGACTTGATATGCGCCATTGTTGAAGATTGGGTACTTACACGCAAGCGTTGTCAAATTCGGGATCGCGCGTGAACCACCGACCCATGTCGCTCATCTTTGGTAGGATGAGAGATTCTTTACTCTCCAGGTGGTCGAACCATAAGGTATGAACGTCATCGAGGAGAGTTGGCGTGAGAGTCTGCTTCAGCTCGGACTGGTTTACCATGGTGACGGGCGATGAATGAAATTTGCGTATTAAGCTAGGTCCGTAGAAGCCTTGGTGCAAGGATGACCTCTCAATTGCTTGCACTCGACAGCTTTGGGATGATATCGGACCTGTTGCAGGGATCACCACTGGCGTCAAGGGATTGAATCTCGCAGTTTGAACGAGTCTTTTTGCAATTGCCTGTCTTTGAATGAAAATCATGGTGAAGAATAAACAGAAGACGGTAGCATACCTTATTACGTATTATATGTGACATGACGTTTCAAGTAGTTAGTATTACCAAGCAGTTAACCTTGGAAGCCCGAATGCCGAGATCGCGGTGCCGACTCTGGTGTGCTGAGTCATCATCTGCATTTCAACCTCATCGCAAGCCCTTTCAGGCTGAAGAGGCTAATGATTGGATACTTGTGAATGATATGTAACTAGTACCCTGGTTTATGTAACATATCAAGGCGCATAGAGAGGGACGAATGCATATTATGTCAGAAGGCCGAAATAGGGCAAAGTTTCCCAAGATAAGGTCCCCGCACACTTCTCCTCACACTATACTCCGCATACTACTTGGCCATGTCCGATCACCTGGAATTTTTGATATATCCATACTCCTTCGGCAGTGATGCGTCGAGTTAAAAAATCTCGAAATGGCTGTGGGAGATGCAAGAGTAAACGAGTCAAATGCGATGAGCTTCAACCAGAGTGTTCCCGGTGCAAACGTTTAGGGGTCAGATGCCCTGGATATCTTAAGTCTCTGCGATGGATCACCGAGAGTCCTGCCGCATCGACCTCCGATGCAGAGGTCAAGTCGACTGCGCCGGACCAGCCGCCTGCTTTGCCGCAAGATGAGTCGACTATCGAGCCTCATGACTCGGCTTTAGGGGGGTTCGACTTGGAAGAGTCAAATTCCCTCTGTGATAATCTCTGGGATCTCCCGGGGGGTGGCTTACCCGAATTGACGGATTTATCCCCAATGACGGCAACGTCGCCGTCCTTTTCGCAATCAAGAGATTTTGCTCAAGATTTTGGCCAGTCTGGAGATGTTGGGGCTGATCTTTCACATTTTATGTCACTCATTGGGCCAACACCCGCGTCCGAGGAGCACGTCGAAACTGTGTGGCGAGACTTCTCGCCTTCGGCCATTGTCCGCAGCTATCCACCTATGTCTCAACGGTCTGCGCCTCGTAACTTAATGACAATATCCCGTCCGTTGAACAACCCCTCATGGACTCTTATCGAATACTACTTCAAAGAGGTAGCAGCATTGTTCTCGAGTTACGACAGTCAAATGAACCCCTTCCGAACAACGGTATCTCGTCTCTGGGGATCTTCTCTCGCAATGTGTCGAACAATGCAAAGTATGGCAGCCGCAACGCTTGTCAATGATTTCCCACAGTTCGGGCCAATGGGTCGGAAAATGCGCAGCGAGGCCGTTGAGATTATCAGTCGCGAAGCAGTAATGGACGACAAGTCCTTACTAGCGCTCCTTATGCTCGGACAGACAGCTAGCTGGCATGACCCAACTGATCTAGGTATATCATTCTTCAACATGCTTCGCAAGCAGCTCAACACTATATCCTCATCTTCACACAACCAAAGCTTCAGCTTCAACAAGAACGACAGTAATAACTACCGGTTCTTCGAAGAAGCTCTCATCTACTGGGAAATGCTTCTATCATTCGTCGCAGATAATGACACAATGGTCCTACCACATAATCCCGACTCCACTCCATCAACGGGCGAATCTCTCGTTCTCCAACGAGTCCCACACCCCTGGACTGGCATCGCGCGTGAAACACAGTTCACCGTACACGAAGTCGGACAACTCGTCCGCCGAGAGCGAAAACGCATTCGATCAAGAAGATATACCTCTCAAGATGATATCACCAGAGCACAATTAGCAATTGAGAAAGCCCGAGAACTAGAAGAACGTCTCTTAGCCCTGGCCCACCCGTCCGAAGCCGAAATCGTCAGTCCCGGCGACGACGATACCCCGGTCTGGCACCTTCTCACAATGGCCGAGGTCTATAGATGTACCGGCCTGATGCAGCTATACCGCGTCTTCCCAGACCTGCTTTACAACCGTCTTCCACAGGCATCATCATCTCCTACATTCCATTGCCCAGGAAGTACCGCTTCAATATCCAGAGATCCATTCTTCCCCATCGACCTGGATAGCATGAATCTCTCAGCCTTTGCAAATCAAAGTCCGGGAACAGCAGCACAAGGTCCCAATCCCCCAGACACCACCCCCTCGCCATCCTCCATTCCTCCCCATCAACCAACACCAACACCAACACCAACTCATACAACCACAACCACAAATCCAAATCCAAATACCGAACAACCGGACCGCGAAACCCTCTATAACACCTGGCTAACCGAATTTGCCATAACTACCCTCTCCCGCCTAAAAACCATCCCCCTAGAATCGAGAACGCGCTGCTTACAGCCCTTCCTGCTAGTCGCATCATGTTCAGAATTGCGACTTTCACGTATACCCTCACAAGCAGATGACCAAGTCGAGAATGATCTTCCCACCGATGACGGAATACATCAGCCGACAATATCAATGGAAGCAATTGAAGTCTCGCGCACGAGACAATTCATTCTGGGTCGATTGAATAATTTCATGCATCTACTTCCGCCGAAGCCCATTCGTGTCTGTCTGAAGCTTGTTACGGAGGTTTGGAGGCGTATGGATGCTGCTCGAGATGATGTCTTTTGGGTTGATGTGATGTTAGACAATCATTGGGAGACTACAATGGGCTAAATATGTGTATTGGATGGTGGGATGGGATAGGTTGGATGTATATAGATAGATTTTGCTGAGCTATGGATAGCCTGCTTTGTTCTTCGTTTGCGTGATTATATGTAAAGCGACATACGGGGCATGAGAGGCTTGGCTCTTCGACCTTAACCTCCAGGAACAATGATAGCTTTTAGGGAACTATAGAAAACTGCGTGTGGTTGTTAGGCGCGATGCTTGAAGGTTAGCAATGGGGTTTTAAAAAGCCACCTTGAAAACGGCCAAAGGTCTACAAGAAGTGGAGGTCGGCCATTTCGATAGGGTAGATTCTCTCAAGCGAAATAATACAAGAGCGACGTTAGGAGTATAGTTCTCTATCACGTGGTCTACTTTATATGGACTACCACATGTCTTGTCTTAATACAAGTTTCCAATTATCCTACAAAGAAGAGAAAGGGTATTAGTAAGTTCAATTGATTAATTTGATACTCCGAATCCTAATCACCCAGTAGGTAGACAACTCTTTCACGGGTGCGTCTATCAACTGGGATATCCTATCATGCAAAGACAGAGACCTGAAAGCCCGAAAGTTAAAGGAAGTGAGTAGCGTTGAAAAGATTCACGAGCAGAAGGAGAAGGAGAATGGGAATAAAATGGAGATAGAGATGAAGGTGAGGTCATGGACAAGGAGACATTCACAACATAGTTCCAAGGGAGAAATCGGGTGATAATCAATGACTAAAAGGGGGAGTATAATGCATATGGTCGATAATGTGTACAGAGAATGGGACAAGAAGTAGTAGGGTAGGATAAGAGATCCAAGACCAAAATGATCAAAGCTAGCAGACGTTGAGCTGAATGGACGGAAGAAGATGCGGGCTCAGACAATTACATGCTGAGGATATGCAAGTCTTGGCCAAGGCGACTTAGTGAGCAGTAGCCCGCTGCCAGTACTTCCATCCCTCACCAACTCCGACGAGACGTTTGATGCCCTCGACACCTACAGCTTGTTCGAACTTTTGCTGATCAATCTCCTCGCCGCCCTCTTCGTCTGTGCCGTTGCGTAAGACGGCTGGGTAGAGGACGCCCACGCCGTCGCCACCCAGAGTAACTTCGTACTTGTCGAAGCCCTCGTTGGCGAAGTTGTCTTCGAGCTGTTGTCTGACTTCGGCCTTGGCCTCGGGGCGGAGAAGTGTGATGGCACATCCACCTCCACCTGCACCGGTCAACTTCGTCCAGCCAATGTCGGCGTAATCGACGAGTTCACGAATCCGCTCGAGACGGGGGTGGGAGACACCAAGAGAGACGAGGAAGCCGTGATTAATGCGAATTAAGGTACCAAAGTGGGCGAGTGTCTCCTCAGAGATACCCTCGAAGTTGGGATCCTCGATCAAGCGTTGGGCCGAGCAAGTCACCTGATCAATGGCGTCGAGGATAGACTCCGTCACAATGGGATGGGCCGATTTCAAGTTGCCGACCTTGTCGACTTCCGTCTTTGTGGAACGCGCTTGCCGGGTATCAACAAGGAGGAGGGGCAGCTCGGGAAATGTGGGCAGCGGCAGAACAGTCGGGGGCTTCGTGTAATCGTAGCGACGGAAAATCACGGCCTTGCCGCCTGCGGCCACCGTGTTATCCACCCCGCTGGGGTTGCCATGAATGCAAAGCTCTCCGACAAAAGCCCAGCGGTTGATCCGCTCGATCTGGGTCTCTGCTTCTTCAGGCGGTTGGTCTGGGTGGGGGCCGGCGAGGGTGCGGATCTGGAGAAGCAGCGCGGAACTGAGACACACGCAGACACTGGCACTGCTGCCTAGGCCAGCTCCAATTGGGATGGTGGATCGGAGGGTGTAGATGGCGCCTGGGCTTTGGGGGGAGCCTAGGGAGAGGAAGAGGTAGAGGAAGGCGGAGGCGGAGCGGATATGGGTTTTGCGGTCTGGGTGACCCTTGGAGACACCCTGGAGGTGTGGCTCGAGCGATTCGACAAGTTCGGGGTCGAGATCCGTGACGAGACTGTAGTAGAACTTTTTTTGAGGGGTCGTGGAACTTGTCCCAGGGTAGGGTGTCAATGTCCCACGTATGGTTGAGACCTAGATCGCGGAAATTCAAGGTGATTGTGCGCTGCGATTTGGAGAGGGTGGTGACGAGTAGATAGGAACGAAGGGAAATGGCTGCTGCCATGGCAGCCTTGCCATGGACCACGGCGTGCTCGCCAAACACGATGACCTTGCCCGGCGCGGACACCATGAATGTGGGCGCCATAGGCGATGAAGCCTTGCGAGACATGGTAGGCCGTTTTGGTTCCTCAATGCCATTCATTTGCGATCCTGTGGAGGCACTATCGGAGCTGTCATCCACTCCGTTCTCGCCCCTGGGATGAACAGAGACACCGTTCACTGGATTGTCGGGGAGAAAGTGGGCGACTGTGCGACGTTGGGGGAGAGCTGAGGCTTTCATGCCGTTCAAGCGACGAATAGGGCTTTCGGTCATGGCAGGCTGGAATGTGAGGGGGGACAAGGAGGTGGAGATGCGATGCGGTGATGCGGAGCGGCGAGGCAATTAGGAATTAAAGGGGCAAATAGTCATAGAATGTGAAAAGCCCTCAACATAGTCAAAAGTGAAGTAGAAAAACAAGCAACTGGAGAGAGACCCTTTGAGTGATCTGGAGTAAAGATGGGGGAGTGCTCGATGCTACAGAGTATACGAGGGAACGCGACGCATCCAATCACAACTGCTGCAATCGCAATTGGTCAGACGTTTAATTAGTCTATAGATCGCTTAGCTTAGGTCTGCAACTGTTTCTCGCGTTCCTGTTGGATGATTCTTAGTCCGCTAATTGTGTTATATAGTGAACGCTCCTCTTTTTTCATTCTAGAAGCTCAGAGTGCAGAGATTTTGTGGCGTGCAGTAGCGCCGGAATGATCGTCTCTATGTTTCTTTTAGAATTGCACACAACGGTAATATCGAACCAGGCCCATATGGCATAAAAATTAATAATGTGTATTTCTTATTGGTGAGAGCAATGTAAGGGGTAACAGTCTATATTACACCATCCACAAAAGTCACCAAAATCTAGCGGGTACGAGTTATGTACGACTTCTAATTTGCAAGGGTCGTCAATTCATCACAGGTTCATCGTCACGGTCATGCTGTTGCTGTGGACCAGGAGGCAGGGGGGCAAGTCTTGCCACAGCACCTCCAGGTCACTCAAGTAGGACGCACTGTCCTCTTCGCTAAGCGAGGTGCCTTCCACGGGAGACGGCAGGGTCGTGAAAATAACAGCCGTGTCACCACTATGCTGGACCATCAACTCATTTAGAATTAAATGCTGTGCTCGGCTGGGTAGATCGTTAAAGGATAATGGAACCGAGGCCATGCTGGGGTAACCAGATGCATTGTTGTGGCGGTTGTTGGGTGGGGTGGTAGATGGTCCCCGAGCGTAGATAGAGTCTAGTTTATTGAATCTTGGAGGGGAATTTTGAGCGGCGAACATAATGGAGGGGCCACTGTCCTCTTCGGATTCAGTGTTAACCTTTGCCTCCGGGATGGGAGACGAGCTGAACCGATTGCTAGATGCAGAGCGGCTCATAGGAGGTCGTCGAACGGGAGTTTTACTCTTGGGCGAGGCATCATCCCCCGGTTCGATGATGGATGGGATCTGTTGGCCGGCCGATGTTTCTTCGAGGCGAGAGCTAGGTGTCTGTGTGTTGGGAGAAACTGGACCAGGGCTATAGTCATCAGTCTTGGACCGGCCAAGGAGTCGCGATCCGCCCTGAGGAGTAGCTGTATCCCGATCATCGACCTCGGGTTCGCTGGTGTAACCTTCCATGTCACTGTCCTCGCTCGAGCTCGAGCTGTCAGAACTATCGTAGTCGACGAACGAATCCAACAATCGATGTGTTTGCATGCCAAGGTTCACTCCTCCTAGAGCTCGGAAGCTAGATATAGACCGTCTGCGGCGAGTGGACTGGATCAATCGTCTCAGGCCAGTTGCTGGCTGGCGCAAATTCTTGGATCCACTGTCTTGGCTCGATGGACCTTGCCAGCTGTACGCTTTGTCCAGATGCAGGCTGTCACTTGCTGTGTCCGAATCCTGACCCCGGTCTTGAGCGCGAGCTCGTAAGACTCCTTGCCACCATTCCTCCTCTTGCAAAGTGGATCGGACCTTTTCTTGAGAGTCGGCTGTGACTGAAGAAGTATCGCCGTTCACAATAATCCGATAAGCCTTGAGGTCACCGCAGGCAAGCCAGAAGACCAAGACTTCAGCTTCGATCCGTAGTTTGTCAAGAAGAGCCTCAACTCGTCCTCTTTCATCTTCGACGTCCGTTTCATATTCCACGAACACTGCGACTCGAATTTTGTATGTCTTTTTCCATGAGGGAACAGTATTCAAAATACAGCCCAGTTGGAGAATTAGAGTGTATGTGTCGAAATTAGTGGTGAGCACATTTTGTTTGCTTTCGTTATCAGCCCCGAGCTCGGCTGACATTTGGATCGGCCACAGGTCAATGTACTTCTTTGTGTGACGACCGTGGGGGTCAGGTATCTCAAGATCCTCGAATCCTTTTGCTACAGCAACATTGATCCTAAGCTTGAACAGCAGATCTTCAAGGATTGTGACATAACTTTGGCCGCTCATGGGTGGGTTGCTTGGTCGATTCTCAGTCTCATGCGTTCGAAGGCCATGAGCTGAGTTACGTCTAGTCTTGGAGTCTCTTCTGCCAGTGTTTGAGAATGTTTCAACGAGAGATTGGTCTTGTCGGAATTGGTCGATCACGACAATGTTTGGGCGCATGCCTCCCAGTCCTGAGTTCAAGACGATATTTCGCATTCCCCATTCTGCTGCAGGCGAAACAGAGATATTCACAAAGGCTTTGATTTTGGAATACTCGACAAACTTTGTCCATGCCGTCTGTTGGCGGCGCGCTTCAGGGACGGCTGCTGAAAAGTCATCAGTCACAAGGACGTGAGCTAGCACAAATAGGGCTCCTTTCTTTAGTGAGTTGCAGAAAGAGACCATCTTGTACTGCCTGTCAAGATCGCTGACAAAGAGCAGGATTTGAGGACGCCAGAACTTGACATGCTCCTGGCGAAGACGAAGTAAATATTTGCGCACTTGGTGATAGATCAGGCTCTGGCTGACATCGCCCCAGGGCTTTGGTGGCGAGCTATAGTGGATCAGCAGGAAGAGCATGACCAAAATGCTAACACACCCCGAGGCATAGAGTCCATCAACGAAAAACATGCTGACTCCACTGACCAACGTTCCAGCCGCTGCGGTCTGCCAATTGAAGTAATGGAATGAGGGACGGAAATTGGGCGCAGAGCCAATTTTCAACAAAAAGCAAGCAAGATTCATCACGAGGAATGTCATCAAATACGTCATCGTAATAAAAGACGCGATGCGGTTAATGTCGAAGAGCATTGTGACTTGAGCGAACACAAAAGTCACGATGATTGCATAGACTGGCTCGTCATTTTTGCGAGTTCCCTGGCCAAATATGCCAATTCCAGGTAAGAGGCTATCTCTTGCGATAGCCTGAAGGAGTTTCGCAGATCCGATAACGCCCATCAAGGCGGAGAAGAAACTGGTTGCGAATTCTCCAAGGAGGATGACCACATCGGAGGCATTGACCTGGAACCAATCAGATCATGCAATCTTCCTTTTTGCGAATTGTGACTTACAATTTGGATTACATTGACGTTGTTATAGAATGACTCTCGGGTAACAGACGCTGCCATTGCAAGAATGACAAGCCCATAGGTGACAAAGGTCAATGCTAGTCCGGAAAGCGTACCTTTGGGGATAGCCTTGCTTGGGTTCTTCAAGTCACCAGACATGCTTGCGCCACTACTACAGATTAGTAAACTATGCTTGGCGACGTGCACTCTCTCACTTACGCGAAAATACCTCCTGTGGCAGGGAACAGAATACCAAAGAGATCTTGGAAATTCTCACGTCCTTTCAGCTGACTTCCCGCAGCCCCTTTGGTGAGGTGAGGCTTAAGGTTCCCCATCAAAGTCTTTAGGCGAAGTCCCGTGAACTCAACGCCCTGATGAGGAAGAGAGAAAGGCTTCACGAAGAGTGCAGAAAGTGGAATGCTGAAGGTGGCCACAAGTAGTATGATAAGAAGCCCATTACTTGCCCTGACAAAAATGGAGCTTCCTGCCAAGCAGATACCTGTGCAAAAGACCAGGATAACAGTACCCCAGAGGTACTGCCACCAGAATCCTTCCTCGAGGAAGTTGGCCCAATCACCGGACTCTGTGCCAAAGTTCTGGGTAAAACAGTCCACTAGGCCAACGGCGTTCATTCCAGTGTTGAAGACGTAGCCCAGATAGAATACAATGCCGATTGAGCCACCGAACTCAGGTCCCAGGGATCGAGAGATCAAGTAGTATGCACCACCTCCTCGGACTGTTCCATTTGTCGCAATTGCAGACAGAGACATTGTTGTCACAAGGTTGATTGTGTAAGAGACAAGTAGCAGGCCTTCGATGGATTAGCAGAGGCCAGACCCTCTACGGAAGTCTACTCACCTAAGATACCCAGTACACCAGCTTGTCCTAGAATGAACCCGAAACGAAGGAACATAAGAATGCTCAGCACATTCAGAGTCGTCGGAACAAATACACCAGAGAAGGTCCCAAGCTTCTTGGGTTCATCCACCGCTCGAGACCGATGTCCCTTGTCCTTCTTATCAAGGCTGGAATCGCGAAGAGGGCCTGCAGACAACACATGTGGTGAAGCATTCTCTCCATTATTTGAATTATGATCATGTTCTCCCCTATTATGCCACCATTGAGAAATCCCTCTGAAATAGTCGGTGGGTGATGAATGGCGTTGGTCCTCCGCGGGTTCTGACGAGTTCACTGGCTCATATGGGCGGGCCCATCTGGTCGGTGGCCATAGTAATAGTCGAGTGCGTTCATCTGAGAGAGCCTGGGTTGAATCGCCTGGGGCGAGACGTGAGACATCTTCTTCGGCGGTTCGAGTCGAGAAGTTGGGTCTTCGTCGAGACAAGGAGTCGGAGGAATATCCGCCTCGTTCAGGCGTCATAGCAAATGCAAGGCTATATGAACATAGGGGCGATACCAAGATGTACAAAAAGAGACAAGGAAAGAAGTAGAGGAACTAAACACGGAAGTCAACCACCTGCGTCACCTAGCATGACGTTGAGGCAAACAGTGCAAACGCCGTTCAACCTCGCCGTGGCTCGCCGCTTAGCACTCTTCAGTTACATCTCGGCTGTTTCACCTCCTATTTGGTACACTGTCGGCCCACGATCGTTCATGCCCACTCTTTGACTTTGAAGACTCTCTGGTGCTCACCCTGAGACCACATTCAAAATGGCAGACAACGGAGAGGGCTCGTCCCTAACTCCAGCTCAGTCTGTGCCAATAGCCTCCTCGGTACGCTCGAGGTCCCCCGCGGCTGAGCTCGGTACTAGACAGGCTTCCATTGCACGACTTGCATCCCCGGTGCCCTCCCCGTCATTGGGGACTTCCTTGTCCTCCCGACAGGGAATCCCAGCCAGTCGACCTATCACAACCAACACCGAGCAGGACTTCTCGAAATCATTCGCTCATGCAGCTTCACTTCCTGGTCCCGGTCAATCCATGATTGCGTCACAACTTCAAGAGAGCCTAGGTCGGTCGCCCCCGAGGTTTGGGACTCCGGTGCGGAACACTGCGTCTCCTGCGTTGCATCTAGATCCCCGGCCGATCGCCTCGCAGTATGGATCTTTCGATACGAAGAATGAACGCCAGTCCCCTGGCCCTGGGATGGCTCCGTATGAAGACCCTGAAGTTATCAAAAGACATCTGGTGACGGACCAGGGAGATGGGCAGTCGGATATTGCGACCAGCATGGGAGACGAGCAGTTCTCGAGTTTACAGCTACAGGGTGGTGATATCACACGACAGGTCTACCGATGGGCGGAGGATGCTGAGGCCGAAGCCGCAGGTCGATTCATGCGCAGCAAGAGTTTCAGCGTCAGCCGACCAAGACCAGAACATGAGACTGAGGATATCGACACAATTCGGATTCCTGGAGGGTTCCGCAGAGATTATCTCCGGAGAGCAGCTGGAAGTCCACACCGCGGAAGTGCCCAAGGATCTACTTCGGGGGCACCCCATGCTAATGGCCCGCCCCAGCTGCCTACCACGAGCTTCTTGGAATTCTTGACTCTGTATGGTCACTTTGCTGGAGAGGAGCTGGAGGAAGATGACGAGGTCCTTGGGCCTGATGAGTACTTTTCGTCCGATGCTTGGGAAGAGCCAGAGGAGGGTAGAGAGTCTGGAGAAGATGCAGCGCTATTGCAGCCAGATACACCGGGCCGGAAGAAGAGAAAGCACAAGCAGCGTTCGCCGCCCGGCAATACTACGACAACAGGTGCTGTGATGTTGCTGCTCAAGTCTTTCGTGGGTACCGGTATCTTGTTCCTCCCCCGAGCCTTCTTGAATGGTGGCATGCTCTTCAGTAGCATGGTTCTGCTGGGTGTGTCGATTTTGAGCTACTATGCCTTCATTCTCCTCGTCAACACTCGCATGAAGATCGATGGTTCTTTCGGTGACATTGGTGGCATTCTATACGGCAAGCACATGCGGCGCATCATTCTCGGATCAATTGTCCTCAGTCAGTTGGGCTTTGTGTCAGCGTACATTGTCTTTGTCTCGCAGAACTTGCAGGCATTTGTACTGGCTGTGAGCAAGTGCGTAACCTTCATCGACATCAAGTACATGGTGCTTTTGCAGCTTATCATCTTCCTTCCTCTGTCTTTGATTCGGGACATCAGCAAGCTCGGATTCACCGCGCTCATCGCTGATGTCTTTATTCTTTTGGGACTGCTATATATCTACTACTACGATGTTACCACGTTGGTCAACCAAGGCGGCATTTCTGATGTCATTTCCTTCAACCCGACTACCTGGTCCATGTTCATCGGTACCGCCATCTTCACATACGAAGGCATTGGTCTGATCATCCCCATCCAAGAGTCGATGAAGCAACCCCACCGCTTCCCTGGTGTTCTGGCTGGTGTCATGGTTGTCATCACGTTCATCTTCCTGTCTGCTGGTGCCCTGAGTTACGCAGCATATGGATCCACCACCAAGACTGTTATCCTTCTCAACCTTCCTCAGGATGACAAATTCGTCAACGTGGTCCAGTTCCTCTACTCTCTTGCCATTCTACTGAGCACTCCACTGCAGCTCTTCCCCGCTATCCGTATCATGGAAAACGAGCTGTTCACCCGCAGTGGCAAGTACAACCCATACATCAAATGGAAGAAGAACGGCTTCCGTTTCTTCCTGGTTATGATCTGTGCTATTGTCGCCTGGGGCGGTGCCGATGATCTTGACAAGTTTGTTTCACTGGTCGGAAGCTTCGCTTGTGTTCCATTGATCTATGTTTACCCGGTACGTTCTTCTATATGCGCAGCGCTCAATGATATACTAACCGTATCTTAGCCCCTTTTGCACCTGCGCGCCTGTGCTCGCTCCAAACGTCAGGCCATTGCCGACGTCACTCTCGCGGCCTTCGGTGCTATCTGCTGCGTCTACACGACCTCCTTGACTATCGGGAACTGGCTCGGCCCTGAGGTCCCACAGAGCCCAGGATACTGTGACTCTCATTAAGATCTTGATTATTTCTTTGATTGTTGTAGAGCGTGGCGAATTGGCCCTTGTTCGGTCTTGTTACATTTCTTTTGGTTTCTTTCTAACTCTAGATCGTGGCATATTATGTGTTCTTCCTGCTGCTTCAACACTTGAACGGATCTGTGTGTTCAGTGTCTTGGGCAAAACTATCACTATATTAGACGATTTTGGGTTGAGTGATCCTTCTGTACACATAGCATCCAGGTTTTTGGATTAGCATCTACCGATTATGTATTTGGTCTCTCTTTCTCCAAAACGTGGGCATAATGAACTAGACCCACCAGATACAACAGGGGGTATAAGTGTACACGTATACAGTGCCACTGATGAAGTATTGGATAGTCTCTACACAAAAGCCTCGAAGCGAGTATGCCGTTTTATGCATTGTTTTCGTCCTACTTTGGCCTCTCCTTATTCACCGCTTTTTGCCCGTTTTCGAATGCCTCGAATTGTAGTTATTTATATATAAGTGAAGGAGTGTAAGGACTATGGCCTACGACTTACGCTTTAGATGGGGAACTAGGTCAAGACATTCCAAGACAAAATGTGATTCAAGCGCAACAAAGAGCCTATGTACAATGGCTATCGAAACACCACAGCCGCGAAGCATATAGCGTCGATAGATAAGAATCTTCCTCAAACCCGTATGTCCTCTTTATATGCCTCTTCTATTAGCATTGCCTGAACCCCATATTTCCAGGCTCAGACAAGACCATCGGACCACATGCGGACATGAACGAGAAATGATGCCTATAAAGCCCTAACCAGAACTAAAAGTACACCCAATATGATGTTATCGGGACTACTTAAGCACCTGCCTCGGGGGCGGCGGCACCCTTAGCGGCCGCCTTGTCAGCGAGCTGCTTTTCCCGACCGCCGAATCTGTGAAGAGAAGACTATGTTAATAGTTGTGTTTCCGGGAATCATAGACCAAACGAAGTCGAACAGCCTTATCTCGGGAGGTAACGTACTTCCAGTAGTTGAGATAACGGTATGCCTGGGTAGACTGAGCGCCGAAGTTGGTCAGGTGGCAAGCGAAGAGGAGGTAGTTGGGGGGTGTGACAGCGAGTGAGTAACGCATGAAGGTAGCGGCGTAGATGACAAGAGCACCGGTCATAGGACCGGAGATACTGTGAGCGAAGCGATCAGTACAACCGCCCTGGAACAGCCATATAACGCAATAAACTAGACATAAAGCTCTCCGGTATCATGGGATCAAAACATACATCTCAGCATCCTTCTGCGTGTCCATCACAGCGGCAATGGGGATACCAAAGTTGGAGACGGGGCCCCAGAAGTCTAAGAAGCGCCATTGACGGTCAGCAATCTGTGCATAGTCTCGGCGAGCGGTTCGGTCTAAAGCGCGCCAGTCCGAAGAAGTATCGTTTCTTCGACCCTCGACGTCGCTTCCAATGCTTATGATCTCGTGCGGTCTCGTTGGCCGATCTCGGTGCGGGAAGAGCTTCGGGGAACTTGGCATCGATACGTACGGGTTGAGCAGACATAGTCCAGCACCGCGTTGGAGCGGATCTTGGCGTTGATTGCCTTGATAGCAGCAGCCATGGTGAAGTTGCTGGTAAGGTTCTCACGGGATTGCGGTCGGGGAGGTGAGGTCGGTTTCTGGAGGATGCGGAATTACTCAAGTCACCCGGCGTCGGCCGCATCACGTGAGCTTCTACGACATCAGTTGGGATTGATAGATGCATCGACTTTTACCTTTAAAAGGCAATTGAATGAAGTGGTATCTATTTTCCTTGATCAATATGGCTGGTACTGGTATGTCAATGGTATTTGGGACTGTATTTTTCATGTGCGCACGCAACATTACCAGGCTCATCACCGGAAATATATACAGCTGCAGTTTTACTTTATAAAGAATTGAAACCATACGAACATTAAAGTAAAAATTTTTGGAAAAGAGAAGCCGTGTTAAAGTAAGCTAGCATTATTTTTTGACCTATGCAAATTTCAAGAGGATTTTGGTCTTTTTGTCCCCGGCCCTCGACACGACCTCCATCCCTGCGCCACAACGCCTTGCCCAATAAAATGTGGGTTGATCTAGCCGGTACGCGTATCATTGTCTTCCACTGGAAGCGTCGACAGTGGTTTCTTTTCAGCGCTGAGTGGTGCTTGCTTTTTGCCAGTTGAAATCAGATCGCCGATGATATGAAACGTAGAATATTTCTCTGTACACAGGTCCGATTACCTGCCACCAAATCCAGGAGGAGGGTAGCCGCGTCCCTGTCCCGGAGGCTGGAAGCCAGGGGGAGGTTGGAAACCGGCAGCTATAAGTCCAATGTTAGCACTGCACATGGGATAGAGGGCTGCTTGGGCAGAAACTTACGGGGACCGCCTTGGGGAGCAAATCCAGGGGGAGGCACAAAGCCGGCTAGGAATTAACAAGTCAGTATGGCTTTATATCAATCTGGGAACTGGGAAAACTTACGTGGACCACCAGGAGGACCTCCACGTCCAGGAGCAAAGCCTGGAGGCGGGGCACCGGGGAAACCAGCAGGAGGGAACCCAAAGCCACCGGGAGGAGGAGGACCACCAACACCGGCTGCAGGGCCACCGAGTCCAACGGGCAGACCGCGGCCAGCTGGCTTGCTGATACCAGGACCTGCGGCGAGTGTAGCAGCGGCGCCCGGTCCAGCGGTGCCGAGGCGGGCAGACGGGTCGGCGGGGGAGGGCCATCAACGGAGCATGAGACGACTTGAGTACCGCGCACGATAGTCAGACCAAGAGTTCGCTTCTCTTCCGCTTCGATCTGCGGGGCGCTTCCGGGGGCGGCAGCGGGCTTCGACTTCTTCTTGGTACGACGGAACTCTTCTGTATCTGCGAGAACAAGGTTCATGTGCTATGGAGAGGTGAAATTAGATGACATATGTGAATCCTGGGGCAAGGTCATGTACCTTATCAAATGCAAGCATTTGACCGGTCATCTGGCGACCGTCATTGAGGGTCACCCTCATCCGGTAGTTGATCTAGATAGAAGGTTAGACGTCCTGAAGTTGAAGACATTATCGCCTAAGTGAACTCACGAGGTTTTGCTAGAAGGAAGACGTTAGCGACAGCCATCGACACGGGTTGAGACGCAGATAGGGACGTGAAACTTACCATCTTGTTGGCGGCCATGGTGACTAGGTAGTGCGCACGTGTGCGACTTGGAAGACCAAAAAGTAGAAAACAGTAGATAGAGCGAGACTCTCTACTGTGGGGAATTGAGCAACGGCGCGAGTTCCTTCGTTGTGAAGCTTAAGCTCTGTCAGGTGGCAGTTCTTGATATCGAGTTAGTCAGCATTGAGTCAGTTTCTGCCTGAGGCCGAAAGGATTAGAGCCCCACATGTCCCGATTAGGCGGACTCAGGGCTCTCTAATCACGTGCCAGAATCGAACCCACACAAACCACTTTCACTTTTCTCGTGATCGATCCATTCCTTTAGTCGACAACTACTTCACGCCCATCAACCGCCATCATGGTAAGTCCATTTTGCACACAATCACACACAGTCACATCCTACAAATCACCAAGAAATCCTTATCCTTCTCAAAATCCGCCAACTCCGCCAAAAATCGAAATAAAATTCATTCTAACGATATGCAGTCGTCCGAGGCCAAGGCATCCAACCCCATGAAGGAGCTTCGCTTGTCGAAGCTCGTTCTCAACATCTCCGTCGGAGAGTCTGGTGATCGTCTCACCCGTGCCGCCAAGGTGCTTGAGCAGCTGTCCGGTCAGACCCCCGTCTACTCCAAGGCCCGTTACACCGTCCGTACCTTCGGTATCCGTCGTAACGAAAAGATCTCCGTTCACGTTACCGTCCGTGGCGCCAAGGCCGAGGAGATCCTCGAGCGTGGCCTCAAGGTCAAGGAGTACGAGCTCCGCAAGCGCAACTTCTCTGAGACCGGTAACTTCGGATTCGGTATCTCCGAGCACATCGATCTCGGTATCAAGTACGACCCCGGCATTGGTATCTACGGAATGGACTTCTTCGTCTGCATGTGAGTTTCCCCTGAATGACAGCCCTCAAGGGTGCTCTTTATTCAAGAACATATTAACTGACAATTTTATAGGGGCCGCCCCGGTGCCCGTGTTGCCAAGCGTCGTCGCTGCCAGGCTAAGATCGGTGTCAACCACCGCATCAACGAGAACGAGACCATCAAATGGGTTAGTCCTCCCGCAATGTTTTGGTACCCATCTCTTTGCTCACCACTTTCAAAAACAGTTCAAGAACCGCTTCGACGGCATTGTCCGGTAAAGGATTTAACGACGATGATGGGCGGAAACGGTTGATATGCGTTGTATAAAGCACTCAACCACAAACGAAAAGGCTCACTCGCCATTGAGAAAACAAAAAATCGCCTCGGAACAAACTCGGCGAGGCTCGACAGGCTTCTTGTTCTCTGCACAGGCATGGTCTTGATTTCCTATCACGGCAACTAGGATAGGCGTGTTAGGGGCATGAATGAATTATTCACATTTTACTGCTGCTTTTCCCTTTTCACAATGAGGCTTCACAAGAGGTGATGTTTACCGCATAACCATTGTTGAAAAGGTTGGCAGGCACTGGATTTCAATCTAGTGCCTGACCATGACTCGGTTGGCATTGCCTAGTCGGCTTTACCAAAGAGTTGGTCTCTTCCCTCGAGGTTCCTCGTTGTTGATTGAGTACCTGGCCTATCTTTCTGTCCCTATCCGCTTAGGCTCTGTATGTCCGCGTAGATGTAAACCTTCGTAATCCGTAGAGTGGTGGTGGTTTTTCAACTACCTTGCGGCCTGATCTGTCAAGTTCAAGGATGGGATAAACCCCCATGGTTAGGACACGACCTGTACCCGCCGGGCTTTTTACCCCAATGGAGGAAACGTGTCCATAGAGACTAATGCTGATGTGGTCTGATCCATAGTTTGGCTAGACAGGTCGATTGAAGACGGAGTGGGACCGTTCTAGATTTGCTTCATTAAGGCCGGTAAGAGCTTAAATGAATTTGAGCAACGCAAATCCCATAATGCATGCGCCAAAAAGTGAGCGGCCAAGGAATGAACAAATTAGAGCCCTAGACAAATTCAATTTGATGTTAAATATGAATTCCATCTGAGTATGGCCATAGTTTTAGGGGCTATGCAGGCTATCAGTCAATTGAAACGTTGAAAATCAATTGCACAAGGCTTAACATTTACTGTACCACTGGCAACGATCGGTAATTGTTTTATTAAGCTTGTTATCATTTAGAAAGCCTGCAGTATTAATCGTGCGCTTGTCCGAGGTCCATCTCTAGATCCGAAAATCTTCCGCCTTGCCAGCCTTGCAGTATCATCGCCCCCGAGATCAACTACCAATGTATGATATTCATTTATTTGCATTAAAAGCGATGTGTAATTGGAACTGCATAATCGAAAATGACCGGATTGACCGAAATCATTCGCAATAAAGTTCCAACTGTGGAATATATATACCGCACTCGACCCCGTTTGTATACACCAAACCTTCAACATACCCCGAAGCTTGACAAGTTACTTATACAAATCTACCCCAAACACCATGAAACCATGTCACCCCAAATCTGGATTATCACTGGAAGCTCCTCCAGCCTCGGAAGCGATTTCGTCAAAGCAGCCTTAGATCGGGGCGACAAGGTGATCGCGACAGCCCCGCAAAGTAAACAGAATCGCTTATCTACGAGACAGCGGAGCGAGTACCATGCAGATAGATGCCACTTTTATGCAAGGGGGGCTGAATGATATTGCCAACAAGGCTATTTCTGTGTACGGGCAGATTGAGGTAATGATGAGCAACGCCGGATACACGCAATTTGGGACCATTGAAGAAACCAGGTAGGTATGTGCTTCCTTTTCCTGCGATACACAAGAAAACTAACACCCCGGCTCTGTTAGTCACGATGACTGGTTCAAACAGTTCAATACCCATGACTTTGGAGCTTCAAATACGACTAGATCCTTCCTCCCTCATTTGCGCAGTAACAAATCTGGAACCATTGCCTTCATTGGGTCTATGGTCGCGTGGGATGGTGTACCTACTGTTGGAGCATACTGTGCTTCGGAGGCTGCTATACATTGTATGTTCCAAAAACCGCTCTTCTCGTGCACACCTAAAAGTCGTTAATGGAACAATCAGATGCCGTCGAGTCATCCAAAGAGATCGCCGCCGTCGGCATCAAGTCTCTCCTCTTCGAGCCCGGGACATTCCGAACTGATCTTTTGAGCCAGCAGAATAGCAAATCAGCCGCTAACAAATTTGAATATTACAAAGCTTTGACCGAATCATTGAATAGCTAGTTCGATACTTTGAACGGGGACTAGGCTGGCGATCCTCAGAAGGGTGTTGAGTGTGTTATTGATGTCATGAAAGGGGAGAAAGACATTGCCGGAAAGAAGTGGCCGTGACAGTTGCCGCTTGGGTCGGATCCTGTTGCTGCTATTCGGAAGAAGTGTGAGGATACTTTGCAATTGGAGGCGTGGGAAGAAATGTCTAGTGAGACGGATATCTAGTATCCCGAGACTTGGCACGGAGCTTCTGTTGTCCTATTTACTACTTGGTCGGTTGGGCGTGGATATCAATATACTTGAGCAAGACAGTACGACGAAAAACCAACAATTGAAGCTCAGTATATTTGGTATAAGGTAGAGACATCTATATCAATAACGTAAGGAGTGAAACGACCAACACTGGGAATATCCGTATTTAAATAACCACAATCACCGACACACCCCCTAAGCAATTCATTTCTTCTGATCAGCCGTCTCAATCATTTCCTCTCGGGATTTATGATCCTCCTGATCACCAGCCTCCAAATCTGTAGCCTTAGCATTCGCAGTATCATCAACAGCAGCCGTAACAGTTTCAAAGCGACGACCACGTTTCTCAGGCCCAACAGAAGCAGTCAGCGCAATGCCAAGGGCAATAATAGCAGTAGCAACACCCATAACAGGCCCGTAAGCCGGAACCCGGTGACCGGACGGACTAGTAACCCAAGTAGACTCAGAGATGGCGTTCACAATCTGCGCCGATGGCGAGGAAATCATGTTTCCAATTTGGTATGTCAAGCCGGGAAATGAGGATCGGAAGGCGGGAGGGGAAAGCTCGTTCAGATGGATTGGGATTACACCCCAGGCTCCCTGGACGAAGAATTGAATGAAGAAACCTGTCACGCTTAGGCTTCTTTCGCCTTGGGGTAGGATCCATGCTGGGATGAGGACGCCGGATACGAGTGCTGCGGCGATGATTGCGCGCCGGCGACCGAAGAACTGGGATAGGTAGCCAATTATGGTTCCGCCCACGCAGGCACCTGTTTTCATTAGGATGGAGGCTCGAGAGGCGGCTGAGTTGTCGAGTTCTTTGGAGGTGCGCATGAATGTTGTGTAGGAGTCTTGGGATGTGTGAGAATAGAAGTTGAACTATACAGGAACTGATTAGACATTGTTCATCAGGATAAAGTGGCAGAAGATACATACCCAGGTCATGAGAATGATACAGTAGATGCACATGCGCCACTCTTTGGCCAACATGGATCTTGTTTCCTTCCAGAATTCACCCGCGGACATTGTTCGCTTGCCGGCCTTTTTGGCTTCGAGGAATTGCTTTGACTCGGGGAAGCAAATGCGGAGGAGACCAATTCCAATTGAGAGACCGGCTAGAACAGAGTTAATGGTGTTCAACACTTGGATGAAGGTGGTGACTTACCTGCAATCCAGAATACGACCTTCCAGCTTTCAGTTGAACCACCGACACCAAGGTTGGCACAAGCTGCGAACACATAGCCCAATGAATAGCCCTGTTGGAGGATACCAGACATGAGTCCTCTTGCGTTGACACTAATTTGCAGAAACGTCAGTTGTGATCCCCAAGCCCTAATCGAGAGTACCTACGGGCAATGCTCCAACGCCATAGCAATGGCATTTCCATAAACACCACCCATAAAAAGGCCAAAAAGACTTCTAACAGCTAAGAACTGTTGGAATGTATAGCTGTAGATAGTAGCAATCTGCAAGAGCCCCAAAACGACCATGTTGACCACCATGGGCCACTTACGACCATACCTATCACCGGCCAATCCAAAGAAGGCAGCACCCACACTTCTCAGAAGGAGGGTCAAGGTAATGGCAGTTGTTATATCTGTCTTAGATTTGCCATAATAGTCAGACAGCTTGACGGTCTGGATGGAGAGGGCATGGAAATCGAATGCATCGGCCGTCCAAGCAGAAAGTCCCACAAGAAAGAACAACCAGTCTCGTGCCGACAATTGCATCATCAAACTGATGGGGTTCTGGATTGGCTCTGGAGATTGCCATTCCGTGTGGGACTCGCCGTATTCATTTGTTACCTCGACACGCTGCTTCCAGATAAAGAGATCTTTGAAGGACTGGCGCGCAGTTGCGAATATGCCGCTCGGAATGGGGTCTGCCAATTCATTGGAAGATACCATTGTGGCAATAGAAAGATGAAAAAGAGCCTGATTGGCAAGAGGGTCTCAGTAGAAGTATTCCAGAGAATTCAATAGTAAACCTGTAATTCTTCCGGGATCTCTGTGGCATATTCCGTCCAAATCCTACGTCTAATCTCCCCGTTTTATACCAGACCATCATGATTCACCCCCGCATTTCTATCCCGCATTATCTTCGTGCAGGTCAATAAATGCCGCTGCACCCCAGGCACACCCCAGATTGTTCCGAAGGACCACGCGGGGCATTGCCACTCCGCTGACCAGCCAAGAATATGCCAAGCACCTGCGATATCCGTGCCCTCCAATGCGAGACTGCCATACGATAAACATGCCGCAATACACGCTTTAAGGCTGGCTTGGCGTGGGGATGGTCTTGCCTAGGGATCCTTCTGTGCTTGGCTGATCCGACAAAGACAAGCTCCAACAAGGCGGATGGCGCTGTGCGCGTGGTCATTGCTCCGTTACGCCGAAAACTTTGAGTCAAAGAAGGGCCGATATGCACTTTCAGTGGCTCCGGTTCGGGTTGAAGGTGGGATTTGAGGCTTGGAACTCGGGGAACACTTCCTTCGGTGCTCTAGCGGGCTGTTGGCAGTCGACTAGATTGGACGATTTTTGTTGGGCAAGTGGGGGTTGATAACAGTCCATGGCAACTTCAGTGGCGTGTAGTACCCATTCGATCGTAAGGTGGTGGTGACGTGTGGTGACTGAAGGTGAGTACAGTACATGTATAGTGCTCACCCGATGACGTTCTGGGCCTCGGAGTTGAGGCTGGATGACAGGCCATTGGCCCACCACTGTGGATCGGGTTAAGGGGTCTTCTCAGGCCATGCAGCTATAGGTTGCATATATATATATATATCTACTCTATACAAGGTGCACATCCCAATGCAAGTGAGCTTGTTTAGTTCCAGGAATCTGTTGTTTGGTGATATTCCGATTCATCTCCGGCTATAATCAAAAGTTGAATAGCTTCATTTCGATCACTACTACAGAGCGTAGCATGTTACAAATAAACAAAGCTGATGGTCAAACCAAAGAACATCAAAATATGAAATGAAGTGGATGCTGAGATAGCCACCTACGTGTAAACACCTCGTGGGCTTTAGCGGGTGAGAGCGGTCAGCTATACATCGCCCGAACACAGCCTAACTGCTCAGTATGACCAGCATATTTCTCACATTTGACACGCATTACAAGCTTGGAATGCTTCTTGCCCTCTTCTCACTCTTCGCTCTTCTCTCTCATTTCTCTCATTTCTCTCCACTGGAACAAAACGATCACCAAGCCCCTGCATCACGTGACAGCCCATAAGCGACACCTCAGCAACGACGGCGGCCTCCTGAGGTCACTTCCGCTGCCATCGCAATCAAACCCCCCTCCCTCTCTTCCTTACATCTCCTTCTTCCTTTCCTTTTCCTTCTCTACGCTTTCACTTCCCGTCACTTTTCTTCATCATCTTTCAATTCCTCTGCTCTCTTCGCGTGGCGTTTAGTCGGGTACTGGTCGTGCAGCGGCCAACGTAAATATGGCGCCTCTCCCTATCAAGTTCACAGAACTGGTCAATGTACGTGATTACCCCTCATCTAGACCGCATCGCACTTGAAAAAATCAAACTAACCGAACCTTTCTTTCACAGTTGACCGCAGTCGGCATCGCGGTATGTACACGACGATCCCGGTGATGCAACGCGACGAGCTCCCGTTGCTCGACGGATGCCTCGGCCGCGCATTACAACGTCCCCGGAGGCCCTGAAAAGCTTACTGACTTTGTTCATCACAGCCGGAATCCATTGGCTTCACGTCATGCGTAAGTTGCCCACTGTTTACCCAAAACAATGCTGGACCGACCTGGCTAACCTGATTGCTCCTCATAGACACTAGAATCCGATCACTACGTGTGCGTGCGCCAGAAGCTTGACTCAGACGACAAGCCCCAAGTCATCATCATCAACCTAAAGAACAACAATGAAGTCCTTCGCCGCCCTATCAACGCCGACAGTGCGATCATGCACTGGAACAAGAACATCATCGCCCTGAAGGCCCAGGGCCGAACAATCCAGATCTTCGACCTTGGTGCAAAGCAAAAGCTCAAGTCGGCAGTCATGAACGAGGATATTGTCTACTGGAAATGGTTCAGCGAGACGTCCTTGGGTCTGGTCACCGACACCGCCGTTTACCACTGGGACGTCTATGACTCCACACAACAGAACCCCGTGAAGATGTTTGACCGACTTCCTAACCTCAGCGTATGTGGTCTCAGTGGATATAAGGGATCTCGGAAAGCTAATAGTGGATGTTTCTAGGGTTGCCAAATTATCAACTACCGTGTCAATGCCGAGGAGAAGTGGATGGTCGTGGTTGGTATTAGCCAGCAGCAGGGCCGCGTCGTTGGATCAATGCAGCTCTACTCGAAGGAGCGTGGAATTTCTCAGTTTATCGAAGGTCATGCCGCCTCTTTCGCCAACATCAACGTCGAGGGCTCTCCCTTACCACACAGTCTCTTCACCTTTGCCGTTCGCACTCAGACTGGCGCTAAGCTGCAGATCGCCGAGATCGACCACCAAGAACCCAACCCCCGGTTCCAGAAGAAGGCCGTTGAGGTCTACTTCCCTCAGGAGGCGGTTAACGATTTCCCCGTTGCCATGCAGGTGTCTAGCAAGTACGATGTGGTTTACCTCGTTACAAAGTACGGCTTCATTCACCTTTACGATCTCGAAACCGGCACTTGCATTTTCATGAACCGTATCTCTAGCGAGACAATCTTCACCACAGCGCAGGATTCTGAGGGTGCCGGTCTGGTCGGGGTAAACCGCAAGGGTCAGGTCCTGTCGGTCAGTGTCGACGAGACCAACATCATTCAGTATCTGATGGAGAACCCTGCTATGTCTGGCCTTGCTGTGAAACTTGCCTCGAAGGCCGGCCTTCCTGGCGCGGACCACCTGTACCAGCAGCAGTTTGACAACCTCATGACCCAGGGAAACTTCCCCGAGGCTGCCAAGGTTGCCGCCAACTCCCCTCGTGGGTTCCTCCGTACTCCTGAGACCATCAACCGTTTCAAGAACGCTCCTCAGACTGGTCAGATGTCGGTTATCCTGCAGTACTTTGGTATGCTCCTGGACAAGGGTTCGCTCAACAAGTACGAAAGTGTGGAGCTTGTCCGCCCCGTACTGCAGCAGAACCGCAAGCACTTACTTGAGAAGTGGATGCAGGAAAAGAAGCTGGAGGGCTCGGAAGAACTTGGTGATATCATTCGCCCTTACGACATGACTCTTGCTTTGAGCGTCTACCTCCAGGCCAATGTTCCTCACAAGGTCGTCGCTGGATTTGCCGAGACTGGACAGTTCGACAAGATCCTTGCTTACTCCAAGCAGGTCGGTTACCAGCCAGACTATACACAGCTTCTCCAGCACATCGTCCGTGTCAACCCCGAGAAGGGTGCCGAGTTTGCTACCCAGCTCGCTAATGAAGAGAGCGGCGCTTTGGTTGATCTTGACCGGGTCGTGGATGTGTTCCTCTCTCAGAACATGATCCAGCAAGCTACCTCGTTCCTTCTGGATGCCCTGAAGGACAACAAGCCCGAGCACGGCCACCTGCAAACTCGCCTTTTGGAGATGAACCTCGTCAACGCGCCCCAAGTTGCGGATGCCATCCTTGGTAACGAGATTTTCACACACTTCGATCGTCCTCGTATCGCCCAACTTTGCGAGAACGCTGGCCTCATCCAGCGTGCCCTTGAGAACTCGGACGAACCCTCCGTGATCAAGCGCAACATTGTCCGCACTGACAAGCTTAGCCCCGAGTGGCTCATGAGCTACTTTGGTCGGCTTTCTGTGGAGCAGAGTCTCGACTGCATGGACACCATGTTGGAGTCGAACATTCGCCAGAACCTTCAGGCTGTCGTCCAGATTGCGACCAAGTTCTCAGACCTTCTTGGTTCCAACCGTCTGATTGACCTTCTGGAGAAGTACCGCACTGCCGAAGGTCTCTACTACTACCTGGGTAGCATTGTCAACCTGAGCGAGGACCCCGAGGTGCACTTCAAGTACATTGAAGCTGCTACTACCATGAACCAGGTCACCGAGGTTGAGCGTATTTGCCGTGAGAGCAACTACTACAACCCCGAGAAGGTAAAGAACTTCCTGAAGGAGGCCCACCTGACTGAGCAGCTGCCTCTGATCATCGTCTGCGACCGTTACAACTTCATCCACGACTTGGTTCTCTACCTGTACCAGAACCAGCAGTTCAAGTCCATCGAGGTCTATGTGCAGCGTGTCAACCCTTCGCGCGCCCCTGCCGTTGTTGGTGGCCTGTTGGATGTTGACTGCGATGAGAGCATCATCAAGAACTTGCTTTCTACCGTCGACCCCTCCGTTATCCCCATCGATGAGCTCGTCTCCGAGGTCGAAACCCGCAACCGTCTCAAGCTGCTCCTGCCCTTCCTCGAGGCTACCCTTGCTACTGGCAACCAGCAGCAGGCTGTCTACAACGCTCTTGCGAAGATCTACATTGACAGCAACAACGACCCCGAGAAGTTCTTGAAGGAGAACGACATGTACGACACCCTGACTGTTGGAAAGTACTGCGAGAAGCGTGATCCCAACCTGGCCTACATTGCCTACCGCAAGGGTCAGAATGACCTGGAGCTCATCAGCATCACCAACGAGAACTCCATGTACCGCGCCCAGGCCCGCTACCTTGTTGAGCGTGCCGATCCTGAGATCTGGTCTTTCGTTCTCAGCGAGAACAACGAGGGCCGTCGCTCCCTTGTTGACCAGGTCATCGCAACTGCGGTTCCCGAGTCTACTGAGCCCGACAAAGTGTCCGTGGCCGTTAAGTCGTTCCTCGAGGCCGACCTTCCTGGTGAGCTGATTGAGCTGCTCGAGAAGATCATTCTGGAGCCCTCGCCTTTCAGTGACAACGCTAGCTTGCAGAACCTCCTGATGTTGACCGCTGCAAAGGCTGACAAGAGCCGCCTGATGGACT